ATGGTGTATCGCGGCAAGCCAAGTGCTTCTTGTGAGCGCTGTCGCTCTCGTCGCATGAAGGTTGGCTAGCTGCCTGATCGGGAAAATTTGAGTTGGACCTAATGAGGCTCACATCTCTCCTAGTGCGATCAAGGATATCCATCTTGTACCCAATGCATGCGAGCCAAGGTGGACTGTCCAGGGTATCGTGACCCACTCGAGCTTAAATTTCGAGATCAAAATGAAGAAGTCATTCGCAAATCACAAAAGCCGACACGGAAAAAGCGTACAGTAAACACTACTCCTGACGTCGTTGAATCAGATTCAAATAGTCGCGGTCTTATAACTTCCCCGCAAGCTATTCCTGAATATCCAGCACAAGAACTTGCAAAGGGCTATTTATTTTGCAATTACGTGGCCGGGGGTCCTCATGCAGGCCACATGTCGTATTTGCTACCATTGATCCAAAACCCGCAGAATGCAGCTGTCAATGCGGCTCTCAATGCTGTTGGCTTGGCAGCCCTGTCAAACATTCGAATGTCTCCTCAGATGATGCTGAAGGCACGCCGAGAGTATACCACTGCTTTGTCGCAGACCAACTATGCATTGAGAGACCCAGTTATGTCTAAGCAAGATGACATCCTAGCTGCGGTAGTTCTTCTTGGAATGTTTGAAGTGAGTGGCTCGGAAGACTACACCCAAATTTAGCATCACCCTCAATGCTGATGAAAAGCAGGTCGTGACATGCACTGACGACTCATTCATCGACCGCTGGATGAAACACATGGATGGGGCTGCAAAATTGATTGAGTTTCGAGGCCCAGATCAGCTCACTCGACAAGAGGGCTTAGATCTCTTCACTCAACTGCGCGCTCAAATTGTATGTCCTGATTCTATTGCTTTTGTGTAATGAAAGATCTTGATGCTTACCATACTCATATTTAGAGTACAAGCAACATATACCGAGAAGAGTATAGCTCGACAAGTCTTATAGAGCTCACGGAACTTGCAAAACAATATCGAAATACAAATGATCATGTCCTCGACAACCTCGGCTTGATAGTTATACGACTGAGTAATTTCTGTGCGGCTCTAAAAGACGCGACCATAACGGACCCCAGTGAAATAATTCGCACCGCCCTGACACTAGATGCTGAGCTGATGGCGACTTTCATCAACGTTCCGTCCCTGTGGAACTATAAGTCAATCGAGGTCCCGATGGTTGATGGGGAGTCAATACTCCCTATGGTCTGGGGGAGCAGCTACCATGTATACCACAGCATCACTGCAAGCAGCATGTGGAATAATTATCGCTCGTCCCGAATGCTCATTCATGAACTCATCATCGACACCGTGACGGGACTTGACTCGTCGACAACCGATCAAGCAAGCTATCTACAACGACAACACCTAGCCAACCAAAGCCGTCAAATTGCACGCCAGCTAGTGGAGGATATCTGTGCCAGTGCCCCCTTCCATCTTGGCGCAGGATCCGAAGATATGGATAAGATAGCAGTACGCTCTTCAGAATCTACAAGCTCCTTGAGCGGCTCGGACTGGAGCCACGTACCCGCAACAACTTCAGTTGCGTCAAAACAGTGGTCGCCCAGTCGAGAACAGAGGCCATTTAGCCTGATTTCATCTCCAATCGGAGACTTCTCGTTTTCGACAACCTCAAATTCTCCAAGTCTGAGCTCATTCGGAGCCATGTCTACAGATCTCTTCAAAATAACTGGAGCGGGCGGCCTGACGTTGGTTTGGCCACTCCTAATTGCTGCAAATTCCGGGCTCGCATCGCCTGAGCTCCGCAATTGGATTACGACCTGCTTTGACAAAATCGGGCATTCAATGGGAATAAATCAAGCCTTAGCCATGGGAAAGCTGTTACGAAACGGCAGTGGTTCTCGGGCCTGGTTGACACCTGAGCTTGGATCGCCTACCTCGGTCTAATATTACTCTCAGCCAAAGGTAGTAAGGTAGTTTTTAAGATTTATTTTATAGACAATAGGGAGAATTAAAGACATTCAATTTTTGCTCTAAGACGATTTGCAACCAAACACCATTCCCGAACAAGCCTATTCTTCAATATACTCTAAGTCGCGAATTCTAAATCATAACTGTTAAAAGGCAAAATTCAGTGAAATCTAACGAACGCCTTCCCCAACTTCCTCGACCGATGCAAGATCCTGGCTTCATAGTCTAATAACCTTCACTTTGTTGCAACCCCCAGATCGAATCTCATTTACCGGGAGTAGTGCTGTTGTCGCTGCTCTCGGTGATCTCGGTGCTGTCGTTGTTGTCGCTGGTTATGGTTGTACGAATACTGAGCCCCAGCCTCAGCATCCGAGAAATTCTTATGTGCCGCATCAGAATCGCGTTGCTGGCGCTCATCACCCACCTCGTTGACCAAGGGATATAGCACAGGGGGGGACAACACCACCCCCAACAGCCGGATGAATGGTCGATTGAGGGGTCATCAGACCAAGCACCGTATACAAGAAGACAACTGCAAACTCCTCGAGAGTTGCCATGACGATCTGAATAGTAATATTCCCATCAATGAGTGAGAATTTTGGGTTGTTCCCAAAATCGCTGATCAGGCTGTACAGCAAACGGACGGCGATGAGGGGTAGGGCAAGAAAGACACAGAGAAAAATGCGCTTCTGGCTACTTTGCATCTTGCCCAAATCGCGCACGGTGATTACCCACAAGATGCAGGTGGCAATATAGATGAGGAGAAACATTATGATGGCAGCGCGGACTTCACTTTTGCCGCTGGAGCGATCGGACTCGTCGGCTGATGCTTCATCGGAGCCACCACTAATTGCCAAGATGAGGGCAATGAAGGCTGGGATATGGAGGAGCTGGACGACTTTGCTGCGATAGGAAACGGCGGTTGCTTTTTTGTTGTAAATGGAGAAGCTGGGAGGGGAAACACAGAATTAATGGGATGGCTCGTAGAGAAATCATGACAGCTTTGAACTTACAGTTTACCAAAGATCCCGAAAATACCAGAGAATAAACTCACGATCTGTAGAAGTATGTTCTTCGAGGATAAGGGGTCAGATGGAACCCGGTCAGATGTCTCGTCAAACCTATTGATATAATTAAAACTCAATTCCTTCATATTTATGATTATGAAGCTGAGGAATAAACTTACACTCTCTTCAGAAGACCCAAAGTGGATAACAGTAGAGGGGAAAGGCCAACAGACTGAAGAATCGTCGCCCACTCTTTATCACTAGAGTTGTCGGGGTTCTTGACACTTAGGATCTCCATGATGGAGCCCACCACACGAATTCCGCTGAAGATACAGAGATAAATCCATCCCAACTGTTTGTAAAAGCCATGGCGGAAGACCACGAATATCGCAAGGAGTAAGATCGGTATGTAAACTACCAGCTCCGCGATAGCAAGGTGCTCAGCAGTAGCAGTCATCGCTGATTTGAGAGCTTGAAACTTGTAGCCAAAGAGTGTTTTTGATGAGCTGTAAAGAATAGATGGATGTTCTTGCTGAGTTGTCTGGATGCTGTCAACAACTTGAAGTGTTTTATATGTACTCAACTTCAAATAATTTTTTCCATCTACTTTATTTACTTCTACTTTTCGTAATAAGCTGCGAAGCGCCTCCAGCCACAAGATCCACTGTCGCCTTCACAAGGAGGCGATCATAACGAGTGAAAAAAGCTACAAAATAAGCATTAACCTGCGAGCCGCAGCCCACTGCCTAAAATAGCGGTCTTTTGGAGCTTGTTTTCGGATCGAAAGTCATACCGAGAAGAGCGCGGGTCAGCGTGCATTTGCAGAGAGGCTTAGCCTATTCGTTCCAGCATACTCCATAACTAGTCGCTCTGTGATTGATTGGATAAGAGTCCTGGTTTTGCCGACCCAGGGTGGCTTGACCCACTAGACCGAAAAGGGTAACAGTTTCGATATCCTACAGTGACAGGCTTGTCTCCACAAGCTTAGCTCTTACATTACAGCGTCGAATTTGGAAATTGGTAAGATGCTGGATGCTGGATGCTCCATTCTCGTCTCGAGAAATTGGGAAAATCTAAATTTTCACACGAGGTCGTCGACACCTTTGATCTTTCTGTTCCATATTATGTCCCTTGAAATGTATTCATCAGCGCTAATTAAATATATATTTGCCTTTCAGTGCTCTTCAATCCCGAAGGACAATAATGTGGACGAAGGGAATTCCTATTCCTGGCGACCTGCGAGGAATGTAAAATACAGCAACGACTTCTTGTCCCAGCATTCAAGTTGTCAAATCGGAATTACCGACCGGTATCAAGAAGCAACATTAAGGATTTCGTACTTGAATTGAATACTATAATAATATATTTAGTTTCTTTCACGGGCTCCGAGACACCAGTCCCGAAAACTACATCATAGGCTTGCCAAAGGATAATCCAATAACGCATAAGGCTGGTTTTATTGAGATAAAGCTTTTTGGAGACTCTATTTACCACTACTAGTAGCTTTAGGAAAAAACTATCGAAGGCCCAGGGTTTGTCCGTATCAATTTTAGTCACAGTTGCTCATATTTTCGAATTATTTCAACATGTCCTATTGGTCTTACCGTCACTAAGAACGGTCGGCGCGGGTATTGCCGTATCATACTGCGAGCCCCCAATTGAATCCGGAAATGCCCTTTGATTTTGTATGACGAGGGATACTAGGGTACTTCCGTCAACGTGGGTGAGCTTTGGATTTGCTAAGCACGCCTGTTGCCAGCGACCTTCGGTAAAATATTTGAGTGCCGAATGTCTCTTTCGTCCGAGAGAATAGCGTACTATGCCATTGCCAATCAAATTACGGAGAGCCCCTTACTACTCGTGGTAGGCCAGTTAATCCAAAGCGGAGGGGCATAACCCCGCGTTTGAATGGCCAATGGATGCAACTGCTTCAACTTGTAAGCCCGACTTGAAATATCGCGCATTTAACTGTCAGCTTCTTCTTAAAAAAGAACTCGAAGATCGGATAAAGCTTCATCTCACTTTTTTTTAGTTTCAATTATGTCCAAGTTATCCTCGACGCTTAAGTCTCTAATCAACGCGCCATACGCCCGACCAGGAACTGTTCCGGCGCCCTCACACGTCTTGCCCGTGTACCAAGCAATCGCGAAAGACGCCCAATACCGCGGTATAGGGCTTGAGCCATGGTTCACTGCCGCAGTAAGAAATACTCTAGTCACAAAGCAAAAGATAATAAGAATACTGACACTGCGTACCAAAAAGGCCGCGGCAACGATGACGATGAATTCCCCAGAATCATTACATCAGCTTTTTGAGCAGGTTTCAGGATCAAAGTCGCACCACGAAAGGGTCCGCCTTGCAGAGCTAGTCAGGGAAATTGGTTTGAAATGTCTCGGATTCAATGGTGTAAGCAATTCTATCCATGCACATTTCTCTGTGACATGAGACTGACTGGAAGTAGATTCCCCGAACCATCAATTGTCTCAATGAGTTTCACGCCACGCTGCCTCAAAGTATAGCTCAAAGGCTATCTACCAAGCCACGTCGGTATGTTTTGAAAAGAGCCTCTTGGACTGAGATACTTAACCATTCAAAACAGATCTCTAGCCCGGCAGAACATCGACATGGTGTCTTCGCGTGGCCAAACTCTCTGGAAATCTGTCTACTATCCGTTCGAGTCTAAGCTCTACGATAAGCTTAGTAAGGCTCATCCAGACCTTCCAGTGCATATCGTGGAAAGTGAATACGGAAACCTCTTCTCAGACCCGCCAACGCACCCAGGGGCTATGCCAGTTACCGTTGGTAGAGTCTTGACTTCCATACTGGGTATCGCTTGTCTACGAGCGCAAACCGGGGTCGGGCCGCAACTTTTATCTCACGTATATGGACTTCGAAAAGCATTCGAAGATGACAATTTCCAAAATGAATTAAAAGATGATATCGGAGGTGGCCGGTGGTTGGCTAGTGATGACGGGAGTGTGTGGCTTCTAGAAAGCATTGACCGGATCGTGGAAACACTTGGGCAAGGCCATGGAAGCAACTTCGCGCCCGGTATTAGTAGCAAACTCTAGGTCGATATCAGCTTGAGAGAAATGGCAGAGTAGTTCCGATACCGTGTTTACCTCCAATCGCGTATGCTCCAGGTCTCCAATAGCTTTAAAAACCGGTAGACGGGTCAGTCAACTCCAAATTGATTTACTGATTGATTCTACTCGGCGATTATTTCCGGGCTTCCATCAGTAGAGGCCCGCCAAAACAGTCTATAACCCGATCCAACGCCATCCTATGGGTCTTCGCCACTCGCCTCAGAACATATTCACCGTCATCATACTGATATCAGATCATGGGCTGTGGCAAGGCATCTCCCACATTGTGTGCGATCCTAAATCTAGGTGAGCGGTTTTTTTGAGGGGTTGTGAGAACCTCTCAATTGATGCAACTACCCATTGGTGTGAAGATCATTGATCAATATGGCAGCTGCAGTATTACCCAGGTATATACATTACCCCGTCGGGATGGGATGATGGCTCACGATAAACCAGCCCGATCACACGCATCGAGTATGCACCCCACCCCACGAACAGAATGAAAGCCGCGCGGTGGATGGGCACCCGCGATGTCGAAGTCGGACTCGTCCCCAAGCCCATGATCACAGACCCCAATGATGCCATTGTCCAAATCACACATTGCACCATATGTGGCTCGGACATCCACCTCTACGAAGGCGAACTAAACGACCAAATGGAAAAGGGAGACATTCTAGGCCAAGAAGCTATTGGGGTTGTGGAAGAAGTTGGACCAGGGGTCAAATCGCTCAAAAACGGCGACCGAAAGATAGATCCCTCGTGGATGTTCATCTATGAGGACGAGTTCGAGAATATTGCAGATCATTATCAGAAGTTTTCACAACATAAAGTGCCCGGCGGACTCTGGTAACGGCATTTGGGCGCAGCGAACGTCTCCAGTCCATTAGCGACATGCCGGTGGATCAAGCGGAATCCAGCGGATACTCTAGTGGGGGATGAGCAGGAATACAAAGGTTCATGTATGAAACAACTTGAACCTTGCAATAAATGTATACTAGTGGCAGAAATGAAATCACCGTGGCGGTGTCTAGTTCAAGTTATATCTTCCGAATCCGAATCCCAGTCTATCATGGGTTTAAGCAACTTCAAGGCAGGATAGGAAATACTACTAGTAGTAGTAGGATTAATTGATCACTGAACAGCCGGGATGCATCGAGATATTCAATTTATAGCTTTCAGCATTCAATTGCATCTTTTAGTGTACATGTGTCGCACACCTAGTAACGTTAGTTACTAGCGAACCGTAACTATTATACTAGTAGTACTAGAAGGAACTATTAAGCTACCACTATTTATGCAATAGTAGTACTAGTGTAATGCTTAAAATAGTAGCAATTTGGTCTTGGATAATACTCCACTACGCCAATACTCCAATACTCCAGTGTATAGTTACTATACTGGTACTGCTGAGTCTTAACTTGACTGGCCCAAAACAGCCAATGCACTTCCGTCAGCGTCGGCTTTGGTCAGCTGCCCCTCCTTTTTCTTTTCTCTTCTCTTCTTTCTCTCCGATTCCTCTTCTCCTCTCTCTCCATTGCTCTCCATTGCCCTCCCTCTGCTATTCCATATAAATACCAGTTGCCCTTCTCATTTCCCTTCTTCAATTCTTCCCATCGCCCCACCCCGCTTGATCCACCCCCACAATGTTTCCCCCACCACCCGCCGCTCTCGACTGGAACGACATCGGCTTCAAAGTGCGCGATGGTAGCTTATAACCCAGTCTATTAGCATTTCACCCCCGGCTAACCTCATCTCCCCAGTCAACGGCCATGTAGAATGCCACTTCTCCACCTCCGGCAACGGCCAATGGTCCCGTCCACGCTTCGTGGCCTCCCCCTTCCTCAACATCCACGGCATGGCCCCCGGTCTTAACTACGGCCAACAAGTCTACGAAGGTCTAAAAGCCTTCCGACATGCCGGCAACAGCAAAATAACCATCTTCCGACCCGACCGCAACGCAAAACGTATGCAGCACTCCGCAGCCGTGGTCTCCATCCCGCCCGTCCCCGAAGATCTCTTCCAGGAATGCGTGGCGCTGGCAGTGGGCGCCAATGCCGAGTTTGTCCCGCCGCATGAGTCCGGCGCCGCGATGTACGTGCGTCCTCTACTTTTTGGTTCCTCCGCGCAATTGGGACTTAGTCCCCCGGACGGGTATACATTGGCGGTATTCGTGATGCCCACGGGGGTTTATCACGGGGCCCATGCGGTCGATGCGTTGATTTTGGAGGATTTTGACCGGTCTGCACCGCATGGTACGGGTGATGCAAAGGTCGGTGGGAATTATGCGCCTGTGCTGCGGCATAGTGATAAGGCTCGGAATGAAGGATTCGGGATCACGCTGCATTTGGATAGTGCCACGCGCACTGAGATTGATGAGTTCTCGACTTCGGCTTTTGCGGGCGTGAGGCGGGATGGGGACGTCGTGACTATTGTACAGCCCGATAGCCGGAACGCGATTGATTCGGTCACCGCGGCGTCTGTTGCGGACATTGCGCAGAAGCTGGGGTATAAGGTGGAAAAGCGTCGGGTTGGATATGAGGAGCTGGGCCAGTTTGATGAGGTCTTTGCTTCTGGTACAGCAGCGGCACTGGTGCCGGTGCGGAGTATCACGATGCGCTCTCGCGGGGACAAGTTTGAATATCAATCTGGCGAGAAGGGTGAGGGTGGCGAGGTGTGCGTCAAACTCTTGCAGACGCTTCGGGGGATCCAGTCCGGTGGTATTGCAGATGACATGAACTGGAATTACGAAGTCCAGGCTCCTCCGAAGCAATGGTTGGAGGAGGAAGGCAATGTCGAAAAGGTGGACAGCGGTGCGAATGTACCTTGAAAAGGACCCCGAAGTCACTATTTTAGACAAAAATCAGTTGCATTTACTTATAACTAGAGCACGTTCCTTACGCATGGGCTGTTCTATTAGCTGCCTCGTATTTCTACAGTCCCGATGCCGATTACCTTTCTTTGGGCGTTGGTGAAACGGCTACTTCGATAAGTAGAAGTAAATGATGCTGTTCATTAGGTATGCAACCTGGCTACTTAAACCGAGTCCTCTGTACATGAGTCAATTAATCATGAAATAGGTCACCTTTTCTGTAACAGTGCAGTGCAGTGCAATGCAGTACAACAATCCACCCATGCGACCATTCGATGTAGCACACCGGGGCAAAACAAGGAAAAAAAGGAAAGGGAGATGCAAGTGACATGGTATGGTACAAGACACAGGCCACGACTGTCCGTTCTATCAAACAATGGACCGTAGTCGGAAATCAGAATGGGGGATATCAAGTACAAATAGCATCGCTGAAAAACAAATGAGACCGCCGCACAGCAAAGGCCATGTGGCACTTTTACCTGCTTTGCTTTGCTTTGCTTCGATTCAATCACGTCACATAAAGGGACAAAATCCACCTAACCCCGTAGTGAGTAAGGCTTTCGCGGCTTGCGGGAATCACCATTGGGGAGGATATCACCCTGTTCGCTGTCGTCGCTATCATTGCTCTCGTCGTCTGAGGATGGTACTTCCCACACGCTGGATTTGGGCTTCGAAGGCGAAGAAGTCCTGGGCTTGGCTGCGATGGCTGGGGCTTGAGATGGCTTTTGCTGGCGCGTTGACTCTTGCTTGGCAGCTTGCAAGAGACTCTTGAGGGTAGTCTTAGGGGCTGATTTCGGCTGCGAGGAGGCCAGCTGCTGAGTAGATTGGAATCCTGGGGCAGCCGGCTTGGGAGTATTCGGTTGTTTTCTGTTAGACCTGCGCAGTGAAGGCAACCTAGACAATAATTAGTTAGGGCTAGCTGCCTCAAAGATCAGTGATTGTAAACTTACTCTAACTCGGACTCGGATTCGGACTCGGATTCGTCACTCTTCGAAGATTCATCTTCAGAATCAGCTTTCCCGTTCGAGGTCACCTCCAAATTTCCCTTTGGCAATTCTGTGCTCTCCTCTCCAGATTCGTTGTTCTCATTGAGTTGAGCCGCAAGCTGATCGTTGCTTTCATCCGACTCCCCTGGCTGAGCATCAACGGTTCCATTCGCAACATCTTCGCCAGATTCTTCATGATCTTTGGCATCTTCGTATACTTCTTCATCTTCTGACTCCTCAGGCCCATCATCGATAAAGCCATCCATATCCCCATCCTTGGAGTCTTCTTCTTCTTCTTCTTCTTCTTCTTCTTCTTCGTCTTCTTCGTCTTCTTCTTCGTCTTCTTCTTCTTCATCCTCCTCCTCATCTTCCATGGCCGCATCATCAATGAGTCCATTTGTAACAACCTCGGGAGATTCTTCTCGGTCATCGGTCATTTCCGTGTCCCCAGTCGGATCAGTTTCAGCAACTTCATCTGAATCACTTTCGTCGGCCTGTTCTTCTACTGGGTTGGCATCGTCGATTACCGGGTGCTCAGCTTCGTTGTTGGACTCATCGCTTGCTTCCTCAGTCGCTTCATCGTTCACATTTTCAGTCACCTCCTCGGTTTGTTCCGGAGTAGCGCCCATAGTAGCTTCCTGGGCAGTCTCCTGGGTAGCCACCTCAGTCGCGACCTCATCGTTCTCGTCCATATCTTTCATCTCCATGTCGGTATCGGTATTTTGAACACGGGGCTGTGGCTTAATGGGAGCCTTGTTGTTGACAGATCCAGACTGAGATTCTCGTCTCAGGCGATTTATACAGCACAACGGAAGGAGACCGGCTCGGGCGAATGGTGGGTGACTGCTTGGGCGGGGATGTCTGGGAACCGGTTGCCGAAGACCTTGAACCTCTGCGTCGCGGGCTTTGAGATTCTCGACGGGTCACTGGCTTTTGCGTAGAAGAAGATGCGACGTTATTGAACGACCAGGTTGGTGCTTGGCTTGAATTAGTTGGGGCGGTAGGGGTGAAAGTCATGGAGCGGGTAACTCTAGCATCAGGTTCGGCCTCGGTTTCAGGCTCTTCTTCTTGAAACTCTGATGTCTCTGTCTCCCGTGCGTCTGTAGTTGGTTCAGCCTCGGCAGCAATGAGTCTCTTCCTGAGAGGAGAAAGCTTCCTCTTTAGTCTGTTGATAGGACGCGTAGATTGGTCCTCGCCACGATTCTTCCTATCATCAACTTGTGCGAATATATCGAGCATTTCCTGCACAATCGACAAGACCTTAGGTTTAGTGGTTGGATCCTTTAGTTTCTTCTTGAGGCTTATCTTTTCCATCACCTCCTTTTGGATGCGAGCAAACTGCTTTTCTCGCTCCTCCTGTTCTCGCTCCTCCTGGGTCATAGGGGTTGACGTATTGCTACTGGGCGGGAAATTCGAGGATTCCTTTGAACCAGAGGCTGAATTTTTATCAGCGGGCTTTGGAGTCTTCGTTCGAGGCGTCTTGGCCTTCGAGGAGCTGGCTTGCGGGGTAGACTGAGAATTAAGGATCGGTTGTTTGTTGAAGGAAATAGATCGTCTCTTCTCCGATTGGATGCTTGCTGGAGATGACTTGCGCATTGCAGAGGGTGGAACCATGCTTCCGGACGGAGTCGGGGCATTGCTCGGAGTAGACATGGGCCCAGGGTTTTGACTGGAGGGAGTATCGGGTTTCGCAGGCTTCTTGAATAACGGACTCTTGGTAACACCTAGCCCAATACTGTTGTTTGCAGCTGGCCGCTCAGACAGGCTAGCCCTCCGATGCGGACTCGCGAAGGTAGGCACATTAACTCGCTTCCTCTGGGGACTGGTGGCGCTGGCCTCCGTAGCCTCCAGCCGGTCTTCCCCAACTCGGCGCTGCTTGACTGGTCCATTCTCCTCCAGGCTGGGTTTGCGCTTCTTAGACCTGCGGCCTTGCTCAGGACTTGGCGAATCGCCAAGTTCCTCACTGCCCGAGCTCCGAATTGGTGGAGTGCCAGGAATCGCCTGGTCTCGGTGGTATTTAGACTGAATTTCGATAGAAGGGAGGGGCGCATCGTGAGGTCGCTGTCCAGCTGGGGACTTCTGCGCCGAAGCGGGAGCATATCCTTCTTCCGCAATTGGGCTGAATTGGTTTCCCACGCGTGAGTTATTATGGTTAAAGCCCTTATTCACCGCACCGTCCCAGTCCTGAACAACCGAGGAAAAGCGCTGGGGCGCGTGTCTGGCGGGCTTTTGTATCACGCGGACAATCGCTCGCTGGTCGTGGCCGTCGGAGAATGCTTTGCCGACATCGAGAAAGACATCTGCAACCGTCATGGATAAGCTGAGGTCAACGGTAGGATTTGCGTCGTCGAGTAGTTTCTTGATTTCTAGAGGTCTGTGATCGGATTAGCAAAATGTTATGCTATTCAGTAGGGTGCTGGGTCAGAGCTCACTCTTGATCGGATCGGAAGGTCGTCCACTCATCACAAATTCTGCGAGCAAGATCCGCTAATGTGAGATCATCAGAGTTTCTGAGCAGCAAAAGGAACGAGGCGTATTGCTTGGCCGGGTTCGCTTCGCCCAGCTCGTAGCTGTCAGTCCGGTCAACATTCTGCTCCGGCTCTTTATTGCGGTTGCCAACTCCATTTCCGATTAACCGAGAGAAGACGCTCGTATTTGGGCCGCCACGTTCAGGAGAGAGGGTTGGCGCAGGTTCCTTGGGGAATACCCTCACCTCCAAGCGCAGGAGAACCATGTTTGCGAAAGGCCGAGCGGTGGGCGAATTGCGATGCAGTTGGCGTGGCGGTTGGGGGAAGTAAACTCAAATATCTCTCAGAGCCGCAACACCTCTGAGAGATTTTGTGATACAAACAGGATTGCGGTTGGGGGCAGGCTCGGAGGTAAGGTGGTGAAGGGTAGAAAAAAGTGACGGGGAGTTGCGCGGAGCCGCAGTGGTTCTTGTGGCCTCAGGCACCACTCCTTCACTAGTCAACTTGAAGATATACAAACATTAGCTCCAGAGGCTGCCACGGGGATTGTTGGCGATTTGTTGGAGAATCAAATGGTTAGTAACAAGTCAGTAGTGTGACATAGAATGGATGTGAAATATAAATGGGGAAAGATACTGTTACTGTACTAGTAACTAGTACCCAGTGAATGGGACCTCGGGACGTAAGGTATCCGACGCTGGTTCCACGCGTCCTTCGGGCCCTCGCCCTGGGGGGCGGCCTCCACCAGGCCCTGGGCTGCCGCCCCCGAGCGCCCCTCCCCCCCCAATCCATCACTAACACTGCCCACATGTTCCCGGCAGTGGGCCAACCTTGACATAGAGGTAGCTATTGAGTACTACTGCTCACATCGATGGATAATTAGAAGTGCCGAATGCTATTACTAATTAGAAGGTAGCTCAGAAACATGTAATTGACCATGACCAACGAATTTAAATAGATAGGAAAACTATGACAACCAACTAAACTTCTCTGTACCATACCACAAAGGTTCTATCATCACGTCAACCGCCCACTCACTACTCATCCGGCGACGAGAAATACCGATGGAAACGATCGGTATCCGTCAACCCAAGATCGACAACAACCCAATGACAACACATCAACAAACTGGGAAACCTCACGGTCCAGAAATTCAAATACCCCTCCGGCAACCCACCGATATGCATCTTCAATTGATCCGGCATATCATTGTAATGATTCTTTTTATTCCGCAGCGCGCGGAGTAGATCGAGCATCCGAGAGCCCGTGTACTTGCGCTGCTTGCCGAGGTTATCTTTGAAGTCTCGGGGTAGGACTTTGAGGAAATCCATTTCCGGACCGATGACCTCTTGGGCTACGGATTCGAGACAGAGGAGTGCTTCGGATGGAGGCTCGCGGGGCTCGAATTCGAAGTGGTCTGAGACGTCGCAAAGGAAGCTTAGTCTGTCAGATGGTGGCCAGAAGAATGGATGTGTAAGAACGCCGCTTGCGTCCGGGCTGGTTGATAGTTAGTAAAATAGATACAGCATGCGGGATCATTTGGGGAGAAACGTACCGGTGACGTGGATCAAGTGACAACATAGAACTGATAAGATCCTTGGCTTCAAAGGCATAGTCGCCAAGACGATCTAGTTCCTCGAGATCAAAGTACCCTTGACGATATTTGCCTCGCGCATGAACTTGCCGTTCTTGTCGAACGGATGGCCACCACGAGTAAGGACGTAGTAGAACACACAGCCCAGGGAGAAGATATCGATAGCCCGGGTGGCGCGGCGGTTGGTCTGCGGGTCAACCACAGCTGGCTCGGACGTTTCGGTATGCTGCGACTCAATGTTTTGGACCAGAGGGCCGGCGTCATCGTCCACAAGGAGCTCCGGGGCACGCCAGCCGGAGGTACCAGCGGCGTGGGCAGTGGTCGCTCGGAAGGAACTTTGGTTGTCTTCTAACTTCTTGCATAGACCGAAGTCGGAGATGAGAAGGCGGAGAGCCCGTGCAGCAGTCTTCGAGGCCGCCTTTCGACCACGGGGCATAGCCACTAGGATATTCTGGGGCTTGAGATCACGGTGCACGATCTTGAGGGAGTGAAGATAACGCACGCCCTGTGTGATTTGGCGGAGAATATCCGGCATATCGAGACCGCTTTGGATCAACTCGGGGAATTGAGAAGGGCGTTCAATGATATCCTGGAGAGAAGCGGGGCATAGTTCCAAGCCAATGTACAGAAAACCTGCGGCTTGCTCACGACAGAAATAGCGAATGACATTATGGTGATCATCACTCTCCTGTAGCAATCCAACTTCGTGAGAGGCAATGTCGTAGAATTCCATGAGCATTCTCTTGATTGCGACATTTCGACCATCGAAGACACCCCGGTAGACAACGGTGCCATGGCTACCATGGCCCAGCACGACATCGGTGAAAACTTCCAGTCGTCCAATGCGGACTACGCCGTCAGCAGTCATGTCGACAACATCGCTTGACACGGTGCGAGCAAGGGGAACGCCGTGGTCTGAATGAATCGACGCGTTGGGCGTCAATTGGTTGTTCTGCTCACTCATTCCGTTTTCACTTCCAGGTTTCGCACCCTTGCGACGATGTGCCTTGCCACCTCGTGAGCCTCGCGAACGCTTCTTCTTGGGCTTGTCATTTTCTTGCTTGTCATCCCCTTCATCGGGACCACGGGATGGTTCGCGAATTTGCACACGAGGACCAGATTCCGGCGGTGTGCTCTGATCCCGGGATGGTCGTGGGGTGGCATCATTGTCAGAGAAGTTGTTCCTCATATCCACATCAACATGGTCGATTGTGACTTCAGGCACTAATCCTGCGGTGGCATCTCGAAGGGGAGTCGATGTTCGCTTGATGTCAGGCGTCGCACCAACAATTGGTGTGGCAGGAGTGGAAAACGACTTGTCATTGGAGTTGATGATATTCTTCAAATCGAGCTTCTGTTTGGCAAGGTCACGAATATGGTGGGAATTCAAGTAGATGAAGGTGCCGATGAACAGCAGGATCATTGTCACAACAATGTCCAACGCATTGTCCCAACTCTTGCGAATAATTGTACTGTGTCGCAGGGCAGGAGGGAGGGCCAATTCGGATCGCAGAACATCCCGTGGGGTATCGTTGGAAGCTTCGGGGGTGCTGGCGATCCGGGGAACAGGTGGGACAACTGTCGGACCGCTAAGCGAGTGAACACCAGCGAGTGCGTCGCGCTGTTGAGATTGGGTAAGGCTCATCAGGGGCTGCCCTCTGCGAAAGAAATCTTTATTATAGCACTGCGCCATCGGGGCACGACCCGTCACGAGAGGGTATGTCTCTTCAGACAAGGCAAACCACCCCCCAGTCGAGGTGGAGTCGATGAAGACCCGCTGATCCCGATCGTCAGAAGCGTAGTCTGGGTCTGGAGGCTGAAGTGGCTGCGAAAGCAGAACCAAGGGCGTCGATGCATCCTGGGTTTCTTTATTGGCAGGCCGCTGGCGGACAACGTCAAAGACGCGAGCCACAGGGGAGGAGAATCGCTGGGTATAACGAGGCCGATCCATGCGAGAGTGGTCAAATCCCAAGACAACACCATCGTACATGCTGTAAATATGGCTTTGGTCCATGGTTTGGAAGTACTGGCCCTGGAGGTCGATATCGCGGTTATTCGGTGCCCATTCAGAGTACTTCAATGTGCAAATCGGGTCACCGGTTTCAGTGTTCTGAATGGCCACCGCATATTCGACACGACCCAGTACCAGAGTTCCCGAGGTTGTCTCGCACTCCTCGTCGTCCAAGTCCAAATCCTGACCATCGACTTTCTGGCACTCATGTCTGGTAGCGAAGGGTCCCCGCGAGCTGAACACTCGGAGAATGCTACCGGTCCGAGCATCGATCGTGTAAAGGGTGGTTTCTTTGCGGGCGGTATACGTCACTGCAGGTTCGTAGCCGGAGTAAGGCGTTTCATCGACTAGTTGCTTAACTGTAAGGCCGAGTTTCTGTAACCCGGCATTTTCTCCGGGGCTGTAGATGTATAAGCTACCATCCTGGCTTGGCTCAACGATCCACAGGAAATCCTCCTCGGGGTGTGTCTCGTCGAAGCTGGAGCTGGATCGATTAGCCCGGTGGTAAATACTTTCTACCAAGGGGCTGCTGGGAACCTCCAGGGCCCAGCGGGGAGAACCGGTCTTCCGGTCTCGGGCGTGAATGGTTCCGTCGACGGTCGCCATCAAGACAAAGTCCTCGACCTCCCAGTCCTGCAAGGACCGCGCGTTAAGCTGCGAAACCAGGCCGGCAGATGTGCTGGCCTGGCTAGGAGGGGCTCGAACGGCGCGGCCAGAGCCCGCCAGAGCCAGAGTTGCCAGGGCGCTCGCATCGTTGGATTTGACGATGGGAGGGGCGGCGATAGTGGCCGCATGGTGTGTTGTGTCTGTCCCGTCCGCTAAGGGCACGGAGACTCGAGAGGCTGAAGCCGAGTCATGGAGCTCTGGTTGCTGCTGCGGAGCGACCAGAGTTGGGAGTAGGAGGAGGGCGACGCTGGCGGGGAGGGTCGAACGGGCGCCCGGCAGCCGCCAACGCATGGTGGGAACTTCAGAGCTGTGTACAGCTTGGCAGGGAGTATAGCGGGATTGATGAGGTGAGGACCGAAGGGTTCAAGGGTCGATTGCGGTGATTTGGGGTGTATATGACGGTGGGAAAGACGGATGTGGAGCGAGCTCGAAGATTGGGTAGCGGATCATCCCCCACCCGGAAGGATAAAGTGACAAAGAGGATTCGGGAAGTAAACAGAGATAATGAAAGACTCTCGAGATAAACGAAGGAGCGATGAAGGAGGGTAAAAAGGAGGTGGAGGCAGAAGGGGGGGCCGTTTGAGAGAAGAAGGCTGAAGGCAGAAGGCTGACAGATTATTGTGTGTGTACTGGTAGTGTCCGACAGGTGTACTATGTGTGTAACACGGGTGTAATATTCAGGGTTTGCCCGTCAATTACTGACCTCCAGTGAAATCCCCCGGTACCATAACGGGACGGTACGGTATACTGCCTGCGCCCCTCGATTTGCAATTGCGTGTGCGTTTCAGCCAATATTGACGGTGGTTGGCTGGCCCTTTGAAGTACTACCCAGTACAACACTAATGTATTTACGGAGTACCTGGAAGTGATTCGTATTCACATAGCACATAGTCCTGTTTGCATGTGAGTAGGGATAATACATGAACCATTTGAACGTACTCCGTACATGAGATTGGCCAATTGCGTCTGGACCGGGCCATCTCATGCCAATACATTGGGTTTCACCGCATTGGGTGGATGCAGTACAATTTAATTTAATATTTATAATATTCAATATAATACAATAGAAATGTGCCCAGCTTCTAGCGTCACAATAATCCCCGACTCGGAGCCGTCTGTCCTACGTAACTGCAACTCCGAAAGTGTGTGCTCCCGAGACCACCAAGGCCTAATCTCTTGTTTTGAAGGGACGTTAACTAGTAAAAAGTGAAAGTCAAGTTCTTTAAATAAAGCATCACTATCTCGTACCACCGATAGCACCTAGATACCCCGTACCCCGTAGTGGAGCGACATGACTCATGGGCTCTTCTAATACCACCATTCTTTACACCGCGGTCTATTACACCGCGGTCTACTGGGACCCTACAGGCTAACAGTCGCCGCCAATTTCTCTATCAAAGTAAATCAGATTCAATCGAAATAAATCTCGTCAATCGAGGTCCAGTCCATTGTTCGGAGAAAATTCATAAGAGGCAGAGTTCCAGACGCCGACCATCCCAGGTACACGCCACATCACGCCACGCCAGAGTCAAGGTTGAAAAAGGGGGAAAGTCCCGGCAAGGAAGTCCAAAATAAATACAAGGAAGAAATAGACAGGACAAAAGTAAAGCAGATACAACCATCGGGGGGAAAAGGGAATTTATAAGAACAAACGGCACCCACGGGGTCGCCAAAAGAACGCGAGAAGGGGGAAAAGCGTGGGAAAGAGTAGATGCCTTTTGAGTACCACTTCCTAACCACCACGAATCATCCAGGTAATCGCCACCACCCAACCAGTCACAAAGATGACGGTCAGGATTCCGGCACCCGCTCGGTCGCCAGTCGTGATCGGTTTCTCGATGAGGGTGTTGGTGTTGGATGAGTTGGTACCAGCATTCGGGTTACTCTTGGAAGTACCGCCGTTGTCTGATGAATAAGGTGCCGCGTTCTTCAATGGCACCATGTTAGCGTTGAGAACACCTAGCACCGCGAGCTGCTGCTCTAAGCCATCCGTTCCATCCGAAGCCTGCTTGTACCACTGGATACCACAGAGGTGGCCATTCTTGACACAGGTCTTGGTGGCGGCCACCGCGGAGGTCTGGAGCTTCGGCATGATCTGATCAGATGTACCCGGGACAATCAGAGTCAGCCAGGCGAGCCAGGAGGCAAAGTAGGCCTTGAAGGTTCGCTGGTTACGGTCGCATTTCTCGATTGCTTCACAGGTGATCTCCACCAAGATCGAGCCATCGTCCTTGCCAAAACCTTTGGTTGGGTAGAACTGCTCTGAGGTGCCGAGCAAGCCCTCAACTCCTTCCTTCCACTTCGATTCAGTTCCGTTGGTCTGTGTGCATGTGGAGTGGTTAGTGATCGGCGCGTGGGTTCAAGAATGGAGAATGGAATGCGGGGGGAAAATCATACGTAGTTGTGCATGTAGGCGGCACCGCTGATGTAGGTGGCATAGTTATAGGTCCATTGCCAGTCACCGTGATCTGTACATTGTGTTGCGGGGGTGGTGGAATCGGCAATGTTCCAGTTTTTCTCCTTGAGGAGTGGCGTGCTGGCACTCCAGTCCCAGATGCGTTCGGCCCATTGGGCATAGGTCTGGTTGTGGGTGTAAAGTGCAAGACGAGCAGACAGTTGGAAGAGACCACCGTTCGAGATGGCGTTTTTGGTCTGGTATCCATCCTGGTAGGGCCAGATCTGCCAGCGCAGACCACCCTTACAGGTACTGGTGTCCCAGCGGGGGACCTGGGTATTGAACACACCCTGCGCGAGAGAGACCCATGACGGCTGGCCGTCCTCTTCCGGGAAATTCAATTCGGCGGCGGTCATGGCGGCGAGACCCCAAAAGACCTGATCGTCATTTCCGAGATACGAGCTGTAGTTGGAAGGGAAGAAGTCGTCGTCGCCCTTTTGCCAATACATGCCTTCTTGCACGGCAGCATTGAACTGATCATCACCGGTCAAGAACCAATATTGAATGAGGATCATAAACATGGAACCACCTTCCCACCAGGTACCATCGAACTTTCCGGGGATATTCTTTGAATCGCGATCATTATAGTAATCCATCATGTCGGTTGCGACCTGCTTGGCGGCCTTGGATAGGGAACCTAATCAGAGACAAGCCTTGGGGTCAGCGGGGCGGGAATGCTTGGAAGCAGGAGAAAAACGGACCCTGGTCGTTGACGGTGATGTCGATGGCGAAAGCCGCCTGGACGGCGACGAAGCCGGCCAGGAGGGAGGCCACCCAGTTGGAGAGGATCATGTCAAAACGAGTGGAAGGTGGAGGGCATCAGAAGTGAGGTGAGGGGAAGGAGAGTGAGAAGTGGTAAAAGGGAACGGGGAGGAGAGAAGCTGACAGTGGGGAAAAAGGGAAAAGTTGTGGCTGTCAGGGTGTGACTGGGGGTCACTGGGTTTGGGGTGTCACTGGGGAAGGTGCCGCTGCTGGTCTGGTCCGGTGGGCCCGGTGGCGGTTGCCCTTTGATTCTAAGTATAGCAGTATAGCATTCGTATATACTAGTATAGTAGTAGTAGTATACTGTAGCAGATACTAGTGGTATAGCACTTCTGATAGTATAGCATATCTCTAGAATCTATAAGGGCTACAGATTACGAATGAACCATTTCATTTCCTCCACTACCAACCAGGGGCACTAGTATTCCTTGGCGTGCTCCAAAAATACGAACAAGCCCCAGCCTGCAGAAATAAGACAGCTTGGCGCGATCGGGACTAGGGGGAAGCCCCCTCGCGCCAGGGGAAAGACAAGGCTATGTATCCGTATGGGACATTAAGGTCAATTAAGGATGGGAGATGCACCAACAATGAGTCCCCTAGTCCACTCATTGACCCACGTTGATCCGCTGGGAGCCGGGAGATCGGTGCTCCATGGGCTACGAGTATCTGGCAAGTCCCTAAGGGAATAGTAGGCCCCCGGGGGGAGCCAAAGCTTGGTGTATAAATTTTGGAGGACGGACGGAGGACAACCCCCCATCGCGTACATGTATGTCCGGAGGAAATAATAAGCGTGGCGCCTCAGTCCAAAGGGTCCAAGCAAAGGGAAATTGGACGCCAAAAGTCCACAGGGTTCAAGCCCCACTCAGATATGCTGACTAATAAGGCACCAAGGCATCTAGATATCAGCCACTAGGCTCATTATGGCAAGACAATAAGACAATAAGACAATAAAGCAATAGTATTGATCGAGATGTGTGATCCATGCCACGCCCCAATGCTTATTCCAGGTGGCAATACAATGACACCAGGTACAGTCGAACATTTTTACATAGTCCAGCAGTGCGCTCTCCCCATGCAAAGGTTAGGTTGCATCTGGCGACAAAGAGAACAAGATGCGTATATTTCCATAGAGAACAAGTTGGAAAGCTTACAAGGTAGGAAGGGAAAGACGACGAGTGCAAAGGCAGAGGGCGTTGAACAAAACTCATGATGAATGATACCTTAGCCTCTCTCTACAATACGGGCCATAGAATAATCCAGCCCTATTGGGATACACTAGTGGAAGCATCCGTTTATCTATTAGACAAAAGTGCCCAGAGACAACTGACTCTACTGTGTATTCCAATCACCGGATTTCTATAGCCAAATATTCCATGCAAACAGCATAATCAGGCTCCGGTTAGCAAATAGACAAACCTTATCTATATCTTGCTACGACGCGCAGGTGAAGTTGACGATCCGACTACATACTAGTAGATCAATCGGTGTGTAACCATGAGCATGGTACTATTCATTGCCATATTAGGGCTTCATCTAATGTACGGTATTTTGGTCCGGGAAAGATACACATCGCATCACATCTCATCATTCATTTCACATCCGCTCACGACGGCGGGGCGCCGCCCGGATGATGTTATCCACTCGGAGAAGAAGCTAAACCATTGAATTAGTACATTACTTTCTGAATCATGGTGGGATGGATCCGTTTTCGGGGCGAGAACTTACCTCTGCAGCCTCCGAGGCCGACGAAACAACCGCCTTCTTCAGCTTATACGCCTCCACAACGCCCAACTCGCGCATATCAGCAATACCTCCACCCGGCGTCAACAGATCCAGTCCGGAGCTGGTCATGCCGTTGTTGATGGCCTGGCGGAGGCGGGTCACCAGATCACTGGAGTCCAGACCCGCATTATCAGCCAGAATGGTGGGCAGCTGCTTCAGAGCGTGTGCGAAAGCGTCCACCGCCAGCTGCTTCTTACCAGTGGTGTTCTGCGCAGCCTGCTCGACGGCCTTGGCCATCACCATCTCCGCGCAGCCACCGCCCAGGGTAGCCCGCGGGTCCTTCACGGTCTGTGACAGGACGGCGAGAGCATCGTGCAGCGAGCGCTCGGCCTCGTCCAGCAGCTGCTCGGTGGCACCGCGCAGCACAATGGTGCAGGCCTGGCCGGCAGACACACCGGAGAACTTGATCAAGGTGTCCTCACCAATAATGACCTCCTCAATCAGGTCACAGGATCCCAGCTTCACCTGGTCAGGGTGCTCGAAGGTAGAGGCGATCTCACCGCCAGTTACCAGAGCGAGACGCTCAATGCCGTCGAAGTCGGCGTGCTCAATAGACATGATGCCAGCCTCGGTGAACAGCTGCTCGGGCCAGTTGTAGATCAGCTGACGGTTGACGAAGCAGTTGATGCCGTGGGACTTGATCTGCTCAACCTTGGCGCGCATCTTCTCACGCTCGGCCTTCTCCAGGTCGGCCAGCTTACCGGTCGAGTCGACCTTGACGCGAGCACCGAAAATCTTGACCTTATCCGTGTCCATGGCAGTGTTGGCCACCAGGATCTTGGCGTTCTCCAATCGCTTGGGCTGGTTGACACCAATCTTCTTGTCCATGATGAATCCCTCATCCAGGTATGAGTCGTTCAGCTTGCCGCCGGCCTTCTTGATAATCTGGATGTGGCTGAGGTCGGTGGAGCCCTTCAGGCGGAGGACAGCCTCACAGGCGAGACGAGCAAAATGTTCGCGGTCTTGGGCGAGAACCTTAGAGCTCAGTGTGGTACGGGCGATAGCGTGCAGGTCCTTGCGGAAGGCCTCGGGGTCCCTGCTGCGGTCGACGGCCACAGTCTCGAGGGCGGCCAGGGCGGCCTTGCTGGCTATCCGGTAACCATCGATAATGGTCTGGGGGTGGATCTTAGAGTTGACCAGCTTCTCGGCCTCGCGCAGAAGCTCGGCGGCCAACACGGTGACGGATGTTGTACCATCACCGACCTCGTCGTCCTGGACCTTGGAAATGTTGACCAGGACCTTCGCGGCGGCGTTGTCCAGAGCGATCGATTTCAAAATAGTAGCACCGTCATTGGTAACGAGGATTTCACCAGTGGATCTAAATATCCCATGATGATAGTTAGCACACCTGTGGTATAAATGCCCGCGCCCGCACTAGCTCGATAAGAAATTGGGAACCCCTCCACGTACGCAGATTGCAGAATCTTGTCCATTCCCTTGGGACCGAGGGTGCTCTTCACCAAGTCGCCGACGGCGATGGCACCAACAAAGGCCGAAAGACGAGCATTCTCGCCCTTCTCCTCAATTACGTCGTCCGCAAAGATCTGTGTGGGATTGCCGAAGGAAGCCTATGACAAGCAAAGAGTTGGTTAGCTGAGAAACACCGGGCCACTTCGAAGAATCAAAGTCATTCAGTACATACCATTTTGATTTCAGCTTTGAAACGAACAATCGACCGGAACGATCAAATGTGTCGACTGCTGAAAGATGATAGCAACTCGTCAACAGTGGGGGGGGACTGGAAGGGAAAGGAGAAAAGTCGGGTGGTCCGAGCTTCTTCTGCCCGCAAGGCCACCGCCCGCGATGCGCTTCCCTTGACTTCTTGATTCTTCGAAACTGTTTGCCCTCCGTGGACGCCACGCTTGTGTCTTACGAAGTGAAGAAAATGCCGGACTCTGAAGATCTCGCTGCGACTGCGGCGCTGAAGCGACCTCATTCCGCCGTGGAGGACAACGACAATGGTGAGTGATTCTACCTCCGAAGAGCTCTCTCGAGGACGCAGCTTTGCGCAGACAACTGATCAGCTTCATGATAGCCGACGATGACTCTTCCGACGATGACTTCGGTCCAGCTCTGCCTTCTGAGGTCGCACCCAAGAAGAAGCGGAGAAAGCTACCCTTTGAGAAGGTCTATGTGACCGCGCTACCCACCTCGCCGCGGTACTCCAAATCGCTCATGCACAAGGAGCAATTGTCCTTCGTGACGGTCACTCCATTCACCGATTTTTTAATCACCAGCTCCATTGACGGAGTCGTCAAGTTTTGGAAAAAGATAGCGGATGGCATTGAGTTTGTGAAGGAGTTCCGTGCCCATCCAGGCGAGATTCGCAGTACGGCTGTCAGCGCCGATGGCCGCAGTTTTGCGACGGCGGGGACGGACAAAACGGTCAAGATTTTTGATGTGATTACTTTTGGTGGGTTTCTATAAGCCATGTGGATGCTTCTTTGCTCAGCGCTAACTATAACAGATCTTCTGGCAATGTATAGTCTGGAGTTCGTACCACGGTGTATCTGCTGGGTGCATCGACGAGGTGCATCTCTGCCTCTCCTCACAGTGACAGATGAGTCCAGCAACACGATTCAAGTTTTCGATGGCCGTGGCGAGAACCCGCAACCCTTGCACACTGTCACCTCTATCCACCGCAAACCCGTGGCATCCATCGCCTTCAACAATGCATTCGACTGTGTGGTTTCCGCCGATGAGTCGGGCATGGTTGAGTATTGGAGAGCAGGAGATGGATCATTCGAGAAGCCAGACAATGTGTTTGAGCTGAAATCATCGACCAACCTTTTCGCCTTCAAGAAAGCCAAGTCTGTCCCCACCGCAATCACCATCTCCCCCTCAGGCGAGCAATTCGCAACCGTCTCGTTCCCGGATCGCCAAGTCCGAGTATTCGAGTTCGCAACCGGCAAGCTCTACCGCACATACGACGAGTCAATAGCAACCATCACAGACATGCAACAAGCCAACACAGCACCCTACCAATTAGACGAGGTAGAATTCGGACGAAGACTAGGTGTGGAGCGCGAATTGGAAGGAGAAGCGACACGGAACAAGGTCAACGTCTCCTTCGACGAATCAGGACACTTCCTGCTTTACGGCTCACTATACGGAATCAAGTGTATCAATACCTACACCAACCGAGTGGTACGAGTCTACGGCCGAGAGGACCCCTTCCGCGCCTTGAACCTCGCCCTGTACCAAGGCCAGCCGCTACGCAAGGGTGTAGTGACTGTATCAATGGCAGCCAGTAGTAACCCGCTACTCCAAGAAGCTGAAGAGCGCGATCCGATCTTGATTAGTACCGGGTTCGCCAAGGTCCGGTTCTACATGTTCACCAATGAAACGGAGATATCCAAGTCATCGCGCGACGTGCAGAACGAGAAGCCGACCGAAACACATGGAGGAAACGAATCAAATGCCCCCAAGGCCGGCGAGAGCGGAACAGCCGCCATCCTACACACCACCATGGGCGACATCCATCTACGCTTATATCCGTCCGCTGCCCCGCGTACCGTGGAGAACTTTGTCACGCACGCTCGACGGGGTTACTACAACAACACCATTTTCCACCGTATCATCCGCAAATTCATGATTCAGGGTGGTGACCCGCAGGGCGACGGTACTGGAGGCGAGTCAATCTGGGGCGGCGAGTTCAACGATGAGTTCTCTAGCTTGAAGCACGACAAGCCGTATACGCTTTCCATGGCCAATGCCGGAGCCAATACCAACGGCAGTCAATTCTTCATCACTACCGAGAAAACTCCCTGGTTAGATAATAAGCATACGGTCTTTGGACGGGCGGTGCAGGGTCTGGACGTGGTGCATAAGATTGAAAATACGAAGACGTTCAAGGAGAAGCCCGAGGTCGACATCAAGATTGTTAGCATTAGCATCTCGTGATTTGGGGAGGGGATACGGATCAAATCTACAATGTACAGTAAATATATGCGAGATGAAAGCGTTGAAATTCATTCCATGTCGGACGAGCCACGCAAAAATTGTAGTAAGAGTAGTAAAAGTATATGTACCATGCACTTCCTAACCTAGCAAGACGAGTCCACGGATGGTATACGGTGTAATCCGTAGCGAGATAGACTGGTGTCAACATTAAATAGTATCAAAAGGGGAGGGAAATCGTGCAGTGCCTTAACCCCATGGCCACGCAAACGCCGAGAAATGCAAGTAAAGTAGAACGAAAGCCACACGTAAAGGAGGGTCCCAAGGCAGCACCGAAGATCAGATATATCAAATACATCACGCATGACGGTGTGATAAAATAAGCAAAGTATTGTTTTCCGTCTGCTTTTTCCCTGAAAAGCGGGTTCTTTAAAATGAAAAAAAGGGCGGTCAAATCCATAAATAACCGATCATCAATTATCAATCACCTTTGGAGCTGTCGAATCTCCACATCTGCTGCCGCAGTGGGCGCACCCTTTTGCAACCTGGAAGGCGGGACAACCCCCTTCGGCGCAATATCAGTACGCGAGGAACTAGCCAGTGAACCCGACTGCACAGGAACAACACCAGGACCTTGGGCCTGGGAGACCGGTGGTTGGGACCCCCAACCTGGTGGCGGGGGGCTCAGCACACCAGAATCATTACCCGAACCAGGTTTCACGGGCAGGGCACCGCTGCTGCTGGCGGCGTTGGGGGCGTAGAGACCGGGATGTCTCGCTTCGTAGCGACGTTTAAGCCAAACACCTAAGACGGCGAGGGCCGAGAAGCCGATGACCAGGACGATCAGCATGACGACCCATTGGTAGTGGGTGCTCCACCTGCAGATCGGGACGGATTAGCATGATAGGTTTCTTTTTCGGGACGATAGTTTACACCGATCGTTTGAATGATGGTTCAGGGAATGACACTATGTATGCGATACCCGGTGCTGTGAAGAGGGAAAGGGGGGGGGTGTTCTCGGATAGTGAGTGGGGTCTCAGGGTCTTACCAAGACTTGTTTTCTTCAGTGGTGGCATTCTTGGAGCCGCTGGACACGGCGGTCGCGGTCGAGGTGGAAGTTCCGGTGGTGGCCGTGGCTGTGGTGCTGGTGCTGGTGGTATCCTTGGTGTTGGTGCTGCCACCGGACTTGCAGTAGCTGTTGTACCAGTTGGAGAGAGTGGTCTGGTCGGAGGAGTCGCAGTTGCTGCAAAGAGCGCCGGAGGTTTTCAGCGAGGTGAGGAGAGAGGACTCGCAAAAACAGGAGGTCCAGGTGGATTCAGTGCCAGCGACACAACTATCCTGGGCGGAGGTCAAGATACTGCAGTCGATACCGCATTGTGGGAAGGTGGATGAGGCGCTCGTGGGGATGGGTTTCGAGGCGGCCAAAGTGGTGGTGAATAGGGTGGAGGTGCAGGCGAAAAGCAGGCAGGCCCGGAGGAGGGTCATGGTGATGGTGGGCGAGATTGCAATGCAGGATTTAGTGGGAAGTGGAAAGGGAGCCGGCCATATCAAAAGGAGAGCAGAAGGTAGAGAATAGCAGAGAGATGTAGAAGGAAGAAGTAGAAGTGCCTTAACCTTAAGCAGGTAAGAAGTAAGATAAAACCAGCAAAAGTGAAAGGGCCGGCTGAGCCGTGACTATTTTGGGGGTCGTGCCTGCCTGTTTTGGCCGCATTCGGGGGCCTTCCGCTTGCAAGTTGCGACTAGTCCCTTTTAGATCATGTCTACACAGTGTATAGGTGATATACGGAGTAGTACTATGTATTATGAAGTGTGTATTATTTTGTTATTTATTGTTTAGGATGCTATTGCAAAGTATCTATGATAACTCACTTCTACACCATCCATAACATAACTACGGAGTATCATCAACCCCAAACAGCCCCAGTCCCAGTGGCCCACTGCCGATCGCCCGTTAATCTTACCAGAGTATGGTACTAAGTCATTCCTACCGATTGGCCCTGATCGACTTGGAGCTTGGTTTATTTACTATTTCTCATTCCCGCTATCCCTGTGGAATGTGTGACAATTTGTATACAGGAATGTATACTGTTGGCCCATGCACTATACCATACACAGAGCTACACAGTATAGTACACTGGCAGTAACTACTAAAGTTAGTAGTTATAATAACTACAGAGTACTCAGATGTTCCACTATCTCTATACTTCCAGGTTTCCCGCGCTCGGATCGCGTCCGAGTCCTTGAATCGGTCCCGCACGAGGATTCTCGCCCACGAGTCCGCCCACATGGTGTGGCTAGAATGAAGTGAGGGCCAAACTCAATGCTAGTACTACTAGTACCTTTTTCACACTTGAAGCCCTGGAGTTGGTATAAACCGGTAATATATGGCTCGGTTCGTGCTGCATTATCAGATCTGCTGAGCATATATTTATTAACCCTTGCTAGTACTAATTACTAGGTAGGGACACAAGTGTAAATGGTGACTCGGAATCATCCACTGGTAGTATTATGCTGAGGTACATTACCTTGGCACGAGTATATATATTCGCACTCACTGGCACCTTTGATGTGCCTACTAGTAGCCCTGGAGTATTATTTGAGATTACTGGTAAAATCAAGTACTAGTAGTACTTACTAATACCAACTGATTTAAAATGGTCTAATGAGTTCCAAGGTTTGCGATGTGTATACAGGTACTACGACTAGTAATGTCAAAATTCCTCATCCGCCTAGTGGACTGCTCGCTCTTCCGCTTCCGCTCCCGCTCCTTCTCTCTCCTTACCCAAACCATTGCACCACCTGCACCTGGGCACCACCATGCCCTCACGCCAAATCCTCGCCACCCTATTTGGGTCCCTGGGCAATTCCCGCTGGACCCTCACCCGTGTCCTTCGCAGCGACAACCCCCCTCGACTTCAATGGCGAATTGCGGGGCACTGCCACCTTCTCCGCCCTCCCCTCCGACCGCGACTGGCTCTACAGCGAAGAAGGCGAGATCCCCAGTTCCATCGGCGGCGCCGCAGCCGTAGTCGGACTCCGCTGGACGAAAAAATATATCTGGCGAACAAACGAGTCCGGCCGGATCAGCGTGTGGTTCGTCAAGGTCACCCCGGGCCCTGACGAGGCCGATTACCTTTTCCACAACTTTGATTTCAACGAGACAACTCTTCCTGGAGGAAAACAAGCGCCATCTACTGCCGAATCCAACCCTGAGTTCGTCAAGCCCCCAACCCCTCCGACCACTGAGGCATCTGACGCAACGACCATCCTCGAGGCGCAAGGAAACCATCTCTGCATCAATGATATGTACCGCACAGCTTACTCCTTTCGCATTCGTCCCGAGACAGGCGAGGTCCTGAGCTGGGCAAGTCGACACGTCGTCAAGGGTCCAAAGAAAGACCAGGATATTGTCAATTGCTACCAACGGTTGGAATGATCGCGTAATCCACACGTCTAATTTAGCTACGACATGATGAAAAATGCCAGCGTCCCAGCCTCAGTCACATTCGATATCATATTTGCATTCATCAATTCAACATAAGGTCTCAACAGGCCCAATATTCGATCATTTTTTAGAACGGACATGGCCTGATCCCACTTGACTTGACCTATCGACACAAATCTACATGGTATATATAAAGTCCGGCCGCTTATCACCCAGCAACTCGATCTGGTTCTGATTGAGTCCCTCGACCCAGTGGTCGCGCTCGCCACGCCGGCGCTTGGCATTCTCCCGCCTCAGCAGGATGTACTGCAGCAACGATCCGCCGAACTCAAATAGAACCAGGTAGGCGAGGACAGTGCCGTGGCCCGGATAGTAGCGCGGTTTATCCTCGTTACGGTAGATATTGGAGGAGACGATGCCGTTGAGATTACCCCATCCGATGATGAAACCCAGAGAGACACCACGCTTGTAAACACCTGCAACTGGGTTAGTGTACTGCAGAAATATAGCAGAGAACAAATCAAAAACCAAACTTACCTTCTGTATTGTTGCTCGTCCACGAAATCGTGTTCGCGATGGCGGGATAGATACCCATAGCCCCAAGGAAACATCCAGCATAACGTGCACCGGGAGCCTCACAGCCTAACAGAATAGCAAATCCCACCATTCCCAGCAGTGAGACAGCCATATTGCAAATACCACGCTGCTTAGTGCGATCCGCAATAAAGCCAACTGTCACAGTCAACACAGCAGCGGCTGCGTAGGGAGGTACACTAAGCAGCTGTGCCTTGATGGAACTGTAGCCCTGTGAAGGGGTTAGCGGATGCTGGCACTAAAGCCGAGAGGACTGGGACCAAACTCACCAATTCACTAATAATAGTCGGAACAAACAAGGAAAACGCATAAAGCGTCCCATCAGCCCCCATGTAGATAATCGCACCAGTATATGTCTTCCAGTCCTTCAAACTGGCCCAGAAATAGTCCATCTTGAACTCTTCATGTTCAGCACTAGACTGCTGATCCGCCGCAAGACGACGCAAGACCCGAGCCCGATCATCTGGCGACAAGAACTTTGCCTGATCCGGAAAGTCATGGATAAGCCAGAAAGAAGCGATTCCAATAAGGATGGTCAGCAGACCCTCCAGAATAAAGATCCACGACCACCCCGCCAGACCACCGATCGTGTCCATCTTCGCAATGGCCGCTGCTAACAGCCCACCAAAGGATCCGGCGAGTGCAGCAGCAGAAAAGAAAATAGCCATCCGCACGCCGAATTCAGAACGCTTATACCAGCATGAAAGGAAATAGCTCACACCAGGGAATAGGCCTGCCTCACTGAGACCAAGGAACCACCGGACAGCCATGAGGCCGGAATAATTCTTCACCACGCCCATGCATGTCATACAGATGCCCTGGACTGCGTTAGCAAGTGTTCAATATAAAAGTGTGCATATATAAGCTCACCCAGGCGATCATAATAAGAGGAATGAAGATACTCGGGCGCAGTCGTTTGAGCAGGATATTGGTCAATGGCTCGAAGACGGAGTATGAGACGAAGAAGATGGTAAGACAGGCATTGTATTGGGCGCCAGTTAATTTGAGATCATCCTCTAGACCGACGAGCTTTGCATTTCCGATATTTGTTCTGGGACGAGTCAGTTTGTTTGGTCAAGGTATGTATGAGGGCGTAGAGAATTAATTTCGAGATAAACTTACCGATCAAGGAAGGAGACCAGGTACAATAGACTCAACCATGGCACGAGACGCAGATCAAGCGTCCAGAGAAGCTTACGGTCCTGCAAAAGCAAAGGAAAAGTTAGGGTACCTGCAGCGATCGACATGCAGAAGCAAGACCGGGCAAGACAGGGATGCGATGGTTGGGATGGGAGTGCGTACGATTTTTGCCCTTTCCTCCTCACTTAAGCCAGCATCCGGGTCCTCGAACCCAGCGAGTCTTGCATTGCTGTCAGCTTTGAGGTCTTTCTCCGCATCAGATAGGCGGGTAGTGTCAAGCGGCTTCTCTTTCTCGGGAAGTGTAGCCATGACGAACAGCACAGGCACAGGCACAGGCACGGACAGAGTCACAACAGATGAAGTCACTAGCACTACACCGATGCAGCTGCAGGGAAACGAAGAAGGCACAACCTAGCTCCCAGACTGAAATATAAGAAGGGCGGGGGCAGGGCAAGCGAGCTTATAAATCGGCACGTTGTTACCGGGTTTCTCTGAGCTTGAGCCAATCAGGGTTGCATCGGGGATTTGGCAGGTTAGGGGCTATTGAACAGACAGGGTTTGTACCATTGGGATTCAGCGGTTTGCGCTGCATTAGCTTTGGCTGCGTACATCTCGGTGGAGCAAAGATCATCCCTGCGATCGGCAGTCGGCCGAGAGACACGGGTACGATCGGCGGGGAGATGAGCGTAGGACAATGGGCAGCGGACCAGCGGAGCGCGGAGAGGGATAATTGGAGGGACTGGGAAGCGTAGGTTAGTTAAGTCGTCGAGGAGGCAATAGGACAAGAGAGGAGTTTGAGTGCCAAGAATGCGTTTGGATGTAAAATGTGGGGGTTGGTTCAAGTTTGGGGTATGCGGGGAAATTAGGGCAAGTCAGCCCCGACGTGGAGTGGACGGAGAAGGTACTTTATACTTTGTATCCACGGAGTAAAGGAGGGAGTTACTTTTAGGTTCGAACTCAGGCTTCGATTCTGATCTAGAAACAATCATGAGCGTCTACTTCGTTAAGTATTATTAGTAGTCATACTTATGGATTGCATTAGAGAGGAAGTTTTATATTGTAAGACAGTTCAATACTACCCGGTGACTGGGACCATGCACGTACTCATTACTACTGGTACTCTCGATCCGATCAAATCTGGATTGGAATTTACTACTACCTAAACATGACATATGTATTCTCTCATCTAAAGAATAAGCATAAGGTATAGATTCATCAACCTAAGCTTAACCCCACCCGCGGAGTGTGGGGAGCTCGGCATCTTCCATCCTAGCGAGGTCGGGAAACCGTCGGCAAACCAGACGCCGCGGGGACGTGCCTCTTCTCCTGAAAACAACACAAAAAAAACACTGATGCTGTTTCTCATGGAAATGCGGATTGTGAACTCGTCAATTTTGTAGGCATATGGCCTAATTTCGTCTTTGATCTGCTGCAAAAAGCGGAAAACCAGCTGTATTTCTCCATCCTCCATCTCTGCCTGTTACTGCTAACCTCCCCCGGTTCCCTTGAAATGATTCGGTCTCCGCACTCAAATGGTCAAACTCAACTCCATGCTTAATCATTTTTGTCTAATAGCCTATCCCCCTACCATCAAAACGCTCGCCGTCGACTATCTCCTCAACTCCTGGGACAATCGCAATGGCCTAGACCGCGCAGGGGTCATGGCAGAATTCAAGATCCGCAGGGGAAAATTGCTGGGTCGAACGCAGAATGTCATACGCGACGATCGCCATCTTGATCGATGTGAAATGGAGAATACTGGTTCCAGCCAGCACATTCTCCTGCGTGAATTCAATCCACTCCGCCCAATCCGGCTCATACAGAACTTGACGCAGATACCCACGCAGTTCTAGATGTTCGGAATGAACCTTCAGGCAGCGAGTACGCCCCCATTGGTTGATATGCTTGTCCATTTCCTCACTCAGGATGTAGGTCGGGGTGCCGACCTGACGGACTTGGGTGGGCCAGTAGCCAAGGAAGAGAGCGCCGTGAGTTCGACGCAGGAATTCCTGTGCTCCGCTTTGCAGAACAAATCGGATCATCATTGTTGGGTATCCGCCCATGATAGTCGTGGTATCAGCCAAAACGACGGATTCGATCTTGCCTCCTTCGACACGGGACAAGACTTCATGAATGGTGACCCATGGAGGCAAACCCTCCAACACGACAGTGCGATAGATATTGCTATTCTTATCGTGTTCCCCTGGCATATACCGGAGCCCTGGTCCGACGAACAAAGGCGACCGCTTGATTCCAGTCAAGTTTGAATTATACTGGAAATTTTCGGCGAGCTTTGCCTCCTTGCCATCCTTGAATAAACGATGCATGCTCCACTGGGGCAAGGCTGTCCATGTAGGCGGAGCAGTGCTAAGCCCGGTGCGCTCTACCTCAAGCATAGGAACGCCAACGGACTCAGCAGGGACTTGGACCACAAATTGTGTGCCAAAGATAGGCTTCGGGACAGAACCCGCGTGCATACTTGCTTCTAGACCTCTGATCTTCCCGAGCCAGCCCACCGGAGTGGAAACTCGATAGGGAACGTCGGTGTCACGGCTAATGACTGGCACTGACTGAGAGGAGGCGTTGGTGTCCCGAGACAGCTCCTGAGAGGTCTCATGAGAGGTCTCTCGTGTTTCTCCAGAGGTATCCAAGGGTGAAAGGCTGGTCATAGTTTCCTTATCGATGCGAGGGATTGCAAAGTGAGGGTCGGTTTCACTTAATGGGGCGAAGTGATCATCGTCGAAGTGCGTCGGAGACCCCTATAGGACAGTTAACGAGAAATCTAGAACAAACAAAAGATGGAGACTTACCACGTGAGCGACTGGGCTCATTGTATGTTCGACCACGTCGTTTCTCACAGCACTGAAGCAAACGGTCAGAATCAAGTCATGGCCAAAGAGATGTGAAAAGGAGATATGTTGAGGTGGAACAACTCACTTGCTTGGGACCAAATAGCTATACTGGAATGCGCCCACCAACTCATCCACCAAGTAAGAGGTGCCTGCCGACTGGTTGAAGTCATTCATTCTGCCGGATTATGAATTCCGTTTTTGTCTTTTGAGTGAAAGTGTATAGCCTGGAGAAGGAAGAGATTGGAACAAGTTCCGATGAAGGAAGTATGGTGGGATTGAGGGAAGTCAAGGAGGAAAGTTGAAGTTGAGGGGGAAGAATGAGAGGAAGAAGAGGAAGAGGTGAAGGTCCCGAGACGACCATACGCTCTCTGCCTTGACTTAGTTTACCACCACGACAGAACATGTTTCCTTCTTCCCCAACCCAACCCAACCCACTCTACTGAGAACTGATTATCCTAGAGCCGAAGAAGAAGAATGGAAGCACGTGGTGGAACATCGTGAGTTGATGAGTTTATTGCGCTATGTCATCTATTCGGTCATTCATCATTGAGGCACTCTGACACTCATAACGGTTGGAGGCAGAATCCAGCATTGCCAGTTGTAATCCCAAGCCGATATCCAACTATCCAACTATCCAACTATCCAATTACCCGAGAAATTGTCCTTCGGCTAGCGCAATCCACGGAAGCTTGTCATCCCAGCAGCGCTGCATCAATTGGCGGGCGTGTTGAATCTGAGATTATTCCCGTTAGTGTTGTTGAAATCGAAGAGTTTACACTTGAGAGATGCTTACCTGCTTTAACCCAGACTTTTCCAGCACGAAAAATCGATTGAGCAGCTTTGTTCGCTGCGCCGCGTCTCGCGACTCACAACCAGCAGTGAAAAGCGGGAACAACGAGCAAAACTCGGGCGGCGCGTTGGCTGGCATACGCTCCAAAGCCCCAATGAGCTTGCGGAGGGCTTCTTGCACGGGGAAAGAATCGGGCGACGAGCCAAGCACACGTCTGTGCAGATGGAGAAGTCCCGCACACCGGAATGCCTCCTCAATGGCCATCATATCGTCACACTCATCTTTGTGGTGGGTTGGGTCAGCATGGGCATGCTCGCTGAGACCTTCAATGTCCCCTAAAACCGATTGGGCTTCCATAACAATATCCGCCGAGGGATGCCATGTTTGTCGGAAATTCCCGTGCTTATCGAATCGCTCACTATCACATTGTTGTACAAGGCGACCCAACCGGATAAAAAACGCTCCCGTGCGTGGGGTGAATCCCGTGAAGCAGTCCACGGTAAAGTCATCATGGTAATCTGAGCCATGACAAGCAGCTAACACAGTATGATACAGCATTAATGGTGGCCCGGCCTGACGACATGATAGTGCTCCCATCGTGTCGAGATAACCCAGCCAGCGCGCAAAGAAAGCACCAATTCTATTACCCGGTCGCGCGATACGTTCGCTGCGCGCAAGAAACAGATCCCGCGCAAGCTTCAAATGGCTTTGCCAGGTTATAGGCACCTCGAAGGTGCTAGGAGAAACAATCTTCAAGGACAATAAGAGAATTGCCGTGGCCAGGTGACTGTCTGTGATATCTTCCGGAGAAGCCTCCAATGCAACCCGCAGGGCCGGAAACACCTCACTTACCCAGTGTGCGATTCGGTTTGCTGGTTCAGGCTGCCCCAGATACCGTGCACGATGGCTGGCAGAATATGCGAGCAGGAGATTCAGAAGATTTGGATCGCCAGTGGCCATTGAGGGAAGAACAGACAAGAAAGGATTGTTTTCACAGTCATGCGGTACCAGCATGCGCGACGTGTGATTGAGGAAGTGATGAAAATACATGAGATTGATCGGGTTATCCAGCAGCGTTCGTGGAAGCGGAGATAAGTATCTCGGAATATTGATCGGTACTGGAGACGCATAATACCCGCCATAATCAGCATTTTGTGTGGCAGGCGAAGCCCAAGGTACACTGGGGGAAGCACTGTCTCCACTTCGACTCTTTGTGGCAATCGAGTCCAGCGCTGAGTTAATGTCAATGGCTGCGTGGTCATTGTTCAAGGCAAGGTCACGATCCGGGCGCCCAGAATCCATGCCGTAGTTGTCGGTTACACTGGTCAGATAGGCTTGCCATTTGCTTTGCGCCAAGAATGACTCCCTGACGGCGTGTTCTTCGTCTGGCTGATGGAAGGAATGCAATGATTCGCTACGCGGAGCATTCATCGAATCGAGTCCCTTTTGGCCATGCATTTGAGAGACCATGGCATGGGATCCGCCTGTCATCTCGTGGGATCCGAGCAAGGCTAGGATATCGCCATGACTGGAAATATCGCGGGGGTGATTATCTTGGTGCTCCAAGCCATTCATGGAGAACCCCAATCCATGGTTAGCCTGATTCCCGCTCTGATGATGATCGGATGGGTGGTTGGTCTCATCAGCCGAGTCACGAAGGAAGGACTCTGGTTGAGATACTGAGCTGGCATGGAATGCAAAAGCAGAGAGAGACCGGAGCCCAACCCCTTGATCTGCCGCTGCGGAAAATGACCCATGGAAAGAAGGGCCAAACGGATATCCTGACATAGGACCCGAAGATCCAGCAGTCGCCATGGGGGAGTGATCAGCCCAGGCCGAGGAAAATTGTACCTCTGCCTGAGATGGCGAATTGATTCCCTCGGAGCCGGACTGCGGCTTTGGGGAGTCAAATATACCCAAGTGGGTATTTGTGCCAGGTGAGATTGCACCGGGAGAGCCCAAGTCCCCAGATCGAAAATTTACGAAGCCATCCGATGATGGGGGATTGCTTCCTGGGGTGGGGAGTTGGATTGGCTTAGCGGCACTCGTTGGGATGGGATCAAACCCGATCAATGTCCCTCCATATCCGCTAGATTGGGAGTTGGGTGAGTCCACAGAGGCTCTTTTCGTCCGACCTCCCCAGTTGAGGCGGACGCTATAATCGCATGCCTCCCCCTGCCGTTGGCAATTGAGGCAAATAGGTTTCTCTTCCCCGCTGCGAGAACCAAAAATCAGCCAAAGTGTTGGTATTGCAGGATGTCTGCGTTCTTACCATTTTACTTTGCGTGCTTTACATGGCCTGAAACAGTCATTAGCCTGGAAGTTCAACAATTGAGAGACATGCATCATTTACCAGCATCCTTTGCGACTTCTTCGCTTGGGCTCTGGCGCGCCAGGTCTTCTTGGACGAGGCATTGCCCGAGGGTGGCGAAAGGCAGAAGGGGAGGGCGAGGGCGAATATTCAAAACAACGGCAATAATATGTGGAGGGAGAGAAAGAAAAAAAAGAAGAAGAAGAAGAAGAAGAAGAAGAAGAAGAAGGAAGGGAGATGTCAGAGCAGTCTCCGAATTTTCATACACAGTACACTGTTGACCCTTTCCATATACAGGTTACGTTCTTCTCAAACCTGATGCAGCAACCTCACGAAGCACACAGATCGGACCGCTTTCTGCGACGGGAACTGTGATGACCCCAGGTAGCAATGAAACGAAAATCGACCAGACACCCACACCTAGTAGACAAGCACATCGAGGTGTGGGAGGGAGATGTGCCTTGAAAAGAGATTAAACTCGGAGAAAAAGCTGCAGGTGCAGCTCGGCAGAAACAACGTTCAAAGTATGTGACCAAGGGACGATTGTGACGATCCCTCACGGCTCTGGGAGTGAGAAAAAACGGGGGATTCTGGGGAAGGCCCACTTGATAGGTTCAGAGAGACTTGCACACCATGCACTTCTCAGATGAACGAGAAAAAAAAGACGCAATGGAAATTCAAGAAGAGAGAATGGGCATCTTTCCCAAAAGTGTGGGGAACCTGGTGATAAGGATCAGTCATCAGCCGGAACGCCGGGGATGAATTAATCCGGGACGGGATGCCGCGGCAGGCCGGGTCACGTGGCTGTGCACGGTGTGTAACCAGGCGTGGCAGGCGCGATCCGCGGGGACCGCCCGGAAGGTGCGGGCGCTGGGAAGCTCCCGAAAGTCCGCGAGCTGTCGTCACTTGGTTGGCTCTTGTTGGTTCCCGGTTCTACTCGTTATCTGCCTTCATTTCCTCAACCATGTCTCGTGCCCTGATCGAGAAGCACCCCTTGCAATGGCTACATAGCCCTTCTCGGGGTATCTCGACTTTGATTCATGTATGTTGATCTTCTTTATCTTGTTCTTTTTCATTTCGTTTTCTGTTTTTCATCTTGTTATCTTGTTATTCCCCTCTCCCGGGCGGAGCTGAAATACTGACACCCTATCCAGTTGACCGGTCTTGCAAGCTTTACCTGGTCTTTCAAGTAGTAAGTACACCGGAGATGTTGCTCGGTCCATCAATTTACGTAAAGATTAACGCTAACGTCATGATATAGTATGCACGAGAACCCTAACCACGCGTATGTCTTCCCGAAAGAGCGTCGGATTTACTCGGGTTGAGTTTGATGCTGATGACCATCTCAGGAACGAAGCATATGGCTGGCACTTTCAATACTTGACCGTTATTGGTTTAAGTCTGTCAACTCTCACCTTTATTTTTGCCATTCTCGCCGATGTGACACTGTCCCCACGCCTCTTCTTGATCAAGAACCTCTTGTCAGTGTGTAGTGCGCCGCTGGAAGTATTGATCAGCGTTCTCTACTGGGGCCTAAGATTGGTGAGTGTCAACCGCTTTCTTTTCGTCCGCCCGCCTGATCTCGGGACCCTTTATCTAATTGAGTTTTAGATCGATGAACGTCTCGTCGTTCCCGATTGGGCTGTGATCCCTCTCGATGCCGGTACGTGGCTAAACCCCGGGGTCCGCTCGCAGAGACCCGCCATCCAGCTCTTGTGGGGGTTGTGTGTTTGCTAATTCATTTCGGTAGATATAAGCTTTCACGCATTGCCGTCCATATTGATGCTGATCGATCTTCTGTTCCTCTCCCCCCGTGGACAATTACCGTCCTGCCCTCTATGGGACTTTCCGGTGCCATTGCCTTTGGCTATTGGTTCTGGGTGGAGCGGTGTTTCTCCTACAATGGATGGTATCCGTATCCCATCTTCGAGCAGCTGCCGACTCCAGGTCGTGTTGCGCTCTTCTCGCTCAGTGCGGTTGTGATGGCCTTCAGTACTGCCACGCTGAAGTGGCTGCACGGTCGCGTCAATGGCTTTGGTGTTCCCATCCCGGCACAGTCTCGCCCTGGCGAAATTAAGCGGGCAGATGGCTTGTAGAGAAACTAGACCTCTTGCTCTGCACCTTAGTATGCGGAAGGAAGCCCGTCACCGGGAAGCAAATTTGCTGTTTGGTGATTTACATGGCTATAGAATATATGAATGGGATATAGTGGAGTGTTTGGGTGCATTGAATCTGACTCGGAGCGATCTGGATCTATTTTATTAGCTTCAAGTTGTCTTAGGTTATAATTTCGGGAGAGTGGTGTTGCTATGGCTGGTGCTACTAATAGTTACTACATTTCGGAGTATCTCATATTTAGACCTACAATATATATCCAATTTTGCGCACTAGTGATCAACAAATCTTTTTTACGTGACCCATTTCCTAAAATCTAATGCCAAATTTCATTTACCCATGCTGTTCCTATGATAATTCATAGGATTGTCATCTCTGCATTGGAATTGTACAGTTGTCGTTGCTCCGAGTCAGCAGACCTGCTGACTAACCGACGATCCTCCGTCTTCCTGAACGCACCTGGACAATCTCTTGATTCGAACCTGCAGCGATCACATACACACCCCAGCTCCTTCACAATGTCAGCTCGCTCAGCATTCGCTAGTCGGATGAACCCGACCGCAATGAACGCGCTCATCAGCCCCCGCTCGCTCCAACCCAGCTCGCAAATGGCATCCAAGCTGCTCGTCCGATCTCAAACAACGACCACTCGCCCATCGGCACAGCTAGCCCCCCCGGCCTCAGGTTCTCCCTGCTGCGTCATCGTTCGTGCGCCCGGCTGGTCTACGCATGCAATCGACCTCTACTGCCAAGGAGAATGTGAAACTCGACTGGGACTCGTTCTTCAAGCTCCGCGCTTCCCGCCGCCGATACTCCCTCGCGTCGTCAATTGCGACTTCGCTCGCCTCGACAACCGCCGGCGTGCAAATCCTATCCGGACAGGATCTGGAGTCCCTCGGTGCTCAGGTCATGGGCCTGGATCCCTTTGTGGTCCTTGGTATGGCCACGGCAGCTTGTGGTGCTGTTGGCTGGCTCGCTGGCCCGATGGTTGGAAATGGCATCTGGGGATTGGTTTACCGTCGATTCAAGCCCTCCGTTGCGATTGTAAGTGATAAAGCCAATGCGTGATGCCACGCCTAGCTCCTTCTGCATCAGTGTCTAACATATCCATTCTCTCTACAGAAAGAGAAGGAATTCTTCGACCGTATCCGCCAATACCGCGTCGATCCCTCCACCAACTCGATCTCCAACCCCGTCCCAGACTACTATGGCGAGAAGATCGGCAGCGTCAAAGGATACCGAGCGTGGCTGAAGGACCAGCGGGCTTACAACCGCAAGCGCCGCAACTTCATCGCCTAAAGACCTACCCGGCGACATGTTCGGCAAATTGACATCATTTCAAAATCTATTCTTGTGCATATGGTTGACCTTACCTGGGATTCTTGCAATACTCGCAAGTTCGGGGTCAAGCTGGTCCTCAATTTCTTTTCATCTTCTTCTTTCCTATTCTCTGGATCGGTGTTTTGCTTTCCTCATTAGCGGTCCGGGCGAGCTGGGGTATTACATTTGTATTTGAGAAAGTCTTGGTAGCGCTAACAAGCTGCATTATTTCTTTGAATCCATTCATTTTGTCATTCATTTTGTCTCTTTGAATTGAATTAATTCTTGCTAAGATCGAGGAAATCGAGTATGTGAATCATTGACCGGCAATAGCACTATCCCCGTCCCTCTGGATATGCTTCATCACAGCTTCGACGAAGCTTTGGCCTTGGCCTTGGGAGCCCTGCCAGTGTCGACCTCAGTCCACCAGGGCATGTGTACCGGGGGGTTATCATCTAGATTGGCACGGAAGTTCGGCTTGCGCTTCTCGAAGAAGGCACCGACGCCTTCCTTTTGGTCGCTAGAACGGAGTCCGGTAAGTATAAGGAAGAAGGGGGCGGATAGAATGGGAGACATACTCGGAAGCGAAGGTGTGATGGAGAATATGAGATTCAACCAGGTGAGCCTCTTCGGGCGTTCCTGGATTACGCCACATAAGAGCGCGATTGAGATACGACGAGGCCGGACTGACATTCTCCGCAATCTCAGTAGCCAACTCCAACGCGCGAGGCAGGACCTTGGATGGATCTGGCAGAGTTTCGTTGAAAAGATCGCCAAAGTGCTTGGAAGCGGGAGGGAAAACTGCACCCGTGCCGACGAGGTAATTGGCGTTAGAGAAGCCGATCAATCGTGGGAGGAAGTATGACGAGCAGGATTCCAGCACGATACCGCGGCGTCCGAAGACGAAGCCGTACTTGCCCTTTTCATATGCGATGCTGGAAATCATCAGCTTTGGAATTGTCATTCGTCGTTGGGAGATGTAAATTCTTACCGAATCATTGCGGGAAGCGTCATGGTCATCCCGACGCCCACGGCGGAGCCTTGCATAGCTGCAATGGTCGGCTTGCGGCAGCGATGAATAGCGAGGACGACACGTCCTCCGCTGGGAGGTAGTTAGCATGAGAAGCACTGCGGGAGAAACGACTAGATTCATCACTTACCCGTCTCGGTGGTCGGTAGCAGGCCGTCTCTCGACATGATTGTTGAAACCAATGTCCAGATCCGCTCCAGCACAGAAAGTCTTGCCGGCACCCGTAAGCACGATCACCTTGACACGTTCGTCGACGTCAAACATGGGGAAGAATTTCTCGAAGTCGTGGACCATTTGACCGGTGAAGGCATTGTGGTTCGCTGGACGGTTCAGCGTGACGACCACCACGGGGGTAACAGTGGGCGAGCCTGGTGGGTGGTGGGAAAAGACGACATGGCCGGTTGTAGGGACCTTTTCGTAGGAGTCTGGGAGTTCCAAGGGGCTGGGATCGAAGATCATTTTGGAGATTGGTAGAGGTGAAAGAGGAGGAGTAGATGTAGGAAGTAAATAGTGAATGGTAGTAGTTAAGTGGAAGGAAGTGGAGAAGATGAATGGAGGGAACCCTCGGGAAAGAGACAGATCAACACGATGAGCTACACTTTTATCTCTGTTGAATTTCTTCTTTTGGTTTATTCTCAGACAAATCCAATCCAAATAATCGGCAGTGAACTGGTTTAACTTGGTTCAAGTTAAACTGAATGGTGCTTGGTTGTCCCGGCGCGACCTCGGTTCGGCTGCTGCGATGTGGAGAAGACCCCGCATGCTAAATATCCCATGCATAATAATACTAGTAATACTAGTAATACTAGTGAGAAGGGACATTTGAAGTAGATTCAGGAACTTGTACGATAATGCATGGATGGAAATCGCCAGAAAATACTTTGTTTAGTTTCGATAAATCCGAGTACTACCTCATTTCAAGTTGACACTGCATCTTCAAGTTACTACTGATTCTGCAACAACTTGAATAGTACTATGAGGCGTTCATTTCTTGTACTGGGAGAAGGATAGAATATGATGAAGCTGTAACTTGAACTTATCTATGTAGTTATCAATATCATGTATATATCCGTATTAGTACTTATTGTGCATAGTTGAAATCCATAACTACAAGCTATCTAGCGCTAGTAAGGTCGAGAGGAAGTCACCACTGCACCCAGATGTAAGTAAACTTGAAGTTTACAGCTTTGGCTAGACTAAATGCATCATCCCTCCTCCGGCCCCTGCTAAGCTGAAAACCGTGAGACCTTCGATACAGGGCAGATTGCACTTGGGGAAGCCAAGGCTAGGCCACCAGCCAAGTAATACTGAAGAAAGGGGCGGAAACCGAGAATTTAGATTTGAGTGGCAAACAGAATCGGTGGCTTGCAATCGTGAGCAGGCCAAGATTGATTCAGCCCCCACCGCCCCCAAAAAGAAATCAGAAATAGTTAGTATCCTTCACGGAGTATGAATGTCAGCCAAACTTGTAATGCTTTACAGGTTCAAATATTCCCGCTAATGGTCTGGGCAATGGTGCATCAGGCGCAAAGTCTACCCAATCCAGATACATGTAACGCCAGGAGATGATGCTTTACAAGAATCGGCTTGGAAAAACGTCATGTTTTGGGGGCGCTTAACGGCGGAGAGAATATGATTGTCTGTGATCGAAAATCTATAAATTCGCGATGTATCTCCTATGAAGTAATAATTCTATCAGTATTATCTCCATCGGATCTACGTTCCCCTCTACCGAAATCAGATCTCAATTACCTCTTTTGACAAATCATCATGAAGTTCTCAGCACTCAGCTACAGCCTGCTCGCTTTTGCCGCAGGTACTGAAGCATGCATCCGTGTTCATGCGCACCTGAACAATGACCCTGTTACCGGAGACTCTATGGGTGTCAAGATATACGATGGTTACGACTACAAATGTCGAGCCGGAGACTCTAAGTATCTTGCCAGCGGCGAAACCACATGGAAGTTCAAATGTGGGGAAGACGACCGCTACGAAGTTCATCTCACAGGGGATGGCACTAAAGGGACAGTCTGGAACCACAACGCTGGATATGAGGGAACTTTGGTCTCTAAGGACCACGACCACAAGTCTGAGTGCAGATATCGTACGGGACTGAATGATCGTTGTGCTGGATATGTCTCGAGTGACGAGACTACTCTTTGGGATGGATTTGGCGATTGCGACGACAAGCTGTTCAAGACTAAAAATTGTGGAGATAATGAATGCGATATCTCCGAGGACGACGTGCCTTGCGCAGTCGACTACAATGGTCGTTGCGAGCCGATAGAATTCTGATATATCATATGTATGGACTACAGTGTTCGGATTTGGGGATAGCATCCAGTACATTCATACGCGGGTAACTCATCACCTTGATTGACTCACCAGGATTGCAAAGTGCAAAGTATTTAATTCTACGCGGTGCCTTTATTCAGGTCTTCATGTTCTAGCTTGTATTTCTGATTTTTATGGTCCCATCTGGAGTGCTGCTACTTGGACCACCCTTCTTACTAATTGGATCACATTTTTGTTACTTGGACCGTGGTCCTTCTTAATCTCTAGATTAGTATGTAAGTCCAATACAAATTTATATACCTCTGTCATACAGCAGCATCATAGTAAAAGTTTGCAATCTCCTATTGGAGTTGACTGTCTTAGTCTCTGCCTTTGAATAGCAAAATAGTAGCTGCCTAAGATAAAAGAGATTGGCCTATTTATTATATCTTAGGTAGCTACTACTAGTCTACTATTCGAAGGTGGTCATAGATAGCGGGCAATTCAGGGTTACAAACTTTAGTTGTGCCACTGTATATCCAAGTTTGTATAAGAAATACATATTAATTTGAATTCAGAAGGGCCATGGTTCATTTGGCAAAAAGGGTGGTCCAACTAGCAGCTCTCCCCATCTGAGGCGGCACATCTTGACTGAGTAGGTCTTGGCTCTATGTCCTGTCACGTTGGAATTTCAGTGAAATCAGTAGGCTTCCGAATGGATCGGGTTGCAGATAAGATTCAAGCTGAAACTTTCTGGGCATCATGGAATTTTCGTTGTTAATAGGGTCTTTTTTCAAAGCAATAGCTATCCAAAGGCGGTCCAAAAGTTTGAAGACATCGCGCTATTTTTTTAGCGCGATTTTCTTCAACTACCCCTACACCACCAATATAGGTCGGTTTGGCACTGAAATAAGTGGCAATCAAAGACCAGTGGGTGGGCTTTCATCTGAGGCCCGCGCAGCTATTATATACGCTTATGAATGTGGTGTATCGCCTACTAAAATAGCTACTGAGCTCAACGTCGCACGCTCAACAATATACTCTACAATCAAACGATTCTGAGAGCACCAAACGCTTAAATCACTGCCTCGTTCAGGTGCCCCTAAAGTCTATAGGTACTCTACTATTAAATACACCTGTTTACTTGTACGCCGTGAGCCTTGGCTAAGCCTTAGTAAGCTGAGCGCCTATATACCCAGCTATCTATCTCGATCAGTAATCAAGCGATTCCTATATTCAAAATTTCTCCAGTGCTATTAAGTAAGACGTTGTATCCCAATTTTGAGGGAGAACGCCTACAAACGAGTCTGATTTTGCCGAAATTAGAGGGCTGAACGCTATAATTCCCAACTATAGAGCTTTATATTTTCTGACGAATGCAGCGTTTAACGTATCCCTAATTTAAACGGCCAATATATTATCTGGCTTAGAGGAGAAGCTTACCGGTAGGAAATGGTACAAGTTAAGACTTATATGAAGGATATTTATCAAATAGTTTAGACTAGAATATAGCTCAGATGGTATACAAAACTTATTATTATAGAGCGTAACTTTTCAGAAGGACAGCGAGGTCACGGAGGTAGTTATACAACAAAATCCTACCTAAAAGCGCCTGACGAAGGGTTTATTGAGCACTATAAACCTAGAACTATATTTCAGCAAGATAACGCTAAAATCCACCGCTCCTACGTTGCTCAGCGATAGTTTAAACGTTATAGTATATACGTTATAGAATACTAGCCGCCACGCTTACCAGATCTTAACCTTATTGAGCCTGTATGGTATATGCTCAAACGTAAATTATATAAGCTCTATCCTAATCTACTACATTGTGGTACATCTGAGGCAGATTGGAAGCTATTTAGGGAGTATATATCGGAGGCCTGGGATGCGCTAGATCAAAATAAAATTGATAGTATAATTAGATCGATGCCTTAGTGTGTAAGCGAGACTCGTAAGGCACATGGCTACTATACTCAGTTTTAGCAATTGAAATTCTGTTATATACTTTGTAATTGATTATTCTATATCATAGCAAATTTTGGTGCAATAATGTTGCAAATTGCATGCAATATAATATATATTTGAATGTAGAGTGGTGAAATGGCAGAATTACCCGATTAGGCGGTGTCTTGAAACTTATGGCCAAAGGTGGTATCTAGGCTTAGTCGACGATTATGCCAGAATAGTAGCTGTGTTCGTCACCCTAAGTGGCGAGTTGCTAGATTGCTTACTGGTCGGTAATATATATCGTGGGGATAGTAATACACTCCTAATTGCAAAAGGATACGGGTATGCTCCGACCCCACTGACGCCCGTGACACCAAGTGTCCGTGCAGATCGGAGGCTCAAAGGATGGACACACCGCCAGTTAGGGCCCGGCAACTCGAAGCGAGGGGTTCGATGACGTGGAAGCTAGAACTATTCGAGAAGAAATCAATTGGTCCGCTAGTCCGACCGGGGAGGAGACTAAGGGAAGCCTAGCACTAGCACTGGCAGCTATAGTGATTAACCTGTTTCCATGGTACAGGTACCTGGTAGTTAGTTATACATATACTACTAATAGTAGTACAATTTACCCGGTGAACCACCACCGCAAAGTAGACCTGGTAATCCATGACCTTAGACCTGGTATGTCAATGTATAAAAGAATTACATTAATAGCATTAAAGTTGAGTAGACACGGCTTGATATTGAGTTACGAATATGCCACATACACCCGAGTATGGAGTTAGTACTTCGTATCATGCCACATGCTTGGTACTTTGTACAATGTCACCTGGGCACCCAATATGCTCAAGAAACTAATTAGAAGTAAATGCAGTCTATACTAGTTCTTATAGTATAGTATAGTCTAGTATAGCGCATAATATATATATTCACCGCTTTAAGCACCACGTATGCCCCGATTCGGAAAGAGCGCTTCTCGTCCTGCTGAGTCATCGGGATAACCGCCAATCAGCCTTGCATCTGCTTCCCCCCGTCCATCGCCATCTCCTTTCATTCTCCACTCGCCTTGGCTCCACTTTGGGTCTAACCGCGATACGGCAAGACGCTGCTCGTATCTTCGTGGGTCCTCGTTGATCAAAGTGCTGATGGACCTCGGCCATTGGTGCAAGGACCAGGGGGTTGCGCCTTCGCTGTTACTTGCTTGAAACGCAATGGCGGCTTCGGCAGACGGAGCTTGAACATTTGCCTTCAGCCTTGGCATACTGTCCGCTTGTCACTCGCCGACTGCCCTGCATTTACCACTTCCGGGAATCTGCTGGGCACGCCCCACGCCCAAGCTGCCAGGTTTGCAAGGATTGCAAGGATTGCAAGGATCGACTTTGCTTGCTTCCTGCTGGCTTGTCCCTTTTCTCCTCCTCCCTTTCTATACTCGCCTGATACTCTCTGTCCAGCGTATATAGTCTGGGGCCACCGCGGTGTGCGCATGCTCATACTACTCATGCCCCATCTCACAGCATCACCTAGGTGAAAGCTTGCTGGATCTCCAGTAAGGCCTTTTGATAACCCCCACTCCGATGCCATACCCATGTCCGCCACAAATAAGCGACTCTGCCAGAGCCTGCACGAATATCAGGTACGGCCCTAGCCATGCAGCCATGCGGCGACAGCAACAGCTCCTTCCCGACTAGTCCCGCGCCCAGACAGCTGCTTGCTGCCCCCCCCCTCAACGGTCTTCGTTTAGATCTGACCCTTTGTCTAGATTGTTGATGCCGGCCCTCTTTCCCTTGATCGCAGCATTACCATGCTAGGGTTGCCTCGGCCCCGCTTGACGCGCCTGAAGAGCAAAACTCGCTCTGGATCCTCTGTCTCCAGTAGCTCCACTGCTTCCACCGCAGGATCCTCTGTCTCCAGTATCTCCACTGCTTCCACCGCAGGATCCTCGGCCTCAACCCCGCCTTCCATGACGGACCTCATACCGCCGTCGAAACGGCTTATGGAGGAGGAGCGGCCTGTGGCAAAAGTTGGTTCCGAATCGCAGGACTCTTGCAATCTGCAGGATATGGAGTTGATGATGAACTGGTGCACGAGGACATATAAATCCATGTCACGGGACGGAACGGCCGAAGCACTCTGGCAGACGACTATTCCTCAAATATCTTTGCGTTTTCCCTCTCTTCGACATGGGCTTTTGGCCCTATCGGCTCTGCAGCTGGCTGGAGCTAGTCGAGCTCCGCAACGCAAATGGCGATATCTAGTTACAGCACGGGAGCACCATGCCGAGGCACTGAAAGGCATCCATCCAGACGGGGAGGGGGAGCTCTCCCAATCGCAGTGCAATGCTGCCTTCGCTCTGTGCTGCGTATTATTGGTGTGGTCCTTTGGATACTGCTTGATTGATGATAGCATGGAAGAGGACGGGAAGCCAGACGTATTGGACGAGTTTCTCGAAGTTTTTGAACTCACACGATGGCTCGTGAGGGCCATGATGACGACTATGGAGCGGGTTGCCGGTGGCGAGCTATGGCCTCTTGTACGACCTGCCACACTGCATCCGACCATGCCAGATATGTCGCGACTGGTAGTGCAAGAAATGCAACGGCAGAACGAAATCGAGGCTGCACGCAATCCTGCCCATGAGAGGGGCGTTTATGAAAACACCATCGAACATCTGAGCCACTGCCTGGAGCAGTTGATGAACGGTGGTGAGCCCAAAGACTTTGTTTTTTGCTGGACTTTTCGCATCCCCGGTCGGTTTCAGGATCTGGTCCGAGAGCGAGAGCCGTTTGCCTTGGCGGTGCTCGCCCACTACGCAGTCACCTTGCACCATCTGCGGGACTCGTGGTGGATGGGGAATTGGGGGGCTCGGATCCTCAAAGAGATTGTCGATCACCTGGGGTCAGAGTGGTGCGACTTACTTAGCTGGCCTATCGATGCTACCGGCTGTTCTTGGCCAGAGCACTGGTTTGAGCCAACTACTTGACGGGTCAACTCTCTCCTCTTTTCTCGCAAGGAAGAATCGGTGGCTATGGTGGCTGCAAAGGGCTGAGGCGGAACTACCAGGTGTTGGAGGCGAAACCATGGCCGGGCAGGTCCTGTCCACGACTCGGACCATTTCCCCTGAAAACTGCACAAGCTATCTCCAGTTATGATCCCTGCATTCGCGCCAGTCACCTCCATGGCAGGTGTGACCATTGTATATAACGAGTCATGAAAGCGTTGTCATTAGGATATAAATCCCATCAATAGAGACCTCCCTGCGCCGATAAAGAAAACTATGTAAGAATAACCGACCCTAGACACCAAGCGCCATCTATCTTCCTGGCCCAATAGGTTGGAGATAAAAAAAAGGGATGAAAAAGGGAAAAAGCAAAAGCACCGAGATAAGCCCGACCCCACCTTGCAGCACTGCCCGCAGCACTGGCAGTATATTGGTGTCCTTCCACCCAGATTGTCCGGTAGGGTTTGTTTGTCGACGGGTCTGGGTACGAAATCGAATTCAGACAGGCGTTGGCGCTGGCGCTTGTATTGGAGCCCGGATCAACATGATAATCGACACCATGACCAGCACCGCAATCGAACTGTCAAGCCCGGTCAAGCTCAAGCTCGGTCGCCCGATCGACCCTGTCGCTGCGCCAAATGCACCGGATCAGGCTTCCGCAGCTCCTGACGCTCATGCTCGACCTCCCTAATGCGATCCTTATCCTGTGTGCGCACCCGAATCAGCTCATTAACCTGTTCATGCTCCTTTCTCGCCCGTTCTTCCTCCTCCATTGTGGGGATATAAGCATTTGCCGCGCCGCCTGCGATGAATCGTCAGTATCAATGCAAGCCAAGCCAAGCCAAGCCAATAATCCAATCTAATCGCTTGGTATGGCTTTGCTGGTAGCTAGGAAGGTATAGCATACCTCGTCCAGTGTGGTGGGGCATCTGTTGCGCCCGGAGGGGAGGAGACTCGACATCCTGACTTTCGCGCGCGATCTCAGGACGGTCGGGATCATTGTGAGCCATATTGCCTGAGCCACCGCGACCGGTTGTGTAGACTTCTTGTTTGATTGTGGGGGTGACGAGGTCTTTGGGCGTTGGGGCTGAGTGTTGGCGCGAGATGTTGCCTGAGTTGGGGGGGATCAGTTTGCGATGCGATCAGAGACTTTGGTGGATTGACTCACCGGCGCCTCCGCGGCCATATGAGATGTTTCGGCCTGACATTGTGGTCTGTATGAGTCTGTGTGAAGTCGATTCGAGATTGAGGGGTGAAAAAGTTGGGGAGATCAGCTGGTCAGGAGAGTCCGGATCCGATCAGATTCTGTTTCCGCCTTGGCGGAGTGGACCACGGAGAGCGGAGAGCGGAGAGCGGGCTATCATAATTTATACTACTAGGAGTACTACTTCAGTAGTTTACTATGTCTACAGGAGTCCATTACTACGAGGAAATGGGCTATACCGAAATTCATCTCTTACAAGCAGTTAATTTCCAAGGCTGACCATCGGATTGGGTGGTGAGAGAGGTACTATTCAAGATCACAATTTAACAGCAACATAGGGCACCAACTTCACATCTCCAATCAACCCATTATCAATCGCCTGTGGAAGCCCAGACCCAACCGCATCCATAAGAGAATCAATTGGTACGTTCACCGTCTCAATTTCATCCGCAATACTCCTGATATAGTTCCACATGGTAGTCGGAACGATCACAGTCAGCACATTAGAGCCCTTTTTCAGATACGTGCTAAGATCTGCCCGTGGGACTGTCAAATCTAGAGGTGGCAGTTGATGCCCATTCACATATACTCTCGCTGTATGCGCAATAGGAGGAAGGAAGAGGTAGGCCCCATCGGCAGACCCCTTAACTGGTGGCCAGGTGATATGGGTGGTGTAGTATCCCAAACCGGACGAGTTCGTCAATCCCTCAATCTGACGCCAGGAAATTAAAGATGATAGCTGGTGGGTTGTGTTATGCTTGAAAGCAATGGTGGACGCATCCGAAATGTTGCTGGGTGCCTCCCAATGCTCTGCAGTGAGAGTCCAGTTGGAAAGGGCAATTGAGCTTGCAACCTTTGGAGAGGGCAGTATGACTTTCTTGCCATTGGACAAGACTAAGGACTGCTGAGAATTGCTGGCTGAGACGATGGCGTTGCCCTGGGTGTCATATCCAATTACCGAAGATGGAGAATTGGTGGCGTGCTTTGTAGAACTGTCTTCATTTTCACTGAATCCGATAATGATGGTCTGATTCCCTGCCAGGGAAAGAGGGATCGTCACACGGCTTTTGCTCTGAGTGTAACCCAGCAATGGCTTTTTTAATCCAGTCCAAGGATCAAACAAGAATGGAGTCTTGTGAGTGGATATGTCCAATGTACCAGTTGAGGCATTCACATCACAGAAAACAAACGCATGATCCGTGCCAGTTTGGGAATCTTCACGCCAGGTGGTGTACCATGTCCCGTTATTCTGTGTCGCAACTTGTGGACGTAGACCGAGAGCATGGAGTTTGGCAGAAACCTGACCAGCAGAGACACTATAGACGTTCGCTGACTTCTTGAGAGCCTGAATTGCCTTTCGAATGGAGGCACCGTCTCTGTCATCATGGCTGGCGTAGACTCCAGGGTCTCCGCCACTAAAAATGACGGACAAGCCTGCGCGAGCGTATCTTTGGATGTAATGGACACCGGAGAGCGTGAGATTGCTGTTGCTGGTGATTACTAGAGCCTTGTATGCGGGTCCATTGGGAGCCAAAATCCCGCCTCGAACATTGGCCTCGGGGAGAGCGAAATTATCTGGTGACAGGTAGGAATATGTGTACCCTAGACAAAAGCATTAGTATCAATCATACCGATGAAATAACTTGAAAGACAGCTTACCCGCATCGATTAGATCATTCGCAGTGTACATAGTCGGAAAGCTGGGATTAGTCCCAGACACCTTGTTATAAATTGCCACATCAGTCCGCGGGACACCTGATTGCTGAAGATACTGCACTCGGGCCGTATAATTCAGAAGATCGCCAAAGCCATGGTCCCATGAAGGTTGCTTGTCGGAGTACATCTCCGAGAACAGATATAAGAAGGCTGTATATCCCGGCCAGGTAGTACCGTAGTATTCTCCAGTATACGTCTGTCCATGAAATACCATCTGATTGACACCACCCACGATAGCACGGTTAATAAAGTAAAGAAGTTCACTGTGGGTCAGTTGATATGCCTTCATCATGACAGCGCCCATCTCGTTTGAAATAACACGTTTACCGGCAAGGTGTGCCGGACCAGTGAACTGTCGATAACCGTCGATACTATTCCCGAACTGGAGACTTTCGCATTCAGGGGCGTTCACGAATGGTATATTGGATTCCATATCCATCGGCAGGTTGTACGAAACCTGGGCTGACATTTGGAGATTCAGCTCCGAGTTTACCCAACGTGTTAACTCTTCAAGATAGCTCCGGTACCCATCTACCAGGGCACCTCTGAAATCGTTGATATAGCCGAGGCCATGATCTGGAGTATTGAGGAGACATTCGATAGTACCTGGCTCAGTGCTTTGTGTGTTGATGTTGTTGTTGCTGAACATGATGATCGGTAGCACTGACTTCAAATCGTATCCATATTTAGATTGAAACGTACTCGGGAGTGACGGCGTCCAGGAAATATTAGAAAGTATCTCGATGCTATCTTCCCAGCCTGAAAAGAAACCGGAAGTCAGTTGAAGAGAACGAAGAAATAGTAGCGTCAGAAGGCTATCTTACCATAGTTGCCCACTTCCATAAGCAATTCCTTCACTCCACCTGGAAGTATATACTCTTCCCAGAATTGCGTCGTCACTTTAGCACCGCGAGCAGTGAAGTGATCCACCACAAAAGACCCGTTGTCAAAGATGGTCTTAGCTGGAGTTGAACTGTACTGTAAATTCTTGTTATGACTGAGGAATTGATAAAATGCAAAGAGTCGGTATGTGTTTTGAGATGTCGGGAGATCGAGAGAGACACTTCCACTGGATGATACTTTGCCAGCCCAGTCCGTCAACGTTCCATTCTTCAGAGTTAATTGCAGATGAGAACTGTTCGTAGAGAGTAACACTTCCGCTGAGACAAGTGCAACCAGCTCACCGGCACCCCAGCCAGGGACTTTTCCATCGAAGTGACCATCACTGGGAATGGCGACGGAGAATGGTTCCTTACAAAGTCAGTTGATCGCTTTGCTTGGAGGTCTCCTCTTACCTACCAAATCCCACTGCAAGCCCTCATCACTCGGGTCTGCGGGAACACCCTGTCCCTGGTTTGGACCTAACGGGAAATCCATCACCAGGCCTGCCTCCTTGTGCGCGTGCAACGCAGCCAGAAACATGCTATGAAAAGCCTCTGTTCCAAATCCATCCCGAGACCAGTTCGACCCCACCGGCGCAGGAGCCAACTGGCCACCATAATTGTAGAAATGCAAGAATTCAACACCGCCTGCGCCGAGGACACCGGCAGCTTTGATATTTTGCTGAACTATTTCAGCATCGACACCGGAGTCTGGAAGCCAGTATCTGAAGCGAGGGCGTAGTCGGGATGATGGGTTTTGGAATGAGCCTCGATCCACTGTCGCTGAGGTTTGGTCATTTGTATCAGCGAGCCCAGGCTGCAGAAGCAGAAATAAACCGAATAATTTGACGGCCAACCACATCGTGAGACTGAGTTAGCCAGAGTCAACTCTCAGATCATACCAGTAGAACGCATTCTCATATATAGTCGCAGAAGTGCATGGTCGGATTATCCGGGTAGTAGTAGTAGTAGTAATAGTATGCTCGGGTTTTCTCGCACCGAAGGCAGCAGAGCAAAGCCCGCGAAAAGAGCAAGACGTCGACTCGGTTAAGAAACAAGGGAGAAATGAGTGCAGAGTGTAGGGACTAATACTAATACGGATACCGTGATGACCTCAACTCGAACCAGAGAGCCGGCAGGGGCGCAGATTAGGTACCTCGTACCAATCTCATAAGCGAAGCTAGTGTCGGGGTGATGCTTGACCGAAACTAGGACCGCCTATGAGAATCACTTACCCCGCGGGGAACCCGGTCTAGCGCGGAGTATATTCGTGAAGATACACTTGGTGGCCCACATTCCGCGATATGAGAGGGCTATATCGAAGGGTTGGTGCAATATAGATACTACATGAGTTGGGGGTTGTTTGAGCGATCGGTGCGGGGTTAGGGTTAGAATACTATTGCTATTTCCACACCTGTCGGGGTAGAGTGGACCGATGTTACTATCTTATTCGGAAATGTGATTATAAGATCGAGTTCAATAAGGGCTATAGTATTTTCAAGATACAGGAGCTCCAAATCTATAACTGCCTTGATAAGATGGTATACGGATTATCTGCAGAGCTTCGTTAAGCTCAAGGCTAGTGTACATCATTCTGATTATCACTGATCAATCTAAACTCACCACGACTGAACATTGCGGTGAACACGGCTGGCAGTCGAGGAAATAGGACGAGCCTTGCCACCGCCGGGAAGACGAACGGTCTTTCCGCCCAGCCAGGTGCTCACGGTCGAGTTGTAGTACAGGGTGAACCCCCCCGGAATGAACATTCTTCAGTGTGCGAAGGGAATCGGTGAAGTTTTGAACCGTGGTATCAGCCGTTAGAGTCCATGTACTGGTAGCGTCCAGGGAAACATCGAATGTAGACTTTGCGTAGCCAGAGTAAGCAGCGCCGGTCCAGGTACTGTGTTTGGCCAAGGTCCAACTGATGGAACTGCCATTATAAGCAACCAAATCCCCGACGAGATCGGACTCTGAAACAGAAACAGTAACCTCGGCGGGCTTGAGACTGCTGTTGTCCTCATAGCTGGCGTAGTAGTCAAAGTCCTGGGTGATCTGGGAGTAATTGGCAACGACTAGAATTCCAGAATCGGTATTTAGTTCGGCGTTGTTGAGAGTGACCTGGCCGATTATGTTGCCGAACCAGAGGCCTGGCATTGTCTTGCCAGTAGTGGTGAACTTGGTATTTGTTAGGTTAAGGGTGGCAGGGCTGTCAGCGTCGTTTCTGATCTGGCTGCTGAACATAGCGACTCCACCGAGCAGTCCGGCTGTACAGTCGCAATCAACCAGGGTGGCAGTCTGTGAACCGTCCGAAAAGATAACAGGACCTTTCTCCGAAACACTGACGACATTGCTTGCATCTATAGACCCTAGGGCGTAGAAGGTGGCGGAACCAATGCCGGATGAATGAGCTACACTATCCTTCACATATACGTAACCGGCAGGGGAATCGCCGGAGAAGCTGGAGGAGCGATAGCCACCGGAATAAACCTCAAGGTTGCTGCCGTAAATGGTCCCATTTCCAGAAGCGTAGAGGCCATGGCTCACGGGTCCGGAGGAGTATAGCCAGGAATTGGTGACGTTGACCACGGTATCAGTGCCGTAGGCGTAGACACCAGCAGCTCCATTGTGAACAGTGACATTGATGTGATCGAAGGCCGCAGTCGAGGCATTGGCCTAGGCAGGACGGGGTTAGGGCCGAGGCCGAGAGGGAGGGAGACGTATTGAATCGAAGAAAAGCGAGAGAGAGAACTGACCACATTGATCGCTGCATTGAAGCCCCAGAAACTGGCATCGTCCAGGTTGGACGAGTAACCACTCTTGTCAAATGTTATATACGAGCCTTTGAAAGACCCCTTTTCAGAAACCAAGAGTACGCTGCTATCATTGGCTGTCGCGTACCAGATGGTATGGTCTGCACTCGCAGCCTTGCCTTTGACATGATGAGTTGCAACAACTAGATCTGTTATTAGTATCCTGCATGATATCCACACATTCTGCGAATAAAAACCCACTATCCGAAGGCTGCACCTCGACAAAGGGAATGTTGTAGTCCGGAATGATGGCATTGTCCGCGGCCCACCACGAAGGATCAATCACGTCCGAGGGATCTTCAATGGTAACCGAGGCCAGCGCGACCGCTGGCCAGAGGAGAAGGGACTTGGAGAACATCGCTCGAGTGGTGGATGGCTTTCTGATTTTGTGTGGACCTGAGATATCCAAGTCTTGCAGTGGTACTCCGACCTTAAATAGGCGAACCACGACCTACATGTTGAATTGCAAGGCCGCGCAATCCCTTTTTTTTCCCAAGGAGGTTCGCTCCCTGGAGTGACGAAACTGGTCCACTGTAAGTGACCTGTTCGGGAGGAAGTGGAGAAAAACGAGCTGTCAAGGTAGATCCGGGGTAGCTGTGGAGAAGCTGGAGAAGAATTGAGGTGACTGAGCTGTTGTGGACCACAAGTGAAGGCCCCCACATCCCGACAATTGGGCAAGATCATCAGTATGCTCCTGAAGAGGCTTGAAAGGAGGATACTAGTAGTATGTGCTAAGGGGGAGGCTTACGCAAGCTTTTCAGTGTTATGTTGTTTGCGGGGCTGAAGACTTGGGCCATATCCCGAGAAAAGAGGAGTGCATGCACTATACACAAACTTGAACTAGGACAGTAAGGAGAATATCAAACCGCGTTATGCATGCATCTACGTACATTAAATATAATAGAAGTCAGGTTCGTCAATTCATTAGGCAGATACCTATAAGTAGGCTGGAGGTAACTGGATCCCCTCCCCCAATGACAATAAAAGACCATTCTAAAGCTCAAGAGCTCCAAATGTTCGCCCTTGACAAAGCGGCTAATGCAAAATGGCTTCCTAGCGTGGGACGTGCCCTGAAAGAATAAGATTGTCCGGCAGAATACCCATTACTCGCCTCGACCCAATAACGATCCGACCAGGGAGCCGTGTTCAGACCATTGGACAGATAAGCGTGGAGGTCACTGATGAATAGGTCTCGAGTGTCGCCAGTAACAGTCGCAGCGACGAAGGATTGCCAATTTGTTTGGCCCCAGCCTATAGCACCATCTAGAGGCACCCCGGCAGTTTCTCGTACCGTGGGATAAAAGTCTGTAGTTGCATTGTAGGCCTCATCTGGGAAGACATCAAGGTCGAAGAGCACGTCCGCATAGTGATTAAAGACGAGGAACCACGGGCTGGTGTCGTACTGGATCAGAAAGCGAGTCCCAGCGTCATCTGTCCCCAGATGATCTGTCCAGATTTTGTCAGCCCATTCCCGGCCTGTCGTGGTATAGTTTTTCTGATCGGTGAGTGCGCCATAGGTAGCTAGACCCACTGCGGCTTTCACGGCGAGGTTTGTCTGGTTGGCCAATTCCCCCAGGGCGTCGTTCAGCGAGAGCTGCGAAGCTGGGTATAGACCATTCTCGTACAAGTAATCCGCAAGTTGTTTCAGCTGTGCAGAGTAGGTATCCGATAAGTCGGTGTTTCCGGAGGCTTTCTCGTATGCGTAGGTCAGGATGATGATGTTGCCGCTCTCTTCGATAGGCATTTCCTCGCCATCGGCCGGATGACCCGTCGCGTTGGGGTAATTTGCGCCAATCTCATGTACTGCATATTCCTTGGTATAGGCATCGCTAGCTTGGTACTCAAAGACCGGAAGAAGCAGGAGCTTCAGATAGTCGGGGCTGAGGGTATAGAAGATGGGGAATGTGGCGTAGATAACATCCACAGTGTTGATGTTACCATCGCTGGAGATCTCCTTGATGAAAGCACGCACATCGTCCGTGTCTAAGGAATCATTAGGGATGGTGATTTCGATACCTCCGTACACCTGTCGCACAGAGAGAGCCAGGATATCCGAGTAATTTGACCCATAGCTAGACGTGCCGGTAGAATCGATCAAATCGTCGAAATCGGTCGATTCGCTCTTTGCTGAGGAATAATCATCTAAAAAGTGAACCACCGCAGCTGTGGTACCTTTGTACGAGGCTCGGTAGTAGCCTGTCTGTGCCTCGCCGAGGAAGTCAATCGACTCCTCGCGGACATGTCCAATAGCAAAAGTCACTGCCGATGCACTGGCCGTGGTGCCCAAATCATGTGCGAAGCCCACCACTCCGCCCGAAGACCAGGCGGCGTGATTCCCGCTGAGGGTTCCATTGTTGACAAATTGGTCTCGGACGGTGACTCGCGGCCCCGACTGGGTGGAGAGTGTGCTGCTGTCCGACGGGCGGGTGGCGTAGACGGCGCTGCCCCACAGTGCTTGACCATTGCTGTTCTGCGAATAAGTTGAGGCCCCAGTGGCCTCGATCTGGAACACGCCCGTCTTGCCGCTGGTGGAGTAACTCCAAGTCGAGTCGCTGGTCTGCCCGGTCCAGCTGGAATCAATGTCGGTGTAGACTTGCACGGAAGCAGAGTCGCCTGCGGTTACGGTTACAGTTAGGTAGGAGAAAGGCAGCGACTGGCGCACATAATTCTTGGGCGAAACGGGGGAGAAGAAGTCGAGGGTGAACTCGCGCGATCCAGCTGTCACGGTGAATGTAGAATGGGTGGAGGTGTACGTAGCGGCAGTCACCGTGGCGGACTGCGTTTCATCGTTGGGACTGGCCACACCAAACAAATTGTATGTGTTGCCGTCAACCCGTGCGATGACAGACCAGACCAGGTTGTTGCCAGCCCAAAATTGGGCATTATGGGAGGGCAAAGATTCGACTAGGCTTCCCGGGATCCACGCTGGTGTCGATCAGTAACTAATAGCAGTAAATGAGTGAGGTAGGTGGGGAGACTCACCCGACAAGTATGGACTGCGCACCGCCAGAGGGTATGATGGAGGCTGTACTGGAGAGTAAGTGACAGCACCGCTAGCGGTAGATATCAAACATGATGCCACCAGGGTGATTGCCCTCCAGGCACGAGGAAACATGCTGTGGAGGAGTGGTCTGGAAGCGTACTTGAGGCTGGTGTTCACCGATTCGACCACGATGGAAGAAAATGGGGCAATATGGGTAATAGAGAATATAGGAGTGACCAAACCACAATCTCAGTAAGGATTTCATGGTCAAAACACGAGGAATTCCGTGGCTTCAAATACCTCTTGTTGTCACGGAAGTCACAAATGTCACTGTGGTGCTGCAGCCGCAGACCAGCACGCATTCAATCACAACATGATGTGAGGACTTTGCGTGAGAAAGCCTAATGCACCTCATCCAGTGCGGACGATGTGCATGGGGAGCGGAGAAGAGGATGTTATTTGTTGATATTGGTTAGTAGAGATGGGGATTGTTGCTCAGCACGTCATCAGGTGCACCCATGAGCCATCAAAGGAAGCGATGCGAAGACATCGCGCGAGAGGCGAGAGCCGAGGGGCTGAGGAATGGGCAGGATCATATACTACTAGTAGTAAGTAACCTTGGAATACTAGTATTATCGATGTTCAAGGATGAGGGATCGCGTGATGAAGTAGGTACTAGTTACTACTGCATTAGTAGTAGTAGTACTCGTAGAACCTTGAAAGTATTCGTGCGGGGTTGTATAGCCACTACTGTCCCTTGTCTAGTACTATTCCAGTACTAGTAGTACCTCGGAGTCCCTGGTCTCTGCAGATAATGACAGGATGCGATCACCGCCACTGCTTGGCCGCGGCTCGCCAATCGGATCCATGCCAGTGCAGGGTCCTTCCGAAAGGCTTCAAGCTACTAGTACTAGTAGTATTTGCCGATCCGCTCGCCGACAGCATGAGAGCCGAATGTCGACATATCCATACGAGTACCTAGGTATTTGCCAACTCATTTCAAGTTTATCCAATGTCTGGGCAGAGGGCAGAGATGTCCGCAAGCACGTGGTGACTATACCCATGGCGTTGATCTTTGTCTCTATGTAGGGCTGGTACTACTAGTATACTAGTAGTTAACTACCAGGGCGCTCTAACACTGGCACTCCACCATGAGTCTGTTATGTGATGGTGATAGTGATCACTCATCTGTGCAACTCCCCGGCTCCGGTTTTATATCGATCCCCTGGTTCAAGGACGGTACCAGTGGAGGACGTAGTGAGGGTCAAGAGGTTTGGTCCAGGAGGCCCGTTGTCAAACATGGGCCGTCGAGGGTTGGTTCTGGTTCACGGCAGGGGCCGAGTGGTAGAGGAAACCGGGAGATGGTGAATATTATTCATTATCATTATCATTATCATTATCGAACAGAGTCGAGGTGAGAGACTTTTACAATTTTTGGCTGTCCTCTGGCCGAAAGTGCGGGGCTGCCCTCCCTGGTAACTAGTAGCTCATGAGATGTCATTGGACCAGGGTGTCTCGGGCGACAATGCCAAGGATGCCGAGAATTACCCGAGCACAGAATTGACCGAGTCATAGGGAGCACTCAGCAGAATGGGCACAGTATAGAGGACATGGCAAGGACAGCTATCGCAGCCGGACTCGGTAGTCTATAGTCATGGTGGACAGTCGAGTGGGTGTCCCACTGTCGAGAGTCCACTCGACAGTGGACAGTGGACAGTGGACTGATGCAAACGGACGCAGGGGATAGCGGTTACATCCCAGCAAATGAAACGCTGGGATTGGACCGAACCCACAAACCGAGTGGCCGGGTCCAGGTTCCTGCGCCGGGGGTGCGGATCAAGAACAGTTGGGATGGCAATGATTAGGTGTACTCATAGAGTACTCGTGTAGTGTAGTGGATTAGGCTGAGTTACTCAGTATCTGCTGAGGAGGGAGCCGTGACTATCTGAGGAGTGACGTTTTCGACACTCCCCACTTCCTTCCTCTTCCACTTCACTTCACTCCCTCCTCCTCCTCCTCCTCCACCTCCACTTCAGCTACTCACTGTCACTCCTACTTGTATTTCCCATACCATCTCTGTCTTGGGAAATACGATCGCCTTCGACTTTCCACTCCTGCAGTAGTGTCTCCCCGATCCGTGGAAGCCCGCCAATCTCCCGCGCCCTGACAGCTTCGTCACTTGGCTCGCCCGACCCAGACCCGGACCCGAATCCTACAAAGTGGGCGGATCCAGGCATTCCGCACTGACGGTTGCATCTCCGAGAAGCCTAGCAAGCAAAGAGAAAGCACCAAAGAAAGGAAGGAAGAAAGAAAGAACCCTGCAGAAGCATTGTTCCAATCCTGCATCGATCTGATCTGTTCCCCTCCTCCCTCCCTCTCCCTCTCCATCTCGCTTCTCTCGCTTGTCCTTCGCCACTGCTCATTTCCTTGGTTCTGGTGGGAACTGCGCATTTCATTTTATTCTATTTCACCTCATCTCGCCTCATCGGCTCTGCAATTTGATTTGCACTAGCCCACAACCCTCGTCTAGTCCTCGTCCTGGTCCTCGACTCTCACTCCTCGCCTCCGCCATCTTGCGATCGCAATCATCCTCCCACCCTTTCATCCTCCATCGTCATCCTCGAGCGAAGACAATTACCACTCCCCACACCGCCTCCCTCTGCGACTGCCGCCCGAAGTCGATGCTTCAACAGTGACGTGTGAATTTTGCGGGGTCGCATGTCACCTCTCTCTCCCTCCTCCCTCCAATCCCTCCAGCAACTGGCCTTTCTCTGATCGCCAACGATCGCGATTCACGAGCCACGAAATACTATCGATCAGATCATATCGGTAAAAGGACCGTTCCGTTGATTTTGTCGCGAGTCTCGCCCCCGGTTCCTCTCCATCTCGAACCATGTACGCTATAGAACAGGAAAGGGCCCATCCGCTGCCGCAGCCACCACCTCCTCTCTCAATGGACCGCATCCCTGCCCCGTCCGCCGCCTATCCCACCCCCGGCTCCGGTTCTCTTCTCCCCTCCGATCACCTCGCCCCCATCGAGACCGAGTATGATGGTCGCAAATGGTCCTTACAGGTCGTCCAACAGCCCATCCGCGCCCGGATGTGCGGCTTTGGTGACAAGGTGGGTGTTTTTTTCCGCTGCACTCCCGCTCTCCCGCACTTCCAGCGGAGGTCGGGTACCGGATCTGAATCGCGTTGACTGACTTGACTTCAATCTCTCAGGACCGAAGACCCATCACTCCACCCCCATGCATCCGACTTATCGTCCGCGATATCCACTCCGGGAAAGAAATCGACATCAAGTAGGATTCCCTCCCATCGACCGCCCCCTTCCCTTCGTTCTCTTTCTAACTTCGGGCAGTGAAATCGACACATCCTTCTATGTCCTCACTGTTGACCTATGGAACGCCGACGGCACCAATGAAGTAAATCTGGTTAAGCACTCGGCTACTTCGCCCTCCATCTCGACCGCCATGTCCTCCTCATACCCTCCCCCGCCTCAAAACAACATCTCCCCGACCTACCCCGGATACGGTCAAAATGCCTACGGAGCCCAGCCAGTCGGGTACCCCGGCATGAACTACTACGGTGGCGGTCAGATGTATCCGAACCAGCATCCATATGCCCAGCAGCCGGTTGGCTATCCGCCCTATGGGTTTCCCCAGGGTGGCCAAATGCCCGCCGCCATGTCTCCTGCGCAACCTGTCTCGGGCGGCCCTGGAGGAATGTTCACCCGCAATCTGATCGGAAGTCTCAGCGCCAGCGCATTCCGATTGACCGATCCTGACAACAAGATTGGCGTATGGTTTATCCTGCAAGATCTCAGTGTAAGGACTGAAGGTTCCTTTCGGTAAGTTCTGCAAATCCAACACACGCACACACACACATGCACAGCCTCTCAAGTACATCTGCTAACTTCCACAGTCTCAAGATGAGTTTCGTTAATGTCGGAACGCCATCTACCGATTCAAGTAATGGTGCCCCCGTGATTAATCAGGGCTCAGCGCCGGTTCTCGCTTCAGTTTTTAGCGAACCTTTCCAAGTCTTCTCCGCCAAGAAGTTCCCCGGTGTCATCGAGAGCACCCAACTGAGCAAGTGCTTCGCGCTGCAGGGTATCAAGATCCCCATTCGAAAGGATGGAGTGAAGGGACCCCGCGGCCGCGGTGGGGACGGCGATGATGATGACGGCGACGACTATTAAAATTTCCATGAAACTTCTCGATGGGCTTGCTCATCTCACCCAGCATTATAAACGAGGGGCCCGTCCGCAGCGCAAAAAAGACTGGTGTTTGGGGTTCCTCGCTGACGAATAATGACTGGGCGGGATTAATTTCTCTGGCTTAGTTGGCAGATGAAGACAAAAAAGGGAGGCGTGATGGCTTAAATGGTGTTTTCGGTGGGCCTATACTTTGGCGGTTTCCTTTTTTTTTCTTCTTTTCCCCTTTTCAATTCTTTTTTTGATATTGCTTACACGGACTGGTGCTGGCGGAGTCTGGCTTTTACTTCTATTTTCCCTTACTCTTGCTTGGTTGGCCCGTGGCCGTGTTCATACCTCGGCAGCGCTATAGCTGCTCGTATATATTTTATTCGGTGATTGATCGCTCAAAGACTTCCTTCCAGCCACTGTGAAAAGTAGACTTTCGTATTTTAGGATTTCCCATCACTGGCAATGCTCTTCAGCATCTCCGCCAGGGTTGTACAAGTGGGACCAGAAAGCCGTGGCGCACTTAAGGTTAAAATGGGGCCACTCCCAGGAGCAGGGATCCGGGATCGCAGTGGCCAATGAGTGAACACTTCACTTGAGACACCTGACTATATGTATGTCCACTGGCAAGAAACTCCCGAATCACGTTTTCGGTTATTAGTGCTATGTCGATCTGGTACGCATCCCTAGCCAAAGAATTGTTCCAGTTGATACTTCCCACACTGAAAACAGCACCCCCTCCAGCCGACTCGTAGTACACCATATTCGTTCCAACCAACACCGATAAGCTTGTGATCGTAGTCATGGCTCTGTACTGCGCGAGTGGGCGCGTTGATGAGAATTCCATCTAGGCCTGGCCCGGACACATCTATGGCCTCGTCCGTATCTATGCCTATGGAAAAGTCGTAGCGAGCAATGTCCCAGGGGGCTCGACCAACAGCCTTGAAGGCGGGAGAGTCAATGCGGCCATTAAAGATATGAACTGGTCGATTAGTGCTTGAGCTCGGGCGTAATTGCTGCATTATGTATGCTCTATGAATGCCTTTTCTAGCTATAAATTACAAAGGCTTTCCAGCGTTTCCAAGCGTATTTCGACCTACTTCAAAGCCTTGCCAGTGGGTTGTCGAGCAATCACAACTCCCCCCCGGATACCAATTATCCAAACCTTGAACAATCTATCTTCAAGATCTAAATTGAATCGGAACAGAAACATATGGATCATATGGTAGGGGTGTTAATGAGAAGATGAAAAGAGAAATCAAATCCATTATGAGTCACCATTTCAGCTGGTACACAATTGGGTGTTCCTGGGAAGTTGTCTGAGAAGGTGCTTGCGGACATGTACCATATTCACTTATTCACTATTCACCGATTTTCTTCCCTCTTTTCCCTTCTTCTGCTATTCTTCTCCTATCCACTCCTCCATGTCATCTTTGACTTCACACGGGAATAGGAGCCCTTGATCCTGCACCGCTATAATCGTTTGAAAGGATTTCAATTGGACGAGGGAATCCAGTTGAGTGGCCTGCACAGTTGACGCCAATGTGAGTTCCCACCATGTCCACCTCTCAGTCAAAGTTTTCTGAAATCGAACAACATGAAGAACAATCGTTGAGTCTGATCTCAATCAGTCAACTCACTCTCGCTCAACCTAGAAATTCCCCATTCGATCTGGGAACAGAAGAAAGAACACCCACAGCAAGATTGCTCTCGGTTGACTACGGGCTCCTTGGGGTGTAAGTCGATACAAATTCGTCTCTCACCTCCAGAATCGAGTTCAGACTCGTCTCATCTTCATTCATTTAGTGCCACCCATCAAAGGGAGTGACCAAAAGATCAGCATTCCATAAGTCCATTGACCTCCATCTACCTTCACCATGGGCCATTCAAACACTGCGAAAGGCTCAGAAAGCCGGGTAAGTCATTTCACTTGGAATATTTTCATCTGTAGACGGTCATTTAACTCATTTCTAGTCCCTGTGCCGCACTTCATACTTCCTAAGTAAGAACTACCCCAAACTTATCAATAACGACACCCCACTCACCGAAATGACGAATATTTGGGCGTGTCTATTCAACTATTTCCGCAAGCCTGGCGATGTTGGTGTTGAGACCTTCAGCATTGGGTACGGGAGAAACTCAACCCGTGGGGTTGACGTCGAGTCCCTGCATTTCTCTCTCGGCTACATAAAGCAGAATATGCTCGGACGCCACACTATCATGCAGGTCGAGGTTGGAAAGGATCCAGTTGACGCTCTCGGTAAGCTTGAGAAGGAGATGAGATACAGTCTCACAGAGCTCCCTGTCCCATTCGTAATCTGCCCTCTCTACGGTATGATGGCAATTGGGCCCTATGTTCGCTTCTACGTGCTCCATGATCCGGACGGAACCTTAGAGGAACTTAAACCAGCGACAGATGGATCAGCGTGGCATATCCGACATGATGATAAGGCGGTCGATTCGATCTTCAACTGGCTTTTCGACCATTTCATTTACTGACTTCACGATTTCTATCATTCTCGGAAGATGCCGTCACGATTCGAGATTTGAAAATTCACCCATTGGGTAGTTATTATCATACAATATTGCGAGTTCCCGGGGTTGTCGAGAAGGAAATTTTGATGGGTTAATGGGGAATTTCCGATGTCAAGACAAGGATGATAACTATGGTCGATAGCAAGAGACTGGCAGCTGATGGAAGGATCTCGGCTGCATTCACGAGCGAGCTTATTTTGTCAATTTACTGCACAGGGGTGTCTTCATGGTACATACTTGATCGTCTAAGGGAAGAACGCTGGGCTTCGCCTAGGGACTTCCATGATACACCTTGACCTGTCTATGGGTTTTTTGCTATCGTAACAACTACAAACTCGGTACTTCGTAGACTCATGATAATACCATACTCCAGACTCGTCCTCACCCTAGCAGTTACTACTCACTATATGGGGCACTTGTTTGTAAGGCAGGACGCGACCTCCGGAGTTATTGCAACATCGAATTAATTTTCTATTTTCATCTATAGAATCAAGTACGAGTACTATGTATCAGGTATTGCCTATGTATCTCCCATTTCGTCCCATCTCCATATCAATCGGTATCTGGACAGAAGTCCGAGTCACCCCCGCATCTACGCTCTTCATGCCGAGGCCTGATACAACCTATTGCATATGTATAAATTAAACTGCTCATTCGACAAGCTCTAGATATCTTCAGTGGCAAGAGAACAAAGTAAACGACTCGCCACCATGTCCAGTGTTTCACAAGGGACTGACTTCCATTACATCGCCATCAAAGAGCTTCACCCTACGTTCGGCGCGGAGATCAGCGGCGTAGACTTCTCCAAGCCGGTGACAAAAGAAGTCTTTGCAGAGATCCTAGCCGCAATCAACAAAGTGGGTCTGACGTACCTGTACTCTCTGGAGATGCTAACCAACTTTCCGACCAGTACGGGGTCTGCGTGTTCCGCAACACCGGCCTCGACGATGCCGGCCACATCGCCTTCGCCGCCCAGTTCGGCGAGCTGGACGACGTAACACCGTACATCGCGGGCGGCCGCGCCCACCGACTCTCCGACGTGCGGCTATTTGACGTAGGTAACATCGACCTGGACGGTGGCGTGTTTGCCCTGGACAATGTGCGACGCGAATGGAACAAGGTGAGCGGGACATGATATATCCTGGAAGGCCAGGCCAGGTTTATCCCTATTCAAACATCAACCCAAACTGATTGACACCTGCAAGGGCAACGGTCTCTTCCACGTGGATTCGAGCTTCAACCCCCGCCGCGCCGGGTACTCACTCCTGCGCGCGGCCGAACTACCACCGGGAGGTCTAGGAGGCGAGACGGAATTCGCAGACTCACGATCCGCCTTCGACGACCTGGAATCACATTTGCAGGATCATCTGCGCGTTCAGAATTTCATCGCCGCACACTCGCTCTGGCATTCCCGGAAACTAGCCAGCCCGTCTACCTTTGCCGATGTGAATCCGGACGAGTACCCGATGGGTCGACACCGACTGGTACAGACGCACGAGGGGTCTGGTCGTGAGACGTTATACCTTGCCGCGCACATCCACCATATCGAGGGGTTAGAGGCGGATGTGTCGACGGCGTTGGTGGAGCGGTTATTGGCTCATGCGACGCAGGCGAGGTATGTGCTGCGGGTTGGATGGGAGAATGTCGGGGATCTTGTGCTGTGGGATAATACGAGTGTCATGCATCGGGCTGTTGGAGGGGAATTTGAGGGCCGGTTTCGCCGAGACATGCGGAGGGCGACTGTTCATGATGGGAGCTTGGCTGCTTGGGGGTTGAATGAGCGAAGTGAAATCCGGCAGGGGTTGCCATAGGATATCATCGCATAGCCATGGTGCCAGTGGGTGTATATCTGAGTCAAAGGATAAGCGAATGCTACCATGGAGAGGATAGTTTCATACTAGTTTCCTCGATTCTCGGAATTTCGTATGATGCCGCCAAGAATAGATGAGACATGGAGGGACGATCAGTGGGTTAGAATTGGGTTGACTGGGTTATAACTGGGTTATGTTCGTGTTGAATGAACCACGGACCCGCTGGCTCCAATTAATTCTCGGCGAGTTTCTCTTGCAGATAGTCAACAGTGTTCTGTTGGTGTACCGAGCAGTTATAGACGGAGTAGGAGAGGAGTAGGTGAGGTCTGCAACCCTTGGGAACCACCGACTTCTCTCAAACTTGTCCAATGAGAACTTCCACTCCGCCACCCGCTAACCACCCGACAGCCACCCGATCTCTTGATATCAGGTCATCGTCATCCCATGAAATGTTTGGTTCCCTGGACAATCACAATCACAGTGGACCGCGGGGTTTTTGCCCGTCTTTCCCCACTACATCATCATTCATTGTTGATCAGAATATCCGTGCCTGATTGACTGTTTGATTCCCCTGTTCTGCTATAAAGACCCTCTCCTGTCCCCCATCCTTTGTCTCTCGTACCTCAAGTCATTCACCTTCACATTGACATTCCACTCCCATTCAATCCTCAACATGAAGTCCTTTTTCGCCCTTGCTCTTCCTCTTCTGGCTGCGGCTGCCCCTGCGCCCATCACCGAGCCCCGGGCCGATGCCGATGCCAACCCCAACTTCAGCGTGATGGCTGTTCGCTCGGCCTCGCCCATCCACTACACTCAGCTCAACGCTGCCGGACAGAAGTTCTGGCTGGGCGGCAACACCGCCTCCTACTGTCCTCACATGGATGGTCTGGAGTGTCCCCCCCGGTAACCAGACTGTCCTCGCTCCCGGCGGTGGCTCTCTTGTACGTAACCACTCAAAAGAAATGCAAGAGCAAAAGAAAATGTCCGAATCCATACTAACTGAACCAGGATGTCGAGGTCCCCGGTGGTCAGCAAGTCTACGTCGCTGCCTCGGGCGCATTGAGCTTCACCCAGGCCCACTCCGCTAGCATCCCCCCCTGGTTCCGCCGTTGGCGGCCTCTCCTACGTCCCCGGCAAGCCCTGGGCCCACTACACCTTCAACGGATGGAACGCAACTGGCCTGATGGCCTGCCCGACCGAGGACAACCGCTGGCAAGTCTTTGCCGCCATGCAGAATGCCACCGTGCCCCAGGGTAATGTTGGCGACTGCCTCGGTTTCTCGGCCCTCGCTCTGACGTACAAGGGCGATGTGCCCGCTTGGCAATACATCTAGATGCGATCATGATGGTCGGGATGATGACTTTGTTTTTGTCTAGCGTTGCTTGGTTATATCATAGCTCATGACCTGTACAATACTTTCGCTTTTACTTTATAGCTGGTCTACTAATAACTTGAATAAACTATAGTCAGTACTCTCTCCACCAAGTAGTGTCTACCACGTAGTAAAACTAGGTCAGAAGGAGAACTTGAACGTCGAACATTGTACTTTTAAAGACTGGGTATCAAGATCTATACTCTGCTCTATACTTTTAGTTCCGCCAGATCCGAATCGCCTTGTCCTTGCCTCCGCTACCAACCTTCTGTCCATCCGGGCTCCAGTCCACTGCAAACACCTCATCCTTATGGCCCGGCAAATCCATAGCCAGCTTGCCGGTGCGGACATCCCACACCTTCAGGGTGGTATCCTTGGAGGACGAGACCAGCATCCGAGAGTCGGCCGAGAAACAGCACTGGTAAACAGCACCGACGTGACCGCGGAGGGTAGTGATAAACCTGCGAATCGTGTAAGTAGAGAAAATAGGTAGAAAAGATAAAAAGAGAAGAAAACTGACTTTCCATCCCGTCCATTCCAAATCTTGACGTGGTTATCAAATCCAGCAGACGCGATATACGCCATATCAGGGGAGAAAGTGACATAGTTAACCTCCTTCTGGTGACCAAGCAGTCGAGCGACGGGCTTGTTCGAGCTAGACGGCTCCCACAAATACATGGTGAAATCATCACTAGCCGAGACCAATCGCTCAACAATCGTCCCATTGACAGTAGCGGCCTGTTCAAACCGCTTCCGCGCAGCAGCCACCTTCTCCCCATCATCCGTAGGAACCTTACCGGTGTGATCATGGTACGCGGTGCGCAGGGCAAAATCCGTCGACAAAGCCAAATGATTCACGCGATGCGCATGGGCCGACAAAGTCTGAATAAGAGATCCATCCTTCGGGTTCCAAATCTTAATCGTCTTATCATGGGAGGCAGTATAAATCAACCCGGTACCACCCCAGCGCACACAAGTAACAGACCCCTTATGACCGGTCAAAACGGTATCAATGCGCTTGGAAACAACATCCCACACACGCACGGTCGCATCCTTCGATGCAGACACCAATCGCGGACGACCGGTCTCTTGAATATGATACGGTTCCCAAGCCAGACTGGTGATCCACTTCGCATGACCCTTCAACGGACCACCGAGTGCCTGGCCTTTCTTCGCATCCCACAGCCGCACCGAATTATCCATGCTACCCGTCGCGATCATGGCTCCGTTCGGCGAATACGCCACCGCCAACACCCAGCTTGTGTGGCCCTTGAGTGTGTGGAGGGGTGTACCCGTATCGCAGTCCCAGACACGCGCGGTCGAGTCACCGCTTCCAGAGACCATTGTCGAGGAAGAGACGGGCGAGAAGGAGGTTGCAAGGATGGCTTCGCCATGGCCGGCAATGGAGGCGGCGCAGCGGGAGACGGCCTTGACACGGAAAACGGCTTGCGGAGTGTAGTATAGCGAGACGGTATCTTCGGTGGTTTTGATCCCAGGTTGGAGGAGGGAGTGGTAGAGATCGGCGAGGATGTCGATGGTTTGGCCTTCTTTGTCGGATTGGTATGTGAATCGGTATGGGACGCGGTCGTCATCATCCTGCTATGGTGTGAGTGGACATGCGATGGGGTGGACATGCCATGGGCTGAGTGACTTACATTGCCTTGTAATGTGTTGAGAAGTGTCTCGAGGTTCTTGGTATTGGCGTCGGCCACGGGCACTGAGACTGCGGGACCTGTTGGATTGCCTGTCGCCTGGTCGAAGAATTGGACACGGACGCTGCCCAGATCGGAGGGGATGCGATCAATCTCTTGTTGCTCGCGGGTCTTGTCGGCCTGAGCAACTCTTTGGCGTTTGCTGGGCGGGGGGAGAAGAGTCGCCATGATTGAATTGAAGTGGTGGTGAAGTGACTGGAGGGACTGGATGGACCAGCTGCGGTTACTTTTTACTTTTCGAAGAAATTTTGATGGCTTATCAGCTTATCGCGGACCCACCAGTTGGTGCGGGTCCATAGGAGTACAGCGGGGAGTATAACTATGGGATGGTGTAGGATATGGGTGAACACCGAAAACTAAAGGTCATTCATATTTATTTTATGGATTAGATGATTGGTAACTAGAAAAAGGGGGCCCTTCTCATTTAAATTGGCTGCAATTGCATTTAATAGCTTCAAGTTGCCTTATTCAATTCCTCGGCCACTAACTACCATCCACATTCCAAGCTTAGCATCCATGAATCTCCATCTCTACTAGTAAATTTGCCGCTTATTTCACTCAGGATCGGGGCTCTCTCGTCCTCAGTCTCATCGGGAGTCCACCCTTGATTCCCTGTGAAGAAATGAGCTAAGCCTTCTATTGCATCCATAGGAAAAGGAAAAAATTGACACATACCATATTCAAAGCTGCGAGTGGCTCATAAGGCCGAGAAGTGTCTTGCAGGATGACATCGAAGCGTTGCAATATTGCAGTCGTGATTGCAATTCCCTCGTAGGTGGCCAGTGCACGACCAAGACAACTTCGAGGTCCAGCATTCCACGAATGATATTCTATAATATCACTGATCAGCCACGCCAAAAATCGTTCAACTCGCTCACGACTCACTGAAAGGACCATGGGATATGCTTTCCCCATTCTCTTTAAACCATCTCGATGGGTTGAAGACAGCGGCATCCTCTCCCCATACCTGTGGCATGCGAGAAATGACATAATTTTGGTAGCTCACGATATCCCCCCTATGGGAAATGTGTCTAGTAGATGAGGTCCCATGATAGATCAAGTTCAAAACTTACTTTTTGACACGTCTCGGAGGCATATTCAATTCTGGAACTGCCGGAAGGATATCATCGTCTGCTGCCTCCATCTGGCCAGCAGGAGATACCGTATTGAGGCGCGCATTCTCGTCCCACATTGCATTCATGAATTGCAGCTTCTGTTCAACAGAAATATTAGAAACTTAGCTCGGAGCTATCTGTCTACCAATAAATACTCAAACTCACCGGGGTATCACCATAACCGAGGAAGCTAGTTGCAAAACCATGGTCTTCAACCTCCGTTCTGATTTTGTTGAGGGCATCGAGATGCTTGTTGTCGTCGTGATGGATTTCTTTCATGAGCCACGAGATAGTGTAGGCAGTTGTGTCCCCTGGCTTGGTCAGAAAGATAACGAAATAATCGAGGGCTCATCTCCACTTACGGCCTGCTGAGAGAAAAGCAAATACCATGCCACCGAGCGTATATCGATCTTGAGTCGACTGTATGAAGAGGTCTAAGAGATCAACGCCGGCATTGGGGTCAGGCTTGTAACCAGAGTTCATCGCGTCAAGGCGCCTCTGAATTAGACCATCTATCTGTTCGTAGAAGAGACCGACGGCGTGTTGGCTGATCTTATCCTCGCCGGACAACCTTTCGTTGAATTTCCACAGAGGGTCACGTCGCCTTCGGTCGAATACTAACAATCAGATCATCAGCGTTCAAGAAACATTCTAGTTCTATCGGATAAGGCGTAAACATACAGTAGAGAGCATTATCGAAAGCCTCAACATATACCGGCTTCGATGCGAGGGACTTCGGATCTTCAGATAGAATTTCCAAAGCCATCTTCTCTTCGTGAAATGCAACCTGAAGGAATAGACAGAACATGAGGCGGCCCATTAGTTCTTGAAAGTCGAATTCCTGATTCTCTCTCTCCAGATTAGATAGCAATTTCATCAACATGTCAAGCCAATAGTGAAGCGATCGAGTGATATGTTTCTCAAAATTTGCCTTGCTAAATGCCTTTGTTGCAGCTTTTCGTTGCAGGTGCCACGCGGGGCCATCTGAGATGAAAATGCTGGACCGGTGAAGGCTCTGAAACGCGTTCCGCGTAAATGCCCCGCGAATGTAGTTTTTACTGTTATGCTTTTGAATATGTTCGAGATAGGTTGGATGGTTGATGATATGTAAGCGAAAGAAAGGGATTGTCATCTCATAGGCCGGTCCGTATTGCTGGTAAAGAGAGAACCAAGCCTTGCAGCTGGCAGCACCTCCGGTCTGAAGCTCTTGCACACTTCCTTTGAAAGCTTTGCCCTTGGGACCGGCAATCCATTTTGAGTTGGCGGAAGCAGATGATCGGAAACCTCTGTTACGGTATGTCCAACATATCCCTCACATCATAGTCAGCGTCTGGTGTTGCCAAGGTGCCAGTGTCTATAAGTGTTGCATAGAAACATACATGATGTAAAAATAAGTGCCAGGGATGTCAGAATTTTGGCTGTTGTGATTAGCAGGGGTCCGCGAAATGGCAGAGATTCTGCTAGAAGAAGACCCATGTTGATGGTTGATGAGGTTGGGTCGCTTAATTGTATGTGGATCAGAGTGAAGACGCAAAGGCTGTCGTATTTGGACTTTCATTCTAGCCGTTCAAGACAACATGCCATTCGGTATGCTTTTGATGTTTGTTCTGAATGGAAGTTAGTTCGTTTTTGTCGTAGGCTTGAAATCAACCTAAAGCTTACTGGCGCAGTATTCCACCCCGCCGAAGAGCTCAGTGTGCGGGGTTCGGTCAGTGCTGACCCGAACTTTTCCTCTCTCCGGAATTGTCTTGCCGTGGGTGAAACACTAAATCTCGATCTATCGGAAGGTATTACCTGCGTTGATTTTCGGAAATGGTTTGCCCGGAAACACTCAAAGTTATACAATCTCCACCCCAGGAAACGTCGCCTTTGTCCTCTATCCGGACAATGCAGGGTAACTTCATATCATATCAAATGATCACAGCTACTTGCATCGGATCGCGGATGCATGAACGCTTTGTAGAGAAGGTTTGGGGGCTTGAGAGCTGACCCTTGAGGGGCACCACCAGCGCATGTCGATCCCAGTGCGAAGGCAGTGTCTGGCAAACCCCATCATACTAGTGAAGACATGCCGAGCCAAATTAGGTATACAGAAGCATTTCCGAGTCCCTAATGACGACTTTATGCTGTATCATTAATATGAACTGACCTGCGTCGAGCGCATTTCCAATATGGTTCAACAGAGAGGCCACCAAGGCAACTCGGCCCGGTCTCTGACCATAGCCATGGGTATCTCTCTAGCCGGGTATGTGATAGTCTATCAATCTTCTAGTTATCTGGTACCAGAAGATCAAATGCTGAGAATAAAAGATCCGCCAGTTCTTCTTTATGGTCTAAACACGGGAACCATTGCCTCGACAATGGCTTCCTTAGCGACTTTTCGAACAATGCTTACATCAAGGGTGGCATTGTCTGCAGCTATTACGCTGGATCCTGTATTGGCAGTGCTGGCGCTGGCCGGTCCATGGACAAACTGTCACGCCGCTGGTCGATCCTTCTCGGCTCAGTTGCTTCCATAATTGGGGCCGTGCTACAAGCTACATCTATGAAAGAACTTACACCACCTGAAAATCGAGGGTTTCTCGTCGGATTGAAAGTTTTCATGCACGCTGTCGGTTACTTTCTCGCTGGGTGGATCGGTTACGCTGGTTCATTCGCTCAGGGTGATTTGGAATGGCGGATACGAAAATACCAGTCTTTTTCAATTTGGACAAAGACTCGGAGTAATATAGTTCGAGCTGTACAATTCCAAAGTCACACGTACAAATTATCGTTATAAGACTCTTCATTAAAATTTCTCATATTCTGTGGCAAGTGAATACTAGTAGCTAAAATCAATTAATTCTTCCTGTGCTCACACGCTGCCGAGTACTATCATGATCTTTAGATCTAGACATCTTGCAATATGGGAAAATCCTAGGCAAGTTGTAATAATACTAGTATATATTTATAGAGACCATTGGCATTTTTCACACCCAATTTGAGGAAATATTTACACATAGCCCTGGAGAATATGAGGATCTGTGGGATTAACGCCGAAAATGACAGCTTTTGAGGCCAGAAACGGCTGTCTTTCTACCCGTAGCTTTAGACATCCAGCCGCCCCTTAACCGCCAAATGGTCTTAATGTTGACGCCCGACTTATACAGTTGTCCCTCTCGTTTCCACTAGCGACTAAAGCGATACCGGAAATAGCTCCCCTTTAGCTAAATCTGAGTCCCCTCCAAAGCCTGATCAGGAGAGATATTAGAGTACATTAATCTTTTATTTCCCCTGCACCATCTTGACATCAGTGCAGCATAGGAATGGATCGTCTTCCAGCAATCCAGTCTTAAATTTCCGGTCAAGATGAGCGTAGTCCGCATCATCCAGCATCTTTGCAAAATGCCATATCGACGGATACCACACTAGGGCAACATCCCCCCCAGTGAGAATCTTTGTTTCCCTCTTCCAGTTTTGAGGACCAAGATGTGGTGCCAGAAGCGAAACATATTGCACCGCTACCATATTTCAGTCCGACTGTGCGCCTGAAACCAGCGACGTATCCTTCCAGGTATGCTAGTCTCTTGCCTGAGCAGATTCAGAACCACAACCGGGCCTTGATGGGACGAGCCAAATTCTTGGGTAAAACTTCTGACTGTCACTCCATCCATGTCCTTCTGTGACCCAAGGAGCCGAGAACGTGAGGTCAATGACAGCTTCAGATCATCTGGTGAAAAAGGTGCTTCCAAGTCGCCGGGGTCCTTAGCAGTCCACCCGGAGGGGAGATGAGGCTCTCTAGCAAGAAGTTGTTCAGCCACCACCTCCGGCTTCGGAGCATCATCCGCAACGTTTGCCGTTGGTCGGTGGGGGGGGAGAGGAAAGAAAGGTGGTGGTCTAATTAGTACTGCTCTAAGAGATGCCGAAAGGGCGAGGTCGGGAGAGGTTACAAAACAGCCCTACTAGTATTTGGCACTAAACCTAAGAAGGCAAAACTAACTTGAGATAGTATTAGAGTATTAGAGTATTAGTTCAAGAATTAAAACGGGTTCCCTACCCAGGAATATAACTTTGGAAGCATTAGCAACAATATTTACAGTGATTATTCATGCTATTCAGACTGTTGCGCTCAGCCGATTCTGCCGCATCAAGAGGAGGCGGTGTATGCGGACCCTGGCGCGCTGATCGCCGCTCGCACCGGAGGCGATCATTCGGGTTCATGTGCTTTGAGAGCGTTGAGCTATTGCACAACCCTCTTCAAGTTCGGCTTGTCGTTTCTCGTTCGTCTGGATTTGTGCCCTTTCCAGCCTTGGCGAGTTCGCGTGAGCTGAGTGACCTCGACCCTCACCCCCCACCGGCCAGCTACTCCCCGCAGACACAACACAGCTGGAACTGCCCGATGAAGATTCCACAAACCCAAAATGCCGCCAAATGGGAAGAAAGGGTCGGCGGCAGCTCGCCCGCCGCGCAGAGATGTGCTGGCTTCGCTTCGCATGGCGTCAATGGAAGATATCTCTCGGGGCTCACTACCAGCGGGTGCGTCATACCATTGAGTCCAAACCAACCCTTCTTAGCCCAAGAGAGCAAACGGCTGACACGACCTAGAGATAATGTCGTCAATTATCGAATACCTTGATCCGATAGAACTCGTTCAAGCAGCGAGGTCCTGCAGGCTCCTCCACGAAATGGCGTATGACGACACTCGATGGGTACAAAAGCTAAAGCGAATTGGATGTTGGGACGAGACGGATGCGCGGAAACATGCCGAGACCGTCTTTGGGACCGTGGCTGATTTGGAAACTGCCAAACAAAAGGATATGGCAGAAGAAGTCAGGAGTGCGGTTCCCACCATTGCATTGGAGAAGATTCACCCAGCTACCAGCGTGAATGAATTGTCAGACGGGTTCGACAAGATTGAATTAGGGAAGGTCGCGCCACAAACTGACATGCTGGAGATGGACGATGAGGATCCCGTTCTATCGGTTATAAGGAATGCCAAATCAATTCGAGGAGAGGCTCGCCAGCAGTATGGCAAGATCCATGCTGCCTTGGGGCCTTTTTACTACGACATTGGGACGAATGGACCCTCGACTGAGAACCTGGTTTTCACCAAATACAAAGATCCGCAGGCACAAGCTAAGGTACTATCGCAACTGCTGGCATTTGCGAAATCCGACATGACCAATGGGTGGCAAGAACGAGGAGAACGCCTGGAGAGCACGATCTCTATGTTTGAAACCGCCGCATTGAATGAGTTCCGAAATGGATATGAAACGGGCGATATCGATGGGGTCATGCGGAAGTATGCCAACATTTTGTGGATTCTCAACGGTGGCCAGTCTGCCGTAGAGCTCTTCATACACCATAACCACCTGGTGACACGAAAGTCCGAGCTGGGTACGCTTTCCGACTGCATCGATGGATCGACTGGGGAGGTCAAACTACAGCAGACTCAAGCGTTCTTTACTCGGTTGAGCGTCGGATATAACGAGGAAATTTCCATCATGAACCGGGTATTCCCTCCCGAGCTAGATGTTGCACGACGATTCATGGAGAAAATTGGACAAGACGTCCTATATCCCTTCTTGACAGCTATATTTGACGAACTTCACCGAACTAACATGGAGTCCTATTTGAGGGCAATTTCGATCACCTTCATACAGTGCATGAACTTATCCGAGTCCTTGCTGCCAATCCGCAACTCCGGCGAGAATTTCGACCACTATTTGGACACGGTGGTTGCCAGGATTTATGAACCACACATCGATCTTTACCTAGCAGAAGAGCTCGACTTCTTCCGAAAGCGATCCGAGGCCATTGTAACAGACTGGGATCGTCAACTATCTGAACAAGCAGCTTCAACTGAATCATTCTTGATGTCCAATATCAATCGCCAAGCCGATAAGCGGGATTTCCTGACTTCATTCAAGAAAGTGATCATGATGCCTGTCAATATTCTACCCAGTTTTTCGAAAACCACCGAAGAACCCAAATCCGATTCCGAAGAGAATGGTAATATCACAGCGCCAAAGAGTCCCAATCGATTTTCCACAATTTCATCACCCACACCGATGCCGGTAGAAGAAGTCCCAACCACAGAACTCGCAGCCAAGGCAGCCATCATGAAGTCGAAGATGGAGGGTATTCGATCTTTGTTTAGTATCGAGATTGCATTGGGTCTCGTCCACTCGGCTAAGTCGAGTCTGGAGAGAGCCGCGCAGTTTGTACGACTTGGCGGGGAATTCGGTGCAGCCGCGAAGCGGCAATGTCAAGCAATCTTTGTGGCACTGCTGCGTATATTGGGTCATAGCCATGTGATTATTGGATTTGACAAGGCTGTGGATCATTTGTCCAATTATAGACCACGTGAACACGAGGAGCGTGATCAATCAGGAGTCGAGCCCTTGGTGACCTTTCTGGAGTTGGTCAACGTGGGTGATCTGATCCTGCAGATGGTAGATGTATTCTATGAGCAGGAATTGATCGGTACGAGTCTCACTGATCGTAATGACTTCTTGGATCCAGCGAACAAGGAGAAGAAGCGGTTTGAACAGATGTTGGACGAGCGGGTAGCGGCTGGGCTCAACAAGGGTATTGATGTCTTGATGGAGGAAGTGGACTACATTCTTGCTACGCGGCAAATGGCCACAGATTTCAACCCTGGTGTCTCCTCGGACCCTCACCGACAGACTATGGACATCAGTATCAGTCCGGCGGCCTCATCTATTGTGGACGTGGTTTCTTCACACACGCAGATGCTGGTGGGAAGTACCGACAAGAGCACATTGGATGTCTTCAACCAGGAAGTTGGATTGCGCCTGTTCACGGCTTTGTGCAAGCATATCAAGCGGCAACGGATCAGCGTCGAGGGTTCTTTGAAGCTCATCAGGTATGTTTCAAATGATCTCAGCCTATTCTTAGTCCATCGCCTTGCTAATCCGTTTCTAGCGACATGAATCACTATTTCAAGTTCGTTCAGACCTTGCGGAACACTGAACTCCTGCTCTATTTCAAGGCATTCCGGGAGCTTGCCCAAATCTACCTGATCGATCCATCCGACGCGAAAGAACTGGCAACCGTCATCGCTGACGCCGACCGTTTTTACGGGATATGGCGCGTGGAAGAAGTGTACGAGTTTGCGGAACGCCGGGCCGACTGGTACCAGGTAAAGCGTGATGTGGAACGAGCTATGTATGGCATTGGCTGCAGTGTTATGTAACATACTACGACTTGCACAAATGAATGTATAGACAGCAGCATATATTTATCACTGCAGCCCTGGAGGAAACTAGACCAAGGAATACAAACCTCGGAGCCGTGGCTACCAACTACTGGGTCATATTACTGTGTCTCTATAAAATATAGTCGCTAGGAAGGAGAGCCCTTGAAATCTCTCGGGCTGATAATTAAAGGAACCCCCATGCCCAGCAAAAGACGACCTCCTGATTCTGCCTAACCACTATCTTTGATTTTCCACTGCTGCGTTGTTGCTCCGACTCATCCGCAAGGTCGCATTTAGCCGCCGTAGTCCCTGACGTCAACGGCGGCTAGTGGAACGCGGGTGCTCCACCTTGAAACGATCACCAACCCTCCCGAACCAACAATCGGCCCGGAGAAGGGCAAAAGTCAGACAGGTGCAGATGCAGAGCTGAAAGCCTGATGTCTATTCGCCAGTCTCGTCGATATGCCCCGTATTCTTCAGCAACAGGGCCAGGGCCAGGGCCGGCCGCAGAATCGATTGGTGATGCCGATCCCACCCCATCTTCAAACACCATGTACCTCTGGATCTACAGGTTCCATGGTTTCCACAATCGCCCGGAGAGAATCTATGTTTTCGATGGTACCTTGGATGTCCATGGCGTGCATTTCCTAGCCAGGCCCCGACGACGGCTCGATTCCGGATATGTAACCTGACACTCATTCGCTTTGAAACTCGACAAAGACCCTTTCTTTCACCCTGTTATATCCTTTCCATCTCCTAATCACCAGACAGTATGCAGTGAACAAACTGCTACAGATACGCTCGAAATTCCCCACGAAGAAACGACATTCCATCGGTCAGCGCCGCAACGATGCCCGCCTTATTTCGCGCGCTGTCATTCTGGCTTCTTCTGGTAACCATCGCCAGCTTGACGCCGGCCGTAGACGCCCAAGATACAGTCTACATCACAGCCAAGACTACAGTTGACGCAGTGAAAACCGTCTACGCGACACCCACTGTCCCAACTCCTGCATCCTACACCTCAGTTGATGACTTCAAGGATACGGTGTTGAAGGTCACCAACGAGTATCGCCGTACACACGATGCCTCTCCCTTGGTATGGAATGAGACATTAACGGAATATGCCCAGAAATGGGCAGAGAGCTGTATTTGGAAACACTCCGTACGTATACGTGAAAGAGTTATCGGAAGAGAACAAATCACATCCTAACAGCCGCGATATAGGACGGACCGTATGGCGAAAACCTAGCTTTCGGATATTCGAATGCATCGGCGGCCGTAGAGGCATGGGGTGATGAGCGCACGATGTACGATTTCGATAAACCCACCGGTTTTACGGAAGCGACGGGCCATTTTACGCAGCTTGTGTGGAAAACTACGACCGAGGTGGGATGTGCTGCTATCAACTGTGGCTTGTCCCGCAAAAAGAACGGAAAGCGAGACAAGATCGAGGATAGCGATGAGAGTGATGGCGATGAGAGCCATCTAGTTGCCAGAGAGCCGGACGGCAGTACGCGAGCGCAGGGGTGGTATGTCGTGTGCGAATATACACCTGCAGGCAACGTGGTCGGGAAGCACGACAAATACTTCAGGCTGAATGTGAAGCAGGGTAGCTCATCGCAAACAAGTTCGGCTACAACCGCTACCTCGACGAGGCAGCCGACTGTGGGCGCGTCTATGAGATTTGCGACGGAGTCGCAGCTTTTCTTGGCGATATTGTCGCTAGTCACAGTGGCTGTTGGTATGAGTTTATATACATGACGCAAAGAGCCGAGACAGTCTTTGCAAAGACGAGATGGATATTATTTCAAAAAATATCTAATCACCAAGCCCACTGATCGACCGTCGCCTTCGAAGATACCAACAAACTGGGGGTTTGAGGTCCACCCATACCAACATCGCCCTCGCTACTCTCGAAGGACACACAATTGATGGGGTAGGGGTATTGGTACTGGGATATTGGCGATGGGACCAGCTCGCCAGTTTGAAGCGAGAAAAGCTGGACTTTTCGCTCGTCCGAGGCTGAGATAAATGGACGTGTTAAAAAGATCATAACAAGAGAAGATGGGGCGGGGGGCTAGATACCACTAGCTAGAAGACCCAATTCGGGGCTCACATCGAAGTCGGAGATTATCTCGGGGGAGTAGTCTGGGAATGTTATGTATGGGCGTGTGGAGGTGTGCGAGGGTGAAGTCGGCTTTGGCTTGCGTTGAAGACCATTCGGTGCAAATCGGATATCAAACATTTGAAGCTGAGACGCAGTTAGAATTTATTCAAAATATTGAATCCAAAAAAAAGGAATTTCCATTGTGAAAAGTCTTACTGAGTTGTACCCCGAGGCCAAGATTCGGTACGGATCGACCTTGCGGATTTTTGTAACCGAGTGCGGGTACTGCAATCGCGCTGCGCTACCTCCGCTACGGAGATCATGTAGAAATATGGTGGAGTTGCGCATTCCAGATGCGATAACATCTGGATTGAGCCACTCTACTGAGCTGACGCTGGCATGGGATGAGTTGCCGTGTTCGCGGAATCCTTGTTGGTCACCATGTTTTCGGGAATGGCTATCATTGGGAAATGGCTTTTGTGAAACTGTCCAATGGCTACCGAAGCCTTCGAGTGTATGCAGGCCGTTTGATGTCCCGATGGCGAAGAGGGCTTTATCTCCGATTGGGCAGGCGGCGGAGCACCATAATGAGGGAGTTGTTCGGATGCGGATGGGATGAGAAACTGCAGTTCAATCAGCTTTGGGTGTCAGGGTTAATTTTATCGAAGCTATGGACTTACAAAAAGAGGGCCATTGATAATCTCCTTGGTCGTCTGGCCCAGGGAGCATTCGCGGAGAGAGAAATGAGTCGCCTTCCGGGCCGCTATCCATCGTGGCCCTGATAGATGTTAGTTGAGCCAGGGATGGACGCGGAATTCTTGCCATACAAAAGATAGCCCGTATGGCTTAATGAGATCGACGATAGCTAAGCCATGGTGAGCAATTGACGTGGCAGTTGACGTGTTTCCATTGCAGAAAGTCCCATACTCGATATGCCTCCTTTAGGAGTACTCGTTCCATCGTGCGATTGTATGTCCATCGTTCTTCCTCAAAATCTGGGAAGCAGACCCTTTTTGCAATTAGAAAGAGCATCTGATTATGAGGGGTACAATGAGACTTACGATACCGAGGACTCACCGCCGCGATGACCACCTGTTTAAGAGAAGGAGTTACAAAATTGGAAACACCCAGTTTAACCTAGTAGCAATACTCACTTGCGATTAGAATCCCAGATCGCGGGTTTCGCAAAACCTGTCGGATTGAATAATCTGGCCAAGGCTCGAATCGGTGCAACGTTTTCCGGTGGAATTGGCTAACGTAGATATGAGCTTGCTTTTCTTGTTGATGAGCAGGCGGGAGGAGACGAGAGCCAATTTCTCTCTCGTTGTTGATTAGTGGATGGTTTAGAAAGCGAGACTTGCGGACTTTCTCCTTCGCTATTCGCTGGTTCAGCTGAACGCGTTTGTGGTGTTTCTGTGGGTATTAATACTGAGCCTCTCGCTCGAGGCAGAGGTGAGCTCACCACTTGGTCATTGCGCTTCCTCTTGACAGAATCCTTGGAGTACTGTGCCCCTGGTGAGGCGACATGATTGGCCTGGATCTGGAAATACTTCTTTTTCTCGGCATCTGTCGACAACTGGTTAGTCGGAATAGAGATGGTTTCATTGACGCAGCCACTGTACGATACAGTGGACGAGGCGACCAAAAGCACTGACCGTAGTAGAAACCCGGAATATCTCGGTTCATCTCTGCCTAGCGAGGTATCTCTTTTGTCAGGCAGATCTTTGAACCATGAACCGCGATCCGCGATCCGTGATCCGCGGGCGATGAACGACAGTGACGTTGGCAGCGATTAGTCATGTTTCTGCCTGAGGCGTAAAGATATGCGCCTGCCCTAAATGGAAGTATACTTACATTCACACTGGGCCGCACCTTCCTCGCTACTCTCTCTACCTACAGTCACTCCGGTCACCTGAAGTCACCTGGCAACACTCCCTGGAACTGCCTGCCTGGAGATCTACCATTCCACCACTCCTTCTACCTCTTCAACCGTTTTCCCACCTTTCACCCACCCTCTCACCTACACTCACCTTCGTCTCTCAGACATCCCTTCTATTTCATTTCACCTTAAATTCAACCACTTTATTCGGATCAATATTCTTGTTCGGAATATTGAATACAATGGAGCACCATTCCGAATCCACCAATGTCTCTCTCACAAGCGATCCCCAGGATGCCATAGCTCGGGAAAAGCAGATCGCTGGTCGATCCAGAGACGCGGACGCAGCAAGTCTCGACCTTTTGATACAAGAACTCGAGTTACAGGACGGGGGAGAAAAGGAGCCAGATGTTCTAAGCATCTATACTGGAACCGAAACCTTCAAAGATGATGATACTACAGCCCCATGCCCATTCGACACCGATCCTGAGCACGGCCTGACAGATGCCGAAGTGCTGGCCGCACGTCGTAAGCACGGCTGGAACCGCATGAAAGAGCAAAAAAAGCGGCACCTTCTCAAATTTCTTGGCTTATTTGTGGGACCCGTTCAGTTTGTCATGGAGGTTGCAGCCATCTTGGCCGCCGGACTTCAAGACTGGATCGACTTCGGTGTCATCTTGGGTCTCCTGTTATTGAACGCGTGTGTCGGATTCATCCAAGAATATCATGCCGGGAACATTGTCGACAGCCTGAAAGAAACACTCGCTCTGAAAGCCACCGTCATTCGAAATGGACACAAGTTCGAGATCAGGGCCGAGGAAGTCGTGCCCGGTGATGTGATATTGGTCGATGATGTAAGTTTGCTCATTCTATTCACAGCATTAGATAACTTACTGACCGATTACTACTCAGGGTACAATTGTTGCCGGAGATGGGTTTATCGTTTCCCCCGCTGCTCATTTGCAGATCGACCAATCCTCTATCACGGGGGAATCGCTTGCGGTGGATAAAACTACCGGAGACAAAGTCTGGGCATCTTCGGCAGTCAAGCGTGGAGAGGCTGCTTTGGTTGTTACCAGGACAGGAGACAAGACCTTCGTGGGAAAGGCGGCCGGGTTGGTGACCCAGGCCAATGGCGTGGGACACTTCACTCTGGTTCTTAATGGAATCAGCATGGTGCTTTTGATTCTCGTCTGTCTTACCTTGTTCATTGTCTGGGTCTCAGCATACTATCGGTCGGATCCCATTATCGACATTTTGGAATATACTCTAGCCATCACCATCGTTGGAGTTCCGGTTGGCCTCCCAGCAGTCGTCACGACCACTATGGCTGTCGGGGCATCCTATTTAGCAAAGAAGTCTGCCATTGTTCAGAAGCTGTCGGCCATCGAGTCCTTAGCAGGTGTTCAGATTTTATGCTCCGACAAGACCGGTACTCTCACTCGCAATCGACTGAAATTGGGTGATCCCTTCACGGGCCCGGGAATCACCAGTGACGAGCTCATGGTGACAGCTTGCCTCGCTGCCACCCGCAAAAAGACTGGCATCGACGCCATCGATCGCGTGTTCATCAAGAGTCTGAGGAAGTACCCGCTTGCGAAGAAACTCCTGCCAACATTCCACGTGCTGGAATTCCATCCATTTGATCCTGTCGCAAAGAAGGTGACTGCAGTTGTTGAATCTCAGGAGGGCGAAAAGATGATATGTGTCAAAGGAGCCCCAATTCAGGTTCTACAAACAGTCAAAGAGAACCATCATATTCCTGAAAATGTCGAGTCTGCTTACCTCGCCAAAGTTGCGGAGTTTGCAACTCGTGGATTTCGAGCACTCGGGGTTGCTCGCAAACGTGGATCCGAGCCATGGGAGATTCTCGGCATTATGCCTTGTTATGACCCCCCTCGTCATGACACTGCAAACACTATTCGAGAGGCCAAGAGACTGGGTCTTCAGATCAAAATGCTGACAGGCGATGCCGTGGGAATCGCAAAAGAAACAGCGCGACAGCTTGGTCTTGGCACCAATATTTACAATGCAGAACGCCTCGGAGTCACCGGCGCGGGCGAGATGTCCGGTTCGGAGGTCAATGACTTTGTTGAAAACGCCGATGGATTCGCGGAGGTCTATCCTCAGCACAAATTTAGTGTTGTCCAGATTCTCCAAAGCAGAGGATACCTAGTGGCCATGACTGGTGATGGTGTCAATGATGCACCATCCCTGAAGCAGGCCGACACGGGTATTGCTGTCGAAGGTGCCTCGGACGCTGCTCGATCTGCCGCCGATATCGTATTTGTGGCTCCAGGTCTTTCTGCAATCATCGATGCACTGAAAACATCCCGTCAAATCTTTCATCGCATGTACGCATATGTGATCTATCGCATAGCGCTGTCTCAACATTTGATGTGGTTCTTCGGGTTGTGGATCGTGATCAGGAACGAAGTGCTGGATCTGCGCCTGGTGGTTCTGCTAGCCATATTCGCCGACATTGCTACACTGGCTATCGCATATGACAATGCCCCGTACGCCCCTGAACCTGTCAAATGGAACCAACCGAAATTGTGGGGCATTGCCGTAATCCTAGGAGGGGTTTTGGCTGCGGGATCCTGGACTGCGTTCGGCACCATGATCGTTCGTGGCGAGGATGGAGGTGTTGTTCAGAACTATGGAGCTCGTGATCCAGTTCTGTTTCTCGAGATTGCACTCACACAGAACTGGCTGATTTTCATCACGCGGCTCCACGGCAGTTTCTGGGACTGGAGAAGCAGACCATCAATCCAGTTATTGGGTGCTGTGCTAGCAGTCGACATCGCCGCCACGTTGATGGTTATATTCGGCGCTTTTGTCAACAAAAACACACACGTGGTTACCGTCGTTCGCGTGTACATCTTCTCCCTCGGTGTGACTCTCATATGCAGCCTGGTGTATACCACTCTACAGAAATCAGAAACGTTTGACAATCTCATGCACGGTCGCCTGCCAGGGGGCCGACGCCGAGAGAGGTCTTGGGAGGATTTCATGGTATCATTGCAACGAGTTTCTTCGCAGCACGAGGAGAAGGAAAAGGCGCCATGAAGGTCGGGATTGAAGGGTAATTATCGCTTTATCATTATTCTGTAGTCGACAAACCACCACTTAAGTTTGACATGCTTAGTTCGATCAATTAAGTTCAATTCAACGTTACACTCAAGGGCTACTAGTAAGCTGACATGGCTTGAATATACTATAATAGCTAAGCCACTGGCAGTATTCTCTCGACCAGACACCAGAACTTGCCCCCATGCCCACTAATCATACTAGTTTCACTCGATTTGTCTAATCAGTTCTGTATCACAATGTCCTCGGAACTCTAGCAGTTCTATAGATATGAAATATCGTCTAACTTTATCCTAGAATGAACAATAATCTTGCTCCTCAGCTTCGCTTTCACAGCTCGCGGGACATATTTCTATAGGGGTTATTTGGATCCTTCTCTTCCTCCTCCGCGGACTGGATGGTTTTTCGCACTTTGCAGGGGCTCCCAACTGCCACCGAGAAGGGAGGAATATCCTTTGTCACAACAGATCCAGCGCCAATCGTGCAGCCCTCACCGATCGTCACACCGGGAAGGATGACTACACTTCCACCTATCCAGCAGTCATTTCCAATGATGATCGGGTGTCCATACTCGACGAATTTACGTCTGGACAACACGCTAGTCTCATGGGTTGCAGAGTATATGCCCACGTCACTAGCGATCTGGACGCGATCACCAATAATCACCAACGAGGTGTCAAGGATCGTCATGCTGCTCCCGTCAGAATACTTGTATGGATTTCATGGCTCGGATATGCAGATGTAGTTAGCACTCACTTCCAATTGATGAAACAGTCCCGCCCAATGACGACATTGCAGCCATAATCCGGGCGAAAAGGCGGCTCAACAAAGGTCCCTTCGCCAACGCGACCGACAAGTTTCTGAAGCAACTCGAATCGAACCTCTTGGATTTTCTCCGCTGGCACACTCCGTGGATCTAAATTGTTGTAGTCGTTGGTCAGGATGCGACAGCGATGTCGCGCCTCCACAAGGCGGGGTAGAGTTGGGTTGTACCTTGGTCAAGTTAGCCGAGTATGTCTGCCTAATAATTCCAGAGACATAGCACATATAAAAGGGATGGGGTTGGAGCATATTGGCCCTATTCCTGCAGATCAAAGAGTAGAGTAACGCACAGCATGCCAGATATCATCTTCTCGTAGTCGTCGCACATGGGGACCCCGGACAGGTCCCGGGCGATGGAGATCATGTCTTCGCGCTTCTCGGTGGAAGCCATTATGCAGGGAGGACGAGGTCGGGAAAATTTGAAAGGGTAGACACGATATCTGGGGTATTGAAGCGACTGGTGACTCTGGGGGGCAATGTTGATGCAGGTGAAGTCGGAGAAATGGTGGGCCAAGGAAATGGCGGGTCCAAGCCAGTCCGGATCGGAGACTAAGTCCGTAACTAGGGGAAGCACAGGAAGCATGATTCTTCTTAGAACATAATCATTTAGTTGCATTGTCATGTTTTTTGTACAGAAGGATCGATTATGATAAGATAGAAAGAAATGCAGATCCACTCCGAACCCCGATCTCACAAACATGGATGTGTGTCCAGGTGACGCCGGTAATAAACCCCGAAAACAAAAACGAATTGAAACGAACCCGGTAAATGCAAATGTCGCTTAATGAACCAGCAACTAAAATGACCGGTCATTGTATGACGGACACTTTGACGTCTCTTCGGTCACTGTAAGTGTTGAGGTAGAGTGAACAGCAGTCTCATCGGTACCGGCAGAATGTACCAAAGTAACCCCGATGTTTTCTTCCTCTTTCGCTTCAGTACACTCGACTTCTTCCTTGTGAAGTTGCTGTTGTCTCTTGTACATTCTCCAAAACACTAAACTTCCGTGGATCTGAGTTGCGGAAAAGGCAATGTGTAGGAGTGGCGTGGCCACCTTGAAGGCGATCTGCCAGCGATCCCAAAGACTGCCAAATAGCCACATGGCCACGACTGTCTCGCAAAATGTACCTGTGGCCGTCGAGAAGCATGAGAAAATGAAGACTTTGCTGAGAAAATGGTGGCGATTGGGATAGACCCGGTAGAGAATGATTGCGATATGAGGGAAAAATTCAGACACGATGTCGAAAGCACCTAACGTTAAAAGCAACAACAGTCAGCACTTTGCCCGGCATGATATTGTGACCAAGGAACGACATACCCCAGACTGTGCACAGAATGAATTCAATGTCAGCATCTGGCTCCCGATCTAGCTTCAGGCTGATCGCAATGGCGGATTGTCCGATGAGAATTGTACCAATGTGGTGCATCACAGCGACGGGAGACAGTTTGGCGCGGTAGATCAGTTCGAATATGTACATGCCGATGAGGCTTTGGGCCACGATAATCAGCACATCGCCCATGGTAACAATGGAGCCAGGAGCAAATGGCGTATTAAATGTTGACTCAAGGAAAGTGACATTGATGAACGGGTGAACCGCAAGAATGAGGATGAGAAGTTTGGTGGCACCAGCAATATGGTGGTTTACGAAGCCGCGACGATTGACTTCGTTCAGGTCGGTGTAGGTTGATCCATAAATCCATTTGATCAAGAATCCCTCCAAAATGTACCAGCGTATTAAAAAGAATACCACCAACGCAATGGAAATGATGAGCCCAGAGAATGGTGCCAGGATAGAGATGGGCTCCAAGGGTTTGTTCGTAATTGGCGGTTGGTAACGAGCAAAGAGAGACATGATTGCGAAAAGATTTTTGTTTCAATGTGTGAAATGTGAAAGATTGAAACGCGAGAAGGTGAGTGATGAATCTGAATGAATGAATGAATGAATCGAAGAAAGTAGTCAAGTGAAATCACATAACGAGAGGTGTGGGAAGAAAGAGAGAAATAGAGGGCCACAACAAAGTTGACAACCGCACGAAATTGTAGACAGCCTCGTGGAAAGAACAAGATCTGCTCTACAATATGAGAAAGAAGAAAGTCAGTCGAAGTGGATTTTCAGGGGAGAGAATCCGTTTTCTTAAGGAAGCAAATGTATGCCAATGCCTGACTCCACTTCACCCTAGGCGCGCCCCGCTGGGAGGTTTGGAGGGAAAACCCCTCAGAATAAACCAGAATCTCACACCATGCCAGTGAGTATCCCTAATTCAGTAAGGCGGTGGCGGTCATCCTGGGTCGGCTTTGGTTGGAAGAGGACTACTTCGTAAAAGAACCACCGAGGACCAAAGAAGACCAGGGGCCAAGCTTTCCATGCGGACGGGCCAGCAAAGCTTAAAGAGCAATTGGCCAAATCTGGTTGGCCCCGTCGACAGGGGGTCGTGGATTAAGGGTCCCAGGGTAGATCGCTAATTAAAAAAAAATCCAGCCCCCCCAATCGAACACGAGACGCCAAGGCAGCAACATTGTGGATACAATGGTGCCTATTTACAAGTTGGTTCGGGGATTTTGGTTGTTCCATGTGCCATCACAGAAGCAGGCACTGAAAACCCTAGATCATGATATTCGACATGAGAGATTTTCCCTAAAAGGAGCATGATCAGGAATTTCTTCCTATCCTTCATATACTTCAATTGGACTAGCTAGTAAGTTGTAAATTATATTGTGGAACTTGAACTCGGGTATTATTCCCAGAATGTAAAACGACAACACGAACGAGGCTGCCTAGTCGCCCCCGGAACACGAGACGGAAATAGGCACTTGAGATTTCTGATTGACATTTCTAACGACACTAGTCTCACAGCTCAATTCTCTAGCGAGTGGCTCTAAACTAGTTAATAGTATAAATTATTCCGTCCGCTCATGAAGCTAGCCTTACGCGATCTAGTTGCTGTTAACAAAATAAGCCCGTCCTCCAGCAACAATCACGGCACCCACAATGCTGCATACGCCAGCAAAGATGATTGCAGGGTCATAGGACCCATAACTATTAATCAAGGCACCCGTAATCGGAGTCCCCGTAAGCCCGGAGATGCTCAACGCCCCCAGTCCCATGCCGAGGTAAGATCCAATCTCATTCGGATTCATGGCAGTCATTGCTATCGTAGCGGGAAAGAGTCCGATGATAGTTCCGGAGAAGAATCCCAAAAGCACAGAAAATGCAATCATGCCTCCGAGGGAGTTTATTGACAGCCAACAGAAATTCAGTATTCCACAAATCACTGATGCCCCGGCCAATGTGTTGAACTGGCCGAGGTGATTTGCCACCGCGCCTCCCAAGAGTCTACCTAGTAAGGAGCCGGCATTCAAAATTGCGATCAGGTAGTTGGACATGTCGATATCGATGGAGATCGACTGGGCGTATCCTGGTATGTAGAAAAATGGTATAAACATTGCCCAAACGACCAAGAAAAGCCCGGTGATCTGCAAGGTGTATGCCGGTTGCTTCCACGCTTTCCAGAGAAGAAGCGGACCACCCTTTCTCCTGGTCGCATTTGAAGATACAGATGCACAGGCGATAATACTGAGCGCCAGCATCAAGAATCCCAGGACTCGAACAGACCAGCCGAACCCCAAGTCACTCTTGTTCAACATTCGGTTGAGCGCGATTGGGAATATCACGCCAGCCAAAGATGACCCACTAGACGCAATTCCCATCGCAAACGGTCGTTTTTGGAAGAAGTATTGGTTCACAGCAGTGATTTTCGGGGTATATGTCAACCCGTTGGCTAGGCCCCCAAGAACGCCTTGTGCGAGCATGAATTGATAATACTCCGTACACAGGCTCGTAAGCATGACAGATACGATGAAGAGTATCGAACACGGGATAATGATGACCTAGAAATACTACTCATCAGCTATTCAAAAGTCCCCTAGGCAATTAATGATTATTTTTCTCTTTTCTTGGGTTCGCATACCTTCGGGCCATATCGATCCATCATAGGACCAGACACCAGCCCTCCTGAAAACATGAAGAAGACTTGTAATGAGCCAATCCAGGCGATATTGGACTCACTTTGCTCTTGCAAGAATGTAGCCTGATAATATGACTCGTAAATTCTAGCGAGTTGTCAGCATGGACTTTATTTGTATTTTAGTGTCTGCATACCCAAAAGCATTAATGTACCCAAAGGTATTGAACATGATGCACCAGCATGCTAGAACTGCTAGCCATCCTTTCAAACCACCTTCTGGAAACGTTGGCTTTGCTGGGATGCCCTCAGCATCACTGTTTTGCGATTTCTCAAGATCGGCCATGTCGGTTCGATGACTTGAATTTGAGGTGGTTTGAGAGAACGGTAGTGATGGGAGTGGGATTCAAGTGCGGACCATTGACCAGATGATGAATAAGGAGAGTGATGACATTTAAAATGAGATACAAATAGTACTTCTTCGATATTTAAGAGTATCTTGTCGTGAATAGTTGCAAATCGGCAAACTCGGGGTATTCCTAAAAGGGCAACCCCAATGTTCTCGGGCCGAAGCGCATTGCCCGAGTACTCAAGTCCGAAGGCGAGATGTCAACTTCAAACTCAGAAGACGATATCCTAATATCGAGGAACTGCCCAGTTTGGTGATTATTATTCTCAGCTATAGTATATCTACTCAATGATCCATCGGCTTCCAAGGTTCAAGTTTCTCGTTGAGCCTTAGAATAGCAAAGTTCGCAAACAGCCTGAGCCCTCGGCTGCACCGCTTCCAAGATTATTTACAGCACCACTGAGTACTGTATACTATATCGCTCAATACTGGAGTATCTACTAGTGGTATTTTACCAATTGGCACTAGAATTGATCTCGAAAGGAATTTCATTCCCGGTTTTCGCTCTTTTTCTCATAAACCTTGAATGGGATGTATTTTCTTCAAGTTGTCCCTACGCCATCAGTTGGGAAGTAATGTCGAAGAAGCAACATGGTCACTACTATCAAACTTAGTCTCTCCCCGCGCTGCTACTGGAAGTAGTAGCAAATCGCGACTCCTTGCATTAGTTTCTACTACAATGTATTCCTCCGTCCTGTCCTTTTCAATTTTGAAGACAAAGGTATTGGATTTCAACAAGGCGATATCCTGCTCATTCGCACTGGATGGACAGCCGTGTACCATTAGTTGGGAAACAAGGATGCCTTGGATGGTCAATGCTAGTTTCGGACTAGTTGGTCTCCAAGTCGGCCCAGGTATTTCTTGGTGGTTGGGGAATGGCGATTGGGGAATGGCGATTGGGGAATGCTGAGTTCTGGAGGAAGTGGGCCAATTGATGTGGTTCAATGGATCATCTTTCTTATAGCCAACTACTAACTAGTACTTCCTCCTTCAAGTAGACTGCTGACAGACCTCACCATTCTTTCTTCAATACTCCGGGATGTATAGTATATTCCCCTCCAATCAAATTGTTGCGCTTACCCGGAGAGTGGTGTGGATGATGTCAAGATTGGATGATGGGTTCCCGCATCCGGCTGTCATTAGTACCACCTGGGCAGCCACGCCCAATGGTACCACGTCCAGTTCTAACTTGCTCGAGAGATACAAGGTACATGAGTACATGAGTAATTTGTGTGAACTCTCGTTCGACATCGCGGGGCAGCCAGATACTAATTCGGATGACCGGCGTCATGGTCAAATTTAAACTCTGTGAGATGTCCATATCAGACTCAACACTCATGAGCTTTCCGCCTTGTCTCCAAAACGATCTCTAGTTTTATTGCAGATTTCTTGCAATGTTCCTCCAGGCAAATCTTCGACGCGCAGTGCTTCCCACACTTACTCGCAGGGTTCCAATCAGCCTATCGCGCAAATGGCTCACCACAGAAGAAAAGCAGATCGTGAAGTCGACCATTCCGCCCTCGAACAGCATGGGGTCGAAATCACGACACTCTTTTACAAGCGCATGCTCGAAGCCCACCCCGAGCTGAAGAATATATTTAATACCGCCCATCAAGCGACCGGGGAGCAGCCCAATGCCCTGGCCCATGCCGTATGGGCTTATGCCGTGAATATTGACCACCCAGAAGCCCTCGCCGGTGCTGTGTCTCGCATTGGTCATAAACACGCGAGCTTAGGTGTCACAGCCGATCAATATCCAATCGTTGGTAAACATCTCCTCGCTGCGATCAAGGAGGTTCTGGGCCCAGCTGTCACTGCCCCGGTAGTTGATGCATGGGGTGCAGCGTACCAAGAGCTCGCTGATATCTTCATCACTTTCGAAAGCAACCTTTACCAGCAAAGTGTTAATACCCCAGGTGGATGGAAAGGATGGCGGAAATTCTTCATCTCCGATAAAGTCTCAGAGAGCGACGAGATTATCTCTTTCCATCTTAGCCCAGTTGACAAAGACGCTCTTCCACACTATGAGCCTGGTCAATTCCTCAGCGTTCGATGCTTTGTTCCTGAGCTGGGATCATATCAGCCTCGACAGTATAGTCTATCAGACTCTCCAAGTCCGGATCACTTTCGGATTTCCGTGAAGCAGGAATTCGCAAGTGGCCCGAAACCCGCCGGTCGGATCTCCAATGTACTACACGAATCCCTTCCTGTTGGCGCCGAGCTAGATGTGAGCATGCCATTCGGTGACTTTGTTCTCGATATCAATGCTACTTCCCCAGCTGTCTTGATCAGCGGTGGCGTGGGTCTTACTCCGACGATGTCGATGCTGAAGACTATAATTCAACAACAAGGCCAAGCCCGACAGGTCGTTTTCATCCATGCCGCAAGAAACGGTCGCGTTCATGCCATGAAGAAGGATCTCACCCGAATCACTGCAGATCATCCATCAGTCAGCCGCATCGTCTTCTACGAGGAGACCACAGATCGCGATAAGCAGGGAGTGGACTACGACCATGTCGGTCGGGCCGATCTGGTCAAGGTCAGAGAAGAAGCTGTCATTCCGGATGCCGACTACTATATTTGTGGGCCACAGCCGTTTATGAAGGCGCAGAGTATGAGTCTCGAGGCAATGGGAGTTTCCTCGGATCGAATCCATATGGAGGTTTTTGGATCCCCGTCAGACTAGTCTATTGTCTGCGTCAAGGTTTGATATTGGAATAATGGATACTATCCAACGCAATGAGTACGAGGTAGAGATGAATATTCTTTCCCATACTCGCAATTGCATCATGTAGGATCTCCTTTTCCTCAAAAGAGACATTGTGCGAAGGGAATGAATCCTTTAGTGGGGCAGTGTCCGCAGTCTGGCATCTCGTGGTACCGTACGAGCAAGCACCTCACTGCATCGGCCCCCACGTCCTGGTTGCTTGTAAGTACATACCAAGCGGTAGTAGTTGTAGTTGTAGTTGTAGGTGATTCCAGAAATAGATAATGTACCATACCCCGGGAGCATCGTGGCTTCGCTGTTGCTCAACAGACAAGACTCCTTTTGCGGGCGTAGCTGAGCCAATCCCGGCAAAGATCCACGATAAACCGCTATGGATCAACCTATAAGAGGACGCGAATTAACTGTGGGCGCGTCATTGGGGTCGATCTCCACAGGCAGGATGATTGTTCAGGCAGGCAGCCTTGTAAATCCATCTTGGCGACTGGGGCGATGGATGAAATGGGGGAGAAACCAAATGGGGCCGAACCGCAAAGGCGACCAAAAAAAAAGAAGTCACGCGTCAGCGAGGCGCAGCCCGGGGAGCCTCACGCAACCTCACTCCTTCACATCGTCACTTCACGCCTCTCCTCTCCTCTCCTCCCTTCCACCATCTCACTCCACACTCCGCCATGTGTTCGTCTTCGCAAGGCACTATGAACACCATTCGCAAGGTGCAAGTGCTCATTGCCTTTTGCGTCTGGCCACTGGCCCTAGTCGCCATCTTCAAGTCTCACAAATCCCCTGAGACCGTCTTCCAGATTGTCCTTGTACGCATTGAGTCCTGCCGGTGACACTCATGATCAAGCACTGGACTGTTGGCTAATCAATCCCTTTTCCAGATCTCCCTCTCCGGCCTCGCTGCTCTCGGCATTCTCTACTTGCGACGAATCTCTCGAAAGCCACAGGCCGCTCACCTCCCCATGGAAATCCTCATCGACACCGCGATGGGCACGCTTTTGATCGGAACCTACATCGGAGGCATGAATATTCTGGCCAAGCACGAAATTAGAGAATGGGGCTATACCTACAAGCTGGCTCGGGGTATTCCACAGATCTACTCCAACTTGGCCTGTCTGGTGCTTGGGTAAGCCAAATCCACCCCGTGTGAGCGAGTCATCTATCAGAATACTAATGGATTTCCTTATTCTCTTAGTCTTCTTCACTTCCACAACATTGCCAAGGCTTCCTTCTTCCGCTACGTCCTCCCCAGCATCAAGAATCACATCGGGGCGACTTATTTCACGTGCCCGTCATGCGCGCGCTCCGCCCAAGTCAACCCGGTCGGAGATCTCAACTGGAGAGACAGCCATGATCAACAACGCACAACCTTCACACAAGACCTACGCGGTGTATACTCGGACAGCGAACCGGAGTATGGTCCCTTGCTCCGCGAAGACCGTCGGAGCGAAGAAGACCACAAATACGAAGCCGGTGTTCCCAGCGTCCATGATCGCTTCTCGCATGAAGTATAAACTGGAGTTTGCTTGGCATATGGGATTTCCGATCAGCTTGGACTGACATGCTACAACTTCAACCCACCCGACGGAGGCTAGCCCTCGGTTTGGACGACGCAATGACACGGCGCAATGGTTTCTTACTTTGGTTGCTCGTGACCTTTTCTGCATTTAAAAGCGATAGGTCACAATCTAGATATATAACCCATTTTTTTTGCTTTCTGGCTCTCGGACGACATCCACCTGCTGCTCTCGCTGCACAGGCGTAGACCTGAGTAGAAACACAATAGCGTTTCGCTGTCGTTCGGGCTGATGGCAGCGCAAATGCACTGGGCAGCAAACCCATGATCATCGCCGACAGTATGGGCCTTCGATCCAGGGAACATCGCTACTACTAGTTAGTAGTAGGCAGTACTACCCACAAAGCCGTCATTATGATATATAGAGCACTAGAGCACCAGCTCTAGAGATCACAACCAAAAACTGAAAGAGCCGAAAATCTGGGACCACTCGTTTCTGTGGCTAGGAGGGTGAAGATTGAGGAGAGTATAGAACTGCAGTGGTCCGGTCCACGTTGATAAAGCTCGAACAGATCGAATGAATTGAAGGTCTTTATATTGTGTCGTTTGCGTTTTCCCTTCTATCTATTTGTACATCATTAATTAATAAGTAAAATCGCTATTCAGGCCAAGTGCGATTCGTGTATCTTTCGACTGATTATTGGCCCGAGAACATCCAACCGGACCGGTTTGGTCAAAAAGGTGTCCATTCCAGATCCTATCGCATCGCGTTCCATATCAGCTTGGGCAACACCTGTTAGTGCAACTATCATTGCACGTTCTTGAGACTGTTGCAACGTCTGCTCGTGCTCGCGAATTCTTCGGGTAGCTTCAATCCCATCCATGACAGGCATTGAGATATCTGTGAAGGGATTAGGATTAGATCATGATCTAATTTCAGGTAATTGAAATCTTGAGGCCTTACCCATCAGGATAACACCAATTTTATCAGCGTTTTCTTTAAAGGAGTCCAGAGCTTCTTTTCCGTTTCTCGCAATCAGGTAGTTGAATTTCAACTTTTGCATAAACGCTACCAGAAGTCTGATGTTGATTTCGTTATCATCGACAAGTAGAACATTCGTCGATGGACCATTCTGATTTTCTTGAGGGGAACATTCGTTGAGTGGTGGAAGATGCCCTTGAGGGTTAGTACGGCTGATCGTGAGGAGAGAAGAGCGTTCGAGGACCTCCGGTGTCAGAGGCCCATATTCAGCATTAGTCAATACCGACTTGCTCGTTCCAATTGCCATGGGTTGTTCCACTGAATCAGTACGCAATGCTTGAGAGAAAGACGTATCAAAGGCATTTGGTTCCTGCTTGCGCTGCCGCTGCCGCTGAATGCATATTTCTAGTGCTTTTGCCAACTTGCGCGGCCCACATGGCTGGCTAATGAATTCCAGGATTCCAGTGTATCTCCGCTCCTGGGCGGCCAAAAACATGGAGTGTGCGGTACTCGGAGATGAGCAGATGATGATGACGGGTGAGGAGAATCGTTCCATCGGGCTAGAGATAGAAGCCAAGATCTCGCAGTTTCCGACATCCAATGTTTCAAGAAGAGAAATCAAAATATCGCAATGACCGGGTCTTGTATGCAAGGAATCAATGAAATCGACCTTCATCGAAAACCACTCTTGGCACAGTTTCTTCAATGAGGTGCCAAGGGCCATATCGCCCTCAGAAGAACCTGGAACCAGAACCCCAACGGTCTTTCCATGAACGAGATCTTTGATAGAGTCAGGGAAAGTCTGTTTATTCGGGGAAATTGAGGGACGTGGAGAAGGGTACGGCGCATGGTCAAGCTCAACAGTGATCACGGCGTTAGTTCCAAGACCCTTCTGAGAGGTGATTCGAATATCACCGTTCAGCGAAGACACTATCCGACGCACGATGTTCAGGCCCAGCCCATTGCCTGCCGACATTGTGTCCTCCTGAGAAAAGGCCGAGAAAACTTTGTTCCCAAGGAAATCTTTGTCCATGCCACATCCACTGTCTTCAATGCCCAGTGTGATTGTCGAGCGGTTGGTCTGGCCATCATGGGAAATGGCCACTGGACTTGCTTTGAGAGAAACTCTGATATATCCCTTTTGAGTGAATTTCATGGCATTTCCAAAAACATTTGTCAAAATCACATGCCACGCTCCGGGCCGAGTCAGAAATCTGAGATGCTGGGTGGATTCGATATCGAGAACGACCCGAACTCTCGTATGGATGTCCAGATGTGTGTGAGCGATGTCAAAAGATGATTGCCTTTTGCCAATGAAGTCATGGCCTGCGAACACGGTCTCAATGGCATCTTCAACGGCGACGTCCAATTGGACGATCGAGTTCTGATCGATACTGTTGCGGCGGGAATCTTGCCCACCTGGGGGGCTTGGTAGGGTCTATGCCTCGAGGGTTTGGTCGAACATCGTTTATGCTGGCATAGTCCAAGAGTTGATCAATTGAGCCAAGAAGCGTAAATGCACATGACGAGATGGTATGCATAAACCCCCTGTTGCAAAGCATTCATGGTAGTATCATTCAGGATATCTATCGTGCCGAAGATTCCGTGAAGTGGGGACCGAAGCTCATGACTGATTCCTGCGAGGAGATTTGACTTGGCTCGTTCAGCAAGAAGCGCACCAAGTCGGTGGACTTCTCCCATGACACAGTTTCCAAATGCAAAGAGGAAGGCCAATTCATCGTCCGAAGTAAGAACACGATGGGCGGTTCTTGTCCACGATAGACAACCTGAATACCATCTCTCCTTATGCGAATCCCATAGAGGCGAGAAAACAATGCTTCGGGCCTGAGGTGCCAATTGCAAAAGTGTCGCTGCATCTTGACGTAGGATTGTCTTGCGTGTTCTTTTGTATCGCAGACCGCCAAAACGCTGGTCAAACTGCCTCACTATGTGATCGCTGGTATCGTCGGACGAGATCGACCCATCTTCGCCGTAGTTGAAAATTCTACCCCGTGGGTATCGGCGTAGAAGGTGACCAAGAAAATTCTCAGATATAGAAATTTTCCCATCTCCAGTGGACTCATTGCTTATGCTGGAAAAGTCTGAAGTTGCAAACCCAAGTACGTTACAAGGGCTTACTGAGTTGGGGCCTGCCTTTGCGGCATTTTCGACACTAGGACGGCTTTCATGGGCGGAGGGTATTTCAACGTTTCCGCCTTCGTCGCTTGAAGAAAAGCCCCCTACACTACTGCTTCTCGAATTACCCCCTGACATATTCACCAAAGCATCCTGTGAAGCAAAGTTGGCATCGAAGAACACAGCAGCCTCAACTTCGATGCTCTCGCGAATTATATTGGCTGCGCGTGAAAAAGTGCCCTGTATTTGAGTCACATAATCGGCCTTCGGTGATCGATTTTCAGACCTTTTGCTGCTTTTTGGCTTAGCCCGATGTACACGCTCACGGCGTGGTCTCTCCTGAAAATAATCTCGCGGTGCATGCCCTGAATCAACCACCGACTGGCTTTTCTCCACTTGTGCTGTAGACTTTTGGCCTCCAGAGGTATTTAAATTCTTTGGTCGAAAGGGCAACATTTCGGGAGAGTTGCTAGCTGGTAGCCCATTAGCCACACTGTCCGTCATTTGTATTTTCTGTTGTTCCCGGTGAACATGGCCTTCCAGGTGCTCCTCCTCTGGAGACAGTATATCTTCATGCGCAGAAATCCACGTATTTCGCAGACTGCCTTTGCCTTCAAGGAAGCTTCCCAGTCCAACCATCATGCGTTCACTCCGAGTATGTTGATTTTTGGCTCTTGTTGCGACCAGATAATCCATGACAGTATGAGAGATATCGGCCATGAAATTTATCAGGGCGGCGTTGAGTGGTTCATGCGGCTTGTCGTCCAGGATCGTATATGCACCAATCACGAATCCTTTTGGGCTGATGATCGGACTGCATGCCAAGAAACGAAAATTTGGAAAGCCGACTACATCTTGATGTCCAGCAAGTTCCTCATCTTTCATGAGATCTGGCACAACAAATGATTGGGGTGGACATTCTATAGATTGCGGGAGATTCAGGACGGCTTTGCAGAGGCTGCGACCGTATGACATGGTACAACTTCCGATCCACAGGGCATCATCCTCGATGTGATCGGCTTCATTCTGTAGGCTGAGAGTTCGAGTCGCTTCGGCCAGAATATGTACCTCGTTGCGACCGAAAAGTGAAATGAAGGCGCGTTTGGAATCCAATCGCAAAGTTCCCAGTTGGGCAAACGCTGTCAGGACAGGATCCGAAGACGGCTGTGCGACGAGATCCGTGGTTTTTGTTTCATGGTCGATATGATTAAGAGCAGCTGATTGGAAATGATATGGCGGCAGGTACCTATCGCATACAAATGCACCGTCAGGAGGCTGTTTGCACAGTTACATACTACTAAAAGTACACCTTGCCGGGAAATGACTCGGACATACCTAAAGAACTCCCGCTGCCCCGACGCACTGAACCCCGCCTGCTGCTGGCTCTCTTGCTGTGAAGTCGGTCGAGACATCACCACGGTGCTATCCGGGGATCCAGAGCAGGGTCGAACGGCATCAGAAAGGACTCGCACAGAAGTGACCACTGTGAGATGGGTAATACTCTGACTTGGAAGTGTTGAACACCTGGGCTAGGAATACTAGTAAGAATAAGAAAAGGAAGAAACGCCCAGACGATAAGAAGATAACCAACGGAAGCGGGGCGAAACTGCAAAATCCTGGAATGGGTCATTTCCTCGATCAATCAGATTGTGAGGTTGCAACTTTATGTCAGCGCTAGCGTGGGGAGCGATGTCCAATAACGAGGGAGATCGATAGATCGAGGGACCGATCGGGATTGAGTGGCACTACTTGTACCAGACTACCAGTATGTTCTAATTTCGAGTTATTTTGTGGGCAGCGTTAATAGAATATCATTCAGTCTATCATGCCATCACCTGAAATCCATGAGAAATCAACTTCACTCATCAAATCTCCAGAGATTCCTCCAAGTACAGAGGGGCCGTGGATTGTTCCAATGGAGACATTTCTGAATTCATCCAGCGTAAAGGATTCATTTCCACCGATACCACTACCGCCGACGAAACTCGAAAGATCAAACCCCGCACTTGGACACATCTGTATGTATTCCGGTGTCAGTGCTGGAGCCGCAAGCAACTGCACAGCAGCAGTAGTTGAAGATCGAGCAGCTGGCGTCACGCTCTGCCCAGAACCATCTCGTGAATCCAATTTCCGGCTTGATAGGTTATTATGAAATTGCTGGACAAGCATTTCAGCTTGACTGGCAAATCTTCGCAAGAGTTGGGCGGCCTCTCTTGAGGCCGCGAAGTATTTGCCCATTATCTCAAATGAACTGATTGCGGTTTGTAGGCATTTCCGGGCTGTCGGGGATGGAGGACAGACAGGATTGGTCAAAGTGAATCCTAAGATACAAAGAGCAGAATCCCATTGATATTGAATAACTGGAGACCATCCTCGCAATAGGTCCGTATCAGTGAGCACCTGATTGATAATTTTTGTCAAAGAGATGGCGTGGTTGAGACAATTGATGCTATGGCAGTCGGAAAGTGGCGTTATGAATGAGGAACCAGGCGGGAGGCGTAAAAATGAGCGAAAGTTTGAAAGTTGAAGGTGATGGTATATAATCTCAAGCAAGAGTCGCTGGCGTTGCAGCCAAATTGGACTAAAGGTGTCAAACTTCAGCAGAGTTCGCTCAGTTGAAAATGACTCCCCGGATCCTTTTCGAGGTATCTTCAGGGATTCAGGGACATTTTCTGCCCATTTGTAAACAGATCGCACTTCCTGTCCAAGAAAGCTCGCAAGTTCTTCAAGAGCGACCGGGCTATCGTAAAACGACTTGACAGCATGTTGTTCCTGTGCCTGAATGACTCGCTTTGAGAAATCATACTGAATATGCTGTACCGAGTTGACCAGTTGTGCGCAGTTTGCATGGAAGCTCAACCACGTAATATCATCATGGTTCGGACTCATCAGCATTGACCCTGAGAGGGATGCATGTTCTTGGCTATGGCCAGGTGATCCTAAACTACTTTGCTCCCCGTTAATAGTAGCTGGCCGGCCGAGTCCCATTGATAATTGACTATCCAACATAGTCATCACAGACCAGACACGAGCTCTCAACTGTTGGTCTGCTACTGATGTAATTCTTGCAGGCTGGAACTGCAATCCAATTGTTTGGGCGACCCTCGATGCGTTTCCTAGCATTGCATATGCTGCATTCAGCGATGATGTATTGTAGAGATAGATGATACAGTAAATGTAACTTTGTAGCGTCATCATGGAAGGGTTTTCAATCACAGCGAGGAGGAGACGTTGCGAACGGCAGTAAAGGGCATAGCTGTTCTGTGAAGCTACCTTTGCATGGTCCACATCATCAGTACTCAACATATCATCATCGCTTATCAAGAATGTGCTTCCATATTGCATGCAAATGGCCATGATACTGTCAACAAGTGGTGACTGGTTCCGTGCTGGAGGGAAACTGGAGTCATTCCACAGGGAGTCATAATATTTTCGGAACTCGGTCTCGCCGATGATAGGGTACATGCAGTGAAATGACTGCCAGTAAAGATCGAGAAATTGCTCTTCTTGCGAACGGGACAATTGCTCAATGTCTCCACCGAGGCATATAGTATATGATTGTGGCTGGTCGAGCTGAGGTTCGAAAGTCAATAAATTTGGGGTACAATTTAGGCCACAGATATCTCCAGGTAACAAGATCTCCGAATGAAGCTGTGCCGTTTGTTCGGCCAGATAGAAGCCCAGACGAGCCCCAAAATATGGAGATGATAGCGGGCCATAATGAATCAAATTTCCTGTACGTATATCAGGAATCTCGATGCCATTCCATGTCTGTGGAGATACAATTCGTACGTCATTCGTCTGCGGGCTATGGAGAGACACATCCGGTGTCGAAATTGAGGAGAGCACATGCGATCCAGGCGGCGAGGGGTATTTTTCAGGGCGCTGTTCCTGAGCTCCATGGGCGGCTGGTTGACCCTGCAACCCGTGAATCTCCAAGCGTAAACGTTGAATTTCCCTAATTTCGAACCATTAACAATCCCTTCCACTCCATATGATTACCTGATGGTCCGAGATACCTATTCGCTGCCAGTAACGAGTCAGACTCAATTCGCTTACTGCTGCCAAATTGGCCCCCACTCAGATGTGACTCGTGACATTTAATCCGATTAACCCGACACCGATCGCAAGCCCGAGCAACTTGACCCCTTTTCTGTCGCGGTCTCTGGGAGCGTTTCTCATTGGGGTCAGCAGTAAAGGTAGAGAACATTCTTCAACGCGTATAGCAATGTGAACAGAAAAGGGATGAAGAGCGGGATGGATGGAGTATAGCAAGGACGAGGAGAAAGAAAAACGGATTAGGGACGGGTTGCGAAGAGGATTCGGTGGCTTGTTCACTAAGCCAATTACTATTATATCAAACTGAATAATCACCCATACAACAAAGCTTGATTGTTCAAGACTGAGTAATCTCCGGCTCGACGGCCAATAAACTATTTACCGCATCCACAATACTCTCCTTCAACGGTCGGAATTTCAACCCCAAAATCTCTCGCGCACGTGAACTGTCAAATCCATACACACCATCTGTCGGGTAGTCACCTGGTACCAAGGCCTCGCCAGTCGGCAAACGAGATTGGAACTCGGGGAATTCTTGGCCAATTATTTGCGCAATTTCTTTGTTAGAGAAGTGGCTGGATACAGTGAAAAAACGCTTGCCACCAGCTTCAGCCTTTTCGATAGCGAGGACGTGGGCCAGTGCGAGGTCTCGGACATCGACGTATAGATAATTCCCTGTTGGAGGGCAGCGATCCTTGGCAGTACCAGTGATCAGGTCGCGAATGCGCTCGTTGGAGGTGTTGAGGGCGCTCAGTGATGCCAGGTTATGCGCGATAGGTCCGAGAACTAGAGGTGGATTGATCACACTCAGGTCGAAATGGGGCTTTTTCTTCTCAACAAAATCCCAGGCTGCTCGTTCGGCGAATGTCTTGCTTGCCCGGTATGCGTTTGCTGGATTATCGTTCGCTTGGTCCACTGTGATGGGACACCAATCGGCCTGTATCTTCGGTTGGAAATATTTCCAGCTTTACAACTGAATCTGAGACTTACCTCCGAGTAAACCTTCCCTTTGGCCTTTGCATAAACATTGTTGATAGCAGCAAAGGAGGATGTCACCACAACTCGCTTGACAGTCGGCGCATATTTCTGTACCGACTTCAATATCCCAGTGGTCCCAATGATCGCTGTATGAAATGTCTTAGTCGTCAGCACTATGCTGGGAGTTTTCTCGACTTACCTGGGTCTAGGAGCTCCCTGGCATCTTTGGCATTGAAATGATACGGGCTAGCAGTGTGGATAACAGCCTGGAATGGGGGCTCTGAAACGACCACCTCATCAAAAGCTAGTCACCAGATGTCAGTTCGCCATTGTTATCTTTCCTCGGAGTAGATTAACTCTGCTCACCGTTCTCTCGAGCCATGTCGGTCACAATAACGCAATCAAGACGATTCTTCGATAGTTCTGGGTGCGCAGTCAAGATTGCCTGCGCCTTTTCTCTGGGACCGAACAGTAGTAACAACTGAGTGTCCACGAGCAAGGAGTGTCTCGAGGACATGAGTAGCGATGAAGCCACTGCCACCTTGGAACGGTTAGGTTGCTTTTTTTTTCGCTCCCTAAGCTAAACTCACCAGTGAGAAGAACGCGAGTCATTTTGGTTGGTAGTTGAAAGATTTTGGTTATCAGATGATATAATGATAATTGCTTCCAAGTACTAGATAGCTATAGCGCTGGACATGGGCACGTTTAAATAAGAATCCCAGCTCGCATATCAAAGCTTATTCCCGTCTCAGACCTGCGAGCGCTCTCCTTCTAGCTAAGCCTGCAATGCCGATCCAAGCCTCCTATGTTGACTGGATCGGGGATACTACTAATTCCGCAGCCACTTTCTGGAGCAAACCCGACAAGGTGATACGCGAATATCATGATAAAACCGTTTCCAAGGAATTATTCCTTTGGGAGTTGTTCAATTCAGATACTCCTTTGGGAACTCCGAGAACTCCGACTACTCCTTTTGGATTAGCGGGATCGTTGGTTAAGGTGGGGCAACAGGGCAACAGAAGGATAAATTAAAGTGATGAGTTGAAACATGGGTATGGAAAGAATTAGGAAGAGGCTTAATACAAAAGAAATTGAGACTCAAACCTTGGTGAACGAAGATACGCCTGTAGTTTTCAAGTATCTTTTTTTTCAGGGATCATTAGATAGTACAGTGACAGTGCCTAGCAATAACCATGAATATCTGAAACCCTTCCTTAGGATTACTGGATGAAAGGCCTATTGGCTACTGGTATCAAGCCCGATTATAAACCAATTGAATTGGAAAATCTTTTAAATATGAAGGCATCTGACTGGAAAACAAAGTGGCCTCGAAATTAATACTTGGCGCTGCAGTAGTTACTTCACGGGAACATGTATCTTTATCAGTTGTCAATATAAGTAAGATGGATTATGGCTACACTACACGAATAGACAGATGACAGAGGGTAAGATGATAGGGCTCAAAGCCATCCATTGAGGGTGCACAATGAAAGGGGTAGGTCAAATCAGATTAGTGATGTAGCGCGTTGGCAAAGACACAAGAGAAAGGGAAAGAGGGGATGTACACGACGCTGGGTAAATAATTTCGAGGGACGAGATGTGGATGCTTTCCAATATCAGCCCATCAGAAGTTGAGAAGAGACATGGTCATCAAGGAAAGGCACCATGGGAGAAAAGATATGTGGGGATGATATGTGCAAGGTAAATGTGACGTGTTTAGTTAGGTCTTCGAAGTCAGATAGTCTGCCGCCTATGAGCGAGTTAGCCATTGTTCACCATTCAAGGGCTTTGGTGAGCCTACCTTATCAAGGTTATAATCGAACTTCTCCAGGGCTCCTAGGGACGCCTCTCGTGGAAATCCCATGCCCGTCAAGCGCTGCAGGATTTGGTCGTCCTCTCCAGAGTCATTGTTCAGGGCCCATCCAGGGTTCTTGGGATCCGACCCATTGGCAACCTCCTCGGTGGCAGGCTTAGCATTTTCAAGGGGCGCAAAGAGAGCATCCCAGTCATGATTACCCGCTTTGCCATCACCTCCATTTGGGGAGCCGGCAGCTTGAGCGGCAGAAGCTTGGGCGTTGTTGTCAAATGAGAAGAATTCAGATGAGCCCCCCTGGCCAGCATCGGTACTTGAAGAAGCGCCATGCTGTTGTGCAGGCGAATCGAAGGAAAAGTCAAAGTCCGAGGCATTCTTAGTATCGTGGCCAGAAGGCTCGTCATCCTCGTCGTCCTCTGCCTCCTTTGCAGGGGCAAGGTCTAGGCCTGCAAAGGCGGCCTCGAAGTCGGGACCGCCGGTCTTTGCACCTCCAGTTGTAGGAGCAACAGCAGCAGCATCCCGTGAATCATGCTGCGGCTCATTGCCAATAACCGGGACTCCTGTTCCTGATTCGACGGAGTGAGGCGCGTCGGGGGGGCAAAGTGGGGTCAGCACGCTCAGGAAGAAGACCACTATACTCCGGAACGTGGCTACCTTCCTCGTTGGCAGTGCTAGTCTCATAAGTTGGGGGACTTTGCTGCGCATCAGGTGCAGGGGGTTCGGCGGCAGACTGTGCTGATCCTGGGACAGGGAAAGCCGCGAGCTGAGCCGCATCGATAGAATCAGCCGGCTTTCCCTCCTTAGTACCTTTCGGTGAAACTGGAGTGAAATTATCATCGAACCCTAAAGGGCCATCATCATCTGAGCTTTCATCTTCCTCCTCATCATGGTGAAGCTCCTCAATAGGAGGGAATTCGGAATGGGCGGTCGCAGCTCCATTTGCATTTTCATCGCCTGGGGTCTTCATGGAAGCAAAAGCTTCGTCAAAGTCGCTTCCCTTCTGCGATTCGGAACGCTTATGGGCCTTGCTACCAAAAAGCTCGTCGAATGACAGGTCTTTCGAAGTCTCTTCTCTCCCAGTAACATTGGGAGAAATTGCAGAGGCGTGCTGTTCGGTGGCAGGAGCACTTGTTACTGCAGCTGCCATCGATGGCTCAGGAATTTCATCGAATGGAGATTGGGCCGGTGTTCCTGCGGCGGTCGATCCTGCGGCACGGCTATAATCACTGGACTCTGCGACAGATGGCGCCCCCATGTCGCTGACGGTAAGTTGCGAAGGGGTGGCAAGACCGGATTCATCGGGTCCGCCAAATCGGCTACCAGGTGGAGAAACCATAGTGGACGAAGTCACAGATTGGTTTTCGTTAAAGGGCAGGAAGTTCGGGGTCATCTGTCGGGACTGAGTGGGTGGTGGGGGCTCGTTTCCTGGAAAGGCACCAGGAAGACTGCCTGGGCCAGGAGACACGGACGGAGTTGGAACATTAGATACAACAGGAGACTTGGCTGTAGCCAAAGGCGACTCAGAGCGGAATGAAGTAGGCGGAGGACCAACAGCCGAAGGAGCGGTAGAAGTCTGGCCAAAGAGGCTGTCAAACATCTTGTGGTGGTCATTCGAATTATCCGGAGAAGTACCGCGCTCGCTCTCGCTTCCGGTCGTGGTGCGACGATAAAAAGGATTGGTGTTCTGACTAGCAGTAGAGGCAGCAGGGCTAGTTACCTCGGTGTTGCTCACAGGTGTCGGTTCCTCGGTGTATTGAGGGCTTTCTTTGGACAGGGTGTCAATTTCACTCTGCATCTTTTCATGTTCGCCCTCAACGGTAGCCAATTGCTTCTTGTTGATGGCAACAAGGCCCTTCTGCTGTCTAGCATCGGAGCGTGCCTTTTCCAATGCAGGCCTAAGCTGAGCAACTTCGGCATTGGCCTGGCGGATCTTTTCTTTCAAGCTGGCGTTTTCCTGCTGGTCTCCTGCCAGGGCAGTCGAGACCTGTGTATATTGGTTGTGCAGATCCTGGCGACCACCCTCAATCAAGGCATAATCCTGTTGCAACTTTGTCGTCTCCGCCTTAGAAACACGGAGCCGCTCCTCCAGCGCCTTGAAGTTAGTCACTTCCTGCTCATACATCGCACGAGCTTGGGCCAGTCGGGTCTCAAAGTCCCGTTTTTGCTGGGAGGTCTGAGTGAGGTTCTGCTCTGCCGAAGTACGCTTCTCCTGGACATTGTGCATCTCCTTAGCCAGTGAGCCAATCTGGTTAGACAAGTTGGCGAGTTCAGTAGTCTCCTGAGTGAGCTTATTTGATTCTTCAGGGTCATTGTCTCCCAGCAGATCATCAGATGGAGGCGGCGGGGAGCGAACTTGCCCCGGTGTTCCGGTGGATGTTCCAGTCTGCTGGGGCTGCAGGCTCTGGCCGAATGTTGATGTAGGAATAAAAGGCTTGAATGTGGTCGACGCAGTCTGCGGGGAGGCTTGGGATGGCGAGCTAGGAGTCTGGAATGCGATATTGGAGCCACCTGTAGATTGGGGCACCTGTGTCTGTGTCGTCGGGGGCGAATCAAGACCAAAAAGGTCATCCGCAGCAGATCGTGGAACCGGGGCTGGCGGAGGAGGTGCTGCCACTGGGACCGGAGCAGGAGTAGCACCAAGTCCGGGAACAGGAGCTTGTCGACGCATGCTGGGCGGGATCAAAGCAGGAGGGAGGACCTGGGGTATACGCTCCTTTCCACCCCGCTGCAACTTCACAAGGTACATGGCCACGGCGAACTCATCTCGGTTCAGCTGACCATCAGCATCAATATCAGCAAGGTCCCAAATCTGTGCCAAAACCTCCTCAGAAAGTCGAGCCTTCATAAAAAATGCAACAGCTTGATCACCAGTGATGACACCTGCCCTGGCCGTATCAACGGTCTCGAAAATTTGATCAAAGTGTGCTTTCTCCTGGGCTGTAATAAGCCAATCGCCAGTAGACTGCGCGGACAATGGGGTTCCAAATTGAGCCCGGGTGGCAGGGCTCATAGGGCTCGTAGTTCTTTGGGGTCCTGTGAATTGTCGAGGTACTGCGGGCACTGGAGGTACCTCAGGACGCGCTCCGAATGAACCGCGTTGAGAGCCTCGACGGGCGGCAGCATCGTAAAGGCCAGGGGGCAAGGTCTGAGGAATACCACGGAGAACACCAGATTTGAATGAGGTCAGAAGGTGCATCGCAATGATGAATTCGGTCGCATCCAGAGTTCCGCGCTGCTGGGTATCCGAAAGACCCCATATGCGGCCCAGGGTCTCATTTGGCAGTCTGGCGCGTTCAAAGATCTGCTTAGCAATCTCGCCGGGCAGCAGTCCATTCACAACACCCGACTTCTCGAAGAGGGAAAGGAACTTGTTCGCATCGTCAGGCTGAAGCGGAGGAACTCGGATAGGAGGCCCGCCCGCACTTGGAGGAGGGCTTTGTGCAGGCTCGGGCACGGGGGCATTCACATCGACATGAACACCATCGAATCGAGGGAGCGGGCCAGCTAAAGCAAAGAGGCATTTGATCAATATTGGTCCGGTCGAGGCACAGTGAAATGTCGTCCCCAAATGCAAACTAGGGAAGAGAAACCACTTACGCTGTAAAGCCAACTCGTCTGATGGCGTACGCCCGGCTTGTGCATGCCCAATCAATCGTAGCACGATGCCGAATCCAGACGGGGTCAAGAGACCCCTGTTCTCTTTATCTGCGAGCTGCCATATCTAGAGGCGGGTCAGCTTCCTCGTCCCTCGTGCACTTCCGAGCTTGTAATCCCCATTTATTTTCCACGTACCTCACCTAGGGTTCCAGATGGCAATTGTGTCTTCTCAAAGAATGGAACGGCAATTTCGCCGGTGATCACTCCAAGGTTGGTGGTGTCTGCAGCTTGGAACAGCTGGTAGAAGACGCGCTTCTCCTCGGGGGTGAGATTCAGGTTCGGATGTCGCTGGGCTGTAATTCCGACAATCAGTCATGTTCGTTCACTCTTTCTTCCCGTTGCTTCTTCTCCCTGGTTTGACAGGGTTCACGACAGAAGCGCGGGTCTCGGAACGGCGCAGAGAGAGGGGAAGGGGGCCGGAGTTCGGCGGGTCCTCCTGAATTGCGCCGGAGCTTCTATGTCCATTGCTAGATATCCAAGACGGAAGGAAGAGTAGATAGCTTACCGGTATCAGCCATAGCTGTGTATTATGGAGGAGTCAGACTCCTCTCCTTCCAAATAGGTTTCCGGATAGTTGGGGCCTGGAGGACAGGTTGGAGACACGGGGTGGTCGTCAGCTTTAGCCGTAGACCACGAGCGTGGATTGGCGCCAACGGAGAGACGGAAGTACAATGGGAAGCCGACGGAGGCGTCTCTCACTCAAGTATCAAAAAGAATCGATGTGGTGGTGGAATAGAGAGGAGTATGCAGTGTGGCTGGGGGGGGGGGCTTTGGGGGGATGTCGTAAGGAAGGCAGCCAGCCCCATCGCGCAAGGCGGTCAATTGACTTTAGCGTCCATTCCATCCTGTGCACGGTGGAATTCAGGGTAATCCTTGTAATGATAATTGATACTTGATACTTGATACTTGTAGTATTAGTCGAAGCAGAGGAAAATATTGAAGCTATTAAAGGATTGGGACAAGTTTAGGCGCTTCCAAGCCTTAAATATACGCAATCTACCATACAATATGCACGTCCCTAGGTACTATGCGCAGCGGCCGTGTATCAACTTCACCAACTGGAGCAAACAGAACTCCATTACCAGACAAGCTAGGAGCCCTAGAGCAATCCATGGGAAAGCACTCTGAAATATTACGATTTGTGTTTCCCTTGCTAATTTTCCACAGGAAGACATATGTACCTGGGAGTACTAGTACAGTAGTATGGCTAGCATTGGTTAGACTCTATGATGAACAGCAAATAACAAATACTATTGGAATGGCTTGCGTTGGAGGACTCAGAGCCTTAGGAATTTCGAATACCACTCCTTCGAAACTATACTTGTACGAATAGTAGGTACTAGGCTAATAAAGAATTACACCTGGACACTCAGCGAGAAAGAAGTAGATAGAACGAGCGGGAAATTTATCGCTGCTTCGGGGATATTAAAGATATATCGAACAACAAAGCCAGAAAGACATGATCGGGGGCTGAAAAACTATGTTTCCCATCTATTTGCAAGCCCAGGTATTGTTTGTTACCTTACCATAGATAAGAGGAACGTCGATAAGAGAGAGCCATAGCCTTGGTGACACGCCTCCAGAGATCGAATTGGTTCAAAACAGCAAGCGGCCAAAATTAAAACCAAACCAGTCCACGGACATAACACTACGGCACGACCGGACACCGTGACGCTCACGCAACATCCCGAATCTAGTACTCGGGCTCAAGCTCCTCCTCCTCCTCGAGGGAGTCGCTGGCAACCTCCTCGTAGTCGCGCTCCAGAGCAGCAAGATCCTCACGAGCCTCGGAGAACTCACCCTCCTCCATACCCTCACCAACATACCAGTGGACGAAGGCACGCTTGGAGTACATGAGATCGAACTTGTGGTCGAGAGCGGACCAGGCCTCGGCGATAGCAGTGGTGTTGGACAGCATGCAGCTGAGAGATCATTAGTATTAGTATAAAAATAGTCACTTTGGGTAGGGGGGATAAACATACACAGCACGGCTGAGGTTGGCAAGGTCGCCGTTGGGGACCTGCTGGGGGGGGCTGGTAGCAGATACCGAGCTTGAAACCAGGTAGGGCACCAGTCGACGAACTGGATGGTGCGCTTGGTCTTGAGGGTGGCGACAGCACCGTGGGCGTCCTTGGGGACAACGTCACCACGGTACAGCAGGCAGGTAGCCATGTACTTGCCGTTGCGGGGGTCACACTTGACCATCTGGTTGTTGGGCTCGAAGCAGTTGGAGGTGATCTCGGTGACCGAGTGGGCCTCGTGGGAAGCCTTGTCGGCGGAGATAACGGGCGAGTAGGCGACCAGAGGGAAGTGAATACGGGGGTAAGGGACCAGGTTAGTCTGGAACTCGTTCAGGTCGACGTTCAGGGAGCCATCGAAACGGAGCGAAGCAGTAATGGAAGAAACGACCTGGGCGATCAGGCGGTTCAGGTTCTCGTAACTGGGGCGCTCAATGCCGAGGTTACGGCGGCAGATATCGTAGATGGCCTCGTTGTCGACCATGAAGGAGCAGTCGGAGTGCTCCAGAGTGGTGTGAGTGGTCAGGATGGAGTTGTAGGGCTCAACAACGGAAGTGGCGTTCTGGGGAGCAGGGTAAACACAGAACTCCAGCTTGGACTTCTTGCCGTAGTCGACGGACAGACGCTCCATCAGGAGAGCACCGAAACCGGAACCGGTACCACCACCGAAGGAGTGGAAGACCAGGAAACCCTGGAGACCGGCACAGGAGTCGGCAACACGGCGAACCTTGTCGAGAACCTGGTCGATCATCTCCTTGCCAACGGTGTAGTGACCACGGGCATAGTTGTTTGAGGCATCCTCCTTGCCAGTGATCATCTGCTCGGGGTGGAAAAGAGAACGGTAGGTACCGGTGCGGACCTCATCGACGACGTTGGGCTCAAGATCGGCATAGATGGTACGGGGAACGTAGCGACCCTGGCCTGTCAAGGTGGGGGTTGAAGAATGTCAGGGAGATCTTGACCACAAGCAATTGTGCAAAAAAGAAAAGGTGGGGAAAGCAATAAAAAGGTCTAGAAACGACCTAGAAGAGATTTACATACCAGTCTCGGAGAAGAAAGTGCTGAAACCGTGGTCGGGATCGGCCTTCTTGCGCTCATCGGTAAGATATCCATCGGGCTATTGAGGCTGTTAGTTGCGGGTGATTGCTTCCCGGCAAGGGAAAAGGGGGGAAGGTGCTTCCGCTGCCCGAGTTGAGATTGGGCGCCACCAAAGTTGTAATTCCAACGTACCTGGATACCGTGCTCCAGACAGTACAGCTATAGGTGGGGTATGGTTAGTATTGACCGTCGTTTGAAGTTGCAATTGAAGGTGGTGTGATAGTTACCTCCCAGCAGGAGTTGGCGATCTGGCAACCGGCCTGACCGACTGGATACCGGGGAAACAAGTCAGTATGATGGAAATTTGGCAATGAAACCGATGCCAGGAGAAAGACCAGCGCGGAATTCAGGACATACCGTTCAGGGAGATGATCTCTCTCATTGTGATAGGTGGTGATTTTTCGAGGTCGAAAAAAAAGGGGGGGAGAGGGACCCGACAACAAACACGGGTCTAAGGAGGGTTCAGGGGTTAGTGCGGTCGAATTTGGCGAGATCGAAGGAGCACCACGAATGGAAGGGGGAGGGGTAATGGGAATGGTCGAGGGAGAGGGAGAACAGTGCAAGGGTCAGTTAAACTCACCAAGAATGGGAGGAATGGAGTCGTCGAGGAAGCAGAAATGTTGTGGAGGAGGGCGTCTGTGCTGAGGGAGTTCGTTGTTGATTTGCTTTGGGTCGCGTCGCTTGGCGCTGATTGGTCGATGCCCACAACACTCAGCTACACCGCCTGTTGGGGTCATGTGGTTATATCATGTGACCGTGACATACCGGTGTATGTATGGTGCATTATATGGCGCACCAGTGGCCCAGAGCAGCATAATATTAATATTATGGCTAATTGCATTGCCAGGTACACTAGCAAAATAATCAACAATAAGTCTAGTTTATGCAATAAATACCAAGTTGGGCAAACAGCTTGAATGCATCCATCCAATATCCCTCCCAGGCTGCTCACCGCCAACCGAACTGCGTCACCACATAGTATGGATATATTTCCATACTACAACACCTACACCATGACCTATCTCGAATCCAGCTGAACACTCCACCCCATACATGAATTCTCCAGAGATTCTCCCATCAACACCTACATAACCACCGAAAGGCATTACTCACCAACTAAACCCCTCAACTGAAGAAATGCAGCTCCGCGGCCTCAGCCTGCTCAGCCTGCTCCTCAGCATCGCCAGTATCACCCACGCCAACGTCGAAAAAACCATCTTCCTTGGCCCACCCGCCACAACAATTCCCTCCGAGGAACCCGATCTAGACGATCTCGGCCTAGAACGACTCTCCCCGACCAACCCGGTCGTGCGCACCCAGCTTAACGCCTCATTTCCAACCACCGATGCCCCAGATGGCACAGACTCATGGTTCTTCCTCGAGGATCTCACCCCAGGCCAGCGGTACGAGGTCCGAGTATGCTGGCTTGCTACGGTACGTTCAACTACAAGTTTCCCCCATTGCATACATACCATACACATAGTATGACGTGCATACATACGCACTCCAATACCTACGAGGTATATATTCTAAGAATCCATGCTACAGCACACTAACAAACCAAACCAGCAACCAACAACATTCACACTAACAACCCACCCACTATCCGAAACAATGGAGGAGAAATCCCTCCTCTCATCCTTAATTATATTCTCCACTGCACGCCTAAGCACCCAAGACCCACGCCTCCAAACAAACGCCATCCCCCGCACCGCGGGCCGGAACTTCAAAAGGAAAACCGACCATCCAGACCCGGGGCCTGTGAGATCCTCGGTACTCTTCCTGCGCGTACGCGCTGCGGCAGATTACTTCACGAAGGACGAGGTGCTGATGGCGAGTCCGGAGCCTGTGGCCGTGGATTTGATTCTTGATCCGTTTATTTGGAATGTTTTCCCGCGTTCGCTGGTTCCGACGGCGGGGTGGGTTGTCGTTGTCGGGGTTGTTGCTTTTTTTGTGGCGAGGTGGATTGCGGGTGAGATTGGGAAGGTGATTGATGATGCGAGGGAGGAGGAGGGAGACTTTGAATGGGAATGGGAATGGGGAGAAAGATGGGAAGAAGGAGAGGTAATTGGTAATTGGTAATTGAGGCTTGGATTGGCTTGTTTCATCTTATTTGTACGATTATCGTGTTTTCGGGGACTATTCGTACAAGGCAGTGGCCATTGGTTTCCAACTTGAAAGATCGAGGTTGTATATAGTCTGCATCTACTTAATATAGCATTCATGGATGGTCTTGTGTCTTGGGCGCTTGCCTAGGCGATCAAACCTTTCTACGAAGTACTGGTACTCGTTACATCCCTAGGATAGTCGGATTGACAATCTACGTGAAGAAATGAGAAATATCTTACCAGCCATTCGCCAACTGGATACATTATATAACCAAAATCACGAGCCAATACAAGGGATACACGAGGGGCGAGTACAGGAGGGGGAATACCAAAAACAATGACAATGGGGCATTACCCCAGGTAACGACACCATGAGCGAGAACGCCAAAAGCCAAAAGCTAAAGCCAAAACCAAAACCAAAACCAAAGCCCAATATTTCATATTCCACGCGTCGCTCTACTCTATGCGTCTTGACATTCTGACCACGACACCATGGGCTGATCGAACCCAGGCAGAGATAAAATGCGAAGCACCCCAGATCATATCGAAATCACATCATAACCATTAAATTAAAAGGAAATTCGTTGACCAGCTATGCACAAACACAGGTTCTGCAAATATTCACTTTGTAGATGGCCTAATCTTCGAAAAAGTTCAGGATAGCGCGGATACCCTTCGACCCTAGACCGTGGGCTGGGTACGAGATGTACAAAGGCTCTTCGGTAGCACCTAGCTTGGCGCGGAACTCGCTCTTGCGGACGAGATGGAACTGCTTGGCCAGTGCCTCGTAAGTGTGTTCCAGCATCTTGATCTTGGTCCCGTGCATGTTGTGGCCCGGAATGAGCTGGCTGGTGGCGCCCGCACCGAAGGTCAGTCCCTTCACGCCGCCCTTGGCGGCAGTCTGAATGGCCTCCGTGACGATGTATTCGATTACACCGTTCGGTGAGTTGGGGAAATCTAAGCTGTACTTGACTTGCATACCGTGATCTGGAGAGAGCATGGCCAAGGCAACGAACGCGCAGACGACGCCGGTCTTGTCAAGTGCGTAGAAGTACCAGCGATGTTCAGAGTCGATCCACGGGCGAATCTCCGAGAGATGCACCTGGGTACCCTTCCGGTTGGCCAGCCACTCATGGATACGCTCATCGATCTTCTTGCGAATTTCTTCAGAAGGCAACTCGCCCTGGCTCAAAGACACGACCCTGATGTTCTCGGTCTCCGCACGGCGCAGCTTCTTGGCAATCTCGCCGTCCGAAGCGGCCTTGTTGCGAGATGGCTCGACGCGCTCCTCAGCAATGCAAGACAAGCTGCGCCATCCCAGACGCTCTCCAAGGATGGTCTCGACCTCGGGTGAGCAAAGAAGCCAGACGGGTTTGAGCTTGGTCTCGCGTCTCAGCCACTGCAGGAACTGAGTAATGGTGCGAGTGTACTGGGAAGGGTCGCAGGCCGGGTTACCGGGGATGATGGCGTAGTTGTGAGAGCTGGGAACGTAGGAAACGGCCGCACCGGTAGACATATCACGCCAGATCTTGAACCGCTCGTCGAACCAAGAGGTGGAGGTGGCATCGCCATAATTGGCAACCAGTTTCTCCAACGGCTGGAGCTCGCTCTCATCCGAGGCAACGCGACGCGAGGGCTGTGCGGTGAACCATGGGGGCTCAATGGTAGATGCCTCCGGATGGCGAAGCTGCGGCACGGGAGGCTTGGCTGGCAGGCTCTTGGGGTCACGGTGGAAGAGCGAGGTGAGACGAATGTTGCCCACCTGTAGGAGAAGCATCAGAAGACGCTCGAGACCAACACCAGCACCCGCGTGAGGTGGCGCGCCCCAGCGGAATGCCTCCATATACTCTTCCATGTCATCGGGGTTGATGCCAACGCGGCGCATGTTCTCTTCCAGCATGTGCGGGTCGTGGATACGTTGACCACCAGACACGATCTCTTGACCTCGGATGAACATGTCGAATGAGTTTGTATACTTGTCATCTTCGGCATCTGGCATGGTATAGAAGGGACGAGCGCCGCGAGGGAATTTGTCGAGAACATAGTAGTCAGTGTCGTATTTCTCCTTCACCAACTGACCAAGACGGATTTCGTCTCGAGTCGCCAGATCCTCATCCAGTGGTAAGGGCTTGCCATCCTCATCACGCCAGCCTGAGTCATTAAGCATCTGAATGCCGTCGGAAAAGCGAATAATGGGGGTCTGTTCCAACCACTTCACATCCTCCGAGGGGAACTGGTGCTTGACGAGCTCGATCTCCTTGCGATACTTGGTGTAGATGCCGCTCAGAATGTTCTTGATGACCGCATCGAGAGTCTCCAGCATTTCGTGGTAGTGCTCCTCGATGGCCATTTCAATATCCAATCCGGTGTACTCGGTCAAGTGACGATGGGTATTGGAGTTTTCGGCACGGAAGACGGCGCCAATTTCGTACACACGGCCGAAATCAGCCGCGATGGCCATCTGTTTGGCCAATTGAGGGGACTGGGCCAGGAATGCAGGACGGCCAAAGTAGTTCACTTGGAACACACTGGACCCAGACTCGGTGGCGGCTCCCTGGAGCTTGGGGGTGTGGATCTCGATGAACTCACGCTCGTCGAGGGCGCTGCGAAACAGGTTGCAAGTTGCGGATTGAAGACGGAAGATGGACTGCGAGGTTGCGGTCCGTAGGTCTAGCAGACGGTTGGACAGGCGAGTGCGGTCCGGGATGTGGCTGCGACGGCCCTCCACCTTATCCTCCTCGTTGGTGCGGATCTCAGCCTCGTAGACGCTGAAGGGAACTGGTTCCTCGCGCTTCACGAGAAGGTGGACCGACTCGATGGACAGTTCAACATCGTGAATACTGCATCCCAGAACGGGGACCTCGGGTTTCTGGATGGTACCACGGATACGCACGAAGGATCCCACTCGCAAGTGCTCGGCCCACTGGACCATGACGACCGAGGAGATGCCGGCGCGCTCGTGAAGCACACCCTGGAAGGTCTCCAGCTGCTGGCGGAAGACGAGGAAGACCAGCTTGGCGCTCATCCGGCGAATGACGTGCAGACGGGCCGTGAAATAGACCTGCTGTCCAACCATTTCTGGGGTGATCTGGTCGAGGCGAAGGCGGTCCTCATGCTTACGGTCCTGCGACTGCATCAGAGGAAGCTCGCCATAGCGGGCCTTCATCTCGGCGGTCTCCTCCTCGGCAGCTTTGGCCAGCTCCTCCTCCTTGCGACGGTGATCGGACTCGGAGAATTGCTCCTCGCTGAGACGGCTTCGCTCGGAGCGACGCTGCTGACGCACCAGGCGTTTTTGTTGGTTCTTGCTCAGGGCACCACTGGAGGAATCGTCGGAGAAATCATCGGAAGACGAGACATAGTCGCGTTCTCGTAGGAAGTTGCCGAGGATGCTGCGACGAGGCGAGTTCGGGGACATGGAATCGCGAGAGGTGGAGGTACGTGGTTTGGGAGAGAGAGTGGACCGAATGCCGGTGCCGGACGAGTCATCATCACCACCCAGGTGGCCACGGATGGCTTTGGAGAGAGCCCTTTTGATGGACATGGTGGGCACCTCCCAAGTAGAAAAAAAAAGACTGGCAAGTTGGGGTTCAAAGGATGATGGGAGAGTATATCAGGGGAGGGATAGAAAAAGGGAGTAAATGAAGAGGAAGAGAAGGGGCCGAGGCGGGGAGGGGGGTTTTGCGGGAACTGCAAGCAAGCGGCGATCCACGGCTTACTTGGCTTATGAATGGGTGGCCCGCGGGGTTTCCGAGGGGTTCCGTTAAACTGTAGATTGCAGTATCAGAATCGTATGGAATAGGATGAAAGAAACCCTTTTTTGGATCCCTAGGTATCAATTCTTGAACAATGTCAATATAATTGAAACTTGAGAGGACCTCTAGACATTAACTAGGTCATTCTTTGAGTCTGATACAAATAGGAGTTGGGAGCATGACATCATGTGGGCTGCCCGGATTTGCGCAGGAATGCTTGTTTACTACTTGGATCTACTCTTGGCGATAGTCCACAGTACCAGGACTAAACTACGTACACTACGTACCTACGTACCTACGTACGGATGATGATAACGCTACTTAAGTATCCCTAGGTCTTTCAGTGACGGTAAATGCCCTGGTACTTACAAAATACTAGCCATCACTAGTAATTCACAAGTATCTGCCCCCCCAAGGAAGGCGCCACCCACACCCCACTCCTGTTTCAGGGTCATTGCTGCCTTATCCCTCAGGTGTCGACTTACGTAGCCACCGATAACGACACCAGCACATCAGCACATCTCTAGTAGTGCCACTGTCACTCACCACACTTCTGTATCTATTACGCTCTTCTCTTCTCCCTTTCTCTCCGATTGCTATCCCACAACCTCCCTGTAACTCCCTCTTTCATCCGCCTCTCCTCATTCGCCACCGTCGGCACTTCCCTAAATTCCACTCCGCCTCCGACCTCCGAATCCCGACATCTGACCATCCCATCGCCTCCCCTTGATATCACCAGACTTCCCGAGCCTGCTAGCTCTGCTAGAACCCAATCACTATCGCAATGGGTTCTCGATGGTGGCTGCATGTCCAGGCCGTCGTCTGGCGGTTCCTGATGCGCATTGGAATGTCCCTGCATGACCTCACACCTCCGCGTTGTCCGAGCCCATCCTTTACCCGTACCCTTCCATCCGACGCCCACGGCAATTCGGCGGTCATTCATTTCTACCTCCCTCCCGATTATCACGCCCAGAAACGCCTTGGCCATCGTTTTCCCGTCCTCGTCAACTTCCACGGTGGTGGTTTCACCCTCGGCTGTGCCACCGACGATTCCCGATGGACCACCATGGTTGTCCGCGAGGTCGACGCCGTTGTCGCTAGTGTCAGCTATCGTCGGGCCCCTGAAAACCCCTTCCCCGCCGCCGTCGACGACGGAGTGGATGCGCTGTTGTATTTGGCAGCCAACGCCGGCGACTTGGGCCTGGATGTCAGCCGGGTGGCCCTGAGCGGCTTCTCGGCTGGTGGCAACCTAGCCGTCACCGTTCCACTGCGTCTGCATAGTCGACTATCCTCCGAGATCAAGGAGCACTTTGGCCGGGCGGAGTCGACCCAGCGTTTGGTAGACCAGACCAACGAGCTCAACATCGTTGGCATCTTCGCTTGGTACCCCATTCTGGACTTTTTGGAGTCCCGCGACCACCGCCGAGCCATGAGTATCATGCCCGATAAGACTCTACCGGCCTTCTTCACCACCCTATTCGATGAAGCATACCTCCCAATCTCGACGATCGCTCGTCCGCCTTTGCGTCGCCGGTGCGTGCCACCGATCGCATGCTGGCCACTCTACCCCATGATGTGTTTTTGTATATCTGCGAGTGGGACATGCTTATGAAAGAAGGCCAAACCTTCGTGCGTCGTCTCGAGGGACTGGGCAAGCGTGTCCGGGCCATGATGATTGAGAAGGCCTGCCATGCCTGGGACAAATCGGCGAACCCTTTCCGCGACCAGGATAGCGTTGATGTGCTGTACCGTGAGTCCTGTGCGGAAATGAAGGCGATCTTCGACCGGTGATGGTGTTTCCCTTTGATCACTTCGATTTTTTATTTCCCTCTCCTGTATATTGTTATTATAGAGCAAGCGTTATTTGTCCTTGGATCACTGAGGTTATTGGCATTTAGTTTGAGCATTCACGGCGTTTGGGACTCGATCTTGGATATTATTACAATGAAATGCATTGTTATTGATCTCCGAGAGCGAAGGACGATAGAATAAGTGCTCGTGAGGGCATTGGGAGGATAGACTTCAGCCCCTCTTAGTTTGGCTTGTCTATATGAGCTGCCCGACGTAATTCGTACAACGTGGCCTGCGCTTTAGCCAGTTCGTTTCACACTGCATGTTCGTGTACATAGGAGTACATAAGACTATGCATATATCTCGCACGTGCATGGTGATATAGAATTTTCTTTTTTTTCCCTATTTTTAAATTAACTCTGTCATTGGCTGGTCGTCATTCCGAAGAAAATCGCCGATCGCCAACTTTCACCCCAAAATGGGGTTGACACCGGTTTGCAAGCGGTAGATCTACAACCGTTTGATGTCATAATGGAGGGCCCTAATTCGCGCCTTGACTATGTACATATCAAAGGATGTTGCCAAGGGGAAAATCAAGGCACAAATTGAAGAAGCCTAAATCAAGTCCCACCGTTCGTCATGTCTACAGTATGTATGCATTCTGCGTTCTACCAGCGGAGTTGAAGGGTCTAGGTCAAGTTTGTGGGGGGGTTTTGTTTTTGAGACTATTTGGAGTCAGTTGTATCATACCGCTGATGGCACTTTGTATGTAATTATTCAGATCGACTACGCAATATTCTTTCAAACCCACCGCAGATACTAGTACTACCAGTGTTTATCTTGAGCACAGGAACCGAGATTAACTCATTGGGGAAAGCTTGTCAGCTCTCGATAGTTTAATACCGCCCTGCCCCCAAGCGTGTGATGTAAACAATGAAGATAGGATACGTCTGCGTCGAGTTCATAGAGCGATCTCGCCCGTCTCTTTAGCGATCAACATCGAGCGGCGCAGGATTAAGAACGTCTTGCACCAGATGAATCACCCCAACAGAACCTATTTGCAGCTCACGGATTCGGGTCTCAACATCTTCAAGGAAGTTGGCGATAGTCTCGCCATCTCCAACGTGAAGTGTGACCACGGAGGGTGGCGGAGGCCGCTGCGAGGCCGGGGTTCCCTGTCTTGGCTGCCACCGCTTTGATGAGGACGCCCAGGTTCAGACCCAGAGTAAGTTTTCGTTCAGGACTGGTTGGCCCCAGGCTGTAGTGTAAACACGGACTTGACCAAAAAGTGACGCTACTTGGTTATCACTCAAGAACTCAAATGATCGGTAGAGGCACTCCAAAATGAAATGAACTATACAGCTTCAAGTCCATGTCGTTCCACTTTATATGTGTGGAATGGAGGACAGCCAATCAATCGCGATATAGGACTCAGTAGGTAGTGCTCTGAGAGACGTAAACATGAGGACAATGTTCCCCCAGCGGGCGATCGAATACACAAGGAAGAGACCTATGAAGAACAGAGCTTCCCAGATCCCGTATCCGTCACTGTTAGATATAAGACAATCTTTGTCGCCTGACTCACGATAGAGTTTCCAATGAATCCAGAAGCAGTGAAGAGCCGCAGGCAAAGGGAGAGACATCGCAATAAGCGAGAAGACTCGCCAGGATAACTGCTCGGCTTTGGTTGGAAAGTAAAAGTTCCAACTATCATCACGAACCTTGGAATTAGCTTTGAGAGTAAAAAAAGAAGAGGGGAAAAAAGAAAAACTCACGCAGCAAGATGTATCCCGCAAAACAGTAAAGCAATCAACAGGGAACAAAGATCAAGAATGATGTTATCCTTGACAGACATTTTTTCTTCCTCATCCTTGATTCTGTTCTTTGATTTTGTGTAGTTCTGCTCCGGTGTGGCTGATTCCCTTGCCTCCGAGACGGCACTGCTGGTATGCTTTTCAGACGGGGAATGGGCTTTATCCCCTGAGGAATCGCGCCTGGCCATATGCTTTCTTGTAACCCATTTGACAGGCAGACAAAGACTAATGATAAATATCAAGGCGCGAAAGGGGAATGCAACCGTTTTAATGAAAACAGATCGTGAAGGATCTTTAGGAAAAGCTTCGGATAAGTGAACCCAGTCAGACTGACGCTCGTCCAAAATATCTCTTACCCGACGAGGCATTGCATCGCTTTCACGACCGTAGGGTAAATAGATCGTAATCGGTGTTATCATATCTTTGGGTTTATGCCACCAGACCGCATATGTGATTGCGGCACAGACGGCATAAGCCACGGTGGAAATCTCAAGCGGTGTTATAGGGAGATTGTATGCTGCTCGAGCAATAATGTTGCAGGTGACCCAGAAAGTTTGCAGCATTGTGAGCGCCTTTGCAAGAGCGTCAGCCTTAGCTCTGTCTTGAATATCGCGCTCTCTCAAATGAGAGTGTTTAATGACCCCAGTCTCGATTAGAGGGACAACATTTCTCGGAAGAACTGGGTAGGTCCATTCATCCTCCGTGACCAGTATGGCACCGCGCATATCGATACAAAACCCCTGGATTGCTGTCCAACGTTTCAGCGAGGACGGTTCATCGCTAGATGAACCTGCAGTGTGTAGAGGAAGGTCTCGTGAAGTGTCCTCGTTGCTAGCCAATGCTTTGAAAGCGGAATTACAACGCGTAACAATCGACATTGCCTGTCGGAGCTCCCCTACTGCAACCATGGCCATCAACTCGGGAGCAAGTAGCGCACAGGTCCAAGTTGCGGGTTTTACAGACATGGTGTCTCCATTGTGTTCGGATCGCTTTGGAACTTTAAGATGCAAAGCTGTCCATGTACATGCGAGAATCGTTGACACACATGTCCAGAAAATATCCCAGCTCGATCGAGAGTTGTCATCAAGCTGCCAGCCCTCTGTTTGAACTGCCTGTGCAAGTGAGATTTGAAGAAAAGTAAGAAGCAGAATGGCCGGTGCAAGTGATGCCATTTCCGATGCTCGAGAGCAGACGCCCTAGAGATACTCTCCAAATAGAATAAGCCGAAAAGAAACAAAACTAAGGGGCGGGGCGGGCCGGGCTTCGTTCGGCTGGAGACGTGCACTAGAGCGAAAGGAGAGCGCCAAGAATTGACGGGGATTATCCAGATCATATGCACAGACCTATCTACCCGTTTGACTGCTGCTAGTCATGTCACTGGTAGATGGCTGGTTGTATTTCAAACCAAAAGGTAACTGATCTATTTGGGCGGAGAGCATCGTGTTTTTTATTTCAAAATGCCCACACAAACATGTATGTAGAATAAAAATTGGCGGTATACATTGTTTAAAAAGTACGGGATCTATGTAGATCGAAAGATCGGACCAGAACCAACTTGAAGTATGCGACTTGACTTTAATCAAATCACCAGAGACCGAGCCCCATTTGGTATTTCGAGCGCAAGCAAAGCGGAATTGCCTACGGAGTGTACTTAAAGACCAGACCTAATCAGCCGTAAGCCATATTGCATAACTACTGAATTGAACTTCGGTCAAAAGTACCTGCTATTGACACTGTTTCCCACACGCCGGACAAACATGTTTCGTACTTGGTATCGAGACGCCGCAGTTTCTGCAACTCATCGTACTTGCAGACATTGTCGCAGTTTCTATCTCGAATCAGTCTAGATCTTGCAGGTGGAAGCTTTGTTTTGTTCTCCCTCATCCTATCGGCCATGGATGTGCTCCACATAGTGTGGCTTCTTCGAGAACGGGGGATGTTTCTGGATATCCAAGACACGGTCTGAGTTTGCATGAATGTAGCAAACTTAAGATTCAATGTACGCTGCATACAATAAGCAACTCAATCATTTGCTCGTGATTCTTGAGGCTCAGTCACGGGCCTTCGCTCCGGATCTTCCTATCAAAGAAGATATGAAGCACCGATGATTCTATTGCAAAACGAGCTAAGGCTCGAGAGCTAGTGTTGATCCGAAAATAGCCAGAGGCGGGGGATAACGTACTGTCGTACAGCAATTCTGGCAACAGCTGATGGACGTTAACCGTTGACCACCAGATGACTTGGCACAGGTTAGTTAGTGAATTAAATGAGATAGAAAAATGCATGCCATAAGATTAGTCAAGACACAGAATCTCAAGAGTATCTTCCCTTTCATATAAGTTGCTGCTGTAAATATCGAATTTGTATCAGCATGCGCATCGATCCAATCCCTCATCCTCAAGGGAAAGTATCTGTAAACCCAAACCAATGCCGTGTAACACCAAAGCTTCGAACCTTGAAATCGCCCCATTCACTTAGGCATACCAAACAAGTTCTCAACAACATAGTACCTTTCACGATAGCGCATCCTATCCGCAGAATCCGAAGTGCTACTGCCATCCCAGTCGGATCAACTCCAATAGGCTATAAAGTTGTAACAAGGGCCGTATGTGATATCCGTGAACCACCGTCGTAGTTCATTTTACCTATCGAGCGTAGTTATGCCCAGCAATCTGCGGACCGACCACTGAGCAGGAAGATCCCAGTTATGTCTCTGAACAACAACCCCGGGGAGAGGTACAATAATTCGACGAAGACGAGAAAGAAAAGCATATAAAGACAGCCGAATCCTCTATTTTCACGATATTCTATCCTCACCAGTTCCAATCCAATCCAATTCACCACCACAACAAGACCAGTTTTCAGATCGCGTGAGCATAACCTCTTCCACATCCCCAAGAAAGATCCTAAATAAACTAACCAACTCCCAACACAGACCACCAACCATTCAAAATGAAGTATCTGTCCGCAATCAGCGTCCTCATCACCCTCGCCAGCTCCACCCCACTCTGGGGTCCCAATGAAACTCCAGTGGATAGCATGAAACTCAAAGGCGTGCTCAGCGTCTACGTTCCCTGCATAAAAAACTGCGGAGTGACCAGTATGGGCTGCACATCGCAAACCGGGGCCGTTGCCGGCGCCTGCACCCACGATCTGGCGACCTGCATGCTGAGATGCCAGAGGCTGATTTATCCTTCTCCACTTGATCGCCTCACTGATTGCACACTTGTTTCTGTCGACGAGTTGAGTTCTGGTTTGGCGATTGATATGATCGAGTTACACTTCAAGGAATGTGTCAAGAAGTAAATTCTGCGGCGGCATTCAGACTAGGCAAGGGGGCTGTGATCGAAGATGGTACTGCTTCCTTCTGACCATGGTCTAGTGGAGGGTTTGATGTGATCAGACCGTGACGCTCGTTAATTGGTTTGCTTTTGAAGTTGCTGTTGTTTGTTTGCGATTGTTGAGTCTGTCTCGTGCGCCTTCGCCGGGGGATGACCCTGGTGGACTCTTCGTCGGCATTTCTTGTTTCATTGGGTGTTTTCTCTGTAGCAACTTTAATAGGAGCCCTGGAGAATCTGTTGCTTAATCTCATAACCTTGGGAACTTGAAGTCTTTTCGTATTCTCATCGTGGTCCATTTAGACAGTGACATATATCTATGCACCACGACCGGATTGTCTCCAGGGCCCTGGACAAGAACGGGCAATTCTACTAGTACCACAGGTAGGCTTATGCATAGCACGGCATCATAAGTGAAGTTTTCCCATTTTTGTATGGTATGGCTATGCCATCTAGAAATTATGGTATTTCATCAGAAGGAAACATTTCCATGCACGCTCAAAAGCAGCGATATCATCAGGCATCAACAGGAAATGGTATCGAACTTTTGGTCTCGAGAGTAAATAGCAAGAAGGAAATTCAGTAGTAAACCCAGGCGCCACGCTAAAACGAACAGATGTTTTGGGAGTTTAAATCAACCAGACACATCACATGAAAATGCAGATTTTGGGGGATCGGAGAAAAGAAAAGAGAATTTAGATGATAGATGCGAGGTGGTGCTCTCTCGCACGCTTACTCTTCGTCTGTTGCCGTGGCAATCTCTTCATCATCTTCGCCGTCATCATCGGCCTCGCTGTCGGAGTCATCGTCATCGTCTAGCCCGGGGATTCCGCGCCATTCGACATAGTCCCCTTCCAGCCAGCGCCGACTGCGCGGGAGCTGGTAAGGATCGAAGGGGAAGTATGCGTCCAGTTGGTAGCCCAGGTGGTCGCCGGCACGAACATCGCGTTCGACCGAGCCGAAGTTGGCATTGGTAAGGCTGGCAATACTGCGGAAGGCAGAGACGCGGAGTCGCTTGTTGGTTTCGAGAAGGGGGTACACGTAGAGTAGTTGGAAGTGGTGAGCGATGCGGGCGAATTCCGTGACAATACCGGGCGAACAGATTTTGAGGGGGTTCAAACGCGAGTAGATCGACTTGTGAAGAATTTCCTTGATGTTTGGTGGGAATCCCACCTGACTTGGCTCCAGTTCCTCGACCTGCTCAGGGCTGTCGCCATCCATTGCGGCGGTCGTCAGGTCGCGCCATCGAAAGCAGAAGATGTAGATAATGGCTTGGGCGGTGGAGTAGAATGGCCCGTAGCGGCGCAGATCCGGACCGCGGCAGCCGTCTTCAAACGAGTCACGAAGGTTGTTTAGATGGGTGAGCAAGATATCGAAGACATCCCGAACGACCTCGCCGGAGATGTGGGCACCGCGAGCGACAAAGCTGGCCAGGTAGGCCGCCGCCGATTGCCGGGTTAGGCTGGGCTGGAGTTTGTTGAAGATAATTTGGACACAGGCCGAGGCGAATCGATCGACAAGAACGGGCGAGCACTGCGAGAAATGGAAGAGGAGGAATTGGGAGTGTCGAGAACGGTAGGTTGGGAGAATGATGGTTTGGAAGTGGCTCAATAGAAGATCCAAAGCGTTTTCCTTCTCGTCCAAGCTGCCCGTCATGAAAGGCGGCGTGTAGTACTCAAACAGAATATCGATCATGCCATCCACCTTCTGAATGTTTCCTTTAATTTCTGTAACACGATTGCTATCGTCATCCGATTCGTCACTGACAATCGAATCGTCATCGGCTTCATCGTCGACATCCTCCTCGGGTGACACATCTTGCAGAAGGTCCTCCCCAAGTTCATCCTCAAAGTCTTCGAGGTCTACTTGAATTTGAACATCAACTTTAACAAGTTTTTCAGTGATAACAGCAAGAATATCGGACTGCAGCTCTGGGGTATAGCTAACAATCCGGATGAGGTTCTGGGTGTAGCAAATGTAGGATTTGGCCGAGTCTGTGTCGAAAGGAAATTGTGATGACAGAAGAGGCGACAATGCTCCACTTCCAGCTGGGATGAGACGCATCACATGGCGGAGCGCCTTGTGGACCCGGTTGAATATCTCAGGTGTGGACACAGGGGAATAGCCAGGAAGTCGACCCGTTCCTCGAGGGATACCGACAAGCTTGGTGACGAGCATTTTCAGGACAAGGGAGAGATATCCACCCTGTGCAGCGGCCAAGTTACCCAAGAACCGAATAAAGAGTTTGACATAGGAGTCATCCCGACCGAGCCATTCGCTGTCCAGAATGGCAGTGACCAGGCTACTGCAGTTACGATCCAAAGAAGAGATGTGAGACAGAAGACCCATAAGATGGTTTCTTAGGTCGGCATGCGTAGGGAGTTCGTAGGAGTAGGCTGGATCGTCCGCCTTCTTCGGGTCGGCCGTGAAGATCTCCTTGATTTCGTCGTAGGCCTCATTCTCCCCCATCATGACATGGCGATGAATTGCCTTTCGGACCTCTTCCCGAACAACAGGCAGGCTCTTCAGTGGGGCCATGGTTGTGGTTGTTTGTGTCACGGCGATCGGGGGGCGCCTGGCTTTCGGCCTTCTCGGCGAAGGTAACGCGGAGGCGTTTCTTGATGTGGACGTCCTCGGCGCCGGCATCCGAGAAGGAGGATGAGGGGGAGAGGCTAAGCTCTGCTTCCTCCATTGTGCGTTTCGTACCAGTAGGTTTGGCGGGTTTAAGGATAGAGACGGGGGACGAAGCCGCCAGCATTTTCGAGTAGTGGGTTGAAGGGGTGGCTGTAAGCGCCGGGGTGCGAGCAGTGGCAACCGAGGGCATGGCCAGATGAGAACGTCGGTGGTGGGTGATTTGGAATTTAGAGAGACCGTAGAATGGTTGACATTGATCGGTCCGGACCTCTGGGTTGAATTGAGGGACAGCTCGAGTGGTCGACGGAGTTGAGGCTCGTTGAGGTACCCAAGCACACGACCGACCGCACGGTCAAATTGCAAAGTTGCACTACAGGATAAACGATTCAGACCACGGGTGTCTGTCTGCACCCATGGAGTTCATTCGTTCGGCTTGAAATTAGGTTGAAACAGAATGCAGACAGAGATGTGGATGCTCGGACAAAAGCTGGAAGTTGAAGCAGCAGAGAATATTTTCTCTTTTCGCACGGTGGGGCGGTGGATCTCGTGACTCGAGCGGTGAGGGTGGGCAAGCATTATGTCATACTGTTGTATACTTCCACAAATGTAGTATCTACATCTACAAATTACATTGAATACTTTGTTACTTTGCAGTTTCACTTATCAAATTGTATTTGATGCATCAGAAATTCAACGTGATCTAGAAAAAAGACCCAAATCTAACTGATGGACGGATGGAGAAGTAGTAGATGCTGACAGAACGCGCCATATCGAAAACCATAGGTGTTTCTCAGCTCCCCTTCCCGAATGGAAAAAAAAACAAAAATTCATTGGGGCTTGCGTGGTACATAAACCATACACGCAGCCAATGTAAACGGCATAATGAGAGACCGAACGCGCGGGAACTGAAGAGAGGTTCCTCCCATGGTATAGTGCAAATCAGGGAAAACAAACAATCGGAGAATCGTATCAATGAAAGAATAAGAGTTAGTCGTGGCGAATTGTGGAGAAGAAGGAGACCTGTCCCCCTTTCTGCACCTCCATTCGCTTGTAGGTCGTCGTCGATCACTCCCGGGTCAACCGGGAACGGAACAGTAAGTATCGATGAGTTCATAGCCAGGCACCTGTGCTCAGTGGGCCCAATTTATCGTCAAAGATGCTGCCGTAGAGATCCTGAATTTCGAATAGATAATCGTCGACGGAGAATTTCTGCAGACCCTTGCGGCGTAAAATACGCTCCTCCTCGTCCATCAGGGGCGTTGCCCCAAATTCCTCAGCCACCTCGTTCACTTGCTCCAGTTCCTTGCTGAAGGGGTGGGCCTCTGCCCGGAACATATCCTGGGAAGCACGCATGGTAGGGTTGCTGCGGGGGGGCAGCTAGTGGAGGAGGCGACAATCGATGCTGCGATCGCTTGCGAGCCAGCTCCTGGTGGGATCGCTTGGTGTGCGACAGAGCACGCTTCGGGATCAACGGAGCCTCGGTCGACGAGGAAGATGTCGCAGAAGAGCGAGGGTGGCTTGTCACGGTCGCAGACCGCTTGGGAAAGTAATCCACGGGCTCGGGCTCGTGTTCAGGCGTAGTGATAGATGAAGAGTAACTGTGGGGCGAAATAGAGAAATCCGAGTCGTCGCGCGACCGCAGCGACGAGGCAGACGAAGAATTGGGCGAAATAGAATTCAGATCGGGTGCGTTGTAGGCCAACATGTTGGTGGTAGATAAGAGCTGCACCGGACCGGAGATGTTGCCGCGCTTTATGGAACCCGAGTTGAATCGAACATGACCTTCGCCACGGTACGGCATGGGTGCAGACACCTCCGGGCGCTTGTTGCGCTTGGTGAATGCGCGAGTAATGGTCGACATGATGAATTCAGGTGGATATTCGTCGGATTACGTAGATAGATCGACACAGAACGCGATTTCGGAATTGAATCTGGTGAGATTTCCCGCTGCTTGCTATTGATCACTAGCGATCGCTGCTTTTCGCGGCAGTCGAATTTGAAGTATTTGATTGTCGCGTGGTAGACCGATCGCGGGATGCGGAGACGGCGAGGAATGTGGAAGATCAATATCAAGAATGTCCGGTATCAGGGAGCGTTGATGGGGAAAGATAGGATGATAGAATCCGATTGTTAACTTTCACAAAAGTGAGAATGAATGTCGAGACACTTTTAGCCAAAGCGAATTTTGCACAGCAAAATGGTCCAGGACAGTTTCTTTGTGTCCAGGGCGTAAAGAATGGGGCGTACAACCAGGACGCGCCCAAGGGGATATTGATATTTTTGGATTGTGGGAAAGGATGGAAAAAAGGTAGAAAAAAGGAGTCACTGGGACTCGGAAGAAGTGAAGTGAAGAGTCACTAAAGGAATGTAGGACTCTGAAAAATGAAGGATAGTCCCGATGGGAGGAGATGTAGAGAGGAGGAGAAGGGAGGAGGAGGAGAAGGGGGGAAAGATCCAGCCAGGCCCGGCCACACTCACACTGTGTGTCCACCAGCGCTTAGAAGGAACACCGTTGGGTCTCCCTCCGATTGTTACCCACCCTATGGAGTACTGAGGACAGTGGACTTTGCCCCTCGAGCCCAAACCCAAACCTTGGGAATTTCCAAGGTTCGCTTACCCCGACGATGGGGCCGATTGATTCTCTAACCACTCACAAGTTTCACCCAAACACTATCCGTGGCGAACGGTTCTTCCAGACCCTTTCGATACCTGATGGCGTGGTGGTTCGGCCGACCAATTTCTTCGATTGAACCAGAGCCAGAATTATCCCTTGGTTGGTATTGCCAGTGCTGGCATTGTTCTATTTTCTACCAATTCGCCTTCGTCGCTTTTACCGGGTCAAAAAAAAGCACCGACCACAGAGTGTCATTTGCTCACGCCCCATGCCCTGTCCTCCGTCCTATGCCCGTCTCCATGCCCGTGCCTGTAGGGGCCTCCCCCTGGTCGAGGGTCGTCATGCAAACCCAAAGACAAATGCAATCCGGTATGGAGATGGAGGGTCGTTCCCTTTTTTCCGTCCCTCCGTGGGTCATCCGCCGGTGCCCAAGGGACATGGGGGCTCGACGTGTACATGTCTGGTCGAGACACATCGCAAACACAATCCACCACGTGAGAATGTCGACAATGACCGACCAGATGTGACGCTATTATGCTTTATTATCAGAATTTGAGTGAAACGCCCGTAAGTCTTGGTGCTCCTGTTCGGGGGGAGGTCCGTCCTCCAATTGGCGTTTCACCACAGACCCCTCCCACTCCGTGCCTCACTAAGAAGAGTCTGTGCTCCGTGGCCAGAAAAGATCGACAGGCCCCAGGGACGGCTGGCAGGGTACATCTGAGCCAATCACCATTTTCACCGAGATGACCGAATCAGCCGGCGTGGTCATGGTGCGACTGGCCTGCAGGGACACGGCCAATCCCATCCAACTGGCATTGCGGACCTGACCGGGGAGTTTTCACCGTGACACGAACCTGTGAGCAGTTCCCCTCGTGGGGGAAGGGGGGCATTTTGGGTTGGTGGAGAGGTGTGGACCACACTTTTTCATCTTAAAATCCGTGGCCTCCACTGGGCTGAAAATCTGGATGTGGGGCGAGAGATCGAATCGAACTCTTTTCATCTAGGACTGCTGTGTGCTGCAACTTGACGTGGCCAAGGTGTTGATGCCCATGCCAATACCGATGCCCTACATGAACGGAATGGAGGGGTGGTATTCTTTTTGTTTTTTTGCTTGCTTGCTTCGAGGGTTCGCTGCGAGGGAGAAGTTTAAGACACACCGACTCAGCTTTTGCCTTGCCCCATCCAGATCACGTGATCGGAGACCGGTGGTTGCAGGTAGATTGGTGCCCCATCGCCTCGAGACAGCTGCTGAAGATTGTAAATTAAAAGTATATACAGGGGTTATTTTTTGACAGCTCTTCTGCTCTATCAGCATGGTTTGCTTTGGCTCTGTTTTCACTTCGGCCAGCTGGTCCGGCTGGGGCATATTCCGAGATCCCATCGGCAGGAGAAGCCATATCATCCGATCCGCCCACGCCCTGATGTCGCGAATATATAGGTGAAGACATCATAGCTGGGGGATGCAGGTGGGTCCCATATGGGCTGTTCATGTTCATTTCTTCTCTCGACTGCCAACCATATGTCGATGGGCCGGGTACTTCCATCGTCATCCCCGGACTATACGTCTCGTTATCCACCGCTTGACCCGGAGAGACCGATATCTGAGACCCGGACCCGGGCAAATTGATACTCTGGGGTTGTTCAATCGTGAAATGGTCGGACATGGAGATCATCCAATGCTCCATATCTGACCATCCTCGGAGTGGCAATTGAGACCATTCATCCATGCGTGCAGCCTTTTGCTTCTGCGTCGAGTCCGGCTTGGCCGATATCTGGGCTACAGTCGCGGGCTGCAAGGAGCGGAGTGTCACAAGAGCCCCATACAGGGCTGACTCTGTCTCAGCGAGGCGCTGCTCTAGTTGATTCAGGTAGCCAAGAGGCAATCCTCTGCGCCGTGAAGATAAGCCATATCAGCCTCATTTTCGATCTGAAATAGACACTGTCCGGACAAGCCTACCTTTTACCACTTTCAGGATAGACGCACTTTCCTGGCTCACTAGTACATTGGGAGCAGTGGGGTCTATACAACAGTGATAGTCAGAGCCACGGTTCCATCATCAAGATCGATTAGATCTAGTCAGTCATACAATTTGCGGTCACACTAATATCCGAGATCAGCGGTGCTAGAACCCTCCAATTGCCAACAGGACTAACTTTGCATTTTCGTTGCCTGCAAACCTCGCACGAGATAGGGCTCAGATTATCATCCTCTAATTGTTCAGAATTAGTACTTGCGACCACCTTTGGAGGTATATGAAATGTATGAAACGGAGACGGGGCTAACCTGGCATGGTCGAATCCGAACCCTGTGTCCGTCTTGACCGGGAGAATCTCATCGTATATTATTGATAGGATAGACCAAAAACTGTCCAGATGAAAATAAACTATAATGATATATTCGACAAAAGGACCTGCCTTTTGTGGCGCTATAGATGTGATCTGATCTGATGGGGTCGGAGAAACGCGGTTGGTCGTCCGGAGGTGTTTTTGTCCGGGAGAAAGTTGGCCACAGTCACGTGTGAGTGTCCACTGTTGTCTGCGGAGGCGAAGCAACTGGCTCGCCGGTTGGTATCTTTGCATTTGCATTTGTATTTAAGTTTGCATCTGGAGTGCAACTTAAGCAAGCACACCGCCTAACCTCCTCCTTGGCAAACCATTGGACAATACTCGATTCGATATTGCTGGGATAATGGGATGTGCGACCAACTGGCATAACCATTGAAGGAATCGGAAATGTGACACAAGAGACCACCATGACATCGCCCTCATCGGTCGGTACCCGCTTTGAAGATCATGATCCGGATTGGCAGTATGGCCCTCGCGCCAAAAGACGCAAGCGTGCCTCGACAGTGGGCACATCGAGGCCGTCGCCGCGTGAGATTGGCTTCATGAGAGAGTCTCAAAATGACGGATCCGCCAGCTTTCTTGGGAGCTCAAGTGGTATTCACTTCATTCGCCATGTCTATAATGCATTTGCTCGTCGCTCAGCAGATCTTCAGCAGACCAGAGCGCGAGACAAGAGCTCAGTACCGGGAGAGGATGATCGCTTACAGCGAGGCACTCTAGACACCGATATTCTATGGTCAACAGATGAACTGAATTTGTCGCAAAACCCAACATATACATTTGAAGATCTGGTCAATTGGACCCGGCACTACTTTGAGAATTGGCATCCAATCTTCCCATGTCTTCACGCCCCAACGGTGCTCAGAGCTATGGAAAAGCTCAGCCAACACGGCCCATCTGCGATCAATCGACTAGATATGACTATTATTCGCTCGATTATATCAATTTCCCTCGAAGATAGCCGGCAAATTGAAACCCCGGCATCGAAACTGGGCCCAGTGCCTGTATCATTGGTTTTCTCAACTGTACAACATGTTATGCAAGATATTCAAAGTATTTTTGCGGAGCCCACAACCCTTCCCCTGCTCCAGTCTGCATTTTTGGCTCAACTTGCACTAACGTCGTTACTGCGTCTGAATGCTGCGTCTCGAGTGGGTGGAGTCATCACTCGAACTGCCTTCCACCTCGGATTGCATCGCTGCCCTGGCCGTTTCTCCGTTTTCACCAGTGAAGAGGTGGACATTCGAAGGCGGCTGTTCTGGTCTATTTACTGCTTAGAACGATACCTGTCACAGGCACTAGGGATTCCATTGGGCATCCGCGACGATGATATCGATGTATGCTACCCGGGTGATGAACAGCATGTTACAGCTACCGCAGCATCCACGCCACCCGATGACCATCGGTTGCGTCTACTGTCTCATCTCGCGAAGTTTGCTCGGATCCGGGGATTGATTTTAGAATTGCGCAACAAGTCTATTCTCCATAGTCACGCCGGTACTGTCGAGGCATCACATGTTAACGGCGAGCTGTCCCAGTGGTGGAACGAAGTTTACGATGATGTGAATATCATCGAGGAGGAGCATACGGAGCCGGGGCAGAATCCGAATTTGAGTCCCTACCATCGCTTATTGCTCTTGATCTTGAGACACGAAGCTATCATCTCGATGAATCGACCACTACTCGCTGCCGAGAAGCCCAGTTCAGAATACAAAAACGCTTTGCAAACCTGCATTGCTTCCTCGCGGACACTACTAGCAGCTCTGAAGAAATACATGTCTTCTTCATCTGATGCGCCCCTCACATGGCCGTCCTTTACATGGACAACCTGGATGGCGTGTTTAATATTGATGTATGCATCGTGGGAGGGTGAGCTTGCCACAAGCACAGCATTGAAATATGCTAGGATGGGAGTCAATATCTTGGAAAATCTGGCTTTGCGCGGGAGTAGCTGGCCCGAGACTTGCATTGAAGCGATTAAAGGGATGGAGTCAGCCTTGACCAATACAGATACCTCCGGGCTGGACGTTCCGGGTCATGTTTCTCACCAAGCCCAGACCGGTCCCAACGACCGATTCGCGAAGACCCCCCAATAGACCATCTACAGACGACAGATATCGCTCCAACCCTCGGTCTTCCCAACGTGATCGAGGTCCTACAGGCAGGCAGCAAGGCGACCCTTCCACCTCGGGGACGCAGCATTCGGATCCGTCATTCGGCTCCTCTGCAGTCCAGGCCGTCGACACCGGCGACACTTCGATTCTTTCTTCATATGATGCACAAGGCCAAGCCGATATCTCAGCGGACGGTATTTACGCGGCCGGGCAATCAGCGGGTCTCATTTTTGGAAATGCGGCCAATGCAAACGCCCCCTTTTATCCTGGCATCACAGGACAGGATTGTTTACCCTTTCTGGATCCATCATCCCTGTTTATGAATGATATATGGAATGTGGCTGATGGGCCTTGGATGTTCCATGGGGATCTGCTATAGCGCTTCTTAGCGCCAAGATGTACATTATTAACGTGACGAATGCGGGATTCACCACTTTAAGACTAATATTGCCGGAAAACTGAACTATCAATCTCCATGCAAATTAGATTAATGTAGAAGCCCCGAGCCCTTCTATTTTGAAGCTAGTTCAGTTCCATAAATCCATTTGAACGAAAGTCTAAGAATTCCCATTTCGTCTGCGCATGAAGAGGTTGGCCGGTCTGCTTCGAGAAGCAAACTCCTTATCAACAAGATATTCGATGTCCGACCCTTGCGCCTCAAAGCCCATTTGCGCATACACATGCCTCCCCATACTAGACGCCTCGAGGATCAATTCCAAATCACCGCGTCGCTTTGCTTCATCCAGACCCCACTGCACTAGCGCCCTCGCAATGCCCTTCCGTTGATGAGCCGGGTCTACAGCACAAAGGTCCAACACCAGCACAGCCGGTGGCATGGCAGAAGCCTTTTCCTTAATGGCTTCACTGCGCTTATGCAGAAAGGAAGTCATGACTTGAGCGAGATAGCGTTGCTCGACTTCGTTTCCAGGATACAATGCCTCGAGATTCATAGCTTTAGCCACATCCTCACTTGGTGGATCGCCATGGCCCTCAACACAGGAGGCCTGTGCCCAGATAGCGAGTCCAGCAACGGTGCGTTCTCCAACCGAGTCCTCACTGGGTACTGTTGCCTTCAGAAAGATGGTGTTGGGGTTTCCATTCTTGTCGGTGGTAATCTCGCGCCAGCGGGCGATCATCCGCGCAGCTCCGCTCGCCTTTCCTGCAGGCGTATCCCATCCAGGATTCATTGCGGTCCAGACACCGTCTTGGGCCTGACGGCCGAAGGCCTCGCTGATGCAGTGGAAAGCCTGCTCGATATCTTCCGGTCGATCTACAGGCTCGATGCGGAGTCCGGCGTCTTTTCTCTGCGGGGTAGACATGGCTGTGGAAGGGAGCGATCTGGTAAATCCGAGGGTTTATGATGCTAATCGCGTCGGTGTTGACGATTATTCCAGTTGAACACTTGTCGTGAACTTGAAACTTCGATTGCCAAGGCGCTAATTAATAACAGTCATTGAGTCATTGGAATCATTAAGGCCAACCCCACTGCTCGGGGTGGTTGTGCGGTACTCCCCGCTTGCTAGTGACCGGACCCCGGATTCGGCCCGGTAAAACCTCGGGAATGTACTTTTAGACTTGGAAATGATACTTTGAAATCTAGAATATATTTTGTGTGTTTTATTGAACTACACGATTATGCAAGACGCGGCTGGATCATGAAATAAATGACCAGGAATAATTGCGCTTGAGTCTGGCCAGAGTTCCACTTGAGTGGTGGTAAGAAGGCATAGAGGGGACAGTAGCTCGGGATGGTGACCACCCCGGTGCGTGGCCCAAGGAGGTTTGCCAGCGTCAGCTAATCACGGCTTGAGGAGTAATGTAGTTCCGGCCACACTACATATTGGTCGCTGGGCCCCCCTATATACCTATAATTTCATCTCTAAGCTTTATAATAATAGTTTGTACTAGTAGTAGACAACGCCCTTGTTGAATAAGCCCAACCTTAGCCCTTCATACATAGCCTCGTATGCATTTTTTTTACTATTTCTACTAGTAATAGTAGTAATTATAATCATAAAAGCCTTGAGGGCTAAAAAGACATTTTACTGACTAATTATACTGTATTATTTTATAAGATCCTTATAACTTTCGTGTATTTTACGCTTTTTCAGTCGTAATTACTAGCCACCCTGCGACCCGAGGCGAGAGTGCCTTGGGCTTGCTAACCTCCAAGGTTCTTGGTATAGGAGTTATATGGGTACTGGTAGAATAGTACACCAGCAATAAGAAAACACGCCCAATAAATTGAATCCATATAATACACTCATAGAAAATTTAACATCTCAGTCACTTGTCTCTGTTTATCCAGAACCACTCGGAGCTGTCCCTTATCGGTGCAAGATTGATCAAGTTGGAAGAACCCCTTTCGCAGTTGATCCAAATACAGCTCATAAGCAGACATATATCCTTTCACGAACTTCACAACTTCTTCATCAGTCATTCCACTATTGGTCCTCGCGCGAAGTGCATGTTCTTGCTGTATCCGCCATTCATAAACATTCACTAGATCGTCCGTGTCGAGATGAACGAGAAAATCGAAATGTCGCGGTCCCATGAACAGGTCGTAGTATTGACGCAGATTTTCATTCACACGCAGTAAATTCTCAACTGAATGCTCCCTCAAAGTTTCAGTTGGATATTTCACTGAATCTCCATTTTCTGCCGTTTCGCCCCATCGCCGTTGAACATCCACCTCGTCAAGGGGTGAAAATCCAACGCACCATCCCTCGAAAACAATCACGTCGATCGTGGTCTCAGCGGGAATTCGATGCCACTTTTCTTCCGATGCTCTTCCGCCTTCGCCTTTGAATAGACTCTTATCAAATGATGGGATCAAAGTGTCGGTCTTCATGTCAGCCACATCGGCGAAAAATGCGACCGAGAGCTCGGTATCATGCGTCCCAGGCTGACCACGCGTCTGTAGGAGTTTGTTGGATGGATTTTCTGTCCGAATTCGCACAAGCTCGTCATGGTCATGATAGAGATCGTCGAGAGAGATGTTGACGGTCTTGTAGCCATGAATTTCGTTGAGAGACTGGACCAGGGCGTCGGTCCAGGTGGATTTCCCACTGCCTTGGAGACCAGTTAATCCCAGAACGAATGGAGTCTTTTGCAAAGCATTGATTTGAGATTTAACATGTTGTTGTATCCGTGGTACGATATTCCTTAGAGCATTTTCGATGTTTTCCTGGGGAATTATCGGTGGAGGCATCGCCAGATCACGCATATGTCGATTTGAATGAATGTTTGAACTTGAAGTTGAAAGACAGGCTAAGATGAAACAGCACTCCGGGACCAAAATAAAATAATAACCAGACAAATATCCACAGTAACTTCTGTTTCGGTCTACATTTTGCTCATCGGACCATGCTCTGCTAAGTTCTGGCTGAACTATAGCCCTTCTCCATCGGACATGTCTTCCTCCGAGAGGTCCACCGGACAATGGAACCCCCACAGCACTCCAACCAACAAATCCCTTGGGCCGGACATGAAAACCTCCGTCGACTCGCCTCCAATCCTTCATTGGCCAGAAACACAGTGTAATGTGGGGGGCGAGAGTATTGAATCTCCATACTGACCCAAAAGCAGGGCGATTCGCCGTGACTGAAGACGACCTTAAAAGTCCCCGCATGCACGAGGTCATTGCCCCTCTGTCAATCGATAATATTTTATTTTTAAAAAAAAAAAATAAACCAGATTACCTGCTCTCTTCTACGTCCAACCACTCTCAATCAACCAACATGTCTCCCGCAGCTCTCGCAAAGACCTACAGCATCGCGTCTATTCCCGCTGATGGCATTGGCCCTGAGGTCATCGACGCCGGTATCACTGCTCTGAACGCTTTGACCGATACTCTGAAGACCTTCAAGCTTGAGTTCAAGAACTATGACTGGAGCTCTGAGACCTACAAGAAGACCGGAAAGTACATTCCGGACGGTGGTCTTGAGGAGCTGAAGAAGCACGATGCTATCTTCTTCGGCGCTGTCGGCGCTCCTGGTAAGTGACAATATGCAACAAAAGAAAATGCGCCCCGCTGTTTCCAACAATATATATAGATGTCCCCGATCACATCTCTCTCTGGGGTCTTCGTCTTGCTATCTGCCAGCCTTTCCAACAATATGCCAACGTCCGCCCCACCCGTGTCTTCCGCGGCACCGAGTCTCCTCTGCGCAACTGCAACATCGGTGACCTGGACTGGGTTATCATTCGTGAGAATAGCGAGGGCGAATACGCCGGCCAGGGTGGTCGTTCTCACACCGGCAAGCCTTGGGAGGTCGCTACCGAGGTGTCCATCTTCTCGCGCCACGGTGTTGAGCGTACGATCCGCTTTGCTTTCGAGACTGCCCAGAAGCGCCCTCGCAAACTTCTGACTGTTGTCACCAAGAGTAACGCCCAGCGCAACGGAATGGTTCTCTGGGACGAGGTCGCTAAGGAGGTTGCTGCTGACTTCCCCGATGTCACTGTTGATAAGATGCTGGTCGATGCCATGACCACTCGCATGGTTCTGAACCCCAAGAGCCTGGACACCATTGTCGCCACTAACCTGGTAAGTGATGATCTGCATATTTGATTACCCCTCCAAAGCTCAGCTCACTGATAAATCCTTAGCACGCCGACATTCTGTCCGATCTTGCTGCCGCTCTTGCCGGCTCCATCGGTATTGCGCCTACTTCCAACCTTGACCCTACCCGCGAGTACCCTAGCATGTTCGAGCCCATTCACGGCTCTGCTTTCGATATTACCGGCAAGGGTATCTCCAACCCTGTCGCCACTTTCTGGACCGCCGCGGAGATGCTTGCCTGGCTCGGCGAGGAGGAGGCCTCCAAGCAGCTGCTGGAGTGCGTCGAGAACGTTTGCGAGCAGGGTATTCTTACCCGCGACCTCGGCGGCAATGCCAACACAAAGGAGGTTACTGATGCTGTTGTTGCGGAGATCAAGAAGCTGGGCTCTAAGTAGAGATTTGGGTGATCTATAATGATGTCAAATTGTGTTATGATTAGTATATATGCATTGAATAGACTGCGGTCTCGAATAAATTCGCCTTTGGTAGCATATATAACTCAGAAATTAGTCAAATTGAAGAGGCTAAACCTTGCGGCAGATCTTAGACCGACGGAAATTATACGTAACGTACTCATTTTTGCAACTACCTTCGCGAATTGACAAGACAGCGGCATCAGACCACATTAAATGAAACAATAAAACGCCTGCCAGAAATAACGTCCACATATAATCAGACAATACAGCTCTTCGGGTAATGGCATCATCCTCAGTGATGTTGGAATGCCAACAGCCGGACATGCCATCCTCCGACGACGTGGTCCACCTCGTCTCCCGGCATAGGGAGCTAGAGACCAGTCAGGTTGGATTTTTCCAAGGAGAGAATTGATCTTACCAATAGAATTTGCCTTCCTCCCCACATTTGCGGGGATGTTTTCATCCGTTGCCCCAGTTTTACGTAGACTTCCGGGGACCCCAGGCCAAGCTAAAATACCGACAGGATTCAAAGCTTGACATTCTAGGCATAGTTTGGCTATTCCTGTTATCATATAACTAGTAGCACTCCCTCGCCCCAGAATACTTTCACCCAGAGCTTTCTCACTGCCTTTTTTCTTCCATTTATCTTTGCATTTCATATTATCCTTTGTACATACAGATATTGGACCTGGGCTCTAGTTCAATCACCATGTCGACGAAAGGCCTAACCGGAAAAACATTGAGCATAGCCCAAATTGTTCTCATTGTTGCTCCGGCCTTTTTTATTTTTGGTTACAATCAGGCTGGTGTCGGCCCACTTGCAACGCTCCAAAGCTGGGTCCATTTGTTTCCCGAACTGGACACCGTCAACACATCGGGGGCCTTGAAGTCGAGCCATTCCACGAGCAAAGGTGCTGTCATTGCGGCATTCCAGATCGGTGCCCTTATTGGCGCACTTTCCTGCACTTTGATTTCTGAGAGAATTGGCCGCCGCAAAACTATCTTTATCGGAGCTATTCTGAGCATCGTTGGCCAACTCCTTCAAGTCTCGGCCTATACGGTGATTCAGTTTTCTATTGGACGCATCATACTAGGTATGGGTGTTGGCCAGTTCAGTGTTGCCGTCCCAGTATGGCAATCTGAATGTTCCTCTGCCAAGAACCGAGGACAACATGTCATCATGGATGGCATTTTCATGTGCCTGGGCTATTCTCTCTGCAATTGGATCGATTTTGGGTTCACCCATCTCCCCTCAAGCAATACTGGCCAATGGCGAGGACCGCTTGCTGTGTCTTTCTTCCCATCTCTCGTCATTATATTCTCGGTCTTCTTTCTCCCGGAATCGCCACGTTGGTTAGTCCGAGTTAACCGCATTGAAGAAGCAACGAGCAACCTCGCTGCCTTCAAGGGTACAACCCCTGACGATGAGATGATTATATCTGAGATCGCTGGTATTGAACTGTCTCTTGAAGCCACTGCGAAATCCAAAAGTGCTATCCGAGAAATGTTCTCCAAAGATGACGACGAACGCCTTCTTTATCGATTCGGTCTCTGCATTGTCTTGCAGTTCTTCCAGCAGATGTGTGGCGGTAACCTTATTTCGGTCTATGCCTCGACTATCTTCAAGGAGAATCTAGGAATGAGCTCAAGTCTCTCTAGTATTCTCGCGGCATCTGCCTTGACCTGGAAGTTCCTCTGCTGTTTTATCGCTTTCTTCGCGGTTGACCGACTCGGTCGACGCGTATTGTTCATGATCAGTGGAGCTGGTATGGCTATCTGCATGGCTGCAATGGCGATCACCACCAGCTTTGGATCCGAAAACAAGCAGGCCTCAATTGCATCAGCTGTCTTTATTTTCATGTTTAATTGCTTCTATCCAATTGGCTTCCTCGGAGGCAACTTTTTATACTGCACAGAGGTTGCGCCTGTTCGCCTTCGCGTCGCCATGGCCTCCATCTCAACTGCCAACCACTGGCTTTGGAACTTTGTCGTTGTTATGATCACCCCTGTCGCCATTGACACTATTGGATATAAGTACTATATCATGTACGCCATTTTGTCGGCATGCATTCCCATTCTGGTGTACTTCTTCTACCCAGAGACGATGAACCGAAACTTGGAGCTGTTGAACCATGTCTTCCGGGACGCAGAGTCCCCCTGGCAGATTGTGTCCATGGCGCGACACCTTCCCCAGGGAGAGGTTACTACGGCAGAGTTTGTCGCAGCCAACAAGGAGAAGGATGATGGATGTTTCGAAGAAAGAAGAGAGAATGCTTGATTTCTTTTCTCTTTGTCGTAATAAATTGTCTATGGGTTAGATTAGAGCATGGAGACAAATTAAGATTGAGCAACATGCACAAACGGAGAACCTTTTGAGATATTTTTAACTGGATTTTTCCGACTTCGCCCGCTGTAAGGAAAAAAAGTAGATTCCGAAGTGGCTCTTGAGACACAGCATACATAATGAGACAGAAATTTTCTTCACAAGTTTCCAAAATCTCCCGTAGCTCGCCCCATCGCGGGCTATTTCCGTCTGTCACTTAGTACGTAGGTGTATATCTTCATAACTTGAACCAACGGTAGATCTAATCGGCGATAAATGATATTCTTTTCTCTTCATGAAACTCTCACTCAACTAGCGCAAACTCTTTACAAACGACCGAGCAAAGGGCAATTGACATCACTGGGCACTGGTATATTGATACCCAACACTAAAACAAGAATCCTTCCATGAAGATTGGAATATCTCACGAAAAAGAAACGTCAAGTTCGGCGAAACCGGACTCTTGGCAGGGCCTCGGCGACAGATTAGCACATCGGAATGCCGATGCGGAGGGAAAAAAAAAGATGCCGGGAGTACATTTCACCCGCAAATCACATCGCTCAGAAAGGTCAACCTCTGGACCCATCGAACCCCCCGGCCAGAACCATCCAATCCTGCCGTATCGCAAGCCGTGTCTATGGAGAACCTTTATGTAACGCGGCTCGAACGCTCGGGGCCAAAAGCCAATTGCATGGAGGTGGGCTCCAAGCCTACTTGAGACTAGCCACAATCCACCAGAAACAGGAACAGAAACCATTCATAGTTCACTCCGTTTATCGGTACTTCTTACCCCGGAGTAGACCACCAGCCCCAACGGAACCTACCTGTCGCGACACACACGAGGCCTTTGCGTCACCGCGATAGGCCGGAGGTGACCATCTCCGCTTTCATCGGGAGGTGATCGCGGGACTTTCGGCGACAACAGACGCCGTCATTGGCCATTCAATGGTCCCGTCTGCCCGGATATCCGATGGCGGGATCCGCCGAAGGACTACTGGTGTGGGCAAGCTTGACACTCTATGGGATCAGGATCGTGAAGCTGGGCCCAATTGCTGGCCGGACTTGTTGCAAGCCGATATAGTATCCGTGTAGCCGCGGGTCATTTCGGATTCTTGCAAGAGATGGATCGAAATCACGGAAGAGATGGTTTTCGTCGGCTGATACTTATAGATCATACACCCATATGGAAACCCCTTTAGTTCTTGGAACTTTTTACTATAGACCATTGCAAAGATCTTGACTCTCATAATTTCTTATCATTTCTTCTTTGAAAGATTCCCCACATAGACCTTTTTGATATGGCGCCCTCAATCAACGACGTTCCCACTGGCCCTACAGTCCTTCCATCGGCTTGCAAGGTCGGCATCAATGGCTTTGGTCGTATCGGTTAGTGCAATGACTTCACTGATCCAGAAGGAAGTATCGAATTGAGCTAAAAAGCTAATAATAATAATACTATAGGCCGTAATGTCCTCCGTGCAGCTCTTGTCCGATCCGATATTGACGTCGTCGCTATCAACCACACTTGCGTCACCGTCGAAGACTTGATCTACCTCATCCGCTATGACTCTTCAATGGGTGATCTGGATGAGCGTACCGATATCCAGGCTCACTCGGACAACCTCATCACCATTGACGGCAAGCGAATCGCACTTACCTCCGAACGTGACTTGAAGCAACTCAACTGGGCTACATTGGGCGTCGACTATGTCCTCGAGTGCACTGGCAAATTCACAAAGCGAGACCTGGCCATGGACCACATCAATTATGGTCAGGCAAAGCGTGTCCTCATCTCCGCCCCTAGCTCGGATTCTCCTACTTTCGTCTACGGTGTGAACTCGGACTCTTATACGGCCACCGAAGACTGCCGTATCGTGTCGAACGCCAGCTGCACCACCAACTGTGTCACTCCCGTCTTGAAGGTTCTTGACGAGACTTTTGGAGTCACTCAGGGATTCCTCACCACTATCCATGCTGCCACCCGATCCCAGCAGGTTCTGGATGGGTACAGCAAGAAGAACCGTCGTCTGGGTAAGACAAAACAACAGCTCATAGATTTGCCCAAAACACCTTCTCACATATTCATTCTTTAGGACGAGGCGTCTTCAACAACATCATCCCCACAACCACTGGCGCCGCCAAAGCCGTTGCCTCTGTCCTGCCAGCCCTCAAGGGTAAGGTCACCGGCGTATCCATCCGTGTTCCTACGTAAGTCTGCATCTACCTCGATATTCTTTTGCTCCCATGAAGAGAGCAAAAAAAATGAAACAAGCAGCTAACTAACCCCTCCTTCAGTCCCAACGTATCCATGATCGACCTCACAATCAGCACAACCAAGCCCACCTCCCTCCAAGAAATCATCAGCGCATTCCGCCTCGCCTCAAAGACGACCATGGCCGGCGTCCTTCGTGTCACCGACGAAGAACTCGTCAGCCAGGACTACAACGGATCACCATACAGCGCCATTATCGATGTGCCCGCCTGCTCGGAACTGAACCCCCAGTTCTTCAAGATTATGGCCTGGTACGATAACGAGTGGGGATACTCAAACCGCTTGTTGGATTTGACGACTCATGTCCATGCCCTGGAGGCGTAGACTTCACAACTATGTGACTAATTTGTTGATTCGTCGTTCCTTCTATCATGGGTGGAGTTTTTGGGTTAGATTTCTATTAGAGTTGGATTAGACCAGTTCAACCTTTCAATATAACATTCAAGTTGCTATTTACATTTACCCGTGTTGTAATTTACTAGTAGCTACAATTGACGGAGACCTCCAGCTTTCCTTGATCAGTGAACTGCAAAAAGAACTTGAATGAATGACATGAGAAAATGAGATCTATTTTTTTCGTACATCAAGTCATGACTCAACGGGTATCGGTATCGGCATCGGTATGAGCATCGGCATGAGAATCGGCATATATACCAATGATTTAATCCTCATCCATAGACTCCCACCCATCAGGCCCGCCAGCCTGAGGATTCTGAGCACCCTCACCTGGACCCTCATCATCCGACTCCTCATCATCATCATCATTAATGCCAAGAATACGCTCGGGCACATCGCCCTCTAGATCCGGCATGCGCGAAACAAAAGTCCGGCGCACGGGTCCGTTCGTAGAAGCGTCCCAAATCTGTACAGTACCCTTGCTACCGGCCACAGCCAAACGGAAGGAAACCTCCGGGTCCGGAGCGAAAGCAGTCGAGAAGACCTTTCCAACGTCCAGCTTACGCGTAACAACGAGAGAGGGCTTATCGTTCTCGACATTCCACAGCTTCACTTCCTTGTCGGTGGATCCGGTGACCAGGAAGCCCGCAATAAGGGGGTTGATGTCGAAGGAGGAGACGGAGGAGTCGTGTGCTTGCAGGGACCAGACGGGCTTGGACTCGGCCGGAGTGGCGGGGACGTTACGGACATCGTAGCGGTACACCATGCCGCCGTCGGTGGTGACGTAGAAGTAGTTGGGATCGTGCGGGTCCCAGCGGACGTTCTCAACGTCGGAGTCGACACCCCATCGGGCCTTGGAGTCCGGCGCGCGCATATCAGCTGCGACAATGGTGCGGTCGTAGGAACCGCTCAGAAGAATGGTAGCTTCCTTAGGGTGCCAGTCCAGCGAGCAGACCTTGTCGGTGTGGTGAGAGTAGGACTTGGCGCAGGTGGTGGTGTTGAGATCCCAGAGCTTGACAGTGCGATCCGCCGAGGCAGAGGCCAGCAGGTTGCGGTGCCCGCGGTTGGCGGCAAGAGACAGCACAGAGTCAATGTGGTACTCGTCATTGGCCTTGCTCTTCTTCTTCGACTTCTTAGGCTGGCCATCGCCCTTGTCCTGGCCGCCTTGACCCAGGATGGCGTTGGGGTACATGCTGTCGACAACATCCAGGTCCCAGATCTCAATATCGGGTTCCATGGTTCCGACGGCGACGAAGTTGCCTGATGTACGCTCCTCGTTGGCCTTTCCGCCGACGGGGACGTCGAGCCACTCCAAGCAGAGGGGAATGCCGGGCAGCATAATATCGTGGTGAACGTAAAGGTTATCGGCTCGGTCCTCGTAGACGTAGACCTCCAGGTGTGCGACCTCATCTTCGACCTTACCGGCCAGAAGCAGGTTATCATGCGGCATAATCTGCAGCTCCTCGCGCTCTTCGTTCTTGTCTTCATCGTCGGGGATCACAAGGTACGGATCCTCCTCGTTGGGCTGGTGGTAGGCCAAAGACTGGACATTGCCGAACATGGTGGCCCGCTCGCCATCATCATCGACTTCGTCGTCGTCGTAAGTGTCGAGATTGAACTCCTTGAGAACATCATCGTCCCTGCCATCTGCAATTAGCGCATGGCGCATTATGTCCAACAGTTCAGAATAACTCACTCGGTACTCTTGGGTGCAGAACCAGAACCAGAACCAGCACCAGCCTTACTCTCCTTCTTCTCATCCGCACCCTCGGTGCTCTCCTCCTTATCGTCTTCATCCATAGCCTCATCTTGGGCAGCGCTCAGCCCCTCCTGCGCTTCTTCAAGCTGCATGCGGGCCAGCTTAGAAATGCGGCCCATCTCCTCCTCGTCAATCTCATACTTAGTAGGAAACTGGGCCGCGACACCTCGCCGCACCCAGGCTGTAGTTGTGATCATTGAAGACATTTTGAATGACGCAGCCAAAAGTCCAATGTTCTCCAACTTCTTTTTTTTTATCGGGGATATTTTTTTTATCGGTGTGTCGAGTGGGGCTGGCAGAATGTGGAAGACTCTCACTCACCGCCTGGGGATTCTGCGGGACCAACTGCATTGATGAATTACTACTGACTGACTGAACTGAAAGTGCAATTCACATTAAACACAATCTACTTTGATCCTTTGGTTCGAGTCATCTAGACTGATCTTCACGCCATCATGCATTCCCATCTACACACCCCCTACAATATCAGTACGTTTATCCCGCCACCTCGCACCACTACAGTGTACCTCATGCCATACATCACCGCTAACACATCTGATCGTAGACTGCGAGGAAGTCATGACAGCCCTCGACGAGTGCCACGCCCGCGGATTCCTTTACAAAGCCGTCGGAAACTGCAACGACATCAAGCGTGACGTGAACAAGTGCCTTTCTGCCGAGCGATCCGACCGAGCCAAGCGTAATCGTGACGACGCTCGAAACAAGCGTGCGCGTATCGAGGAGATTTGGGCTCGTGAGCGCGGACAAGATCAGGCCGCCGCTGCTGCTACCAGTGCTGGTGCTGGTACGAGTGCCGGTACGAGTGCGACTTCGAGTGCAGAGAAGCCCACGGCTTCGCAATGAGCGCATCATTTCTTGCAAAAGGGCATTTCGTTTGGAGTTTTGGAGTTATGATGAATCTCTTCTCTTGAGGCATATGGGAATGAATGTAAGATATTGGACAATTGTATAAATACTTGCCAGTGGCAGGCGTGTCAACCAATCCCTACTACTAGTACCATGCCTGGTACATGTCTACCAATACGCATTGGCAGTGTCATTTGGGCAAATATGTAATTGACTGTATCATGATATAATGTGTACAACTGAAGATACACCATTTAAACTTTTCGATAGAATACCTGATCCGAACGCCATGCCGTGTAAAAGAGAGAGGGTGATATGCAAGAACAGCCGTTTCGACAATACCTAGTGACACTGACACTTATTCGTCGATCTCCATACTGGTGCCGGCGGGCTCGGGCCCAGTCTCGGCGGACGGTGCAGTATCATCATTGTCGTCGGGGAAAGCAGCACCACTCTTATGATGCCGCCGTCTCCGTTTAGGCTTGGCTGCACCCGTATCATCTCCATCCTGCTTCTCAGGCACATCGTCGTCCTCAACAACCCTCTTTTGAGATTTATCCTTAGCAGGTCCAGGTCCAGCCTCTTTCTTCTTAGACTTCTTCACACTAAGCGGGTTAGGCGCTTTAACCTTGGGACCGCTCTTCTTTTTCGGCTCTTGCTCCTCGGCCTTTTCCAGCGAAGGGTCGTCCAAACCGTATCGGAACTTGGCCTTCTCGGCACCATCTCTGACGGTCTCGGAACGGGTGCTCAATGGTTCCAGAACCATGACTGACCGCTTCACGTAGATGATAGGCACACCGGGGATAGAGCGCGCGCGGAAGCGAAGCATCTGCGAGCGGCGGACGGCTCGCTCTTCCTCGCGCTCGTCATCGCGCTTGCGCTTGCGCTGCGTATCATTCTTGTCGACCTTCTTGACGGGGGCATCTGCCGTGGCGAGAATGTAATGCTCCTTGTTCTTCTTGACTTCGGCGTTGGGAGATAGTAGTGACAGCAGACATTCGACCTCGTCGATAGGCGAGGACTCCGGGTTGTGCGAGCAATGGCGCAGCGGGAGTTCTGTTGGCGGGGGGAGATGGCGCGGACGGTATGGCTGGTTGGTCTTGGGGTTGATGGGCTGTGCGGCCAGGATTGCGGCCAGGGAACATTTGGTCAGCACTGTAGGTTGTGTTAGTTCAGTCTGCATGGTGATGACGGCAGGGTAGTTTGGTTTCTATTTCTGCGGGTCGCAGTAGTTGACGGATTCGTGCCGGAACTTACAAGGCTTGGGTTTTCCCTGGAGAGTCCGCTCAAGGGCAGGAAGAAGTTCCATCTTGAACTGATCAATGGCATGAACGAAGTTCGAGTCCACTAATTCAGCGCTGGTTAGTCCAGATCCATCCATACTCTCTGCACGCAGCTTCGGAGGGAGTCATACCGAGCACCTGGTAAGGCTCACGGAAGCCAAAAGTCATCTCATACTGGTGCATAAGCTTGCGATACTTCTTCGAACGTTTGGCCCTCATCTTGAATGGTGGGTATGAAAATTCGGTGTTGAGGTCGTCCGAGGATGCTTTGCGGCGCTGCGAGACGAAACTTTTTCAAATTGCCGGGCGGCGGGGGAGGCGGTGGGTCGAAGTATACAGCGGTCACCTGCAGGTCGGACAAAGTAATACTGAGCATACTAAGCCTCTCATCTACTTTTATGCAATTTACAACGCTTGAACTTGAATACTCAGATAGGAAATGGAGTCTGTATTATTCGTGCTGGACTACTTCAGCAGGACATTAAAAAGGACTCGGCGTCAACCGAGATACCAGAATTGGATGCAACACCAGCAATCCAACATGCAAATACCGAAATGTAAATCATAAGTCATCAAGGAACAGGTGCAGCCTGCAAATAGTCGTGTACGGTCATGGTCGACCTTGAGTGGTGCGAAAGCATGTACGAATGATTCGCGGTCGCCGTAAAATGGGTAATGGGGAGAACTAGCTCTGCTCTGGGAATTGGCAAGCTATCGACAGCCATGGTCGCTAGGTTACCATTCCGTGCCATGTAGCATCGGGTTCCCCTGATTGAGCGTCGCGCGCTTTAGCAGTCAACAAGGACTGGATGCATCGGCGGTGCCCGGGGTGACACGGGCATAGCCTCATGTATCTCCCGGAGCAACAATAGTATTCACGCACTTGGTCATCCAACTGGGGCGTTACTTCAACCAACGCGTTTCTTGCAGGAGGCCAGGACAACCGAGATATCATCCATTTTACCCCCTTCAATAGCAAGGCCCTCGTCAACGGCCTTCTCCATGAATGGACTCTCAGCAAAGGGATCCTGAGCAACATTCAGCGCAGCATTCAGAAGTTCTCGTGCAGCATAGACCATGCGATCATCACACATGTCGGGCGACGGCGAAAGTCTATTCGACTGCATCTGACCCTCGTCCCACTTCTTCAGACTATCCAGGATGATCTTCAGGACCTCGTGTTCCCAGAGATTATCCATGACGCCGTCCGAGACAGCAAGAACAAGATCGTCCTCCTGTAAGGCAATTTTGGATAGAACTGCATTTTTGCGCGGTGTATCGACGCTATTTGTGCCTAGTTGCATGGGACAGTCGAACCAGTGCCACTGCTCTGCTGTGCGGAAGAGGATCTTTTGCTCGCTTGGTCGGATCACGATGATTTTGCAATCACCGAGATTCGTCACGTAGAGTAAGGGTTTCTGGGTGCCGTCCGGCTCGCGCGTGGAGTGTAAAAGCGCTGTCGCAGAAGTTGTTGTACCGAACCACTCGGTCGGGGAGGTGGTTGCGCGAGTGGTTTCTTCGTATGCAGATTGGAGATACTCGATCGGTTCGAGACAGACTGCGTTGGCGGTGACTCGGCGCTCAATTTCGAGGGCCCAGAAGTGTAAGAGAAGTCGGGACCACAGTCTGTAGAGAGAAAGACTATCGTTAGCAACCAGCGATCGATCACAATGTGCATATGCATCTCTAAGAGAGCGAAACTCACGCAGCATGGCCATGAGGCTTCATGGCCCAAGCGCCTACACCGTCGTCAACGCCCAGAAAGTTCTCCGTAACGATAATCGCATCGTCGCCATTGTTCAAACCGCGAACTAGCTCACCCCGAACGGAGAGGCGCTTATCCTGGCTTAGAGAGTGTGTCGTGAGGGGATCGGAGAAGGACGTTGAAGGTGGAGATAGGAACGGTGGGGGGAAAGGACGAGACGGGCGCTTAGCGCAGAGAGCGTAGCCCGTCTCGAATCGAAAGGGCGAACTAGCGAGGCTCAAATCCTGGCGGTCGGGAACCGGAGTGGTGATGCCGAATGAAGGCCACACGGCCGCATGGTAGGGATGAGTCGATCGCAGGGTCTGACCTGGGGTGACAGTTGGTTTAAGAGATGCGAACCATCGTTTCGCAGCTGTCCATGGGAGTGACGAGAGGACGCCTGTCGTGGTCACCATGCCTGACGGAGCAGAAGCAGAAGCATCAGGACCAAGGGTGATTTGGTGATAAGAGGAGTGTGAAGGTAGAGAGAGGAAGTAGAAGGAAGAATCAGAGTCATAAATTGGGGGAGTTAAAAGGGAAAAGGGCATTGACCGGTGAGGCCGTGGAGAATGAAAGCTCTCACTGGCTTGTCTCGCCGACGTGCTCTGCTCTACGGAGTACCGTGTGTCATATGAGAAAAATGTACGGCGGACTCCGTTCTGTACGCACATCTGAGCCTGCCACCTCAGTATTCCCCAACATTTCTCGAAATAGATTAAACTAGTAGGTCATAGCTCACATAGATGGCTATAGCTTTCTATGGTGTCAGATCTACTCCATACTTCATACACACTAGGCTGTTTGGTCTGGGAATTGGCATACATGAGAGACACTCTCGGGCAATCTGCATTCTTGGCCTTATCAGAACCACAACCTTACCCTTACTGTAGGAACTAGGGTAACTAGGGTACCCACTCTCTCAGGAGATCCAATGATTTGCAACGATGGGAGAGGGTACTCTTAAGGTGATCTTAGGATCGACAAGGGGCAGAGATAACAATAATTTTATAAAGCAGGTACGAATATGCTACTGCGTACCTCAGTCACCTTCCACTGTGCCCCTGGCCATCTCAAAGAAATTCGTCTATCATTCTGTCATGATCGTAATTTTTTTTGGTCATAAAGTCGTGTGGATCTTCGGGAAGTAGGGAAACATTCAACCCTCAACCCTGAATCCTGAACGCAGAGAGCCCTCAAATCGAAAAATTGCTCGACCCCGACGAGCGCTCCTTCAAAATCTCCAGCTCGAATCCCTCCACCACCTCGACTAACTGGCTCATAAGCTGACCATCGCGGATGTTCCGTTTCAGAATGGCGAGTCTTTCGAAGGAGGCTCGCGCGAGGGTGTTCGCCCGCGTTGTGAAGTCGATTTCGCTAAGACCTTTGCGATTTCGGGCCAGCATCATGCGCAGCTGTCGCTCGGAGCAGGGGCAGTGCCGTTCAGGGCAAGCGGTGCATTCACCAGCGCAGCGGCAGAGAGGAATGCAGACGCACTTGTGCTGCTGCACCAGTGGCAGGAGCGGCTTGCCATCGTCGCGGCGCATTTCTCCCAACATTTTACCTTCCAAACTGCCTAGAGAGGCCAGTCGGCAGTCCTCGGTGTGGTCTTTCGCCCACATGCTGAAGTGCGCGATTTTCAAATCAACGAATGGCAATTTGTCGGTAGGTACGTCGCTCTCGAGTTGCACCTTGGGCTCGACGGTGCAGTACTTCTCCGAAATCGCGATCGCCAACTCTGCTGGAAAATTACGGGAGTAGGGGAGTAGAGTACCCCATTTCTGGTTGAACTGGCTGTTCCTCTCGTTTAATATTCCCAGCACATATCGGCGGTAGCCTGTTGGGTCATCAAGGTTGAATTTTGTGCCGACATTCTGGTCGACAAGGCTGCAGAGGTGGCTATCTTGGTATGCATTCACGACGAATTCATAAAGCCTCTCGCATATGGTGGGCGAGTCGAGGACGTCTTTGATCGCTAGAAAGATGCGGTACATGTGATCCGGCTCGGGGAGGTAAAACTTGCCACACTCTGGACGTGGGCGAGGTTCCATTTTGAATTGCATGCAGAGTTCGATTGCTGCCATCTCGAGGACAACTCGTGCGTACAGGGCGTAGAACAAGTTCTCCACGATCTCGATCAGATTGGATAGCGAGCCAGTTCGGATTCCCGCTTCCGCGCGTTTGATCCAATGCAAGAGTCCAGTTTTGCTGTCCCCGATCTAATGCGATGCGTTTGTTAGTTCTCTTACTGAACAGTGGAGCAGGTACACATGAAGAAGTTCGAGCAGATATGATGATCGCTCTACCCACCTCCGCCCCGTAGGCAAGAAACGCGACATGCGAGATCTTTGCCAAGGTGTAGATGTTGACAAAAACCTTGAGAGCGCCCTTCATGTGGGCTTCGATTTGCAGCGTGTTCAAATCATCCATCCCCATGACCTCCGAGGCCATGCCTGAGGTAGCCAAGGCCTCCGAAGAGACAACCCAGTCATCGCTGCTGACTTTATAAGGGCGCGAGTGGCGACGGGGAGGGGCCATCTAGCAAAGGTCAGTATAATACCAAGCAGCCTTGGATGTCTAAAGGATTGGTGACGAGCAGGTTGGAGAATGGAATCGAGAAGCAACGTACGAGAGATTTCCCGCTGGGAGAGGAACTAAACAACGGCGCAATTGGCGAGAGAGGCCGCTGCATTGATGCCTTCCCGGGGCTTCCATTAGGACTTTGGCTTTCCTCTTGACTGTAGATGGATGATGAGTATCGGAAGAAGCCGTCCTCTTGGACTTTCATCCAAGTTGTCACCTTGTCATCGCTGCTTGCGATGGTTGTATGGGCGGTCTGTAGGGTGTCCTCGCTGGAGGGCTCCGACAGGACAGGACTGCGCCCAAGGCGCCGCTTGAGAGAGGTCCAACCCCGGATCATACGGGGTTGCTGCATGGAGGGAGGAAGAGGAGGAGAAGGAGGAGGATCTGAAGGAGGAGGTGCAGGAGGGTCGAAGGGAACAAGTGGAAAGCGAAGCATCATGAAGGAAGTCCCAATAATGGGGGGGGGTGTATGGATGATGCTTGTGATGATGCTTATGGTTGTGGTGTGGAAGGTGCGAGGAGGAAGGTACAGTTTCTCGTGGAGTGGTCTGGTTTTGTAGGGTTGGTGGTGGTGGTGGTGAATGGTCAGTATTCACTCCTTCTCATACTTCCTATTCACCTGGACTGTTGGGACCAATAATAGGTGGGTCTCCAATGGTTTACAGGCAAAAGAAACAAACAAAAGGAAATTCGGTCTACAAGGAATCATATCAATATGTAGAGTCAAAGAAATTGCTGATTCGTTAACGCTCTTCAAGGTAATATCAACAAGAAGCCATTGCGAGTCTAGCTCTGCACACGGAAAGTTCGGCCACTGGCGGTCTTGCGCTCGCGTTCTTCGTTCTCGGGTCGAGCACGGTTGAGAACTGTCAAGGTTAGAGTTTAATACATATCTTTCGAGTTGGGCATAGATGTCTTGTTTACCTTGGAGGAAGTCCGCTGTCCGCTTGCGCATTCGGGTGTGGATATACGCCTATAAACAAAACATCAGCAAATGACACCAGCGATTCGGCAGGAAGGCTGGAGAATAAATTACCTTCGAGGCCTTGATATGATAGTGGAAGTAATCACGGAAGGTCTGGATGTGGGAGATGTTCTCATATCGGCGCTGGGGGGGTTAAGTGCCGGGGGAACAGAACTATAGGAACTAAGTCAGTGATACTGTCTATCGCAGGCGATGTGCCGGGGTGTTCAGGTGAAAGGCCATACCGAAAGTGACGTAGCTAATCTCGCCCTCGCCAGTGTTCTTCAACCCAGGAACACCTTCCAACTCAAGTGGCGGGTCACTGCGGAAAAGCACCTGGGGCGCATTCTGTAGGGTCACCACACGGCGTCGGGCGTCAACGAATTCCTAAAGGGGGTCAGTATATTTAAATTAAACTGGTGTATTCTGCGACGAACCTGCAGGAAGACCTTGCCGAAGATTCGGTCTGTCTCTTCGCGGAAAACAGTGCTAAAGATCACCGTAACGCGATCCCAACTAGCCTTGATATAGATAGCCTCTTCCTCGCGATAGTGAATCGCCATAACATCTCCACCTTCTTTGACACCTTGTGGAGCCGACTCTGATGTGTATTGCGACGCCTCCTCCGCGAGTTTGGTGAACTCATCGAACGCCCGCTCAAAGGGAGCAGCCATGGCGTTGCGCTTCATCAGGGCGAGCTTCATGATCAACTCCTCCCGGGCTTCTTCCTCGGCAGGGAGGTTCTCCAGGTCGACTTGTACTGAGAAATCATACCCGGGCTCCGGGGTCACGATGTAGGGGCCGTATTCCCGCTCCAGCACCTGTTGGGCGCCATACTGAACAAGCTCCTTGTAACACTTGACATGGATGGAAATAAGGATCTTGGTCTTAGACTCGGGGGTCGAGAGGTGGAAGGTCACTCCGTCAAAGTCGGAGACCACTTGGTCAATCGACGCCGGGGGAGCACTGCGACGGAATGGTTAGCTGGTGAGCCTAGGTGGCTGTGTATACAATGCAGCAATGGCGGGGGAGGGTGGATGGTAATGCGCGAGGGGAGGGAATGGTACCCAGAGAACCGCTCCGTTAGGAGGGATTGGATCAGAACGTTTTGATAGTCCAAGAGAAGCATGATTAGCACACAATGGGGGGGAGAGAGTGATAATGTTGAAGTTGGCAGTCTGGCAGTTTGGGGGGGGAAAGGCTTCCCGCGCGAGATCGTCATGGGCGGTGGGGGAACTCGGCTGGTCGCTGCCGCCGCCCGTAATGAATTTTGTCCTATCGATAGCAGCTCTCTCCAAAAATTTTCCCATCCATCCACGATGGTGAAATCTTACTTGTGAGTTGATCTAACACTGCGGATACACTGTCCGGTCTACTGACTCTTTTCGATTTTTAGCAAATTCGAGCACTCGAATACATTCGGGCTCGTCGCCTCGGCGACCTCGAATGCGATCTGGGCCAAGGATGAGCAGACTGGCGGCGCAGTTCGCCAAACCGGCGCCGGTCGAGCCATTGTCGGTGCCAGTGAGGAGGTTCTCTGCTGGGATGTCAAGAAGGGAGAATTGCTCGGCCGCTGGCGCGATTCCGCCTGCAGAGCGCAAGTGACGGTGGTGACACAGAGCAAGACCGATGAAGATATCTTCGCCGTTGGGTAAGTCCGATTTCTACTTGTCGCCAGACCCTGCATCTTCTTGGGCTAATTTGTTTTTCGTTTTTTCCTACTCTAGCTACGACGATGGCAGTATCCGAATCTGGGACTCTCGAACCGGCTCGATCATAATTTCCTTCAACGGTCACAAATCCGCCATCACCAAGCTGGCTTTCGATAATGTTGGTGTGCGCCTCGCCAGTGGCTCCAGGGACACCGATATCATCCTGTGGGATCTCATCTCTGAGACTGGTCTCTTCAAACTCCGCGGACACACCGATCAGATCACCTCGCTTCACTTCCTCTTCCCGTCTCCCGAGTTACTCAGTGCTTCGGGCATGAGCGACCATGCAGGCTTCTTGTTGACTACTGGAAAAGACGCATTGATCAAGGTTTGGGATCTGGCATCGCAGCATTGTATCGAAACACACATTGCGCAGTCCAATGGCGAATGCTGGAGTTTGGGTCTTTCGCCTGATCAGGGCGGCTGTATCACCGCAGGAAACGACGGGGAGCTGAAGGTCTGGTCTATCGACGAGGCTGCGATGATTGAAATCTCAAAGGAAAACGTCAGTGCCGAAGGCCGCCGGATTCTTACAGACCAAGGCACCTTTTACCGCCACGGCAAGGATCGCACGATCGGAATTCACTTCCACCCTCGCTTGGATTACGTTGGATTCCATGGCTCGGAGAAGGCCGTTGAGATTTGGCGTATTCGCTCACAAACAGAGGTCCAGAAGAGTATGGCACGGAAGCAGAAGCGCAGAAAGGAGAAGGAGGCCCAGCGTGAGGGCGAGGAGAAGGAAGCCGACGCTGAGAAAGAGAGGGTCAAGGATTCAGCCTCGCCTCCTATCACAGAGGTCTTCGTCTCTCATGTCATTGTTCGGACGGGTGGAAAGGTCCGCTCCTTTGATTGGATGACCAACAAGTCTAGCGGGTTGAATCTTCTAGCTGCGACAACCAACAACCAGCTCGAGTCGTACAATGTTGTCCCGGCCAACAAGAAAAACAAGGATGAGGACGAATCAGCATACACTCGCAACTTGGCCGTTGACATCCCCGGCCACCGAACAGATATTCGATCTATCGCCTTGAGCTCTGATGACCGCATGCTTGCCTCCGCCTCGAACGGTAGCCTGAAGATCTGGAATGTTCGAACTGAGACCTGTCTACGTACTTTGGAGTGTGGCTACGCACTCTGCTCCGCTTTCCTTCCTGGTGATAAGATTGTGGTTGTCGGTAACAAGAATGGCGAACTGGAAGTGTTCGACATTGCATCTTCGACTCTGCTGGACACGATCAAGGCGCATGATGGCCCTGTTTGGTCCCTTCACGTTCACCCGGATGGCAAGTCTATGGTCAGTGGAAGTGCCGACAAGACGGCCAAGTTCTGGGAATTCAAGGTCGTTCAGGAGGAGATCCCCGGTACCAAGCGCACTACTCCCCGTCTCAAGTTGATGCACACGAGAACTCTGAAGGTCAGCGATGATATTCTCAGCCTTCGTTTCTCGCCGGACGCCCGACTTCTCGCGGTCTCTTTGCTGGACAACACCGTCAAGGTCTTCTTCGTCGACTCTCTCAAGCTTTTCCTCAACCTCTATGGTCACAAGCTTCCAGTTCTCAGCATGGATATCTCCTACGATAGCAAGATGATCGTGACTTGTTCAGCTGACAAGACCGCCCGTCTGTGGGGATTGGACTTTGGTGACTGCCACAGGGCTCTTCTTGCCCACGAGGATAGCGTTATGTCAGTGGCATTCGTCCCGCACAACAGGGATGGAAATGGACACAACTTCTTCAGTGCCAGTAAGGACCGAATGATCAAGTACTGGGACGGTGATAAGTTCGAGAACATCCAGAAACTGTCTGGTCACCATGGAGAGATCTGGGCCTTAGCCATGAGCCGTTCCGGTGACTTTATTGTCAGTGCCAGTCACGACAAGAGCATTCGCATTTGGCAGCAAACCGACGAGCCACTCTTCCTGGAGGAAGAACGCGAGAAGGAGATGGAGGAGCAGTACGACAACACACTCACCGCATCTCTCGATCAAGATGAGGACGGAGAGGATGGCGAGAAGGCCGAAGCAGTCGACGCTAGCAAGCAAACCACAGGCACCCTCATGGCCGGAGAAAAGATCATGGAAGCTCTGGATCTGGGTATCGAGGATCTGGCGGTTGTGGAGGACTGGCGTCGAGTCAAGGCCGCCAACCCGAACGCCGCGCCCCCTGGTCGTAACCCTCTCTATATCGCTTTGGGCAACGTCTCGGCTGAGCAGCATGTTCTCAACACCGTGCAGAAGATTCCAGCCGCTGCTCTACAAGACGCCCTGCTGGTCCTTCCCTTCTCCAAACTCGAGTACCTCTTCACCTTCCTCAACATCTGGGCCGAGCGCGAGTGGAACGTCGCTCTGACCTGCCGTGTGCTCTTCTTCATGCTGAAGACGCATCACCGTCAAATCGTGTCGAGCAAGATCATGCGCCCGATGCTTGACAGCATCCGCGCAGCACTGCGCCGCGTGCTGTCCCGCCAAAAGGATGAGATGGGATTCAACCTATCTGCTCTGCAGTTTATCGGTAATCAGATCCGTGAGCACAATACGAAGGACTACATCGACGAGGAAAACTGGACACCGCAGCAAGCACAGCAGGGGTCGGGCAAGAAGCGGCAGTTCATGAGCGTCGCTTAGAGGGGGAAGGGATTGATTGGTACGAGCATTGTCAATCGGCGTTGTCGGGGTCCTTAATGACCTTATTTGTTTTGGATTTATGTTTATCGTATAAAAGTTTTATATCCTTGGGAGTTTCGAACAAGGGATGTATTATACTTGATCTGTTCGAATATGATCGATTGATTCTAGAAACCATGTCTATCATAACCCTGGGCCAGCGAGCCTCCAACCGCTGGCAGTTTCCAATGTGTGCACTCGCTACTAGTAATTTATAAAGAAAGCCTCTCTCAACACGAAATTCAAAAGACCTAATTGGAATCGTATTAGCAACCCCAATTCACGCGACAAGTACCATCCACAACGAAGACAACAAGCCGGTATAACTCCTTTCAGCGGAACCATTATAAGCATCGACGACAGACAGTAACATTCTAGTACCGCTGCCATACCTCTTCCGGCTCTTCCTAAAAAATTCGGTTCGTATGCAAAGTCTCATCATTCGGAGGTCCGGCTTGTCTTCTTCGTGTCTGGTTGGGAGGTTAGAGTAAGCGTGACACGTACCGGTAGTGTTTTGTGGCCAGCTAGACAGATATTCTAGCATATTTCTAGACTCTGTCTGAGCTGGCGCGTGGTTGGGACCACGGTTGGCAAATTCGATTGGGGGAGGAGGAGAGTTGGGGAGAGATCAAGTTGGTGAAAAATATGGGAATGCGGTGGGTCTGCTTAGCTAGTGGGTCACGTGTGTTGATTATTATGGGGCATGGCATAGGAAGCTTTTGTGATAGCAATTGAAAAGCAGAAAAGCTCTTTTTCACTTAAGCAGACTGTTTTGATGATTTGTCTGAGATTCATATGATAATTTTACTAGATGTTCTAATTAAAGAGATTATCTAGAACTTATTGCCTCCGACTGCCACGGCTGTATGCATTAATTTGTACGATATGATGAATTGTTCTTCAGAAGAATTTGATGAAATCCTATTTATTTTCAAAAGATCTAATTGCATGGTCTCATAAAAAGCATAATTTGTAGTCAATGAAGGAGGCAGGTCCAGCCAAACCATCTTCGTCAAGAGGAAGGTTTCATCTTCCCGCAAGCCGAGCACGTCCACCACTGACTCTCCATAAAACTACCACAATTCTCGCAAAGCCATCCCAAAGGCCGTTTACTCGTATCACGGTCCATAGAGGCAAGGGTGTCTCGGACTCGGTTTCGGTTCTTGAATGCGAATGTATCCCGTGCGGGCAGCTCGTCCTCTTGTATCTGAAGCGGACGCTTTTTCGAAGTAGGTTGCTCGGAACGTCTGGGTTCCGGGCGTGTGGCGGGCTGTTTCTCTTTCGGCGCTGGTCTTTCTGCGGCACATACGTCACAGCAGAGGAAACTGGACGGGTTCTCCAGCGTACATGTTGGACACGTCCAAGGGGCCTCGTATGAACTATTGTCTGCTGTGAGGTCCAATACTTCTGGCGTGTGCCCCGGCGCTATCCCTGGGGGTGCACTCGGTGCAGCTGCTTTTGAAGTACCAGCTTCTGCCGTATTTTGGGAAACTTTCGGAACAGACGATCCGCCTGAGCGAGGTCCAGCTGGGTTCTCCTGGCTTGGGGGAATATACGACGATCCATACTTCTCACGTTCCTCCTCCTGAATCAACTCAATAAAGGCCTGAAGGATCGCTTCTTCATTCGCATCATCTTCTTCAGCTTTTGTCCTGAAACCATTCCGCGATGCTTCCTCGGCAAGCTCGGTGCTTCTGTCCGTTCCCGAGGCACATCCATTTGTCACCTCCACACGACGCTGCGCGGCATCTGCTCTCAGCTTGCGGATGTCTGTTCCTCGAAGCACGGGGGTGCCTCCAAGACGCTTCCCGGAGTTTTTAGTGAGGATCCTTCGTTTCTCAGCGGCAGCGCGGGCTTGTCGGCGGGCCTCGTCAGGTGGCATTCGAGTCCCGCCAAGCCGTTTGCCTTGAGAGAGGAAACCTTCGCCTGTGTATCCCTTGATGACAAGCTCCTCGTGCTCATCCCGCAACTGGTTCCACAGTGCATGAAACTCGCGGTGATGAGGCCCGTGTACAATATGACACAGTCTGTTCTTGATTAGTTTAGTGACGCGTGGGCGGGAGGTGGGAGAACATACTCATGCAGCATAGTATCGACAACCTGCTCGAAAGGAAGAAACTGTGTCTGATCCGAGGGATATCGTAGTCTTAGACATATTTTCTGGCCCGAGTTGACATTCAGCCCCAGAAGGTTTTTCTGTCCCGGGTAGAACTCGCACAGGGCGCCCACTCGCCAGGAACGCTGGCGCATGATGGGTTTGACGACCGAAGCAACTTTGCGGAGGATAAAGAGGGCCTCTGATTCACGGGGACGTTTCTTCTCATGGCGATATTCGCCGATGAGAGAGTCAAGTTCTCTCATGTTGTATCATAACAGTTGCAATCAATCAGCCTAGCAGTATCATGTTCCCTGGATGACGGGCTAGGCCGACTCAGGATCATACGCGCTGAGGAGAATCGCCCAACTCCAGATTGAGAAGCAAAAGGTTCATGGCAATAGCATAACCTTTAAATCCTTTTGCATCGTAGCTGGCTAGTATTCAAAGGGTTTCGTGAGGTCTTTGAAGAGAGCAAGCAGAAGGGACTTGCCAGGACCTGGTCTTGCATCGCTATGACTAATCATGTCGGCCAGCCAGAACTGGCTTGTGGCTATACTTGAATATACCGACAGCCAGGATAATATAGCCTAGTAGTACTCCAAGGCTAGTATTGGTGTTCACATTTAATCTACTTAGGTATCGTTACATTAAACTTGAATACCCGTGCCAGACGCTGACTATGGGTTCATCTTCTGTTGGCCCGGTGTACTATACTAGTTTGACGGACATGAATACATCTCACCCAATTAATATGAAAGAGCACACTCCAGGGCTGAAGTCACTCACAACGTTGGAAGACAAAAAGTTGAATGAATAAACTTTCATTATCCAGCAGTATACCTAGGTAATTCCGTATATGTATTAAATCCAACTGATTTATGTACTTCGATTGGGCTTCCAGAAGGTACCTCATTCCTGTCATGTGACCCATCCAAAGCGGAGACTGGTTTATCGCAATTCTTATCATCAACAGTTTTCTATTCTTTTCCAGCATTTCACTTCACCAAAATGACGAGCGACGATCAGTTCTTCTTTGACTACGTGAGTTGCATCGAATGCACTGTAACCTGACTTGGAAATCCTCCCTCATGCTGACCCTTCGCAACAGCTCGCGTCCATACCCCATGACGTAAGGCGATACTCGACCCAGGTTGCCGACTCGATCGACCGACAAGTCGACCATGCGGCCACCACGATCCGAAATACCCTTTCCGAACAGTCATGGATTCCTTCACAGGTGCGCCCGTCCGTGCGCAATGCTCAGAACATGCGTCATCCCCGTGGGTTCACCGACCGGGTGCAAAATTGGATGGCTCGGAATCGCGCATGGACGGCGGCTATCCTCGCATTTGTCGGCACCGGGTGTGTCCTATACTATGGGAGTAAGAAGTTGAATGGAAAACGGAGGAAAGCGAGAAAGGCTGGAAATGGAGCCCGGAAGGAGATTGTTGGTACGTTGAGAAGGCCTTCCACGGGATGCGAGCAATGCGATGCCTTCTGCTCCATCCAATATGTTGATATGTTGCTTGTGCTAACCATACCGACGCATAGTCATCGCTGGATCGCCTCATGAGCCTATGACTCGCGCTATTGCTGCAGATCTGGAACGCCGTGGATACATAGTCTACGTGACCGTGTCATCGGCAGATGAAGAGCACATTGTTCGGTCTGAGAACCGGACTGATATCAAGGCGCTGTGGTTGGATTTGACTGCGGTAGGTTTCTTGCCAGATCAAGGCAAAACGAGCAAAGTCTAACATGATATGAAATAGGGAACCTCCACACCCTCCGAGCTACATCCCTCATTGCATGAACTGCGCTCACTAATCACACAACCCCAATCTCCCCTCCCCGGCATGCCTCCTCACACCTGCCAGCTGAGCGGCGTCGTGATTGTGCCATCCCCCAACTTTGCCGCAGGCCCTGTCGCGACAATCCCACCTTCATCATGGGCCGATACCGTCAACACCCGTCTCCTCTCCCCGATCCTCACCGCACAAGTCTTCCTACCACTATTGACTCTCCGCAACAACAGCAGTACGATCATCTTCGCCTACCCATCCATCTCATCATCCCTGTCAGCACCCTTCGCCGGACCGGAAGTCGCCACAACCCGGGCTATCTCAGGTTTTGCCACCTCTCTGCGCCAGGAACTCCGCCTCCTCGAACATGGCAACGTCGATGTCGTGGAGCTACGACTCGGAAACATCGACCTGGGCCCTTCATACCGCAATGCCCAAAACCAAATTACCGGCACCGAAGTCCTGGCCTGGAGTGCGCAGCAACGAGCTCTATACGGCCCGCAGTACCTCTCCAGCATCGAACAGCGCCCCGTCGCATCCGCCGGCCCTAGCACCGTGCGCGGATCACCCGCGCGAAACCTACACCACGCTCTGATGGATGCCCTAGAACCGGCATCCCGGGATTGGATTGGCCGGCGTACGCGCAAGAAGTCTATTATGTACGTCGGCCGCGGGGCTCGGTCTTACAGCGTGATTGGCGCGTGGATGCCCAGCGGTCTTGTGGGATTAATGATGGGGTACCGTAGTGGGCATTCGGCGCCCATGGGTAGTCCCAGCAGTGGCAGCGAGACTAGCTGGGAGCGCGTCTAGTGGGATCCCTGCTAGATTTCCTTGAAAAGAAGAATGATGCAGACCAGCGGGCAAGTACGACGGTAGTACACCCTATCCTTCAGTTCACTGGACTTCTCTTCGCTGGTTATTGTGTTCGGTGTGCATGGCACCTACAGTGGTGTTGCAAAAGTTTGAAACCCCTTGTTGACCGCCCTGAGCTCTGCCTTCCCAAGGGGAACAAGTAGCTACCTGAGAGGGAATAGATTGGCCAAACTGTTCCATCTCAGGTAGCTACTAGAGATACAAGAACAGTCAACATGGAGTTTCAAACTTTTGCAACGCCATTGCATACCTGCTTCCAGTTTCTTCCAGTGCCAGTACCGTTACCCGTATAGAATATGCGGGTTGATGAATACGTTTTGGTGTGATGAAAAGCTCTTCTTTGCTCATTTTTGAGACCATACTTTTGAATAATTTGTACATACATTATGATACTCCTCGCTCAGGCGCCAATGGATTAATTAATTGATAAATTGAATATGTGAAATAATTATTTATTGCATTAGCATTATTGCACATGCATTTCATGGACTCAGTTAGTCGTAATCTGATCGGTCAGTTGCAATTGCAGCTGTCGTCAGTCATTTGTTGTAGCGTAGCAAGTATGTATCTAGTATTGTGCATAACTCCTCACAGCCAGCTGCAGGACTGGGTCGCGTCGAGTCAAGTATCAACTGAAGTCAAGTCAATATACTCCGTAACTACTACCTAGACCTGCACATGCTTCATCTCGCACGGTTCACCCTTCATCCCAAGCTGGTCCCCTGCTTCGACACCGCGGCAGCGATCCTGCCCATAAAGAGGGTCGCGGGCCGATCTCTTAATCCGCCCCTTAACCAACCAATTCCTCAACCAGATCAACCCCCACGTAACGAGGAAGATGACCAAGATCGCAGCAAGGATACCAAAGCAATACCCCGTTACGAGCGACGATCCATTGGTCTTGATATCGAGGAAACTGTAGGCGTAAAAGCCCTCGGTGTGGACCGTGATGTACGCGACACAGAGATAGAGCAGCAGGAAGAGGATGAGGAACGGGATGTAGATCCAGGGGTGTGGGGCTGTAGTCGCGAGGGCGATTTCGAGAATGGCGTAGAGCGAATTAAGGCCGTGCTGGGAAATCTGTGTAACCATGTTGCGCATTAGGGCTGTTTTTAGCACGAAAGATTGGAATGTGGGGGTGGTGCTGGTGGTGTCGCAATCAAGTGCGACGTGCGCTCAGACCATCCGCCTTGCACATGGCAATCCCATGGCAATCCCATGACAGGGCTGTGGCAAGGCTGCATGGATGGAAGAGACGAGAGAAGAAAGAAAAAACGTACATTCGACCAGCCCGTAAATGCTTCCTTATAGAATGGCGGCTTGAAGAGGATAATCCAAAAGACCAGTGTAACGAGTGGTGGATAAACGGTGATAGTTGTGTAAAGAATGCCATGCATAGCACGCAGAGCTCGCGGCCAGCGGTTGAAGAGTAGCGAGCGCCCAGTTTGAGCGTAGCAAGCAGTATGAATAGCGGCGAAGAGGGTATAGAAGCCCAATCCCCAGTAAGTTAACCAGGTGAAGAAGCTAAAGGACTGGCCGATAGCGTCGCGGTCACCATGGGTACCATCCCAGCCCCAGATGAAGAAGATCGAGACAAAGATATAGGTTGATATGAGGGCGCGCAGGCTGGCGAGGAGGGTGGGAGAGAGGAGCCAGCTCGTTTCATAGTAGTGGAGGTTGTCGTGAGCTGGATCGACACCGAAGAGGGTCGACAATGGAATGCGACGCATCGTGAGATACTAGTGAAATGAGATGAGAGATCTGCGATTTACACACCAGCCTGGAGAGGCAGATCTGTGAAAATCTTTTTGCGTGGGGCCAACACGATGCGATCGTGGGTTCTTAAAGCGGCCGACTCTCGTAGCTGCGACGGAAATGGATGGGCACGCGACTCATCAACTCGACTTGGCTCAACTCGACATTTAAGTAACAAGGGAAAAATCGAACTCGGCAAGGCAGAGAAGAATTAGACCGACGGAATTTGGCGAAATTTGGCCTTTTCGCCCGCAGCTAGGCTGAATAGACTACATGTGAACATGTCGGCTTACGTTGCCTGCTCGAGAGGGAGAGGTAAGCGAGGCCACTGGCAGTGGCAGTCATGTAGCCCACTTGGGTTGCTGCAAAAGCAGACTAACCGATCCGAGGTAGCAATGGGGTTAGTGTGATGATTCATACATTGCACTAGGAGGAATAAGGACTAGGTTATGGTCATGGGCCATACTAGGTAGATGAATCAAAGTTGAAGATCGCTGTGAAGTACATAGCGTGAAGTACATCCTAGGATAGTGTGACGTATACTCTATATCAGGATGCTAGTATAAACACGATAGAGATAGAGTATGGACGAACGGACCCCACCAGAAAAGGCAGGATCAAACCGCTCTGCAGCCAAAATAAGAAACTGCTCCACTGCCTCTCCACTGGAGGGATTTGATTGGTGAACCAAGAATAATGAAACAGCGTGGGGATACTACTATTTGTAGCATGGAGTACCCTCCCATCTTCTACTATGTATCTCTATAGTGTAGTATAGTTAAGTGTTGTAGAGTATAGTATAATATACTCTACAAATACATCACTGGATACATCACTTTAATTATAATCTGGGGTATACTATAATAATAGTACGTATGCTTGTACACTAGTGCACTAAATTCCTCATTTTGGTGGTGATTAGGTGATCCGGCTTGGCATCTTGGCCCCCCCCTGAAGTCACGGGATCCCCCCCGTGACACTGGCACTGACACTGGCACCGCTCACTATGGACGTTCCACTGCCACGACAATAAAATCCCCAAGTGGAGCTGTTTACCATTGCGATCGTCAGGGCCTCGCCCGTTTCGCTCCTTTCTTCCTTTCTGTTTTGTTGGGCTGCCTCTGCCTCTCTGCCTCTGACGCATGTCAACTTGACTTCTTCATCCTTCTCTGAAAGGGCTGTCTTTCCTTTGGCCTCTGTCGCCCCCCCCGCCCATCACCCCCATACATACCATCCATCCAATCTACTATACCCCCCCCCATCACCAATCTCCCCTCAACCTTCGTATCGCTCATCTTTGAACCCAAATGTCCCCCCGCCCGAGACTGAGACATTCGCCCCGACTCTGAACGACTAGAGTGTTTGGACCCCTGTGACGTTTCGCTTCATCTCACCTCGCCTATACCATACCAGCCACATTGAACGATTGATCTTGTCCGTATTTACCCCTGGAGACAAAGAAAGGTCGTGGTTCAACCATCCCCCCTCTCCTTCTTCCTCCCAACCCCCCTCCCCACCATGGCGGCGTGGCCCCCTCGAAATCTAGAGGAATGTCGCTCCAACTCCCACGATACCCTCCGAAGTGGCATGCCCTCTCCGCGCATCGAACATTATGACGGCGAGGTCCCCCCCCCGCCCTCTCCCCCCCTAGATGCCTTCGCCGCCCAGGGCCGATTCCTGGCCCGCCAACTCGACGAATCCCGCCGAGGTGACCGTCGCATGAGCCGTCTGCCCCCTTCCAGTGTCGCCCGCTCCCTTTCCCATGGCCGACCGGGATACTTCCGAGGACGCTCAAGCGAGGGCGAGGGTCAAACTCTCACCCGAAGACCAACGCAGAAGAATATCGTTCCAGAGGTCGAGGAACCGAAATACCGCCCAATCTCCGAACACCCCCGATTTAGTTCTGTCTCGCATGCGAGTAGCAATACCGAAGTCCAAGATGACCATTCTACCCCTCGGAGTACAATGCTACGAACTAGCAGCAATGGATACGACATACCACGAGCAGAGTCCCCCGAAGAGGATGCATCGCTCGCCGGTGATACTCCCCCCCGTGGGAGTCGCATTCACCAATCCCTCACGCGATAACTCAACCGACTCGGTGTCTTCATCACGACTTCACATCCCTCGAACCTTGGCTCCGCCCCATTCCCCGAACTCGCGGCCTTCCAGTAGTACACGGGTCGGTCATCCGGAGAGAGAGAGCTCGGATGATGATTATAGCAGCTCCAATGCGGGCTCTACTTTTTCGAAGCCGCGAAAGCTGTCTTCTGGAAGTGCTGTTTCGCTGCCATATTCACCCATGTCCACATTCCCTGCTCGGGTACACCCTCGATCGCCCTCATTGAGCTCCGAAACCTCAAATAGTTATCTGCCCCGGCCGTCGTTCAACTTCTCCCGTCCTCTCAGTCGATCAAGTACCAGCCTCTCTGCCCCTGGTCCGTCAGCTACCTCAGAACCAACGTCGGTCCCTCAGGGCCACCAGCCAAGGCATATGCACCGCTCGAGCAAGCCAACGCCGATCCTTTTACCCTTGGCTACCGATGCGATGGGGAATTTAATCGAAGGCGAACCGTCGTCTGCCGTCTCCTCGTATACCTACGCTAAGTATGATCTCCCGCGAGGACGGGGTTTGTCTAGAGACTCGGTGATTTTTGCAGGCTTGCAAACACCGCATTTTGAGTGGAACGAGCCCTTGTTCGAAAATTCCCCGCCTCGCCATTCGGAAGAGATACCGCGCCTCGCTCGCACTCCACCCCCTACTGCGCGTCAGGAAGTGGAAAACTCGCCCAAGCCTCGTTCAATGCACGAAGTGCCTGCTACGCAAATCAAACAAGCTCCGCCTGTTCTGGCCTCGCCACCAAGGCCTCCACCGACAGCAGCAGCAGTCGCCCCGCCAGTCACTCCACCCCGGCGGTCCGCGGAGGAGGTCGTTAAGTCGAAGAGCAATGAAAAGGATGATACTATTTCATCTGCCGATTCGGCAAGCACTACGCGCCCACAGACCGCCAATACTCAGGCTAGTCCGGCCACTCTCACAGCTGACGACCATGTTTCAATGGGTATCGATCTGCATGAAAAGGGATCCTTGAACGAATCCACCTATCATATGCGGATAGCTGCGAAGCAAAACCATCCTACCGGTATGCTGCTCTACGCCTTGGCTTGCCGTCATGGCTGGGGTATGCGATCCAACCAACAAGAAGGAGTGCGATGGTTACGCAAGGCCGTGGACTCGGTTGGATTGGAAATGTTGGAGAATCCCGATGCCCCTGGCGCATCCAAAGCCAAGGAGCTACAGAAGGCGTATCGGGCCCAATTTGCTCTGAGCATCTATGAACTTGGCGTCAGTTATCTCAATGGCTGGGGTATTCACCAGGATAAAGGCCTGGCTCTTCGGTGCTTTGAGATCGCCGGACAATGGGGTGATGTCGATGCCATGGCTGAGGCTGGATTTTGCTATGCAGAGGGTGTTGGCTGCAAGAAGGATATGAAGAAAGCAGCACGGTTCTACCGCCAGGCCGAGGACAACGGCATGAGCATGGTTGGAAATAGTTGGTATGTACTCATCCGAACATCAATACCCCTTCCCCCTCAACACCTCGACTAACCCCTCACAGGATCTACAAGGACAAATATATGGCCGAAGACAAATCCAACAGCCGCTCTCGTGGGCGCACTGTTAGCAGCGACAAGAAGCCGCGCAGTAAATCACGGACCCGCAGCATCTTCCAGCGGAAGAAGTCTGCGGCAGAGGCATAGACTGTCTCACTTGCACAAATGTTACTGATGTTCGCCTTTTGTATCATTTTTATGGGCGTCCGTCTGGACTGTTCCACCTCCATCTTGCATCCCAAAGCGATGTTGTTTTGGAGCGTTTTGAGCCGATTCCTCATAAATTACGTTTATGACCTTCTCCTATTTCTCGGAGGGGTCAGTTTCATTTCTTCCACTCCTTTCTGGTTTTCAACCGCCCACATTTTCCATTACGTTCCATCATTCATCACTTTCATCACTTTTTCATCACTTTTCCTTCTTCCAGTCATTCTGCACCTTTACCAAAGCCGCCTGGGCAGCTATTTTCGAGCCACGTTGGCCGGACTTTGTCTCCAGCCACCTGCCTCGCAGGCCTAATACTTCAATTCTTCGTGGATACCCTCTGCCTTTATTTCTTTTCAATTTCCCCACTTCCTGTGGCATATTTTTGATCTTTATTCCTTACCTCCCTCTTCGCTTTCCCCCTTTGACCATTTTCGTTTCTTGGCCATATTCCTACGGGGCTGATCTCCCATTTCCGTGAACATCTCTTTCACTTGTGACATTTACGTTTTTTATTTTTTTTTTTCCCTCTTGATCATTTCCCGGCAGACACTTTGGTGAATCGCGCGACGATTCGCGATGAATTCATGACACAAATCGGCCGCGGTGTGGATATTTGCATAGGGCATTGTGTAGCATGTGACGATCTATCTAATCGACCAACTACTTTATCGTGCTTCAGCTGGGCCCCCTTGGCAATTGGCCCCTCTTTAATCCTTGTAGTTCATCCCGTTTAGCTCCTGCGTATAATTAATCAATCGATACGGCGAACCAGAACCTTCCCCACTTCCTTATGAAAGCAGCGGAGGTTTGCCCTAACTGGCCCGAGGGTCATCTCTTTGAACGCCACGACGGGGATTCTTCCCACTGCGGTACTCGGTGCTCACTTGACCAGACATCGCCAGGCATTGCTAGCTTTTACGCAGATTGGCTGTTCGGCCTTGGCGGAACGCCTCCGGTGCAGCTAGTCTCACTGACAACCAATGAGGACAGCAGGAACCCAAGGGACCCCGGATAGTCGGTGCAACGGTAGATTCGCCTTCCAGCGAGAATCCCTGGACTGGGCCTTGTTCCACAGTCCAGACAACGGGCTTTCCCGTGGCGCACATTATTGCTGCACCTGCATATGATCCTGAGCGGCTTACAATTAGCAGTTGATACTATTTCACCTCATCTCTCACCTTCCTCAACAACCTCGGTTTCCTCCATTATCTCTCCTCATCCCGTCCCTCCCTTTCCCCCCGAAGATAGAAATAGAGAAACTCAATCTGAAACGTCCTAGCGCTGTCAGGACCGCACGACGATCAGTCGATCAAAGAGGACACCCGCACAATCCAGGAACCGCCCCGCTCGGAATCCGGAGTCCCCAGAAGTCCCCAGAAGTCCCCAGAAAAAAAAAAGGGACTATCACCAGACCTTTTCGGGGGAGGGGCAAATGCCAAAAGAGTTGAAAGCGAAACAAAGCCAAAGAACCTTGGCTCTATCGGTTCGTACCCACTCCGCTTGGTCCTCCTCTGCAAATGCGTGGGGAAGGGTTTCTTCGTACATTGTATGACATGTGAATGCTTGGAAATAAGTTGAACAGTGTACTATTCCTCTTTTTGCCTCATTCTAGTTCTAGTCTATACTCGTCCCTAGTACTAGCACCGGCCTACCCCGAATGCGTCCTTAGCGAGAAAGACTTATCTACCTAAAGTACTACTAACTACTAGTAGTACCCTATTTTTATTCTCCCTTTTAATATAAAGTAAACCCTCGCCCTCGAGAGATCCGGAGTCACCGGATTCAGGTTCCTGAAGCAGCCTATTTTGCTCTTTTTTGCTTTTTCTTTTTGTGTCACTCGTTTTGCACTTTTTGCACTCAACTTCTCTTTTACTTTCCTGGATACCCCGAGGATTGATTCAAGTCAATTCTTGTTCTTGTTCACTACCGTCGGTGAACACTAACAATCACGGTGGTCCACCTATCTTAGGTACAGGCTTCAACCCTCATCATGTCCGATACAAAAGCCGAAGCCACCGGCGTGGAAACCGCCGGTTTTTCCCCGCCAGCGAAACGTAGCTTCGGTTCGCGAGTCGGTGCTCATTTCAAGAAGTGGTGGTGGGTGCATCTGATCGTGTTTGTGATTGTGGTACTCGTCGTCGCACTGCCAGTGTAAGTGCCCGTGGTCTTCCAGATGGCCAGCAAAGACCTAACTACTAACCTGTCATATACAGCATCTTCGTGGGGTACCCCAAGATCGCCCAGCACGATGTCAACGACTCCACCCTCAATATCACCGAGATGGTGATCGGCGATCCAACCCCGGATTCCTTCCAACTCAACCAAACCCAAGTCATTGGCTCCCACAGCTCTTACCACCCCGAGATCTACGCCTTTGATGCCGCTGTCTCACTGGCCGGTGCCGCGGCCGCCTTCGCCACTGTGCGCGTGCCGGGAGTCAAGTCCAAGGACGGCGCCGTGGTGGAGGTTGCCCAGAAAGTCGATTTGTCCGATGCCGATGCCTTTGGCGACTATGCCAAAGCCGTGATGCTGAACGAGGAGGTCTCGCTGAATATCTATGGCAAGCCTGGGTTAAAGGAGGGGTCGCTGCCGAAGACTACGGTGACATATGACAAGACTGTTACCATGAAGGGTAAGCCATTGCGCCATTCCTGTTGTGAAAGAAGAGATGTGACCCTGATTGGACCGAGTTATACTAATCACATTCCCGTCTTTCCAGGTCTGAACAAACTCACGGGCTTCGACGTGACCGACTTCCACATCCTTCTCAAGCCAGAGAACGGCCGCAACATGAAGGGAACAGTCTACATCCCCAATCCCTCCGTCATGACAATCACCATGGTGCGTCGGAAACAAGAAAACCCACCCGCCCACCCATCCATCCAATGACCCCCACTAACTCAATCAACAGGGAAACCTCACATTGGACCTCTCCGTCGCCGGAAGCCCCATGGGTCAATCCTACCTGGACAACCTAGTTCTCAAACCAGGAAACAACACCATCCCAATGACATCAACCGTCAACCAAAGCGCCATAATCAGCATGTTTACAGCCAAAAACAACCCATACAAAGACGGACTCGTGCCATTCGACATCACCGGCAACTCGAGCTACTACAACGGCAAGGAACTGCCTTATTTCACCAAGGCGCTCAGCGCGAATAATTTGACTGTGCATTTGAATGTGACCAAGGCTCTTGCGGAGATTGGTCTGACTAATTTGTAATTTGTGATGTGATGTGATCTGATGTTTGTCCCTCATGTGTCTGTTTCATCTACTTCGCTTTTTATTTCATTTTCAGTGGTTCTGAATTTTGTCCAATGTCAACTTGAACTTGAAGGATACTACGTGTTGAAGTTTCTGAATGATGCTGTGTGGTTGGCGGTTCGTAGATTATTTCAAGTTTGTTTATGAATAATGTACTAGTACCATTTAATGACCAGTTGATTCCAATCAAGATATACCCACCTAACTTATCCCATCAAATTATTCTATCGCTCGGGTGGAAAATAGCTCAGGGGCGATGGGCTATAGTGATCCAACAGAACTGCGCCGCAGCTTCGAGTCTGCGAGTTTGTTAAATATATACTCACTTAACAAGGCAATCAACTACTCTCTATCAATAGATTTAGTGTGTGCCATTTTCGCCAATGAGACAAGTTTCATCATAAAGGCGTGTGTAAAGTGAAAAGGCGGGAAAAAGTTCCCATCTTCGTCCGTCTGCCGAGCCGGCGCGAATATCCCGGCTATCTCTTCGATGATCTGGATATCGCGCATGAAAGTCTCTGCAGCGGGGAGCATTATGAGGAAGCGGAAGAGCGTGATGACGGCTGTGAGGACGAATTGTGCGTGGATCCTAGGTATTGAGTTAGATTGAGGAGGTTTTATACACCAATAGGATAGGTGCGTGTGCATGTACTCACCAAAATGTGTGGTAATTGATGTAATGCCTCACACGGCCGACATAAATTAACGTTGACCTCGCCGATTCGTAACAAATTTCCTCGCTGGAGGCTAGTAGTGACCGAGACTTTGACGAAAGGGTTTCTTGGGTGGTACTACTTGCACCGTGGATCTTACCTAAACAATAGTAGTACTCCAAGTGCACGCTCACACCTCGAATACTGAGATCATGGAAGAGGTAATCCGGTGCATCTTCTGTTGCGAATGAATCTGGCCGGAATTCTGCTGGGTATTCCGATTTAATGTCACTAAGCTCGTGGTCCAATTCGCGAATATGTTGTAATCGCTGCGTTTCGGAGTATGCCTTGCTCTGGACGGAGTAGAGAAGTCGGTAGATCCTCGATTTGATCAAGACGAGGCGGAGATCGGTTGGGTAGAGAAGCTCCTTGGAGGAGAGTGGTTTGAAGTAGAAATGCTTTGCGGATGATGTGAGTACGTATGACGGAGGTAGGTCTAAGTCGCAGTCTGCTTCGTTGATGAGGGGTGGTTGGGACTTGCGGCTGGCGAATTCGCGGTCCATGCCGTAGGCAAGCCAGAAGAGGGCTCGAAGGTGATTACTTTGCTGAGGTTTGATGTTTGTTTCGGAGGCGGGTCGCATCCTGTGGGCTTCTAGATTGTACAGTGCTTGGATCGCAATTCCAAGGAGCATTTCGGCGTACTGAGGCTGTCCGAGGGGGCAGATGAAGATTGCCTATTGACGTTTGAAAAGGGGATTCGTCAGTAAATGTGGAAGAACGGAGATTTCAGGATCTTACTATCATCATGATTGCCTCTACAGTTCTCGTATCGGCTGGCTCTGTGATTATCCCCGGAACAAGCGAGAGAGCTGCATGTGCATAAGCGTCTGGGTCTGCATCGCGAAACATAGGATCATGCCGATGCATCTGTGTGATATTCGCCGTGAAAGCAGCCAGACAGGCACGGTAAGCCGCGCGGGATGTCTTGGGATGATTGAGCACATCGGCCTTGACGAGGACCCCCAGAGCTTCGGCATCTGCAAAGGGGAATAGAGAGTAAAGACCGGCCTTGGTGTAGTATGTCACACATTGCTGTACCAAGGAGTTCGATGGCCATTTGATCGATGCTGATCGCCTGGCACCTTTCAGACCTTGTGCAATGAGTGGTTGCATCAATTCATTCAAGAAGTCGTCTAGATCGAAAGTGCTGCCTGTTCGCTGAAAGATGTTTGAGTAAAATGCCGCTCTCGTCGTTGACAGTGGGTTGCCGAGTCCACAGTATGCAATATGCCATCGGAATGACGCCAGTGCCGTATCGAGACAGTGGGTGTCGGTGACCAGACTGATTGCAGGGGAGTCTTGCGGAGCAAGATTCTGAGGCGCTGGAGAAACAGTCCCGCTGAGTGAAGCGGCTGACGATTCATTATTTCCCCCAGGGGTAGATTGGGCTGCAGCCAATACTTCCTCTAGTTGCTGGACTCGGGCTTGACTATCAGCCAGCTCCCTAGAGGAACCAATTAGCAAGAATGTGTAGTAAGAGTCGCTCCAATGATCAGCCTCACTGCCGAAGCCCCTTCCGCTTCTGCACCAGCTGCGGGGTGAAAACACAAGGTAGGCCGGCCAATTGGCATGTCTCACACGCCGGGGTGGCTCTATCACAGCGGATCTGAGAGTAAACGAATACGCAGTCAGCACATTGTACAAGAGCTCAATATGCAGGTGGGTCGATTGTGTAATATCGAAGGATTATGGTACCTTTCGGAGTCGACATAGATCACAGGCACTCCGCATGGTGAGTTATCCAATATAAACTGGGTCCTTGATTGTATAATCCGGCCAAAACGAGGCACATCGCGAAGAATGGTGGTTGAGGTGGCAGCGGGTCTTCAAGCTGCAATCGGCCGGTCTCTGTGGAGCCAAGACCGCCAAGCCTTTCCAGTGGGGTGATGAGTCAGCGGAGACGACTGCTCCGAGGAAATCGACAGACTGTACATACTCCGTAAAGGAGTAGGTATGGTTATTAACCTGTGCCCAGTAATGAGTATTTCTGCTCCACTGTGCTCTTGCCAAGGGCTGGGATCTGCAGGAAGCCTCCCCCTCCGAGCTTCCACGCAAGCTGGCCGGGCTGGAGACTTGGCAGCGGCTGAAGTATAGACGCGATCACTAGGAGAATTATTCAAGAGTATTAGTATTCAGGAATGATGTGATACGAAATGAACGAGGCCTGAAGATTGAAGAGTATTTATGAAGAGATTACCTTGAGCCCATCCAATCCCATTGTACTAATACTCTTTTTCTCCGGACAATGTCCTTCTAGGTGACATACCAAAAATCGAAGAATTCTGAATGACCGGGTTTGGAGTGCTTCGGCTGCCTCAGAGAAACCAAAATTTGTTACGAGTATGCAATGTCTCTTGAGACAAATTCATCAACCCCTTACCCCGTGTGGAAAATTGGTCTGCAGATCACTCCACATGAATCAGGAACCCCGGAGGATGTGGCGCCTGCCGACTTAAGCTCCAGTTAATAGAAACTCGATGCCCAATAGCAAAGCATTATTTCGTCAGCTGTGTCAATTGCTGAGCCTATACGTCGTAAGCTTGCAGTTCATTCTAGACCGGTTTCTGGTAAAGGAGTGTGAATGCTACTAACTCCGTTTTCCCCTTCCAGCACAATCTCCTGCTGACGACAACCGTGACGAGTTTGGCCATTACTCCTGATATCACCAAGGTTTCTAGATCTCAAATCTTGGCATATACGATGTATAAATAATCCAACTTCTCTTCAAGGTAATCTGAAAAGCACAGCCAGCTTTCCTTTCATCTATCTCATTGCCTATTTTCAGGTATAAACCTTACCCAATGCATTTCCAAAAGCTTGCAATCCTTGCCCTGAGTGGCCTGGCTGTGGCACACCCTGGGTCCCACGAGCATGGCTCGTACTCAGTTGCCTCGAAGAGACATTTCCTTCACAACGCGCGCCGCAGCCTCGACCTCTGCGGGAATCACCTCGACAAGCGCGGCATCAATGAGCGTGCTAAGGCCCGCCGTGCTGCCGTTGTCGAGGCAAATAAGAAGCGTGCAGTTCTAGCCCGTGATCTGGACAAGGTCGTCAACACGTCGCACCACTCTAGTCTGGACGTGACCTCGAGCACCTCCGAAACCGAGCTGTTTAACGCGAACCCAACTTGCATCCTCGCTCCCGAAGGAGAGGTCGGCCCCTTCTGGGTCAGCGGAGAATTGATCCGGAAGGACATTCGTGACGACGAGCCAGGCATTCAATTGATCCTTGACGCCCAGTTTATCGACATCAACACCTGCGAGCCCATCGAGAACCTCTACTGGGATGTGTGGAATTGTAATGCCACTGGTGTCTACTCCGGCGTGCAGAGCAGCATGAATGGAAACGGCAACGATGCATCCAACCTGAACAAGACCTTTGCTCGTGGGCTCCAGAAGACCGACTCGGAGGGCGTGGCCCAATTCAACACTCTCTTCCCTGGCCACTACTCCGGCCGTGCCACCCACATCCATGTTATTGCCCACACCCAGGGCCATGTTCTTTCTAACAACACCCTCACTGGTGGGCAGATCTCGCATATCGGTCAGCTTTTCTTCGACCAAGACCTCATTACCAAAGTGGAGGCTACCTCTCCATATAATGAGAACACGGTTGCCATCACCCAGAATGCGAATGACCACGTCGTCCAAGTCGAGACTGCGAGCTCCGACTCGGATCCTTTCTTCGAGTACGCTCTACTTGGCGATACCGTTGAGGATGGAATCTTCGGCTGGATCACTCTGGGTGTCAACACCAGCGCTAGCCACGACTCGGATGCTTCGTATGCTGCCACTCTTACTGCCAACGGTGGTGTGTCTAACTCTGCATCCGGCTCGGGCAGCATGTTCTAAGATTGAAGAGCCCTTGGTTGTTCCACTGGAGACAACAGGAGGGTTTTAAGTCCTTTGGGTAAGGTCCCGTATATATTCTTGGGCTTTCTTATCACCACTTTCTCTTTATTTCTTGATACTCTGCGTATACTGTATACATCTATTGGACTCCGGCTTAAATTTCAAAATTCATTTGGCCAAATCTATCGCTACCACACAAGAATATACTAGCACAAGCGAAAAAAGGCGGTGAACAGTGTAATATAGCCACTTTTTCCCGCTTGCTTTCCTACTAGAATGACTTTTTGGAGAGCTTTGATTAACCAACGAATGAGATAAGCATTCTAAGCTTCAGGTAATCAAGATTCAAGCTAAGAGTGTGTGCCTAGGTATATTCCAAGGTTTCAATTTGAGAAAATCCCCCATAATAGGAAAACCCCGTAATGATACATATTTATCAGCCAGCTTTAAGTACTGGTATATCACGTAATATGTTCTCGGACAACACTATAAGGTGCTGTGGTCCAATGGTTAAGATGACTCGTTGTGGCCGAGTTGGTCCCGGTTCGATTCCGGGCAGCGCCATTTTGTTTTTTTCTTTGTCCTTGAACTGCTATTCTACATAGCAGTACCAGACCTCATTGTCATTCCTGATCTTCGTGAAATTCTCACTCTCAATAGACGTTCGAACCTTATATGACACCTTAACTTGTCAGTACTGATATTTCTTACTACAACCTTGACCGCGGAAATGTCCCTCTTGGCTGGAACATGAAAATGGTCTCCAACAGAACCCGAGTCAAACTTCTGGATCTAGAAAATCTTGTTAGTTTTATATTCATCACCAAATCTAATGCTAAACTTACCATTCCAACAATACTCGCGTAGGTACTGCACCCAATAATAGTGATGCCGATAACAAATACGATGCCGTTGCAAACAGAGCTTTTGATGTTTTCACGATCGTACCAAGCGCCTTCTTTGAGGAGGACGAACCACATAACAGGTGGGAGATAGAAAATAACAAGTATCGCGCCGCTAACAAACATGACGAGTATAGCTCCAAATCCACCCATCATGAGACGTCCAATGTCAACGTAGTGTGCAACTGCTGGAAATTCGAGTTTCACCTGGCCAATGATGAGACTTGTGTAGATTGCAATGAAACCGATGCCGATACAGACAAGGACACCTGCAACCATCCCGAGAGAGGCGAAAGCAGCAGGCAGACTAAGGCTATCCAAAGCGATTGCGTTGATGATTAGGATTACTGTTACACATTTCCATCCTAAGCGATGGAAGTGAGCATCTCCCTCGATGATCTTCTGCATTTCGGAACCATCTTGAATGACATCCGTTCCTTCGGGCATGACGCCATGGAGGTTGTGGGATCCGGGTCTGTATTGCTCTTCTTTCCAAGAAGTTCTTGTCGGTGCAAGACTCGTTACAATGATTCATTCTGCGAGGATCTTCTTGTATTTCGCGAGTAACTTGCCGATGATTTGGGTGAGTCTCCACGAAATCGCTTGGCTGTAGTTATGTCTGGAAGACACCGAGAACTAAGTGAGATTTAGTCGGTTGAGTCCAAAGAATCGGGGTCCAGGAGAATCATAATCTTCAAGGGCGCTAGTAATATACCCCTTGCTTCTGGGGTTACACAAGGCTGGGAGTAGTTCCGCAGGACTAGTCTGCATTCTGGTTTCCCAGGATATGAGAAATTCCAGCTTACCATCTCGATTCACAATATTTAACGCATATAAACCTTGGAAAACAATTCCTTTTTGAGATAAAAGCGATACTAGTGTATTTTAGACATCGCAATAACCGCATATTTTCTTACAATTGGCCGTTATCCCCGCTCTAGTAAGATGCGGCTAAAGAGGAACTTAAGAGTTTCACGTTAGTTTACTCCTATCATAAGATGCGTGAAAGACTAGTACAAAACTTGAATAAGCTAGTATTCGTAGCACTATAACTTAGAATCTTGGAAATGATTAAATTTGGAAGGGAAATATTCAGGGTATTAGTGCTCGAACATCAACTAGAGCATTGTTTTGTTGGAAAGTGACTCAGCCCTTCGGCCAGCGTATCAGCGCAAGAAAACAAAACCTTTGGAAGCCATTCAAGTTGGAAGCAAGATAGCCATACATCGGACAGGGCCGGATCATAACATTTCTCGGCGAATAACCCTCCAACGGCCATTGCAAAACATTATATTCTTTCTTTCACCAGCGGTCCAAGCATGTCGAGATTTATAAAAGAAAACTTGCACTCCGTATCAAGACAAGTAGAGATGGGACTTGTCACCTCAATAGTAGGCCAGCTATCCCTGAAAACGAAACCTATTTAGAGGGACCAAAATCCACAAGACAAGCAAAAAAGAGAATGGCGCTGCCCGGAATCGAACCGGGACCAACTCGGCCACAACGAGTCATCTTAACCATTGGACCACAGCACCTGATTAAGTGATCGTCAGGCTCAATCTTTATCCTTAGCCTATTATTTCCTCATGTTGGAATTTCACCAAAAAAGGCGAGAGAGCTGCAAGTGGTCCCTATTTGATCGGATTTGCATTACTTGAGGAGAAGAGAAAGAAGAGAAAGAAGAAGAGAAAGAAGAGAAAGAAGAAAAAGAAGAGAAAGAAGAGAAAGAAGAGAAAGAAGAGAAAGAAGAGAAAGAAGAAGAAAGAAGAGAAAGAAGAGAAGGAAGAGAAAGAAGAGAAAGAAGAGAAAGAAGAGAAAGAAAGAAGAGGAAGAGGAAGAGGAAGAAGAAGAAGAAGAAAGAAGAGAAAGAAGAGAAAGAAGAGAAAGAAGAGGAAGAGGAAGAGGAAGAAGAAGAAGAAGAAGAAGAAGAAGAAGAGGAGGAGGAGGAGGAGGAGGAGGAGGAGGAGACTAAAACTAAGTACAGGTTGATATTACAGGTGAATGCCTGAGTGGGTGCTATCTGTGCTAGTAACAGCCCTGCTTACTTACAGAAATACTAGTATGTCACGGTTCCATGGAACTCTGAATCGAGAAAGAGATCAGGGTATGGAGTGTATTTCTGACATGTACCGCGAGTTAAGAGAGTCCAAAACATACTATTTCTGGTCTCTTCAGATCTTATAGTGCGCTCGAAGGATATTATCATAGTATGGGACGACCACGTAATTTGGATCATCCGTAAGTCCAACCATTGCAGTCGTAATTGGATGAACCGGCTTGTGATCCACAAGTAAATTAATACAACTCGGTCCTGGCTGGGATTGGAGCTTCGAGACTGTGCTCTGGATATCCGCAATGCGGGTTGATTTTGCAGCCGCATTTTGCAATCCAGTAGCTACGACGTCATATTCGGTTCCAGAACTGAGAGAACTGACAGGTCGTGCTGGATGTTCCGTCCCATATACCAAGTCCTGTCCATTGATACTCATTCCCCATTGGAAATTGTTAACCACGACAGTCATGATGTTGAGGTTGAAGCGCTTGTATGTGTCGAGCTCCATTAGATGAAAGCCAGCTGATCCATCACCCTGCACGTTTACTACTTTTCGCTCTGGGGCAGCAATCGCCAAGCCGAGTGAATATCCAAATCCATTCCCAAGGAAGCCGAGGTATCCTGTTGCTGTCATCACTAGGCTTGGTTTCGATTGCCATGCATTATCACCGACCCAAGCTGATGCCTCGCCACCATCCAAAACAATTATGCTGCCCGGTTCGAGGGCCGAAATCACGTTTTTCACGGCGTGGTATGGGTGCAGACGACCGGAGCCTGTTTCCTCGGCTTCTTTCTCAAATGGTGACTCCGCAGAAGCTAAGTCGAGTACAGCCTGAACCCACGATTTGTCCACACTTCCTGAAAAGGACTCTCCGATCTTCTTCGAAAACGCGGAAGCGAAAGTCCCAGCATCACTCACGATGCCAAGGTGAACGGAAAGAGTGCGACCAATATCGCTTCCATCGCAGTCAATGTGAATAAGCTTGCAGTTTTCTTCGGGGATAATAGCAGAGCTGCGACCACCAAGGAACATTCCAGTCCGAGCACCAAGCAAAATTATGAGGTCTGGACGAGCGAGTTGCACAAAAGGGAGCTTCGCCAGTGTTCCCGCAGTCCCATTAGCAAGCATTCTAGATTGGGGACTATAGCTTGCGAATTTGGAGGTATTGAAAATCGGGACATTGCAAGATTCAGCAAGCTTGATGATGTCCTCGCGTGCCTAGAAGCGGTTAGCCTTGGGCATAGTGGACCAGAATTAGATGACGGCGATCACCTGGGGGCTCCTTGCGCCAGTTCCTGTAATTATTACAGGTCGTTCGGCCTGGGCTAAAAGCTCAGCTGCGGCTTCAACCGCAGCTACATGCGGAGCCGGAGGAAAAGAGCGAGGCGAGGTGATTGAACCCCAAGATATCAATTTCGAATGAACCGGCGAGAAAAGAATATCAATCGGAAAGTCAAGGAGAACAGGACCTGTATAGAGTTTTAGTGAGATGGATATCTAATCAGATCTTCAGGCTTACCTGGTGCTCCAGATTGAGCGACTCGAAGAGCATGGGATACAAGGCGCGGAGTTTCTTCGGTCGCAACTACACGATGGGCGAATTTGGTGAAAGGTCGAGCTGCAACAACCTGATCGATTGAGCCTTGAAGAGAATTGTTCTCGGTGTCGCGAATTGGAGGAGAAGAAGTTATACAAAGAATTGGGCTCCGGTCACCATATGCTGTCGCTAAGCCAGGAAGTCCGTTCGAAAACCTATTCAATTATCAGATTGGCATTGAAGATAACCCAAGAAGCATACTCACCCACTGTTCGCAGTCACAAAACTGACTGCCGGTTTCGTACTTGCACGAGAGTAGCCTTCCGCTGCTTGAACAGCTACTGTCTCATGTCTGGTATCAACTAGCCGGATACCGATAGCTTCGCATCCCATTAAAAATGCATCTAGATGACCACCATGAAGGCCAAAGACAACCTCGACGCCGAGGTGTTTGAGGGACTGTGCGAGTAGATCACCGCCAGTGAGCTCACGTCCTGGGGGCTGATGGAGTGCAAAGCCAGGCATCTTGTATTTAACAACTAGAAATTTGAAAAATAGGGTTGCGAAGTCCCTTGGACTACGAATTTCTGACGAAGACCGAAGAGTATTTATCCTTTAGTAAAGTCGATCGGTTAACCTGAATCATGTACCCGAATGTGGAGAAGGAGGGGGTGAGCGATGTACAATGATCACATTGGACTACAGTGCGGAGCTTACACACACAATTCTGACAAATGGTCCCTAATTGAACTCTCTAGCCATCACTAATATAGTTTCAACACTAATTGCGGTACAAATCCTCAAGAACTTGTTAAAAGGCTTTCAACTAGTGATACGAATCGCTGGTATAAGTAAGATCTGGAGTGCTTTATCCAACCCCTTATTTGTGATAGAGCTCTGCTTCTCTAAGCTTGATCATTACCCGCTCTTCATTGTCCGCATTCTCCAGCATAGCATTGGTACAGGCTAGAAGTCCCCCATCGGCTTTATTAATCTCTCTATAATGGCCTTCCCAGCTATAGATAACCTCGCCGTGTCGTTCGGGGTCTGCAAAAAGCAATACAACGCTCCGAGCAACCACCTCCGGGCTTTGTACACAAGCACCCAATGATTGAAGTATATCGCCAGGAACTATCCTGGTGGCTGTCCACGAGGGCGCAATTGCATTCAAGCGGAAACCTTTCTCCTGGAGTTTGGAACCCATGCCACGTATCATACCGAGAACACCGTGTTTGGCAATGGTATAATCTCCAGCGGAGAAATTCTGGAACGATGAAGCAGAGGCCGCTAGAACAATGCTACCACCAGCCCCATCAGGACGTTGGCTTGCAAGTTCGCTCATGTAAGCCGACGCCAATCTGGTGGTATAGATTGGCCCTAGAAGATTGACATCAATGGTCCTAAGTTTTGGGGGCTCGAGCTGCCCATTCTCGTCAAGAGTAACGTCCAAAAAGCTGGGGTATGTTAAGCCGAGCTTTCATGCATCGGGTATTATGCAGAACTTACTCGGTTGTCGGGCCTACGCCTGCGTTGGCAAAGACATGATCAATTCGACCAAACAATTTGTTTGCTTCATCAAACATAGATCGAAGGCTTTCCCAGTCTGTCACATTGACAGTCAAGAACTTGAACTTTTCCGCATTTTCAAGTTCGGGGTCAGGGGCATTCAGGTCGCCAACAACAACAGTTGCGCCGAGATTAAGACACAGCTGAGCGGTAGACCTTCCAATACCAGAGGATCCGCCTTAACAGTGAGCAAGTATTAGTTTTAAGTGAATAGACTATCTTACCAGTAATCAAAATGACACTGTTTCTGATATTTGCAAATTTCTCATCACTGATCTCGAGATTTTCCATTATGAGTGACTTCTGGGTGATAAATGTTAGCTTGCAGGATAGGATGGGGGGGCCTATTAATACCGAGGAAGTAATCCAGAGGCCGAGGCAGCATAAATTGCAAAGCTGACGGCCTTCATTAAAATTGCATTGCCGATCATCCGAGTGTAACTTAAAAGATGATTTCTCCGCACTTTGGCTGTGATCTTCTGGTGGGGCTGTGCAGGGAGACGTATTTACCCCTCGTTTTAGAAATAGACTCGGACTTTGCGCGCATGCTGGAAAGTGGGCAGTGATCATATGTGCCTAGTAGTATGCAGGTCGCGTCAGTTATTAGTTAGAAAGTCCATTGGCTCGTAAATAGATACTGTAGACATATAAAAATACACCCTCGAATTAGTAATTCATTCCAAAGCCAACTCATCATATTGATCGACATTGTATATTGCCCATGATACTTAGTTACGCTAATAGTAATAATACCAGAGCTAGTATCACGATATAATTCCATTCAATCTTTAAACTGAAAGGTATTCCAACATCTTTTCTCGTGCTCGCTCTGCCTGACCCTCCACATCCAAATCCCAAAGCCAACGTAAGCGTTCTTGGAACGTTGTTTTGAGCTTCTCCTCGTCATCATGTACACCATCTAAGCATAGACAAAGAATGTAAGCATTTTCTTTACTGCTCGTCACAACTCGTTGGCTACGGGGCCGCCTGATCTCATCATACGCCTTGAATGCGGCCACAACCTGCTCCGTAGATTTAACTCGAATATCTCCGAGTAACTCAGAAAGAACATGTGCATCTTCAATAGCTTGCCCGGCGCCGGCGCCTTGATGTGGAGTAGAAGCATGGGCAGCGTCGCCGAGGATCGCTACTCGTGAGCGGCAGAATGTCGAAATATGCGGATGCTCGAAGATAGCCCATTGTGAGGGATCGGGCATGTACTTTTAGTTGAATCAGTTTGGATGGTTGACAAGTAATATAATAGCTGGTCACTGGCACATACCTCAACGAGTGACTTCACATATCGACCCATGCTTTCGGCATCACGTTTCATTTCCTCGCGCTTTGCAGGCCGAACCCAGGTATCACAGTCCCACTTCTCACTCAAAACGTAAAGCCCTACATTCACCTTTTGGGCACGCATAATGGGGTATGAAATGCCATAAGCCCCGTCTCCAATATACATCGTTGATACCCTGGCACGTTGATCCCCAACCGCTTTTACCATATCATCCATATCCAACACGGCGCGATAACCATACATACCACTATACTTTGGCTGGGCATATTGAGATTCCTCCGGCAACATTGACTCTTTCACCTTCGACTTGATCCCATCACAACCAACGACAACATCAGCAGTCGCAACCGTCCCATCATCAAACTGCAGCTGAACACCATCCCCGCCTTCAACAAGACTCTCCAACCGTTTCCCAAACTGCACAATCTCAGGCGGGATTAATCTAACCAGGGCATCGAGGAAATTCGCCCGACGCAAGGTCGTCTGACCAGACGGAAGAGCCTTCAAATCCATCAAAAGATCCCCCTCTTTCAACCCACTAGCCCAAATGATTTCAAACCAGGTCTGTCGAAATTTCTCATAGCCAGGACTATCAGCATGTGTAGTGACCAGGGAGTCGTAAATTTCACGGATCTGAGGATCGATCAGCGGCATGGCGCGATGAGCTGCAGGTCCAATCGAGAGTCCTAGGCCGATCTCTGCGAATTCGCCCGCGGCTTCGTATATGCGTACGGGGACATTTCGGCGGAGTAATCCTGCTGCCAGGACCAGGCCGCCTATTCCTCCACCGATGATGGTGACGGTGAAGTCCTTCGAGGAGGAACCCATAGCTAGCCCTGTGGGTGGGATGGAATTAAGGAGAAGGGTTCAGTTGATTATCCGTCCACGGGTAGTAGGGATGATTTGAAATTGAAATGCACTGAGACGGGGACACGGAAATTACTCTCTACCGCAAATGATCATTGGAAATCCCATGGATTGCGGGGTTACTTATCACCGCGGGGGAATCAATACGAGGACAGAGCGGAAGGGAAGCATTGCAACCCTGGAGAATAAACGGGTTTAGGCAAGAATATATGTCAGGAGGGAATTTCTGTTGTATATTCAAGTACTGCAGTTCTGTATATTTGATCCAAGGCAGCCAAGTCGCACTGGAAAGCCTCCTTTTGCCCCTTTTACAGATTTGAGTTCTTCATCACACGCGAGGCCCAAGACCCACCCTTGGCCCAACAAGCTTTCTACTCGTATTTACACATTGCCTAGCTGGAATCAGTTTAATGAGGGTTGATAGATAATATTTATAAATTGTTCATTGAGTGAATACATATGTCAAAAGTGGTATTGTAATGAATAGCCATTATGTTATCGAAGAAAATCGCGATCCTGCCGCGGTTACAGATGGAATTTATTCCATAGATCCCCTCCTCGAAGTCAGAGCAAGGGGATCCGGACTTTCTTTCTCTTTCTGATGAAAGATACTTGTCCATTTCGTCCATTTCGTCCATTGTCGGACGGTCTCCTGGAGGTGGAACTCAGAGTGGAAGACATCGGATGGGAGAAAGACAAATCTCAATTTCAGCACTGAATGAAATCATGCCAAGGGAGGATGCAGTGCAGCTGCCACTCCGGGCCTCAAGAAATATACTTGGCAACAAGTACATACTGCCGTCAAAAACCGTGTATTAAAGATAGAAGCCCCGAAAGATAAGCGAGTTCCGGCAATTTTAGAAAAGAAATTAAATCATGGACGGGGCCACTGTTCGCTGTCCATGCTCCCACTTGGGTGGAGAAAATGGATCATCAACATGCCCATGTGGATCCCAATCTGAGGCATTATCGTAAGCAATGTTTTGCTTTTCATCCGGCCGGATAGGTGACGATGAATCCGAGTCGTCTAGAGCACGGCGGAATCGAAGAAATTCCTGTGAGTCAACGCTGTGGATTGGATACATTGTGCCGAGCTCCATTGAGTGTAATGCTGCGCGCTGGATGTGGCGGAGATCATCGCGTAGGCCGGAAACCTGGCTTTCAAGATTCCTTCGCGCTGTTTGTTCGCGGCGAAGAAGTGTGACCAAGGTGCTGTATTGCTCGATGGAAACACCGTTGAAATCAGATAAGGATGTAGCGGAAGGGGTGGGTCGGAGGATGCGGGAGTTCATTGTGTCGGGGCGAATGGTGCTGGTGCTTGCTGGTCGCATTGTTGGGAGAGCTGCCAAGGGACTCGGGGATTCATCACGTTCAAGTGACCCAGTGAGCCCAGAGGTCTTATTGCGCAGATTAGGAGTGAGGGAATCGGTAGATGGGGTTTGCCTCTGTCGAGATGATCGTTCTGTGTGCGGGTTCTCATTTGAACTAGCCGAGCTGCTTTGCATCCGAGCTATAGCGAATTCCAAGTCGATCATCTTTACTTCGATGGTATTCAGGCGCTGCTCAACAGTCAGACCGGCGTCTTGTTGCATACTGTGAACTAGACTGCTCATGTTGGGCGGAAGGCTCATTTGCTCCGCATGTTGATCGGATTCGACGAGGGATGGCGTGGCCGACGCACGAGTGACACTAGTCACTGTTGTCCCGGTAGACGGTCTAGCAGAGGGGTCGCTCGCTGTGCTCGCTTCAAGAGGGGAAGTTCTAGTCTCTGGCGCGGGAGTTGGCACCGAGGCTGTCCAAGTCGGCAAGGCTGTAGCCGACATTGGTCGCTCAACAACCATTTCCCGCAGAGCATCCGTACTTCTCGACCTTCGTCGCTCTTGAAGAATGCTGCGTCTTAATTGGGGGTCGGACACGTGCGGTCGATCCTCGTGGGGGTCTGAAATTGCCGAAGCAACTGCATAACGAGATTCGTCGTCTGAAAAGATCACACTGGGCAGAGTTGCCCGCCGCCTCCGTGAAGCCACCCCACTCATTCCACCTGAAGTCAAGCAGTCATGACTCGAAGAAGTAGGAGAGAGATGACTTTCCGCAAGATTGAGATTTTCCTCCGACAGCGGACTGCTCCGTTTGGACTCCGAGGGTGTAGGGACCGCAAGAAAGGATTTCCCCTCGACCGGATTCGACTGGCGCCCGTTAGAGGGAGCATAGTAGGACTCGATCGGGCTCTCCTCCACACCATCTGTCTGACTCTGTCTTTTCCTGTTGAATATCTTCCGCATGACGGTTTTTAAAGTGCTACCGGTTCGGCGATGTGCGAGCGGGGCGTGGTGAAAGTTGATCGGGGGCAGTGCGGTATCATATTGGTTCGTCTCCAACGAAAAAGATGCCGGTTCGAAGCGGAGCGTTCTCCGCGCGCGGACGACGATCGTTGGCGAGGACTGCCATGACTACCGATCGACTCGCTCCCGGCACTAGCGATCGACCTCGTTGGATATCTCGACATGGCGAGTTAGAAGGATGGCGGTTGATATTGTTTGAGAAGGTCCACCACGATGATCATTAGAAGGGCAATATCGTCGCAGCACGTGGGTATCAGATCGTCGCAAAAAAGGGAACCCCGGAAAGAATGGCGAGGGAATGAAGGGAAAAGGAAGGATGTAATAAGGTGGTCCTTAATAGAGCGAGTGTCGAGAAAAGAAAAGAAAAAGAAATAAAGGCTGGGTATAAAGCAGTGCCGCGCAGCGGGTGAACGATTCGGAACAAGGCTAGGGGATATCGAGCTGTTTAGTCGAATCGTGAGACGATCGAGACGAACTGGAGGTATTCATACGGTAGTTAGCAAGAGGTCCAGTAATGAATGTGGAGTACAAACGAAAGCTCACGGAAAGTTGAAAGGGTATCTTGAGGATCATAGTTGATAATTGCGTGGCAAGGCACAGTTCCAGTTCCACGGTTTGCGGCGTTTGCCAGTCTCGGGAATGCACAGTTTGGAACCTTGGAACCACGGATGAGATGAGAGGATCGGGAAATATGTAAACAATGTAAAAAGAATAGAGAAAGTGTCGATAGTAATGAATGTAGGTAGAAAAGAAGAGGAAGCTCTGAAGATAAGGAGAAAAGAGAAGACAACCTTGGGAAGAGGAGAAGAGAGGAGAGAGGAGAGGAGAGAAGGTTACGAGAAAAAGCAAAGCTGCTCCAGCGTTAGACCCAAAACCCCACAGTGTTGAATCAAGTTTAGTTGGGATTTCTTATAAATCTGGTTGCACGCCCGTAAAGTTCAGCACTACACCACATCAAGTGGACAAGCTTGGGAGAACACGGAGTAGCCTTGTCCCTCCCACCAACCCTAAATCGCCAGTGCCCGTTCTCAGGTCCAAAGGGGGGAGAAAAAGAAAAAGAAAAAAAAAAAACCTGGAACTCGATAAGGGGACCACAACCAGACAGACATCAGGACCCAGACCCAGGGGCGGGACCCCGACCGAATCAGACGACGACCGAACGGTGGCACTCATTTCAAACGAATGCCGTGCTGGACCCACGACCCGAGACTAAGTGGACCTCACAGATGAACGGCCGTTTTGAACTGCTTCCAGCTGCATCCAGAATTGCCCCCCGAAAAAGCAGCGATCACCCCTGACTGGCCCCCGAGGGCACTCCTAGGATAAGCTTCTTGGTGCTGCCCCCGTGGAAGAGGCGTTCATTCTTCGCCCCCCTCGTCATCGGAGGACCATGAACGAGGTAGCTGCATGTTCGGTCTGAAACACCACATGGTACGCTGTTGATCGCAAGATTCCAGTCGCCGCACAGACGTTTAACTGTTGGAAGTTCAAGACTGCCGGTTGCACAAGACGGTGCCTAACAGCTCAGCTGAATATGTGAGACGCCAAAGTGCCACGAAGACAATTAACCTCTTTCTTCTCGTCCTCGAATCGCAACTGCCATTGCCATGGCCAACTCAAGAGTGTCGTATCATCAGGCTCTTCCATTTCTCCCTCCTATCGCGGATCGGGAGGCCATGGCCACTGGTTCTGGCCGGCCTGCCCCTCACGCTGCACCGCTTCCAGTAATCCATCTCCGACGACTCCGCGAGATCTTCCTTCAGGCGGGATCTCGGGATCTCCAGTGGAGGTTGGCTGTGTGTCTTGAAACGTTCTCGTGTTCTTACCGCCTGCGTGTCTCGCACGACACGGCTCGATGCACCATTTTTCGGGACGAGGGGGGGTTTTTCGTTCAAAGAATCTACCGGACATCCGAGCTTGATTTGTCCGGTGTGCTATGGCTATGGCTATGGGTGTTCAGTACGGTACTCCCGATCATACGCCTTTCCCTGACGGGGCCAAGAAATCTGGTCGGGCACCGTCGTTGTTACAGTATCTCTAATCGGGTCCAATATCCCTCTGCTGTGCGCTGTGCTGTGCTGTACTGATCCTCTGCCGATGACCGTCCCTCCCTGGCTATGTTTAGAGAAGATCACCCGCGTCTGGGTATCGCAAGTCGGCATTTTCCTCCAGATAATCCATCCAATGTTTGAGAAAGCTGCTACCCCTGCAACACGGCAAGAATATTGATTAACCTCTAGACCGATCACAAAATGCACAGACGTTCCAACTCAAAACTTACCGGCTAATTGTGTCAGAGTCCCCGCAGATGCAAAGATGCCGCTTGGGGCGTGTCATAGCCACTAACAATAGCCCCGCGTTAGCCTCGCCATGCACGGGACGTGGGTCGCATGGATCAGGTAGTGTAGGGGTATGGCTAGCCACGGAGTATAGACTAGGCAGGGACAAGCTTACCATTCAGACGTCGTTTCTCACCAAGGAAACCCACCTCATGCTCCGCATTGCTGCGGACTAGACTCACGACGACGGCTTCCTTTTCACGACCTTGAAATCCATCCACACTGCCAAGCTCGAGGCCTGGGTGTTTCTCCCGTAGCATCTGAGACAGCACCGACAACTGCCCGTTGTATGGGGTGATCACGGCAATATCTTCAGGCTTGATACCTGCTTCCACCAGATTATCCACATGTCTGGCGACCACCATAGCCTCCATCTCGTTACTTTTACTCTCACCAAGTAAAGCCTCCTTCTGACCGATCTCTTTGTCTTCAGCTTTCTCGGGGAAGTCTCCACCCTGTGTGTCCCAGAATACGAGGGGTTCTTGTGTATCATCCGTACCCTGAGTTTCATATGGAAGATCTGCTAGTAATCGTGATTTGACCGCATCGCCGGCCATTAGTTTCGACTCGTAGAGTTCATCGGATGGGAATCGCATGATCTTTTCGTGCATGCGGTACTGGGTGGTTAGCATTCGCTTGATCTGCGACCCATGTAACGACAAGAGGCGATCGAAGAGGGTCCGTTCGAGGGAGACACCCTTCAATATCTCTTTCTTGGGACCGTCATCTTTCTTCTCTGCACCGGGCTTGGATTTCAAATTCGTTGATTTGACAGTAGGCGGCAATTGCAAATGATCACCCGCGAAGATAACCTTGTCCGCAGATATCAGAGGGATCCAGCACTGGGCTTCCAGCGCCTGGCTGGCCTCGTCAATGATCACCACGTCGAAGTTTTGATTCTTCAACTGGTGTCCACCAGCACCGTGCAGAGTGGCAACAGCAACACTACTTTCCCGAACGAGATTATCCACACATTTAGACTCTCGTTCTCGGAATTCCTTGCGCAATTGTTTCAGGTCGTCGTAGATCGCTCTTCTTTCCCGTCCCGTTCGTGTTTTGCGAATGCTAGCTTGCTTGTCATCGATCTCCTTACGGACATCCTTGACAATACTGGCAGCGTCCGATGTCTGCGTGAGAACTTCGAGGGAATGTTCCAAGACAGAAGGGAGAAGGCGGGCGGGATGCCCGACTCGTACAACCGGTACTTTCTTCGGTGCCAGTCGCTCAACGATATTATCGACCGAGATATTAGACGGACCGCAGACCAATATCCTCTTTTTACGCTGTACCATCTGCATTATAAGCTCAATGATAGTATGTGTTTTTCCCGTGCCCGGTGGGCCATGGATAAGTGCAATGTCTTTAGTAGCCAAGGCAAATCGGATGGCATCTTTCTGCGAGTCGTTCAGGGTGGGATCGCTGAATTCAACAGGACCTATATCCTCATAGTCCGGCTGTAGAGGGGTTGTATGGCCGAAAGCAACGCGCATGAAGTGTGAATGATCCGTTTCAGTCATCTTGGCCATCTTCTCCATCGTCTGCCTCATTCTACGTGGAGTTCAGTCAGTATACTCTCTCTTTTGGTATGAGTGGAAACAAACCGTCTATAAGTAACGTCATTGGCGAGTTTCATCCTGCAATGCAATTAGCACCTTAACCCAGTTGCAAAGGTAGCGTAGATCAGCACATACGCCCACAACTTCTTTCCCCAAAGCTCCTCAATAGCTTCATCGTCCTCCTTCGAGGTTCCACCTCCTTTCCCTTGTTGTCCAAACGCAATCCAAATAGCTTTATCATTGACACGAGTAACCACACCTTCGGGGCCACTCTTATCCTTTTGCTCCTTCGACCCACCATCTTTGCCCTTATCTTTACCGATCTTCTTCGCATTCCCCGCAGAAACGTCGTTCACGCGAACCACATCCCCAACACGAATGCCATGAGAGCCCAGCCGAGGCTGACCATCAGATGCGCGATCATTGTCCGATTTTCCCGACGAGACGGCCGGGTCTGGGGCGAATTCGCCGACAACGCGTCCGCCGAGACCGGTGCGGCACTGTGATAGCACGAGGCCTGTCAAGGCATAGCCTGTAGCTTGTAATGTGCGCCGAGTAGCTGGGGACACGGACGCAGCTGTTGTTGCGAGGGAGGAAGAGGAGACTTCGGCTTCGTGTTCGAGGAGGAGGAGCTGGAGCTGGGTTTCGACGAAGTGGGGGATCGAGATTGGAGTTGGAGAAGCCATTGCGTTGGCTGGGGAGGTTCGAGGAGATATAGCTATATGAGACGTGGTCGTTTCGGCATAGGAGACTCTCTATGTATATTGAAAAATCTCAGGAGGCAGCGACTGGGGGGGATTGCGCTGAGCTGTGCAGTGGTTCGGCGATAAAGAGAAGCTATCAAATAACCTATCCGGCGGGGTGACTTCATCGGTGGGGTTAGTCATCTTATAGATCTTGATCTTGATCAACGAGAAACAACCTCGTCAGGAACTTGAAAGAAAATATCCAGTAAGATACAACTTATATTATAACAATTATTGCTTAATATACAGCGTTATATATCCAAAAATTAAGAAAACTACCGGCAGTCCCTCTCCTATCATACAGCTTCAATCTTGACCTTGGGTTCCTCGTTACTCTCCTTCTCCTTCGCCTTCACCTTCACCTCTGCCTTAACTGGCGAAGCAAGGCCCCTAACCTCGCTCTTACAAAGCTTCGTCCCAGCAAGGTAACACTCCCCACATCTCCGTTTCACCGGTAAACAAACGGTCTGCCCGAGCCCAACCAACAGTTTATTAATCTCATGCCACTTATCGCGCGGGAGCCACGATTGAAGCGCCATACGAGTCTCCTCGGGATTCTTGGTCTTATTCCAACCCCAGAGATTGGTGATACGGTGGACGTGCACATCGACACCGATCCCCTCATGCTTACCCCATGCCGCACTCATGCAGAGGTAAGCCATTTTCGGACCAACGCCTGGCAGGGACATGAGTCCTTCCGGTGTGGACGGGATATCGCCTTCGAATTGGTCTCGCAGGATGAGTGCGGCGGATTTGATATATTTGGTTTTATTGTTGTGGAATCCGACTTTCTCGATCAATTCGTTGAGTCGCGTGGGTGATACGGTGAGAATGTTGTCCAGATTCAACGTGCTATCCTTTGTCGGCTCGGGTTTCGCCTCCGCGTCTTCAAGCTTGATCTTGACTTCCTCCTCCAATTTGACTTCCGCTTTGATATTTGGATCCTGCTCGCCGAGTTCCGTGTGTAGTCGTTGCATCGCGACGGCCGTGACGGTATCTTTCGTTTGAGATGAGAGCATCAGTGCGACGAGGGTCTGAAACCGACGGTCCTTCGGCGAAGATGCTCTCCAGTACAATTCTGCACAGCCCATCGTATCGACCGGTGCAGTGGGATTATCCTCGCGCATCTTTTTCACAGTGTTATACATTGTCTCCCAATTTGACGGAGGCTCCACGACAACGGTCCCATCCGCGTCTCTCCTTTTCCGCGCAGGCATTCGTCGGGCCTTGGCCGGGGTACTTTTCACATCCGGGTCATCCTTCACGGTCGGCTCCTTTTTCACGGCGGGCTGGCGGGCTTGGGATTTCCGGGGTGTGCGAGTCTGTGCTGGCTTGAGAGGACTGGTATTGCGTTTCTGACGTTTCGTAGGGGGCTCGATGAGATCTTCAATGTCGGCAGTGTTGGCGGAGGAAAGTGAGGACTCATCGTCACTTCTCGCAGGGGAGAGTTGTGCAATTGTCGGAATTGACTCGGTCTTGATGGTTGAGTCACCAGTGAAAGCGAAGTTGCGCAGCGCACTCGGATGGAGCGAGGAGTTGCGTGTTGAGCGGCGCGCCGGGGGCGACAGTGCCTCCAGGACCTTGGCTGTATCTCTAGAAGCCCGTGAAGTCCGCATGGCGGTGCGTAGCTGGGAATTCGGATGAAGGTGGAATCAGCAACCAGGAAACTGGAATTGGAAATGCAAATTCACATGTGGAGAGATGATCCATGGATGGACAAGGATGGACATGGGGCAAAGTTCCCCAGCCTCGGCGACGATCCCGCTGACCTCCCCAACTTCCAAACTTCCAACTTCCAACGTCGCCGAGGTCGCATTCCCTCCACATTACTCCCTTCCTGCCCTGCGCTAGCCACATTCCATTCCACCATGGCAGCTCAAACCACACAACGGCTCTTGCGAGAGCTGAAGGATTATACCAAGTCGCCGAATGAGTCGCTGTTACACCTCGGCCCGGTTGATGAGGAGGACCTCCTGCGGTGGGAAGCAGTTCTTAAGGGCGTGAATGGCTCCCCTTACGAAGGTAGGCAGATCCAATCGCGCAAACACCACCACTGCAGCCATATTCTCCTCTTCTCCTACTTCAGGCCAAGGCTAATACTACTGCTATTACAGGCGGCCTCTGGCACCTCCGCATCGCGATTCCTCCAAACTACCCCCTCGCCCCGCCAACAATCCACTTCACAACTCGCATTTCGCACCCGAACATCTCCTTCACGACCGGCGAAATTTGCCTCACTCTCCTGACGACCGAGCACTGGAGTCCCGTCTACACGCTCTCCTCCACCCTCACCGCTATCCAACAACTCTTGACAGACCCACAACCTGACTCCCCGCTCAACGTCGATGTGGCCGCCCTCCTGCGCGATGGTGATATCGCTGCGTGGGAAAGCGTGGTGCGGTATTGGACCGGTGAGGAGCGTTGGAATGGGGCTGGAAACCTCGGTCGGTGATTGGTAGATGATTGAGATGATTGGAGAGATGGTTGGTCCTGATCCTAGTTGTGTTTCCCGTTCCTCGCCATCAAGATACAATGGCAGGGCGAGAGGCCATGAACCCGATTGATGGATATTTGGACGTGATTGTTTTATTGGTTCAACTAGTTGGCACTGGTCATGCCTGTGGCGCGTACATACATGCATACATACCCCGCTGCATACTTGAAGATATACCTCGACTAATTATACAGTGCAACTGCAATTACATTATGATTATTAATACGCATTGTGAGAATTTGAAGCATTGTGGTAAGAATAATTGGCCAACCAGGCCGAGAGAACTCCATTTATGTGACGCCGTAAACTGAAGTCTAATCACAAGAATAAATCCTAAAATCTTAAAAAAGTTTGCGTCCGCAGCCGGTGGAACGGAGTGGGATAGAATAACAATAGATAACAATAGACACACCCTGTAGGTCACGGTGATAAGGATAAACGCCATAGAGTAAGGAGAGGCATAAGTTGGTCGTAAGGATCGTGATATGACAATCGTCATTGGAGAGAATTGCTGATGCGAGCTGAACATAGGCTAAACGAGAGATAGACTGGATAGATGCGATCGAGAGATGAAGTCCACCATGACCGGATGGAATTGGATATAAACCCAAGGTTTACAGAGCCATGGCGACCACGATGGCGCCGCCAACCATGGCAGCAACCTCGCGAGTGAGACCGGCGTTGGGCAAGGCGGCAGCACCGGTTTGCAGACTGCCTTGACCGGCTCCAGTGGTGGTTGCGTCCGAACCGGTCGGGTGCACCTTGATGATGGTGGTGGAGGTCAGAGTGCTCACGTCACCATTGGGCAAAGTGGTGGTGGCCTTGAAGACCGAGGTAGACGAGCTTTCTTGGGCGGTGGTGGTGTGGGTGTTCTCGGTAGAAGACGAAGAAGTGGTACTAGTCGTGGTCGATAGAGTAGTAGCCGATGAGCTGGAGGGAGCTGAAGACGACGATGACGACGACGACGACGACGAGGAAGAAGAAGAAGAAGTCGTGCTGGTGGTGGTCGGAGCGGTGGAAGATGAAGAGGATGAAGAGGTAGTGGGTTGCTCAGTGGTGGTTGGGGTAGACTTGGTGGTGGTGGTGGTGGAAGTGGGGACATTCGAAGTAGTAGGAGTATCGGAGGAAGAGCTTGAGGTCGGGGTGTCCGAGGTAGTGGGTGTATCGCTGCTGGATGTGGTGGGATCGGACGAGGAAGCACTTGAGGTGGGGTCGGGAGTAGCAGTGGCATTGCTCTCACGCTTGACAAACTTCACCAGGCTGGCAATGGATTGATCCTCTTTTTGCAGGGCTTCGGCGGCACTCAGGTCAGTTTCGAAGATGCCGTCGCGGAATTTGTTGGACAGAGCGTGGAGGGCGTCATGAAGGGCATTGCTGGAATGACCTTGGACACCGGCCAGGATACCCTGGTGGGACTCACGGGAGGTTTCATCGTGAGATTCAGTCGCAAAGACAAGCGACAGAAGCATCAGCGAGACGAAGAGCAGCTGGAGAAGGTTGAGACGCGGCATGGTGGAGGTGGAGGTGGAGGTGGGATGGGAGAAGAAGAAGAAGCTGAGATGATGCAGATGCAGATGCAGATGCAGGAGAAAAGAGAAGGAAATGGACAAAGTAAAAGGAAAACAGGAAAACAGGAAAAAAGGCAAGAACAAAGACGTTGAAGTGGATCAATGGTCGCCTAGACTGACTAGAACCAAGTTATAAGTATAACCGGTGCTACTAGTACTAGTGGATGGAGTAGTCCAGAGCTCCTCGGGTGGCGTGGTTCTCTTCTTCCTTGGCTTTGGGAGGATCGGCAATCAAGATCGACTTGACACATTCCATGGAAGAGTGAGTTCCTACATTTATGTTCTCTTTTCTCTCTTTTTTTCTTCTCTCCTCTCTCTCCCTCTCCTCTCTCACTCCCTTACCCTCTCCCTTCCCCACTGCCAACTCCGTGTTCGTGTTGCACCAAATGCGGCCACACAGCCTGTACCTAAGCCTCGTAACCCGCAGACTCCACTTTTAATTGGCTCGGTCTCACTGAAAATCTCAAAATAGCACGAGTCGTGGTGTCATCACATTTCCCTGTACTCTCCAGGTACGGAGTACATCACTGCCAGTGGTGGGAAAGGGGTCTCACGTTTACCATGGCTCAGTCTCCAAATAATAAACAAACACTCGCCAATCTGGGTCCATCCATACCTGTGCAAGAGAAACTTGAAACTGGAAATTCAATTTCAAATCAACTTGATAAGAGACGAGATGATCCACGTCACGCCGGCGCTATCGACTGGCTAGCACGCTACGAACTCCAAACTCAATTTGACGCTGACCCCCGAAGCATCCGAATATCGATGCCGTGAAAACAAACAAATAAGCAGTCAGTAACTAAGAGGAGTAAGAACTTGAAGTGCTTGAAAATGCAGGAATGCTTGAATTGATTCGTTTATACTATATCATGCAATGTATGTACATCGGGCATACTAGCCATTCACCCCCAATGTCCCTCGACTACTACTACTAGTAGTCCCGCCTCCCTTTAGTTTCCAGAATTAAGTATAAGTGTAACACATCCCCCCCGACGTGGGATTCATGACCTCACGAACCTTCCGCGGTCGATCCAACACGCCATATTCCAGCACTGTGTCGAGAGTCACTTGCTTGCCCCACGGTGGATTCAGGATGGTCGTAGTGCCGTTCAGCGCATGCCGCCGAGTCTTCTCGTCGCCCGCTTGCCACTTTGTCCACAGCCGATCGATCATACTGTGATGCAACATGAACGCGGGATCTTGCGGTGATGCAAAGAGATCTTGCATTGCGGCGCCGAGACTGAAATGTCCGCCGCCGTGTGGACCGAATACTCCATCCGGTCGGGCTGGCCAGTGGTCCATTGCCATCTGGAATTGTGTGATGTTGGTCGTTGCCATCAGATTGTCAATAACAGTCTTATTGGTGTACCTTGTGCTATTTTCCTCTTTTAGCAATTGCTCTGATCCCCCCAATGTAAAGTGAGTCTTACATGGGTCATAGGTGCAACTTACGCAACAAAGTGATTCAAGCTTCTGTTTAGACAGCGCGGGTTGTAGTCGAATTTCGGCTCCGGCAACTCAGTCAATGAGACAATGTTCCGGCTGAAGGGTCCGAGGTGGACCTCCAGGTCTCCAAATGGTCCACAGTTCTTTGGCACGCATCCTCCACCAGACCCTCTCGGTATTGTCACATTGCCACCGGATAACGGCTGTTCGTCGGGGTTGTATTCACCGTCGCCAGAAATAGATGAGCTGCTGCAGTCGAAAAGAGGGCTATTCTTAAGATCGTCCGCCCAAAGAGGCCAGTTCCAGTACGGCTGATGGCCCTTATATCCACATTCGTCTCGCAGTGCCTGTTCCCAGAGGTGGATGAACCCGCGGTGCCAGGGGAGGAACAGACCGCTGTAGTGCACTTTCAAGGTCATATTAATATGTGTGCTATCCTAGTGTCAGCATTGGAAGATTAATTCTCGTAAGTGCAGCCTCGACTCACGCGACAAAATCGTCGAATCGGCTGCGAACCCCTGGATAGTCCTTTGTGGGAAGCCTTGGAGGCTTTCGTGTCAGACACTTCACAGCATCGGTATAGTTGATTCGTTCGGCAGCTGGCATCTCTCCCCTACACAATTCGTACAGTTAGTATAGCACAACATGGGTATGAGAGAGGAGGGGGTGTAACCTACCATTCCTTTCGAACGACAGTCCCACTGCGCTCACACGCGTGATGTTTGTACAGGTGAGGAGCAGAGGCAGCGGCAACAACATCTCCAACGACGAGCAAGAGCAAAAATGAAAACGAAAGCCACATCATCCTGTACAGCTATCTTGACCTACCAATCCAGAACATTAAAAACCTTTCCCTCAGCACCTCCTCCTGACAGCGGGCAGAGTCTCTCCTTATAAGAGGTGAAATCCTGAAATAACACCCCACGACCTCGACCAATTAGCCCTCGTAAACAACCAAAACCTGTCTTAATGCCTGTGCCAAAGTCCTCTGCAGTAGCGCTGCTTTAGTGAACCCGCGAAGCATGTTCACTCACAGGCACAGGCACCAGGACAGGGGTTCGGAATTCCCCATTCAGACTGTTGTTTACCACATCAAGCCAAAGCGCATGCGATGTATCTCAGAAGGGAGAGCCCTAATCTTAAAATAAAATATGATTTGCTACCAATTCTTGTTTTATTAGTCGTATAATATGCTTTTTGGCTTGTTCCTTGCAAGGGGTTTGTGGGGGCCTGTGGGGTCCAACAGATGTGACAACTCAGCTCTGGGCGATCCCTCAGGGTCCATGTGGATATACTGCCAGGACGTCCAGTCTATGTACATACGAGTATGCACTTTCGCTCATGGGGCTGCTTAGCGTTGGAATCTAGACTACTCCTGCAGCAAATTTTTCCTTGATGCTCGGCAGAATAAAGGTCTGGTCTTTCTTCGTCTGGGATTATCTGGTCGCCTGAATCGGCCGAGCCTGAAGACGGATTCCAATGTTACCCCTGATTCAAAGTTACGATCGGATTCGGAGATCTCATCGATGACCCTTGGAGGTAGTGAGCTGAGGGCCTTGTTTAGTTCCTTGTACTGGGATGTCCTGGTCCGATTGTCAACTCATTAGTATGCGATATAGTCAGGGCGAGGGGCTCGCGTGACGTGCGAAATGAAGTATAAGAGCATTGAATATAGTATGTCAAGCGGCTTACTTTACTTTCGCGATCGCTCGTGTTCAAGTTGCTCTTGATGATGTGTTTGCTTTTTGCACCAAGCCTAACGGATATATCTTCATGGGGCTGAACAATCTGGGCTTGGTATCTAAGTTCTGCCCAATACTTCAAGGACCAGACCAAACTGGTTAGATCGGAGTTTGGAATGGCTAAGTTACCCGAGACCGTGGACCTCCGAGTCGTATACGTAGTAATATAGACCAGAGTTCTCTTATCATGTAGCACGTAGATGACAGTGTCCAGGGCGAAATGGAAGATAGTTTGCATCGAAGCTCAGCCACGCCGATAAAGGTCTGGATCAAGTCCAAAAAAAATCCATTAATTACGGAACTGAAAGCATCTGAGTCTTTTCTATTATGCGGAAATGCATAATCAGAACTCTGGGAAGAACACACGTTTATCGCATGACTGTCGCCAACCAAAGCCTAAAGCCCAAAGCCCATGGCTGCCTCAAGCTGCGAATTAAAGTTGGGTAAAAACTATCAATCCCACTTGCGCTCAAACACACCCACCCATTCCCCCCACCCAACCACATTGCCCTCAACTGCCTGCGCAATCTCTTGTATTGTTGGCAGATCACTCAATTTGCTCGAATCAATAGGCGCACTGAGCGCGACCAAAGTAAAGAAATATCTGTGCTCGCCATGTCCAAGCAAGGGTCGAGGCGGGATATAGATATTCCCACGCCGATTCTTGCCATATCGGAACCCGCCTTTCAACGCATACTCGCCCTCAGCCTCGAAATCCGCATTCGTGACGGAAGTAGTGGTGGCTGGGATACCATAGTAGATGCCATGAATGATCGGACTTGGCAAGGGCGCGTCGGGATCCTCGCTAACAATCAGGAACTCTTTGGTGTCGGGGATGCAGCGGGCCAGCTGAGCGATGGAAACTGACCGGCCCCTTCAGCCGACTGGTCCACGTGCAATTGCGATCCAGACGCTGTGTCAGACGCGAGTTCGATGGTGGGCTTGGGGATTTTGGCAAATGCAGGGCCTTTGGTGAAAAGCCGTGCGTCGCGCCCTTTTGCGCTGGCGAACAGTCGACTCAGCCCGTATTCGATGTATGCGGTCTGCATAGTGTAAGTAGGTGTTGAAAGGCCGTGCTGAACTTTCGCGTTCTGGCGATCGTGCCCGGTGGTCTTACCATGATGAATTATGGGATTTTTGCAGATAATTTTAAACAGGGAAAGAAGAAAAGAAGCAGGTGAGCGATGAGGTTTCCAGCTCATTTTCAATCTGATGGTGTACCTTGCCGGCAGCGGGCCGGTTACGGCGCGGAATTGTGCCTGAGGATGAAGGCCAAAACAAAACATCCTCATCTCTTGCTGTCTAGTCCAATGTGTCTGTAATCATAGCTTGTACTGTTTGAACTTGAGCTTATCTCTGCATTTAGTTTCTGATCGGTCAGTTTAAATTATGAATTTCGAGTTTCTTCCGACCATCATTTGCAAGTTCATTGCTATATCCTAGTACTGGCAGGAATATAGAACCTTCGAAAAAGGAGGCTTGGAAACTGCTTAGCGGGTTCCCCAAGCATATACCTAGTACTATTGATATATATTCCTGGGTGGCCATTTAATCATACCAGGCGGGCTGGATACCTTTGAGGTTTCTTCAATTCGCAATGTGTCTGCCATTCTCTGACCCTATATAGGTACTAGTATTTTGGAAGAGATATCAATATAGGAGCAAAGTCAAATCACTCGAGCTTCTGACCACAAAAGCCATTCATGACGCCTGACCCATTTTGTATCAGAACTCTCTACAACCAGAGAGAGGTCGCATTGGGGGCGTTCAAGTAAACATTGATCTGCATGGCCTGCAACTCATCATTATAGTACTGCAGCACTTCAAGGGTCTCACCCATTCCTGCAGCCGGAGCCACCAGTGGTCCATCTCCCTGGGCTTGCGCATAGGCATACCACACATCCTGTGCCTCTTGCGCGGTAGGCATAGCATCTGGGATGAAAGCAGAGACGTTCTGATAGGGATAGATAATACCCGGAATCATGCCGCTGGTAACAACAAAGCCGAGCTCCTCGTCGATTACAAGGGCAACGCGTGCTTTGTCATCGGTAGGGTGCGCATCTGGCCAAGAACAGCCTAGTGGGTCCGTCGTGCCATTCGCATATACCCCCGTATCAATAACCTTCCAGCCGATCTCGGTGAATTGGCATGTATCGCTGACGGCGACTTCAAAGTCGCTTGACGTAGCGAAAAGGGCCTCGCTGAGAGAGGTCAAATCTGCCCGACTCGCCTTGGTCCGGTTGGCTGGCGGAGACATCAAGACTGCATAGTTGGATGGAAGTTCTTCGGCTGAGAAGGAGAAACCATGCTCGCCGCGGTATCGGTTCACAAAGATTTCAAGCTCGGTGATCTTGCGATTCACAACCTTAAGCCGGGTACGAAGGATGTTTTTAATACCCCCTTCGTTTATGTCTAAAGAGAAGTAGACGGTGCCTTGCTTGGAGTCGATTGCCAAAAGGTTGGGCTTGGTCACCTTTGTAACAGTGCGCCATAGTGTCATCATGGTTAGAGCTGCTGCGTGCGAGTTTTCAGTTGCCTTATAAACCGAGGCCAATGGCAGACTGAACGGGTCATGCTTCACCACCGACTCCAGGAATTGATCGACAATGTTGGATAGACAAGCCCGGTTGCAATCTGTTGATACATTTTTGGCTGCGCTAGTAGCTCCATGTGGAAACGCACCACCGAATGTTGACAGTGCCACTGTGATTCCCAGCGACAAGCGAAGAAGACCAAAGGAACTTGGAAGTTGCATTTTGAGGGGAGAAGATGTAGATCAAGGTGATTGTGTCAGGAGAGGCTTTGGTACTGATTGAATAAAGCTCCCAACATCTGCAGAAGAAGGCCCTTCTTTTATAGCTACTCTGCTTGATACTAATAAGTTAACATTCAGAAGTTTAATTGAGTTAGACCTGTTCTGCCGGGTTCGGCTCTCCACTCCCCGGATTTCCTCCATCTTCAAGCTCGGCTCCACCCGTGGACACTCTAATTGATTTAGATATAATCAGCCAGGATCAGCACGATAGAAAGCGGGGGCCACTCAAATCACTGGAAACACGCCAGGCCTCGTCATCACGCCAAGGGATATTAGTCCGATCCAACTTTTCAATATTCAACTTCCGAAGCTTGCTGCCGGTATGAAATCAATCTCGAAAACACAGCTAGACATCCGCAATAGGCATCCAGGGAAATGCTAGCCTTATTTACTTCAATAATTGACCTAGAGGATTGAATATTTAACAGTTCCAGAATTCAACGGGGAAGGTTCCTAGTTCCTAATGAAAACACCGTAAGGGATAGTCTGATCAATGGACCAAAAGGCAAAATGCTCGGCAATGGAGGTACTAATATCCGGGCATCAATACCTTGAATATTTCCCTTCTGATTTGAGTATCTGGTTCAGAGGCTCTAAATTATAGTACTACGAATACTAGCTTGTTCAAGTTCTGCGAGACAGTGTCCGCAGCACTGCAGATGGAATTGGTACAATCAGTATCACAAATCATATCCTACTCGCACCTACCTTGGTAGGTATGCCTTCGGAGACTGCATACGACGGATACACCTTCCTTTGATCACATGTAGAGTAGTAGCTACCAAGGTGTTATTATTGGTGTGTGCTACGAGGAAAGCGCGATGGCGATAATGGGAGGCTACTTGAAGAGCCCCGCGGCGATTCAGTTTTCTGAATCAATCTTCCCTTTACATCTTTTCTAGCCTACATCTATTAATCTCATAATGACTGGTTCAAACGCAAACAAAATACCAGAAGCCCCAGATGAGCTCCGAATCATCAAAGCGAAGTACGGTTACAGTGAGACCGAAAACCCGCATACCATACACACCTTGAAAAACGTGGATCGCGCAGTACATCGAGGAATATGGCGAGCTGAACGCGTTCCTGTTGAGACTGGCGTCGCAAAAAGCCAACAAATTTCAGATGCCCCGCCGAAGGGAGACGAACAAGTGGTCAATTTCGCTCTTGTGATTTTCCTGGATGTGCTGACTCTCCCCATTTGGAGGAACATCACCAGCTGGACCCTCCCGATCCGCGTTTGCACCAGCGACATTCGCTCAGAGCAATATGACCGCCCAAATAGATGGGTATCTCTTCTCAAAGAGGTGCAAGGACGAAGGTTTCTCTATTACAGAGGTCAAGCGTGGTTTTCGCACACGGCGCTTCAATCCAATCATCCTGTACCAAGAGGCAGCCGAGATGATCTGCTGGATCATGCATGATACTCGGCCAAGCAATGAACGCCAGGTTCCACTCCCTAAAGGTTGGTAAGTAGCATCTATCTCCGTCGCTCCGCTAGGAGACTATGCTAACATATGCGACTAGACGAATGCTCATTTCTCAAGATTGTGTTGAGATCTAATGTATTTTTAATTTTCTGGCACCTTTCGGTGCCCAAACAATTCACCTGTGAGCCTCTTCGTTGTTTCAGCGTGTCAATGCCAGCTTGTTTATCCTAGTAATACATGGTTTAATTTCGAAATATCTATTTCATACACACAACTGTTGAGGCGCATCCGCGGCCTCAGGCATCCAGTGCCGTCCTTCCTGTTCTAGATAGCTTCGCTCTCCACCACCAGCTCCTAGCAGAATTTACGTAGTTCTGAACATGCAACTGTTAGTTATCTAGATCACCGACTGGTCTTTTAGAAAACGCTTACACGCTCAGAAAATACTACTTTCCTATGTGGTTGTACAAATGAAGCTATAGTACGATCGAGAGCCGATATTCGGGTACGCATTAAGTTGGGCGATACGAGTAGCATCGCCGTATGTAGGAATATTAGATTAGAATGGACGATAGAATGTCACTGATTCCTACGCCGTATTCCTTTTGACGTTGAGAGTGGTGGTCCAACGGGTACCCATGGCAAGTATAGCGCGTTTGTCCGAGTGTATGCAGCCCCATTCACTGCCCTCGCTCACTTTCCCTTCAAGCTCTTCCCTTCTTCTCCTTCTTCTTCCTCCTCCTCCCCTCAACCACACCCAACCACATCTACTCACATCTACCTCCACACCTCCATCAAAAGCCTCAACGCTAATCTCTTTTACTACCTCTCTCGATTCAAAATGCCGGACAAGTCGTACAAGATCACCAGCACTGGCCAAAACGACCAGGTATGCTACACCAAGCCAAGTTCCAGACCATTACCACGAAGCCATACTGACAATGCACAATGACAGGGCAACCACTACTGCCACCGTGATTTCGGTGATAGTGCCCCAAACCAGAATAGCTACCACTATTCCAACCAGTATGCCTCACTCTCGACCTGACCTCGTTGGGAAAACTGACCATGTCCAGGGACGGCTCTTACTACTACTCCAACTCCAATGGCAGCAAGTACTACAATGACGGCCAGGGCAGCTCGAAGTACACCGCTCCCTCGGGCTCGGGCTCGGGCTCGGGCACCTCGTCCGAGAAGAAGTGATCCGACACGTTGAAGACCAGGCACAACATTGATATTGCAAGTTGATCTAGCGGGAGGTCAAGATTTAGCAGGTGGAAGACTGGGGAAGAATTGCATACCAAGGTGTCTGAGGAATGGGTGAAATGGATGGTATCAGTATCTACATTGTGACTCGAGAGCAGTGATGATTTGAAGCTCGGTACACATGGGTAACTAGTGTAAAACTTAAAAAGCCCAAAAAAAAGAGAAAAAAAAATATTCGACCTCCCGCAAAACTGAACCTCCTCTTCCCATGTCCTCTGGCGCTGCGTCTATGATGCCTAGTTCCTAGTTCAAGACCATTTCAACGAACCTAATTGTACCGCATTGTATCTTTGGTAACAGCATTCCGCATAATAGAATTTATTCAATTCCGAAATATTAATGTTCATAAGAAGAATATACTACTCCTCGCTCAGAGACCCAAGACATCCAAGAGACCCTTCTCCGAAAGTTTAAGCTTCTCGGCCGTCTTGATCCACACCTGCGACCTCAACTCCGCATCATTAACATGTCTCTTTGGTGCTGCGTCCCATATGCGATTGATGTATCTACCGCCTCCACGCCCATTGGGTGCCCCGATACCCTGTGTCTTTGGATCGGGTCCAAACTCGGGACTGGTAGCTGCGTACGTGATCGCCAAGCTGCCCTGTTGCGGATTGATGGCGACATAACTGAGAAGGAACTGGAGACTTCGACCGCCCTCCTCTTTCACGGGCGTCCAGATGGACGAGTAGACGAAGCCTGGGTTGACTCCGTTCACGGTTATGCCCATGTAGCTGGGATGTCTGAGCAGGCGTAGCTGTAGCTCTGTGAGCCACATTTGATAGAAGAGTTTGTTATCGCGATATGGGTTGCCAGACAGGTTTGCGCTAGAGTTGAGATCTGCGTTGTAGGTGCCGAGGTGGTGATAGCATGATGTGGTGCAGACGATGCGTCCTGGGGTCTGCTCTGCGAGGGATGGCAGAAGGCGTAGGGTCAGCAATACATGGGAGAGATAGTTAATCTGGATGGAAGGTCAGTGCTGCGTCTAGGCTGTTTCATGGGCATAGAGATGAAATACCTGATGAACTGGATGGAATCCATCCTTGGTTTTGGCATCCGGAGGAGCAACTGCGATGCCAGCATTGTTGCAAAGGATGTCCAAAGGGTTTCCAGTGGCGATCCATCGTTGAGCAAATGCCTCGACGGTTTCAAAATCGGCCATATCCAAGGGCCACCATTCGATTGTCGACGAGTGGCCGTGAGCATGGGCGATCTCATTGCACTCTTTAGTCGCGGCTGTGGGATGTTGTTCCCACTCAGGGGGTTCGCGACAGCCCAGGATAATATTGGCACCCCATGTTGCGAAGGACTTTGCTGCTTCGAAGCCGATGCCGTTATTCGCACCAGTGATGATGATCCATTTGCCGGTGAGATCGGCACCGGGAACTTCCTTGTCCGTGAGGAATGTGGTATTCGTCCCCCTGATACCCTGCACCAGGTCGTTTAAAAAGTAAAACAAAGATGCCATTTCAAGAGGAGTTTCAGAAGTGAAAAAGATGAAAAGAACGGAGAAGTGAGGTTGTTTTGGAGTGACACAAGCGACGGTCGCACGGGGGACCGAGATGGAGAGCCTCGCGCTAAGGTTGTCCGCATGAGATTGTGCCACCTCGGCCCCACCGATCCCGCAAATCAGTCCCAGTCTCCTAATTTTAGGGCAATCTGTACATACTGGGGAACGTGGTGGAAAACGTGGTGGCCGTATGTAGATGATCGAAGCTAGTACTGATAGTACAGACTCTCTATGAAACTGATGATTTGTACAGAGTATCCCATTGAGCACGGAGTACGCATACTATCTACAAACAACTTTGATCTCCCCACTCGCCTCTATTCCGAGTGCCGCTTGCCCAACTTGTTCGTTTGGTGGATCCAATCGAAAAGCCCGATCGATCCATAGTTCAGATTGAACTTTGCATGATGGAGATCATGATCAAGAGCCTTGTTGTGAAAGAAATCATACCCGCTATGCACGGTTGCAGTATTGAAAAGCTCATAAGCAAGGAACGACCAGAATGTCAACACCTATTTAGAATTAGCTTGGGCTAGAGTGGAGTGCACTTCAGGACTGTACATACGTGGCTATGCAAGATCTGCGGGGGCAGAGAGATGGGCAATGCGTTCGCGAAGATCTGTTCAATCGGATGGGCATATTGGGCTGCCAAGGCGATGGGTGCCGTAAAGCGATGATGCTTTTTGTGGATCAACTTGTAGAGATATGGAACATGCAGCAGGCGATGGCCGTAATAAAAAAGTGCTTCGCGCATAAGAAGACTCAGTATGAAATCCCGAGCAAATTCGAGGGCGGGTGGCAGGGATGCTTCGACCCGGTAAGATGGCTGTGATCCGAAATGAGAGGTGATATTTATGAGCGAGATATGCAGCACACTGGAGAGAATTTGATTCTGCGTAACAACCCAGAAGCAATGCAGTATGTCACGACGAGTCGGCTGTTTAGGCGCGGGCTGGATCTTATGTTTCTGGGAAAATGCCGGCGCAAGCGTGTCCAAGGATAGATAGAATAGCGATGGAAGCCAGAACGAAACAACTTGGATCAGCAGCGTTCCGACGAATTCAATTCGCTGTGGGGAGTAGGTCGACACGATGTGTGACCAGAAAGCCGTAGCCTGTGGAATCAGGTTTTCATACATCGCGGTGATTATTGCTGCGGTCGAAACGGCTCAAATTTGAGACCCTAGCAAAGAGCAGTGTAGACGAATAGTTTGGAGCCAAGATAAAGGTACTCGTAGCTGACAGGCTCCCTCAGGGCCGCTTATGAACCTCGGCCACTGAATCACCCCGGAAAATTCTTTTGGTGCCCCCGCAATCGATCGTCGGACATCTCGGCTCGGATGGACCCATGTGACGGTCCACAGCCACTCCCGTGCGACACATTACAGTGCTCTAGGTCGTAGAGGAGAAACTCTCCGAGTTAATAGGAACATCGATTCCGTTTTCAACTCTTTCCTGTACCTAACCGAGTACGCTTACTGGTAACTACACTTTACGGCTGAGATAAACCCAACTAGCCAAATTTCGCCCTAATAAATAAGAAAGCCTCTTGGATTTAGCGATCAAAGTAGAATCTCAAGCAAATTTCCGCCCACTGTAGCCATAAGAGTAAAAATGCAAGCTATCCTTCTTGAGGAGGATAATACAGTAAGATCTACCATTTTTGAACTCTCAGAGATCCTGACCGCATTGTTCCATGAACATGCCGGTGGGTATGAATTCCATGTACGATGATTTCCCCACAAAACACCATGTAAAGACGCATAACCGACGCTTTATTGAATTGGCCTCGAGTTTTCGGATTCCTATAGGCTTAGCGAGCCAATATCGCAGAAACAGTCCTACGGGAGGGGGTGGATTGGCGTTCTCTTCAAAGCTCATCAGCTGTGTGAATTGCAGGTTCAAACATTCTCCATCGTAGAACGCCTGAGAGATTCGCCCGTGATTGTGTCCCATTAATGATACGAGTAGAACCTATGATTGAAGAAGAAGTCAGTCAGATATCTGAAAGTCGAAGGAACTGATTAACTCACTTGGGTGCGTTCGATGACCAGGGAAACTTTTGGTATTCTCGTCTAAAGAGTGTATTAAGAGGAATTCCACTAGCGCCCGAAGCTCAAAGATTGTAAAATAATGGCCCCATTCACTAGCTTTATACCCACCCTTGAACATCAAAGCTGTGTGTGGTAAAGGACAAGTCGGATCATCATCTTCTATTACGTCTTCGACATGCCAAACGGGCATCTTGTGTGGATAGACAGTCCAGTGGGGCTCATATTGGAGTTGCAGATCATTTCGTCATGTGTTAATTCTATTGAAGATTAACCAAATTGCCGTGTAATCCAGATTACTTACTCACCTGTAGCTTTTGTGAAGCGGAGTAAGAATATCAGCACTTGGGGAGTTCATTGTATAGACTTGGGAAATCATGGTATCGGTGGGCTGTATTCAGATCTCGATAGACCCTTTCGAGGAGCCCTGACATAATGGTGCATATAAGTCAATGTCCGTTTTGAGCGATGGCGGGATGGTTTCTCCCTTTGCTCCCTCCAGGCATTGGGTGCATGTTTGTAGTTGTGAAATGCTGAATAAAAACCTTTTCTTCAAAAGTGCATTCCACGTCGACGCATTTAATTCTTTTGTAAGGTTTATTTAACTCCTTGCCATGCATATTCGTCTGCCGTAGCCTCTTTCATCTCTCGTGAATCTTTCAGAATTTCATCATAATCTGGGCGAGATTGGTGAAGATCTCTTTCGTCATATCTGCTATGCTCCGTAACGATAGAATATCGATAGGATACTTTTCAAGAAGGTTCTCCTCCTGTGGCTCAAAGTAGGCCGGGTCAAATTGGATATGGCCAGCGTCCGTGATAGCAACCTGAGTGGCGTAAATTTGACTGATTTGAGCACATCTGCAGAGCACGCTCGCGGGGCCTTTGTATCATTCGCGTCGAATCTTTCGGTGCAGGTTTTCAAACCAGCCTTTCCTTGCCTGGAAACTCATTCTTGGAATGGAAAATTGATGGGCTATTCTGGCCTGGCTGATCAATGTAGAATGAGTTGGTAGACAAGTAGGCAAGTAGACAAGGAGAACTAGAAAGATGACGGTTGCACATTTCCAATACCGATTCGGTACTGATCTACCGCTTCTGCATCGGGAGTCGGGTACGTACCTGTAGGGGAGCGGTAGTTAACTTCCGTCCAACACAGACAGTGGCAATCACCTGAGTAATTTTGCCCAGCTAAGTCCCTTCATGAAACGCCAACTCCACTCGCTCTTTCATCAGGCTTCCGTTCGCGAAACCGTCGCCACACCAGAAATCCGATCATCGTGAAAGCTGTCAAAGGTACCGCAAAAGCAAAATAAATCCACCAAAGGCGAGACACAACAAATGCAGGCTCATTATTCGCAGTGGATGTATCCAAGGCGATCAGGTTCGTTCCGAAAAGACTGCAGACAAAAGTGGCCGGGAGATAGAGCAGTGTCATCGCGGCGATAATCTTCATGGACGCACTATCCTTGCGTGCATCGCGGGCTATTTTGGTGCTTTCTGTGGCAATCTTCAAATTGATCGTGCTATCATGACCCGTGATGAGATTGTATAAAAGCGTCACAAAGTTACTGGTTCTTCGCTGCAAGTTCATGATTCTGCGGTGCCGATCATCGCATAAGTCGTGGAGCATAAGTAGGTCATCCCGGACCCTCCCATGCGTCGCATGATCAATATATGTCCCCTGGAGCTCGGCCAGTCTTCCAAGACGCTCATGATCCCGGAGGAGATGACCAATATTTGACGCGTCGCGCTGGTTATTGTGCTCTAGCGTTATCAGGTTCCGCGACATCTTATGCAGCAACTGTATATACCTCGAGAATCGATTAGAGTCCGCTACTTCAAAGATTGATCCCTGGTGAAGCTGCGTCTCGATCCAGAGAAGCCATTTAATCAGGTTATTCAGTTCCGTGTTTCGGGACGAAAGGACATAGAACATAACCACCGAATGAAGGGTTAGAGGATGTAAAGAATCATTCTTCTGGGAAATGCCCAGTTTCTTAACGGAAAGGCAACTTGGATCCGAGGATGATCCCTTAAATCTCTCCCCAATCGCGTGAATCAAATCGCGTAGCTCGCCTTTGGATTTCGGCAAAATATACAGGGTGTGTCCGGTCAGGAAGTCATAACGGAAATAGATAGGCTCGTACTGGTGAAGAAGCTTCATGTCGGTTGGGCCCCGGGAGCTGACGCTTGGGGTACTATCCAAAGGGCTAGTATCGTTTGCCGTATACGACAAATTCTCGCTGATATTATAGCAAATTTCGGTGGGCTCGTTAGTAGGCGAGGGGTTGATATGCATCCCAATGCAAAACTCACCGAGGCATTGGTGGCCGTTAACTTCTACGCATCGACCGTGATAGCTTGAGAGCAGTGGCGAAGATAAAAGAGCAACGTCTTCTAGTTTTACGTCCCAGAAAGTTTCGAATAACTTCTGGGTATCCCACTGGTCTCCCGGGAATGCCCCTTGTTCGGTCAATAGTCTTGGTTTTGTAAGTTTCATTTATCGCAGGAAAGGGTCGACCGGCATACATGACACTAATTAGTCCGGTTTTATGAGCATCTAGCGGTGATTCTGACCGTAAACGACGCTCAAAATCATAGGTATCTATCTTATATTAGCTTTAATTCGCGTCGGGATCGAGACTTAGTACCTTGGTCTAGGACATTTATCAAAGGATCGCTCGAAGGGGATGCGACATGCACTTCAGACTGCCCTTGACATAAGAAGAGAGCGTTTTCCAGGACAAACCTGGGGTGATTGTCTGACATTGTGTGCCAAGGGCCTTTTCACATTATTTTCAACGCCGAATTGACAATTTAATGAAACACAACTCACGACCGTGGGAAAAAGAATCTTGACTGGATCTAAAATGAGATGTTGCAAGCAGAGAATAACACGAATTCGAGGTCGTGCTGAAGCTGGGGCACCGGGCGTTTGTTGGGGTCCGTTCTAGTTTAGCGTGCGTAAGATGGCGGTGCAGTCGCTGCATTAGCGTGCAATGTTGTAGCTGAAGAATGACCCCGGGGCCTTTTGCGTTATTGCGTTCCGGATTGCGATCGCCACACCACTTCACCAGCCATTACTCCGTGTATCTCAGCTACGTATTATTTGCGAGCTGAAGGTGGAGGTGGAGGGCCAATGAAGCGACCTTAAGCTTTATCTGGCTTCAAAAGAAATTAGCCACATTTCTTACTTCAACGAGTTCAAGTTGCGGGCAGGGTGTCGCCCCACATTGGCAGAGCTTGAATCCCAAGGTTGCTGTTATGTAAACCATACGAATGCTTCAAGTTTTTAATGAACGAAGATGATTATTAAAACAACCTCTGATACAATTAGTAGATAGAGGCATATCGAATACTAGTGTATTTGAATGTTTATAGTATTTGAAAGGTATGAAAAAAAAGCAAAAGCAAAGGCAGCCTTTCAGACTCAGTGACTCAGATACTACACCTTCTAGTGAATAAGCAACCAGAGCATCACTACCGCCACTCTACATAGTGGACGCGGGAAGTTTGAGTCTGGAGCATCGATCATACGTTGAGATAAAATAGTACTCAGTAGACGCGGAGACTTCCATGCTAGATCGTCAAAAGATTCCAAGGTTATTTAGCCTTTATTTTCAAGGTTACAGTTCAATCAAAGATAAAATCCTTGGAATAGGGTGTAAATCCCAGCCTGGGATAGCAAAGGGCTGTGTTCGGGTAGATTGTAGTAGTCTAAGCCCTGGGCACTGTCTGGAGTTCATTTAGTTCCCTGCACAAAGTAGTACTTCCGAGTTGAACTAATACTAGTAACTTCCAAGGTTCTACTAGTACTAGTAACTAATGCTTGGCAATTAAAGAATCCTCTAACGGCCACAAGGAATGAGCTTGACGCGTGTAAATTGACGGACAGCCTTATCTTATCGAGATATAGAGTAGTGATCTACTCACCCAAGGCTGTGAGATACATAGGCTACGATCGGAAATATATGTACTGGCCAGACAATGTACATGTACGAGTACATATTCTGGTGGAGGCAGGTGTTTGTTACATTAGTCAGTCATGCGGGATACAGATCCAATGGTTAGCGCGGGGCTAGATTAGTCGCCGATGGGCAATGTGATGTTTGAATGGTCGATAATCCACGGTTGATGTTTGGGCTGAAGCATACAATTGACCTATCGCAAGGAGCGAGCCAGAACAAATTGCACATGCTCTTTTTGTGCTGCCTGGCGAAGTCATGCCGGCTATGAATAGATGCTTTGAAGTGGGCGATCATTGGCCAATTGTGTTACCCGAGGGGTCCAGCAAATCTGGTCGCGCACCACACTAGCGAGTGAGACAGGCTTGCGACAGCCACGGTGGAGCAACGCCTGGTGGAGCAATTTAGATGCGAGGCGGCCAGCCGGAGAGAGTGGGTGTGATGACGGGCCAGGGTAGGAGAGAACGGAGAGCGAAAAGATGAGACACCCCGAAAATGAAAAGAGGGTTTTTTTTGTTCTCATCCAGGGTCTCGATGGTGTGTTGAGGCGCAGCAGCACAATCTGGCCCAATTCCCTCGATCGTCGCTGTGATCCCCACCGCCTAGACTTCGCGTCTCGCTGCCAAGCCAATACCCAGCGCGCATCGCCAGGGGTAGCATTTAGACATGAACACTGTACTCCATACACTGTACCGCGTAGGTAGATGAGATGCCGATGATCAGGGATATGGGGACAGCGGACGGGAGCGTCAATTGATCGATGCCTGGAGAGGAGGGGGAGGGCGAATGTAAATAGAAAGGGTCTCAGCCATCACTCCACTCGACAATGCAGATAAGTCTGGGTGCATGGGTACTGGTAGTGGTACAGAGTACGGAGTACTGTGTTGGCACTGCCGCTGGCACATTGGCACATTGGCACAATGTTACTCCGTACGTGCCTCTCATTGCAGTGTGGTCTGCTGGGCATGTAGAGGCGTAAGACCCTGGCGGGAGAGTCGGGATAGGGGGTGGCCAACGACAGATTGGGGCCAGTTTCAGGGTCAGATCCACTTTTTCCCTGGGCCCCTTACGGCGATCGACCAGTGACGGTCAATGAGAGTCGGGGGATAAAGTGGGTGGGAGGGTAAAAGTGGATGCTCAAGTCTCGTAGGGTGTTGGTGTGTTGGTGTGTCGTCCGGGGCCAAGCAAGAAGGGAAAGGGTTCCCCCCCGTCATACAAAGTGTCTTTCCCCCCCCCTTGCTAACTTCTTCCCTTCTTTCTCTCTCCCACATTCTTGTCGTCCTTCGTTTTTCTAACCACTCTTTAATTCTCTTTTTCTTCCTCTGGAATTTCATCTCACCTTAATACACTCTTTAGAACCACAACCAAAATGAAGGCCAACTTTATCTCTCTGGCTACTGCCCTTACCCTGGGCGCCAGCCTCGTCCAGGCTGCTCCCTCCGTTGAGAAGCGCGACAGCGACATTACTCCTATCACTGTGAAGGGTAACGCTTTCTTCAAGGGCAAGGAGCGTTTCTACATGCGTGGTGTCGACTACCAGCCTGGTGGATCCTCCAAGCTGTACGTTTCACACCCAACACAGCAATAGCAGTGCCAAAAAACCAAAAAAAAAACATCAACAAAGATATCCAATCTAACACATCAATCAATTAGGTCCGACCCTATCGCTGACGCTGAGGGCTGCAAGCGTGACATCAAGAACTTCAAGGACCTTGGTCTGAACACCATCCGTGTCTACTCCGTCGACAACTCCGCCGACCACGATGAGTGCATGTCCGCTCTGGCTGAAGCTGGCATCTACCTTGTTCTGGATGTCAACACCCCCAAGTACTCCCTGAACCGCAAGGACCCCGCCACCTCCTACAACGATGTCTACCTGCAGTACATCTTCGCTACCGTCGACAAGTTCGCTCGTTACGATAACACCCTCGCCTTCTTCTCCGGTAACGAGGTCATCAACGACGGTCCTTCCTCCAAGGCTGCTCCCTACGTCAAGGCTGTCACTCGTGATCTCCGTTCCTACCTGAAGGCCCAGGACCTCCGTCAGGTCCCCGTTGGTTACTCCGCCGCTGATGTCAACACCAACCGTCTCGAGATGGCTGAGTACATGAACTGCGGTACTGATGACGAGCGCTCCGACTTCTTCGCTTTCAACGACTACTCCTGGTGTGACCCCTCCTCCTTCACCACCTCTGAGTGGGACCAGAAGGTTAAGAACTTCACCGGTTACGGTCTCCCCCTGTTCCTGTCCGAGTACGGCTGCAACACCAACACCCGCAAGTTCGAGGAGGTTGCCACTCTCTACTCCACCAAGATGACCGGTGTCTACTCCGGTGGTCTCGTCTACGAGTACTCCGAGGAGGGCAGCAAATACGGTCTCGTCAAGATCTCCGATGACAAGGTTACCACTCTCAAGGATTACGATGCTCTGAAGTCTGCTTTCGACAAGACCGACAACCCCTCCGGTGATGGCCAGTACAACGCCACTGGTGGCTCCAACCCCTGCCCCAAGAAGAACGCCCCCAACTGGGCCGTCTCCGGTGACGCTCTGCCCGCCATCCCCGAGCCCGCCGAGAAGTACCTGAAGAACGGTGCTGGTAAGGGTGATGGATTCAAGGGTGATGGCTCCCAGAACGCTGGTACCCAATCCACTAGCACTGCCACCTCTGGCTCCGGCGAGGGTACTTCTGCCACTGGCACTAGCAGCAGCTCCGGCGGAGGTACCACCTCTTCCGGTGCTGCTTTCGCTGTCCGCCCTGCTACCTTCGGTTTCTCCGCTGCCCCCATCGCCGTCTCCCTGGTGACTGCCATGTCGACCCTTGTCGGCGCTGGTATGATTCTTCTGTAAACCTTGCTCGACAAATTTGTCTAATTTATTTCTAACTTAAACGCCGTTTCTGTTTCTCGCGCGGCGAATTGCATCTCTATTTTGCTAGGCACTTGCTTTGTTTGGATTTCGTTGGATGGACCTCTGACGGGGTTTCAGTGTACAGTAGGCCATAATCCGGCTACTTCTATGGAATATGATTCTTATAAAACACATACATTGTTCCATATCCAGACACTGCTCTAGTTTCTGTTGAGACTTTAAATTTACAAACTCTTTCTAAAGCTTCGACTTTCCTTGTTGCAGAGTATGTGCGTCCCAATCCACCTTTCGCTTCAAGCCGAACTCCCTCAAACCATGTGCACCATCAGCATCGGACCGCATCATCTCGTCGAAGAGTGTTTTGATCCCCGCAGCTTGCTTTTCACCTCCACCATCCTTCCAAGCAAGCCGAATAAGTTCCTTCGACATGCGTGACGCATTGGGAGACGCAATCCTCAATGCGTCTAGCAGCGCATCCAACCTCAAATTCAACTGCTCTATATTTCCCACAACATCGGTTATGATCCCCCGAGTCATTAACTCGGATGCTTTAACTGGCCTCGCAGACAACATCACCTCCCTCGCAAACGATAGCCCATATTCCCTGATGACATATTTAGAGATAGTCGCTGGACAGAGACCCAACTTCACCTCGCTCAGAGTCATGACTGTCGAGTTTGTGGCGATACGAATATCACAAGCAAAAGCCAGACCGACTCCTCCACCAAACGCAGGCCCGTTGATGGTAGCAATTGTCACCTTCGGCGAAGTATCGATGGCCTCGAATAGCGTAGTTAATCTTGCATACTGCGCATCGCTAGCCGATCCACCTCGCGCAACAGGCGTACTATCTTTGCCCAGATCCATACCTGTGCAGAAGAACTTGCCATTCGCCGTGATGACGATCCGAGATATTTCTGCATCGTAATTGGCGTCTGTCACGGCTTTAGTGATATCGGAGATCATCGTGGCTGTCAATGCGTTGCCGTTCTTTGGCCTGTCAAGGGTGATCTTGAGATTGACGCCCGAGCGATGAATTAACAACCCATCCGTTTCGGAGATCAAAGTCCACTGAAGAGGCTTGGTGTGCTGCGACTTGGAAGAGCCAGAAACAAGCTTGGCGCTGCTCTTAATCATTAGAGCCGTGCCCACCCGACTCGAATTAGTTATCGACAGTTGCTTCGATATCCAAGTCCCCACCTCAGTCAACCGGGCTAAATCAACACCCGTAGAGATGCCAGCATTATTGAACATGTACACCAAATCTTCCGTTGCGACATTGCCCTTAGCACCAGGCGCAAATGGACACCCGCCTAGTCCCGCAACACTGCTGTCGAAGACGGTAAGACCGCAGGTATACGCCTCCCAGACATTGGCGACAGCTTGTCCATAAGTGTCATGGAAATGCCCAGCCAGTTTGGAGAGAGGGATATTGTTATCTTTCAGGTAGGCGAGTAGACTGTGCACGTTGGACGGGGATCCCACGCCGAGGGTATCGCCCAGGCTTATCTCGTAGCAGCCTGCTTGAAGTAATTCCTGTACACAATGGAGCACTGCGGAATGTGGCGTTTGGCCGTCGAATGGATCTGCGAAGATGCAGGAGACGTAGCTGGGAGAGTTAGAACGTGCTAATTCGTTGCGCTGAAAACCACAGGTCATGATTCTTTTCAAATAACTTACCCACGCACTGCAATCTGGGATTCACCGGCTTCTTTCGTAGCTAAGGCTAATGCAGCCACTCGCTTCGCTCTTTCAATCCCTTCTTGCACGGTACAGTTGATGTTGGCTTTACTGAATCCCTCGGTCGCACTGACGAACACAGCGACCTCTCGAACGCCATGCTCAATAGCAATCTTTAGACCCTTCTCATTAGGAACAAGGACAGGTAATCGGAGTCGTGGATTTTGTAGAAATTTCTTCAACTCCTCATCCCGGAGCACCTCCCGACAGTCTTTCAGTTGAGGAATGGCGCGCGGCGACACAACAGATGTCAACTCAATAGTAGAGAGACCTGTCGCTTGAAGTCGTCGAATCAATTCCAATTTCGTTTGAGTTGGGACTGAATCACGTATGTTCTGTAGTCCATCGCGTGGTCCTACTTCCACAATTCTGACTGGGGGTGATTGCTGGGCCATTACGACTGGAGTTTGTGAGATATTCCGATTTAGAGGAGCTTCTTCGCTTATCGTGAGAACATTCTTTGAATGCGTTTGCTTTGTTTCATCGGATCGCATTTCGGTCGTGACCTCATTTGTTGTTCTCAGATGTAACGGTCCGGCGGACCGGAATGACCGGACCGACGAACTTTGTGTCGAGGCAAAAGCACCAACGTACGTACAGCCTAGCCAAAACTGTGCTTGCGCAATTTTTGGTCAAATGGCACATTTTGCTCTAGTCCTGTCGCGAAACGTTGCGGGGCGTATCCGGCGCTATTTCCTGGGGAAGTGCGGGACAAGAAAGAGGTGAGGTTTATTAGTACTAGGGCGGGTGGCCTAATCGGGAATGTTCCAAGGTTACAGTAGATATTCTGTCTGGGCAAATGCCTAAGAGATTCAAGATCCATAATGAATAAAATTCCTAGAGCTTGGCTTTAACGGGCCCATTGTGAACCAGGATATTTCCGATATCACAAAGAACGTGCTTCTTGATCTTGCCACTGCCGGTTTTAGGGAAGTCGTTGCTAATACCAGCATCGCCAAGCCAGAAGCAATATGCAGGGGCTTTGTGACGCCCAAGAAGCTGTCCCACCCATTTCTTCAGTTCCTCATTCTTTGGACGTTGAGTCCCCTCGGCTTCTTTCAAAAAACATCCAACTACCTCGCCGTATCTCTCGTCCTTGATAGCCACAGCGCTGGCCTCCTTGACCCCAGGATGTTGCATGAGCCTTTCTTCAATTTCTCGGGGAAAGATGTTTTCACCACCGCGAATAATGATGTCCTTGATTCGCCCGGTGATATGGGCATATCCATCGTCATCAAGAATGGCTTCATCACCGGTATGCATCCAAAGAACGCCATTCTCATCTTCCTTCATGGATTCCTTGGTCTTTTCCTTATTTTTCCAGTAGCCTTTCTGTAAAGCGAACCCACTTGTGCAAAGTTCGCCCCGTTCACCTCTGTGAAGCAACTTGCCGTTGGGATCAATGACCTTTGCAGAAGTATGCGGGATCACTCTACCGACAGTCGTGGTCGCCTTTGATTCAGGATCGCTGAGCGACGTGATGAATGTAACGGGACTAGTCTCCGTCATGCCATAGGCGATGAGCATTTTTTCGACTCCCATTTTCTCACGTAGTTGATCCATCAAGCCCTGTGAAACCGTCGAGCCACTAGCAAGGCCGGTTCGAAGACGTCGTGGTCGCTGCCCTGTCTTTTCCATGACTTCCAGCTCGGACATGTACATTGTTGGAACGCCTAGGAGCACCGTGACATCCTCTTCCACAAGTGCGTCCACAACCTTTCTCACGTCGAAGAAGTCGGAAGGAAATACGATGGTACTACCATGCGTATATGAATCGAGGAAGCCTAGCACAAGGCCAAAGCAGTGAAATAGAGGTGGTGGGCAGCAGAGGACATCTTCATGGGTCAAAGCCATTGCATCCCCGACGAACCGGGCATTGTTGATAAGGTTTCTTGTATGAGGTGAGCATATATAATCAACTTTCTGGGCCGGAAAGGTGACTCACGTGTGAGTTAGCATGGCTGCTTTTGGAGAACCGGTGGTTCCTGTGGGATCTGATGAGAATTGGAAGGAATAATTGCGGCTGTATTGGTCTTCATACCGGAGGTGAATTGCAAGTTAAGAATATCATCAGGGCGAACCAAAGACTCCGCACGCTTCAAGACAGAGTCATTCATGAAAACCGAATACCCGTTCGAGGTGAAAGTGTTGTATGTTTGCATCTCAAGTCCGGCCTCGCCGACTTCGCTACCCCCGAGACAAACGACACGACGCAGATCAGGGAGGGTGGGGTTCTTTCGACTTGACCCGCGAAGGATATTAATGTGTTCCGACAGGCTTCGAGAGCCGACTTCAGACGCAAGAAAGACGAGTTTGCATGCTTTGTTCCAATCAGTAGATGAACAACGTGAGATATCATAATGACTTACAGCTCTTCTGGACAGCATTTCTGAGCTCGTCGGCGGTGTATGTGTTGTTTAGTACAACGACTGGGCATCCAATACGACCACCTGCCAAAAACACCTCGATGTATTGATAGCAATTCCCTGCCATAATGCCAATGCAGTCACCATTTCGGAGACCCATCTCAAGCATTGCCTTGCCGAGTATTTTCGACCGATCTGCCAACTGGCGATAGGACAATCGCACATTTTGCCACGAAAATACAGCAGCTGTGTGATGCTCATAACGATTTGCTTGCTCATCGATCAGTGAGCCCAAGGTCTTGAACCATAGAGGTGGCTCTCTGGCACCGTGAACCAAGGCAGGTGTAGGGGTCATGATGGGTAACGAGTTTGGATGAAATAGATAGAATGAGAAGACTTGAAAGAGAGTGGATAGAAGGCTACTCTCTTGTTGCGTATTAAAATTGCAAAAACAGGCTCATTGAATTTAGTTCGTTTGTAGTTGGTCCGTTCCGTGACTTTCAGCCCCGATTCCGGGCACCGGACCGAACCCCCTCCAAGTCCGCCCCGTAGTTATTTTGTATTTTGTACTTCCCTTCAACAAAGTTATGACATACCCACAGCGTTAAAACAGTCAAAGTTTTGAAAGCTGATAGTCATTCATCCAAAGAATTCCTTCCCACAATGACGACTGGATCATCATACCCCAGCATCAGCGCCAACCTGGACCTTCGCGGAGAGCAATATCAGTCGAATAAGGAAGGCTGGACACCCATTCTTGACAAGTTTGAAGATGCCCTCAAACAAGTGTCCGTCGAAGGAAATGATGCCTCTCTTCTTCGACATCAACGACGTGGCCAACTCTTACGTAGGTCGTGACTCATGTGCTACCTATCATGTCTACTGCTGACTAGAAAGCCCGTGACCGAATTTCTCTTCTGCTAGACCAGGACTCACCCTTCTTGGAGGTTTGCGCCTTCGCTGGATACGAGAACAGTGAATCTACACCCGGGGCAAATATCATCGCAGGCATCGGAAATGTGTGTGGCAAGCCGTGTTTCCTTCTATCCCATGTGCCGACCTCCCAAGGAGGAGCATGGAACAGCATGACTGGTATGCTCCTTTTCCACAATTTACAGATGGTCAGAGCTGACTCAAAACGTAGTCTTGAAAGTAAACCGTTGCTTGGAGATCGCGACTGAGAACGATCTTCCACTCATCTCTCTCGTGCAATCCGCTGGCGTTTTCTTGCCGCAGCAACGCACCGTTTTCCACAAGGGTGGCCAGCTCTTCTATGACCTTGCGCAGAGATCAGCCGCAGGAAAACCGTCCTGCGCAATTGTCTTTGGGTCATCGACTGCAGGAGGCGCTTATCACCCAGCATTATCTGACTACACCATCTTCGTTGAAAACCAAGGCCAGGCTTTTCTTGGTGGGCCACCTTTGGTCAAGATGGCCACTGGGGAGGTTATCGAAGCCGAAGAGTTGGGAGGAGCTAAGGTCCATGCTACAATGACAGGACTTGCAGACCAAATCGCGACCGACGAGTAAGTTTGCCTCCGAGTAATGTTTTTGACATTGCGCTTTTCCTAGGTATTGACATCGGACACCTAGGTTTGATGCTATTCAGAAGTCTCGGGAATGGGTCGCCTCACTGCAAATGCGCACTCAACCAACACTCGGGCTGATAGAACCTGCGGCACCGCGTTATCCAGTTGAAGACTTGCTCTCCCTGGTTAATCCAGACATTCGAAAGCCCTTCGACATGAGTGAAGTCTTACTCCGTCTTGTTGATGATTCGCGTCTCTCCACGTTTAAGCCCAAGTATGGACCAAATATCATCACGGCCTGGGCACACATAATGGGTATGAGAATCCCCGATATCATCTCGAAATAATGCTAATCCTAACCGCAGGACATCCTGTCGGTATCGTGGCAAACCAAATCTCGGTTATCAATCCTACCGAGGCTGCAAAGGCTGCGGCCTTCATAAGAATCTGCAATCAACAAAACACACCGATCGTGTTCCTCCACAACGTGACAGGGTTTATGGTCGGAGCCAAAGCAGAGCACGCCGGAATCATCAAGATGGGCGCCCAACTGGTATCCGCCGTCAGCTGCTCGAAAGTCCCCCATATCTCCATAATTCTCAGGAGCGTCCTACGGAGCAGGCAATTACGCGATGTGCGGGAGGCCATACAAGCCCAGGTTCCTGTTCACCTGGCCAACCGGGAAATGTAGCGTAATGGGAGCTGATCAATTGGCCGGTGTCATGGAAACTGTGCAATTGAAGAGTGCCCAGTCGAAGGGAAAGGCGCTTTCACCGGAGAAACTACAGAAGCAGATTCAGACGTTCAGGGACACGGCACAAAGAGATGCCGAGTCCTATTCTACAAGCTCGTCGCTGATCGATGATGGCATCATCGATCCTCGTGATACTCGGGATGTGCTGGGTATTTGCTTGGAAGTGGTTTCTCTCCAAGGTGTTCGTGGCGCAGAGTCGCATATGGGACTGGCGAGAATTTGAATAGCTTCAGACGTGTAAACAGATGCGAATCGCATACTCCGTAGATCTTTCAATTTCTATTTCGGACATGTGAACTAAAGCAAAATATTCAATTTTTTAACAACCCCCCCTTAGTAATGAATGTCAAACAAGTCTCGCATATAAGATGAGGAGCAAGAAGCTAACAAACGACCATACTTTGAAAATTGTAGCATCTCCAACTTCTTTGATTGGAAGATTTGGCTCCGGTCCGGTATCTCCACCCACTCGAGCAAGTCCGTTCGGACCGGCGTTTGCATACAAGTCAGCCATCAACCAATCAAATCACGTAAATCCACGGTCCGATGGGTCCCCTAGAACTGGCGGTCCGGACTGAGCCAGTGGAAGGAGGCCCACATTATTATAGTAAGTGGTGTTCTATGGAAACTGTTATGCGCGTTGTAGTCCAGCCTCGTACCCATCTCTAACAACTTTTTGAGGGAGCTGCAGCACCCACCCGAAACACTACACGATGCCTGGAATCACCAACGACAATAGTTTGACAGATGGCGATGCGTTTCCCCTTCGCAAACCACTGTTTGTGGCACAGCCGCCTCTGGGGGGTGATGGTCGCCCAGTGCTCCGGAAAGTCCTGATTGCGAACCGTGGTGAAATCGCCTGCCGAATTATCAAGACATGTCGCAAACTGAATATTGGCAGCATAGCGGTTTATGCTGATGAGTAAGGATAATTGGGATTCGTCTTTATCTGGGCACTGAAGGCTAACTTATACGCCAAGGGATGCATTGTCACGTCATGTTACGGATGCCGACGAGGCCATCAACATCGGGAGCATTGATAAAAGGAAGGTGAACCCTTTCTTGGACATCGACCTGCTGGTACAGACGGCACTATCAGCAGGTGCCCAGGCTATTCATCCTGGTTACGGATACCTCAGCGAGAATGCCGACTTCGCGAATCGCGTCCGTGGTGCCGGTCTGATCTTCATCGGGCCATCCGCCAGTGCTATGTCATCACTAGGCGACAAGAGATCATCGAAAGTCTTCTTAAGTGAACACGCCCCAGAGGTTCCCTTGATCCCTGGATTTTCAGGCTCGAGTCAGGATGCGGAAGCTCTCAAAACAGCAGCAGAAGAGATCGGGTTCCCAATCATGGTCAAAGCTTCCGCTGGAGGAGGAGGTAAGGGCATGCGCATTGTCAGGGAGGCTGGTCAATTGAAAGACGAGCTTGCGCGTGCACAATCCGAAGCCAGTCGCTCATTCGGCTCAAGCGACTGCATTCTGGAAAAGTACATTGAGAACAGCAAGCACGTGGAGATCCAGATTATGGGCGACTCACACGGCAAAGTCGTTTCGTTTTTCGACCGAGACTGCTCAGTGCAACGCCGGCACCAAAAGGTCATCGAAGAAACGCCATGTCCATTCTTGGATGACAAGACACGACGGGAGATGAGTGATACCGCGGTTCGGATTGGCTCCTTGATCGGGTATGAGAATGCTGGCACTGTTGAATTTATTTTCGATGTGTCAACAGGTAGATTCTATTTCCTGGAGGTCAATGCCCGGCTACAAGTGGAGCATCCTATCACCGAGGAGGTAACTGGCTTTGATCTGGTATCTTTGCAACTTTTCGTCGCTGCCGGTGGAAACCTCAGTACTATCCCAGCTCTGGATAACGTCACCCAGCACGGTGCGTCTATTGAGTGTCGCCTGACGGCTGAAAGTCCGCAAAACAACTTCCTCCCAGAGCATGGCAAAGTGCACTTGTGGCTTCCTGCTCCTGGTGTTCTGTCCCCGGGAAGGGATATTCGCTACGAGACAGCTATTCGGAGTGGATCAGTGGTGTCAATTTATTTCGATTCCATGATTGCCAAGCTGGTCGTCTGGGCACCTACGAGGTCTCTCGCCATCGAGAAGATGAGAATGGTTCTTTCTCTTACCGCTTGTGTTGGAGTGAGAACAAACCAACTCTTTCTCCAAGCCTGTTTATCGAACAAAGAGTTCCATGACCCGGCTTACACAACGTCTTTCATCCCGAACAACATTGAGCAGCTTCTCCAACCATGCTTCCTGCCAAAGGCCGCTGACATTGAGCCTGTTCTTTCTATCATGTCAAGCTTAGCGGTTCGAAATCTACCTGACTATGTATCGAAGTCTTTGCAGACAAAGCCATTCCATAACGTGCGGAGACAGTTTCGAAACCAGAGACTCGATCCTGTTAACGTGCACTGTGACGTGATTACCGCAGTTGATTGGCCTTACCACAACAAGAGCAAGGAAACTATTCCAAGTTCGCTGTGTATCTGGAAGGCTCAGAGCCTGGAGTCACCAGCTGACATAGCAGAAGCTTTTGTTGTGTCTATGCCGGATGACAAGGACTTCGAGAATGATTCGAAATCTGCCGCCACTGAAGTTTCTATGAAGTACAACCAGATCAGTCAGGAGATTCGCAAAGGGGAATATGTCAACTCAATTCCATACAAAGCTTGCATAGAATCATGGCAGCCGGCAGAGGGTAACACGGCTGTCGTAGAGTCGTGGCTTTCTTCCAAAATGACTGTGTCCATCAGTGGTGTGAAAACATCGGCTTATGTTTGCCTTCCTTCGGTTCGCCCGCACACGCTTATCGGACAAGTGGATCAGAGCCAGCAAATCTACTGCCATATCCCGGCGATTGGGACTTATGTTGAGATGAAACGTGACACGCTACTCTCATTTGCGGGCAGTATTCGATCCATTGCCAAGTCCAAGGATGACCCTGAGCAGAAGACCGTGACGGCACCAATGCCCTGCAAGGTCCTTTCTATTCTGAAAAGCAATGGAGATTCTGTCAATGCTGGAGACTCTGTCATGATCATCGAAAGCATGAAAATGGAAATCAACATAGCGGCTTCGTCTACTGGTAAATTTGAGACGAAGTGGAAGGAAGGGGATGCCGTTGAAGATGGAAAGGTTCTTTGCACTGTTGTCTAGAGCTCCATCATAATGAATGAATCTATCCAAGTTTAAATCGCTTGTATTGATAGTAGAAAACCTTAAATGACTTCTTAATTCGACGATCGGCGATTTCGAGAGCAAAGAGCGCATTATCAATACAATCAATTCAGATTCACGACTTCGCTGTGATCTTAGCCACCTAGTGCCAAACAATTAATTCCAAGCCAAAGCCACTAGCTGTATCTAGGTTTATTTTACAGTGGCGTTGCACAAAGTTGAAACCTCCTATTTCCCACCAATTTTGACCGGCTTCTAATATCTATTCCATCACAGGTAGCTACTAGTCTGCCATTGGAACGTGCATTGCGCCGGTTGCGCTTATCGAGCGCCGTAATCCGATATCACTTTTTGCTCCTCTTGCGAAATCTATGACTTCTTTATTTCAGTTGATATTGCCAATTAGATGAGTAAAATGCGAATGTTCATTAACAAATTTCAAGCAGGCTGACCGATTTAAATGATTTCAAGTTCCAGATTCAAAAAATACAATTGTCATTTTTGTTTTTTATTTTTATTTTTATTTTTTCAAAAAAGAAACGACTTCAACTTCGCTCTCGGGCTAAAGCTTACTCTGCTTCTTCATGTGTTTAATCTCTTGGTTAACAGCCAACTCTGAAAGGATCTCCTCGCTACCTCCACCAACAACCATAACCCTGACATCCCGGCTGACCTGCTCAATGCGAGCTCCACGGCCATTCTTAGAGTAGCCAAGGCCGCCCATCACCTGCTGCGACTCCCTATTCACCATTTCTAGGGTACGCCCTGCAAGTACCTTGAGGTTTGCGAACAAGCCCCCCCATTCCGGCATCAGTTCCATTTTCCTTTGTGTCTTGGTGCATATAAACCAGTTGTTCCATCCATGCGTAGGCAGAGTCTAGGCTCCGGGCCATCGCAGAAAACTTCGAGCGGATAACCTGGTTCTCGATCAACTTTTTACCAAATGTCTCTCGGGTGATGGCATGTCGGTATGCGTCCTCTGCACAAACGCGAGCCATGCGAAGAGAGGTGCATGCAAGCCAAAGCCGCTCGTGGTTGAAGTCTGACTTGGAATCAGCGCTACGTTAAGACAGGAACCTCTGGGGAGAGCACGTACTGTTCATAATCACAGGAAATCCCTTATTCTCCTCTCCGAGTAAGTTTGCTACAGGGACCTCGACTTGGTCTAGTTCGATGTATGTTGATCCTGAAAAATCAATGATCAGCGAAAGTCACTGGTAGTTTGCATAGTGTCGAGTAGTACACACCACTTGCATGAACCCCAGAATTATGAATTCTCTTGCATGTAACTCCAGGAACCTTGAGAGGGATTATAAGTGCTGATATGTCCTGGGGACGCTCGCCTGTCCGGACAGCAGCCGTGCAATAGTCCGCCCACATGCCATTGGTAATCCACTTCTTCGCACCATTCACAATATAGACATCTCCTTTCCGTTCGGCGGTAGTAGTGATCCCGGCAACATCAGATCCCGCTGTATGTTCAAGGTTCAATTAGATCGAGAAATAATTCAAAAGGCGCGACAAGACGTACCATCCGGCTCAGTAACCCCCAAACAGAATCTGATTTTTCCTTTGAGCATTTCTGGGAGAAATCGGTGCTTTTGTTCCTCAGAGCCAAATTGTATGACAGGAGGACCACCAATAGAATTTCCACATCCTAGACCCCATACTATACCAAGATAGCCACAGCGAGCCAGTTCATCAATGACAATTAAATCATGGAAACCATCCCACTCTAGAGGGTTGATATCGCCGGGGAGTCGTTGGCCGTGGAGATACTCCGCTGCCAATGGGAATGAGGCAACTGCTGTGTACCCTAGCTCCGCATGTTTGATTTGAACCTGAATGATGTCCCCATCAGTCTTTCATTCGGAGGAAGTGCCATAGGAGTATTTCGAATCATCACGAACCTCGGGGGGGATAGAGCCTGCTTTCTCCCAATCTTCCTACGAAGAAACAAATTTTAGCTTCAATGGCAGGGTGACCGGAGATTGAAAAGTTTGCATACACAAAATGGAGTTATGTTGTTGTCAACATATTCGCGAACTTCTCGTTGCAGCCGACGATGCGATTCTTTGTAGTACGGACTGCTTTGGCGATTAAGCCAAAGCGGATCAGCGAAGGGGGTATTCGAGACAGACATTCCGTTTTTCTTGGTAATTCAGCTAATGTCAATTTGTCTGGGTGGGAGCTTTATTATGGCGGAAATTACTTGCCTTCCAAGGTTAATTATTATTACATGTAAGCATCGAGATGGCCGGACCGAACCCGAAACCCCGGACTCAGCGGACCGACCTGACATCTGCGCGCGTGAGGCGGACCGGCAGGGAAATCTAAAGCCATGTGAAATCATTCTTGTTTTCATCCATTCTCGGCATTGCTGCGTGATCGAATTTCATCAATATTGCCACAATTTTACATCTTGTGATATGGTACAAGGCCCCTCGAATAGCTAGTAACCCAAGCGGTATCTCACGCAATAATACTTTACTAGTGCGGTTATGAGCACCTTAGGGTCTTGGTTGCGCCCCAGGCTAGCGAGCTCGTAGACTATTTCCTTCAACAAGCACCCCTTTCAATCTTCAACAAGCACCCTTTTCAATTTTTCAACATCACCGACTTGAAAATCACAACCAAAATGGCATCTTTCAAAGCCCTTCTCTTGACAGCATTCGTCTCAGCCGCTGCGTATGCCGCGAATACCACGGATTACGATTGTCCAGTCGGCTGGCTTCCCAACACTTGGAAGGAGACAAGATGTTGCTCCGGCGACATGGTCGTCAATGACACAGACGCCTATTGCTGTGTCTCTGACATGAGATTTTACAAAGAGGCTCTCACCAACACGGCACTGCTATACGAAACCGCCACGACCACGACCACAGGCGATGATTACAGTCGCTGGGCCACGTTGAAAGAGACCTGTGTCGCAAAGGTTCCCTACACACTGGCAGCCAGCGACTATTCTTCTCAGGTCTCTTCAGCATCGAAGAAAGCCGAAGCTACTCCCACCAATACCACCGCGACTACTACCAACTCTGCGGCTACCTCGGAAGCCACCTCCGGTTCAGGTTCGCAGGCCTCGACACCGACTTCGAACGCGGCCATGCCTCTTGCTACGGCTGGAGATGTTGCATTAGGAGGTGCGGCACTCGCTGCAGCTCTCTTTGTGCTGTGATTCATGGTGGTCGTTGAAATCTCAGTTGGACATTGTTTGGTTCCGGTTCGTTTCGGATGTTATCCGAAACCTAGTACTGTATCATAGAGAAGTCTATACTGCCTCCATTTTGTTGGGCAAATGTTTTCGAAATACAATGAGTACGTTTTATACATATATCAAAGTCTGTTATTAATTTCTGGATTCAGAGAGAGCCCAGTAGGACCCTGGAAATGTTCAAGTTGCCAAGTACTACATACCACGAAATACAAGGGTCTGTAATGAGACATTCTGCCCTACGAGTCTGGCCCCCAACCCTTGGCATCAGTCTGGACTATCAAGAGCCAAGCAATTAGCCCTGGGCCAAGAACTAGCACCAAGCTACAGATCCTTCAGGGTCCCAATCCGCCAATAAGAACTATTCGCTTCATCCGGAATCGCCGGGACAAACAATGTGACCATGCCGAGTTCCGGACCAAATTTCAGTTGTCAACCTCTCGATAAACCCCGCCTGCGCACTCGTCGACGTCCATGTCTAGACGCTTTATCTTCTAGCTCGTTTCATGCCAAGCCGCATGCTATTAGTTTTGATGGCCAGCACGAGAAGCGTTTCCATTCTGCAATAATGTGAGAAACATCCCAAAATATCGATCGATAAACGCCTAGAACTAAGACATACCTTTCTTTGAATAGCATCATCAGTCCCTGCACCAAAAATCCCTTGGTAATTTGCGGGAGAAGACCCTTGTAGAGTCGTAAGAAACCTTCCTTTCGGAGGATGTATATGAGGACTTCTGTGAACCCCCTTGAAAGGCCTTCCCCCCTGTGATCCCACAGACTTTGATTGCAACATAGTCTTGGCTACTATCAGTGGGTGGGTCACAATTGTTGCTATTATCTTCGATAGAGCGCCAAGCACTGAAACATGTTAAAATCGTTGGTAAAGACCATATGAAGATCAATAATAACTCACTGAATGCATCGAAAGAGCCAAGGTCTTTTCTCACATTGACTAAGATATTCCGGAGCCATTGATAAACACCGTACGTGATCATAGGGTTGATGACCAAAATCAGGTTTACCTTCAGCCCAGTCCATAGCCCAGTCCATCCATCATCACTGTCCAGTATCGCTTTCATGGATCTCCAGATAGATTCTTTGCCCGTGATCTTTGTGCCCAGCTGTTGTTGCGTCGAAACAACCGATATAGGAGTCGTGAAGAGTTGGGCCATGGCGCCGCCTGCAGCACCGAGGCCCAGCTCTTTCACAATGCTGTTTGCATCTGCGCGACCACGGGCTTTAAGCATCGCTCCGTACAGGACTCGCGCAGCCGCTGACCAGTAGAAATATGCAAAATTCATAGATGCGGTGCCAAGAACAGAGCTAGCCAGGCCACTATACAACCCTAGGAATCCATCTGACTGGATGATCTTAAACACTGCGTCCACAGCATTATCGTACTGAGGGCCAGTTTCTGATCCACAGTCGCTGGTTCCGTCTTTATCGCGCTCTTGGACTTGAATCTGCAGCCGTGTCTTAACACTAGAGGAATTAGACAGAACCCCTGGAGTAGGATGCAAAACTAGAACGATACATATCAAGTGGATAGACCAGAAAATTCGCAAGGATGGCGGCCCCGGTCCCGGAAAGTACACTATTCCAAGGCGAAAGATTATTCTTTGTCGACATTTTTATTGCGTAGCCTATGCGAGACAGATTGATTGATCTCAGTGAATATTAAACTATTTACATGATAATAACAGGTTCCCTTTATCTCTAGTTCGGCTGGCCCCGGCATTATCTCGGTCCGACGGTCCGACGATACGATCGGAAGGGGGTGTGATTCAGACTAATCCATTGGCCCCAGGACTACAGTTTAAAAGATGCTCAACCTCATTAAGTCGCATTGTAGGCGAGAATCCATCAAAAATGCCCGTGTTATCGGGAGCTGACCGAGATGGTGCGCTCATATTAAAGCTCGACTGAAGAGCCCATGAATCTGGCGAGGGAATATTTGAGGTGCTGGGTCTTGGTATCAGGGGTCTTTTGTATGGATCTGAGCCCAAAATCCCGTAGTCTATCATGGACCACAGTATGTCTTCATGATATGCGTCAAGATCCTCTGTTAGGCGTGCTGGATCGAGAAGACCAGAGAATTGATCGGCAATGCTGTGAAAGTCACTGAGGCGGACGGCCTGGAAATTCCATTAGATTTGTCCAATCCGTGGGATCAGAGATACTTACCATGTTTGCGGAATGTGTCCAGAACTTTCCCAGTGAGTTCAGAAAATCGAGGCTCTGCTGAAAATAGTAAAGAATATCAGACTGGCGCCGGGCGACACTCTGGTGTTCGAAATGAGATGCCAGGGAATTGATTGACCCTGCAACTGCAATACAGTATGCATAAAAGGAGGATTCTATTCGGCATCCAGTTTCTGTAGCTTCGCGTAGGAGATCGAGCAGTTGTCTGGCATGGCCTGCTCCATCTTGGAGTGCTTGTGCTGAGAAACTACTCGGGGCCTTGGCAAATGGTTTCAGGCGCAGGCGAACAAGAAACGGGTGATTCAAGAGACAATGACAAAGGTGAAAAAGGGTATGGGCGAATATCAGCTGCCCTTTCTCGTCTGGGTGAGTCTCGTGCAGGATGTCCGAGATTTTCCGATCGCTAATCTTGGAATATGACTCCAGGAGGAGCAAAGCAGATTTGATCGCAGAGAACTCTGATTTGGTATCCCATGGAGGAATTTGATCTGACTTTTTGTCTCGGTGCACGTATCTTGTGCAACGTCCAAATATCGATGCCATGAGCGTCACCAGAGCAAAGGGGCTAGGATTTTCAATGACCTCTGCGTTCCAATTCAGTAGCTCACTCAAGGTGTTTGTCTGTTTCCAGGTACCATTTTGAAAGGTGGTTTCATCGCAGGGTAGCTGCACATAACAATCATCATCCTGTATGACAATTGGACGTCCTTGGCCACATGATATCAGCTTATCTATGAGATAGGCCGACCAGAAGGTCCGGCGTCGTTCCTCTTGCTCTGCATAAGACAAATAACCGGTCGGTTCCATCATCAAATGCAGGTCTTGTGAAATCCGCGCAGCGAGTCCAATTTTCAGCCATCCAGAGCTCACGCGACCAGCTAAAGTACAGAAAGCGTTGTCAGTTTATTTCATCACCATCAGATTGCACTATACTGACCAGTATAGTCTACCACCGCAAGCAAGTTCACAGTTTGTACGACATGTAAATTCAGATTTTCTTCCACCGCCATATGTTCTGTTAGAACTGATAACCACGATTCTCTCGCGTATTCAGATGAAGCCTGTGGCTTCCCCGTGTAGTAATCATGATCGGAGAATCTAACGGCGGACGAGAGAAGTGCCAAAACTAAGCACCGGGGAAGAGAGCCATTGGCCAGTCTTTCTCGAAATGATATTTCTTTGAAAAACGAATAGGGTTTGTTGTGACAATGGCTGAAGTATGTGTTTATAACCGATTGTAGCACTGGCAGTGGAGGGTATGATCTAGCAAGCATCAAGATTGATTGTTAGCCGAGGTAGAGTTTTCTTCGTTGCCTTTGTTTGGATCACATGTAGACATACGAATAATTGGTCGCCTGTGAGAAGTTCGTGTGCAGGTCCGGGGATCTTATTGATGGCGAAATATCGCTCCCTGATTGTGATGGGTTTAATAAATTATCGCTGGAACTGGAGTCGTCAGCATATCACCAACGCTCTGTGCGAATAGAAAACGAACTCGTTTCGCCGTGTTGACTGCTCGCTGAGCTCCGCGAGTCGGGATTCAATGGTACTTATTCGGTGTAGAAGTTCCGTCTATCACTGGAGTTAGCGCTGGCTTGGTCCAGAGGCTCACGAGAACACACATTGCTAGAATCTTGGTAACTATTCGTGGTCGGTAGTGGCTGTAGTGGCTGTCCTGGTTGGTTTGGTTCTGCCACTATTGTCGCAGAGTAGGGTTCGTAGAGGCATGCGATTCGGTTTCGGCGGCAATGGAAGCAAATAGGACGTTCTCCAGAGCATTTTGTCTTCTTGCGTCTAAAGCGTTTTCACGTTACACAAGATGTCAGTCTGGATATGGCGAATGCTGCAGGCAAGCCCCTGAGAGGAAGGATCTTCTTTACCTGCAATTCGCACACGCTTGTCTTATGCGCTTGATACCCTGTGCGGACTCGAAAGACATGTCCATAGCGGAAATAATTCCCCGCGATCGCGATGGGGTTCAAAGCGATAGAAACTGCACAACACTTGGGCACAAGTTGGTGAGGAGAAGAAAATGCGGGGAAAGTTGACGGTGTGACGCGCGGAAACCAGCGGCCCCGCGTTGGCTGGTTCTTCCCCGGAAACTAAATATATCCAGGGATCCTTTGCTCCGGGGTAAGAAACCTTGGAAACGGCGATTAAGTCCTCGCTATGAACTCGGATATGCTCATCGGTCGTCCCACAGTATTGACGGGTGACGCTCATGGGAATTGGGCTTCCCAATTGGATAGGTAATGTGAGAAACCACAACTTCAAATCTGGGATAGGTCACGCGAAGTTTCATTTGCCCCTCCTGTTATCTCAATTTCTATTAACCTAGAGAAACTACAAGCCAATCAGCTTGTTCACCACTGATGAAGGTTGCAAATGCCTGGTCTAGAGTAAATCTCACCTTTATGCCCGAATTTGGTAATTTTGTCAATGACCCACTTCAACCAACATCCAGCTTGATCGCGACCCAGATTCATCGGTTCTTCGGAATACAAGGTGTCGTTTGTGGGGTTTGTTATCTCCTATCTCTCGTTTTAATAGCCCTTTTTGTCTTTCCCTGGACATGTCTGGGTATGATGTGAAAACCCGAGCTTTCCGAGTCGGAGTCCCGATGCTGCTTCTAGTTGGCAGCGGGGCATGAAGCCCTTGGAAGCCTACTAGTATATATACTACTGCCAGTGGTTACTGCGAGATTCGCACGATCATTTAAACTTGAACTTGCGAGGATTCTGCTGGAGGTTTTTAGAAGTTTTTGCCACTCACCTGGTCAGGCATTCCAGAGCGTTTAATTCTTCCACGATGACCTCCCGCGATGGCTTTCAATGGACTCCTCAGAATGGACTGAAACAAGGTGTCCCATCTATTGGTGTCATATCCCCATCGACAAAAATCACCTCAGACACACCATGGGATGTCATTGTCATCGGAGGTGGATATTCTGGTCTCACAGCCACTCGAGACATGTGCGTAGCAGGTATGAAAGCCCCTGCTCTTCACTTGCCGAGAGCAATCACTGATTCCATACAGGATTGAAAGTTCTCCTTGTCGAAGCCCGCGATCGCATTGGTGGGAGATCTTGGTCGTCTAATATCGAAGGTCACCCCTTCGAGATGGGAGGTACTTGGGTCCATTGGCACCAGGCGAATGTCTGGCGGGAGATCTCTAGGTACCAGATGGGAGAGGAGCTGGAGCCTTCTTTCGATTTCTCCCGTGGAGTCAACTATTTCGAATTGCGCACCGACAAACATGCTACAACCATGAGTCACGAGGAAGAGGATACGCTACTTGCCACGGCGTTGGAAAAATTTGTGAACGTCGATGGTGACATGGGTCGTATACTTGTCCCCTTTCCTTATGCCGGTTTCCACAACCCTGATGCACGCAAATACGACAAGATGTCAGTTTTAGATCGTCTGAACGTCATTTCTCAGTCTCTCACTCCAAATGAACGAATCGGACTGGAAAGCTTTATTCTGCTCTGCAGCTGTGGCACCCTCGAAACAACCAGCTTTTTCGAGTTTCTACATTGGTGGGCTTTGTGTGGCTACACCTACCGCGGATGCATGGACTGCCTCATCTCATTCAAGTTCAAGCAAGGCCAATCCTCATTTGCCATAAAGTTCTTCAACGAAGCACTATCGACAGGAAATCTATCCTATGCATTTAACAGTCCTGTTAAGTCGATTCAGAATGAGGACAAGAAAGTCACCGTAACAACTCGCGATGGTCGCAGTTTTACAGCATCGCGCTTGGTTTCCACCATTCCGCTCAACGTGCTTAACGACATCACTTTCAATCCTCCCCTTGACCCTATCCGCACGCAGGCAACTAAGATTGGTCATGTCAACCAGTGTGTCAAGGTTCATGCTGAGATATCGAATAAGGATATGCGTTCTTGGACTGGAATTTCTTATCCGTTCAACAAACTCACGTACGCGATCGGAGATGGGACCACGCCAGCTGGAAATACGCACATTGTATGCTTTGGAGGACAGCACAATCACATCCACCCCGAGGAAGATGTCAATGCAACCAAAGCGGCCGTGACAAGCATGGCCCCTGGAAACATGGATATTCAGCGCCTGGTGAGTTCCCCTGGCCTTCCTCTATTCGAGGAAATAGCTAATAAATTGAAGGTCTTCCATAATTGGTCCAAGGACGAATTTGCCAAGGGAGCATGGTTTTTCTCCTCTCCAGGATTCATCTCCAGCTCGCTCGATGCGCTTCGTCAACGACATGGAAACATACTTTTTGCTAACTCCGACTGGGCAATTGGATGGCGCAGCTTCATTGATGGGGCTATCGAGGAGGGTACCCGGGCAGCTCTTACGGTGAAGGAGGAGCTTCGATCTACTCCACTCCGATCCCACCTGTAGAATCCAACATTATTAAAATAGCTACGTTCATCTAAAATGCGAACTAAAACATATTCATGTCCAATTGCAATTCATACCCTTCAAGTTCGGCTTCGCACCTGAATCCACAGCCTTGCCGATACATAGTTCCTAGAAAATTGTTCAATTCCATTCAGAACCTTGCGAAAATCTGGAAGGCCATTTAAATTTGGAGAACGCGTGCGTTAGTAATGGAGTCAGCCAGGAAAAGCCTCTGGGTTTGTCTGATATTAACCATCAAATCGGAAACCCTTAAGCTACCTATCCGAAGAAGGACTCCTGGAAGATAACAAGGTGAAGGGCTCAAAATTGAGCAAGGGAGCGATCTGCTTCTACGTCTTTCTGCACTCATCAGTATTCTTGAAATATGCGGGGTTAATTAACAAAACGCCTTCGAGCGAAATTCACCCCCCACATGATCATTATCCGGAGTGAGACCTATTGCATGGAAGATGATTGGTGATTATCAGGTTCGGAAAGGGCCCCTTATGGCGTGAAGACGTAATTGCCACTCGAATTATACTTCCCGGGGCGACCATTTTCTCTCCTTTATTTCTGCTTTTGGTAATAATATTTCCCCGCACAATTCACCTTATCATCGTCACCGTGAAATGATAAGACATGCTCCGTTGGCGTTTATGATACGAAGCATATACTCATGTGAGGACTGTTCTGTCCGTATTTTAGCAGAGCATTGTCCCACCGGTCTGCTTGTTACATCTCAACTATTTCCTTTTTTTTTATTAGGCGTCATTGAGACTAAAACGCAATGGAATCCGATGAAATGAAAGTAGAGAAAGGTATGTTGACTTATTGACTATTCATACAATATTTTCCACTACAATCGACTAATGTTTCCTTTCTATAGCTTCTATCGAGGCTGAAAGGCGTGAGTTCACCTTCATGTCACCCAACTATCACATCCCAAATCCAATCACTTGTTCGCCTATTTTATAGTTCACATGACTAACGATATTCAGAGCCAGGGCAGATGGAGAATTTAGTTGGCCAAGTTCAGCTTAAAGGCCTTGATCTTCACACCGAAGGGGGTCGGAAAATGAGTTATCTGGAGACCATATCGGCTAGCTGGGTAATCTGTGATAGCTGGGCGGGGTTGGCTGGGACCGTTGCTCTTGCTATCTCCCAAGGAGGTCCAGTAACACTGATATATGGGCCTCTTCTCATGTTCATTTTGGTTGGAGCGTGCACATTAACCCTCGCTGAACTCGCCAGCGTCTACCCCACTGCGGGAGGGCAATACCACTGGACTTCTATACTGGCGCCGAAAAGGGTCAATCGATCTCTGGTAAGATCTTCGAATCGTGCCTCTCAAGAAGGAAATCCATTGACTTGACATAGAGTTACTGCTGTGGTATCATCAATATGTTTTCATGGATTGCCATCTGCACGGGAATTGCCATCATTCCGGCCCAGTGCATCGTGGGGATGATTGTTTTCTATAACCCGAACTTTACCCCACAGCCATGGCACTCCTTCCTGATCTATCAAGCTATTAATGGCTGTGTCCTGCTTTACAACATAACTCTATTGAAGCGGTCTCTCTGGATACATGATGTATCCTGTAAGTTTTCATCTCAGCATACCAACCGGGCTCTGCTTACATTGATAGTTTTCGTGACCCTGGCTAGCTTTCTGGTAATTACAATTACCTGTGTTGCAAAATCTGCCCCACATTATGAGCCATCTGTTAATGTCTGGGGAACATTCCTTAATGGTAGTGGGTGGAGTTCTGGCGGGGTTGCCTTTCTCACTGGCCTCGTCACACCTAATTACATGTATGCTGGGATTGATGGAGCGCTTCATCTTGCCGAAGAATGCATAGACGCTGCCATCGTCGTTCCTCGGGCATTGATGAGCACTCTGATAATTGGATTCGTCACCTCATTTGCATTCATGATCGCCATGTTATACTGTACCAGCGATCTTGATGCGGTGGTTGCCTCCAGCACTGGGTATGTTGAAATTTCCTACGAGTTGATAATTTGACCCGACTAAGATCGTCCTTACTACTATATAGTGTGCCGATTTACGAAATGTGGCGTCAAGCGACCCAATCAAATACAGCCGCAACAGTATTCATCGTTCTTCTCTGCTGTGCAGCAACCTTTGCCCTCATCGGTGCCCAGCAAACTGCTTCGAGATTGACCTGGTCTCTTGCTCGAGATCGGGCGATTATGGGAAGCCATTGGCTGAGTCAAATCCACAGCCAGTGTCAAGTCCCAGTATGGGGACTTATCTTCAACTTCGCTGTCATGTTCATCATCGGATGTGTTTATCTAGGCTCTTCATCTGCCTTCAATGCCTTTATCGGAACCGGTCTTGTTCTTCAGCATATCTCATACGCCTTCCCTGCTGCTCTACTTCTGTATAGAAAGCGATCAGAGACCTGGCTACCCCGGGACCGATCATTTCGCTTACCCGGACTCAGTGGATTTGCTGCCAATATTATCACTATATGCTTTGCTATCCTGGTACTGATATTCTATGATTTTCCAACCTCACTGCCAGTATCGGGAAGCAGCATGAATTACACAGCTGCGGTTCTGGGAGTCATGGCGCTGTGTGGGATCCTCAACTGGGCGTTATACGCTCGGACGAAATACCATGGACCGCGACTGCTACAGTCAAGCGAGTGATCGATGTAACTAAGCCTATGGGAATCAATTACGAAGTAAATTTTACCATTTGACCATTTGACCATTTAGAGGCTAGAATGTAGTCTCTCCGCCTCGGACCGGTGGCCCGGAACCCCCCCCGCTATCACAGTGGAGGCGGCCAACCTGCGAGTTCGTTTCTTATTTTTGTTTCACCAGATTTATGATCACCATCCACGGAGTACTACCGGGATACATGTAGAGAGAAAACCGCACTGACGCGACGCCGATGACAAATTCTGGCAGCAAGAGCAAGAGCAAGAGTGAGTCTCGGTGGCCCAGGGCATCAATTCCTAACGTGACACGCCGAAATGCTGACGGCATTCCTTCATTGCCGCAGGTTGCAGAGAATGCACTAAGCGCAGAATCATATGCGACAACTCGGAGCCCAGTTGTAATAAATGTTTGAAAAAGGGAATCCATTGCTCGGGCTCGGGGCGAATTCGTTTCTCAGGGCCCGCTCTACGTGGCAAGCTTAGGGATGGCTTTGGGCCTCAACCTGATGCTCCGAGCGCGACTCCTTCCAAAATTCGATGGAAGAATGACCAGCCGAAACGCGTTAGACGCGTGAAAAAATCTAGTGATCCCTCCGAGAGCGAGTCGCAAGCGCCTCAACAGGCTAGAGATGATGAGGCTCTAAGCCAAGTGGCAACGGGAACACCCGATGACAGCTCTCTTGAGTTGGTTTCACGCTCATCAACACGCTCGTCGGAATCGATTCCATACTGGATATCTCCAATGGACTCTCAAGTTCGCATGTCCATGTCACATTGTGAGATACTTGTATTCTTGACCCCCCCAAACACACCCAATTAACCACTTTTATGCAGTTGCGGAACATGTTGCACCTGTCATGGTGGTACTAGACCATGTTGCAAATGGCTACCGAGACATCATTTTACCGCTAGCTTGTGACCATGATTTGTTACGTCGAGCAGTGGGTGTTGTTGCCTCTCAGCATTTCGCCCTTTCTCACCCAGACTACCAAGGCGCCGTAGATCAAGGCCGTGCAGCTATTATCTCCCAACTTCGCCAGGACGCGTTTTCAGCTTCGCCCGATCATGTTTTCAATCAAGGAACCTGGGCAACTATTATTGTCCTATTGGTCGGAGAAACCATCACGGGTAGCTCCGAATATGGTCACCTACTACAAACTCTTCTGTGCCTGTTCCAGAATGTTGGGCATATAAACTCTTCCACAAAACGTTTTTTGACTCAGCAAACGCATATGTATGTCGACCGAACCCCTTCTAGAAAACATTACTTACGATATTATCAAGGTTTGAGTTTCTAGGCCAGCCGTTATTAGGAGAGACCCAGGGAATTAATGCTCTTCGCCTGCCGCTTGAGAATTATCTCGACTGGATCTGTTACGACACTCCTACGGATTCGGAAGACAGCAACCTCCTTCTTAGATTAAGGATGGCCTTTATCAAAGCGTCACATATTTACCTCGGTCGCACATCCTCTGATGAGGATCAGTGGCAGCTCGTCGAAAACCTGAAACAGCTTGTTAGTCAGATTGATCCTGAACGAGTTGGTGCTCACGCCCTAGTGTGGGTATGCTTTATCGGTGCTGCGGATTCTACCGATCCTGAACATCGGACGTTCTTCACAAGTCGGTTGCAGCAAGTTTTTGTGAAAACCAGGTTCAACAACATTATTTCCGCTATAAACTCGCTGCCGGGAATTTGGCGCCAGAAAGGGTCTTGGACGCGAAACTTGACCCTAACAACACCAACATTGATCATGTAAAACAATTCGGATGTCTTTTTTTTGCTTTTCCTTTGGGCATACTGCTTTGTAATTATAATGAATCTATAAAAATGCCATACATACAAGTTGTTAGAAATTCGGATATTGACTGGAACTCGCCTCCTGGTTATATCCGATCAAATGCCTTCTATTTCCGAACCAATGAGGATCATCTTCTTCACAACTACCGAAGCCAGCAACCGTCACCACAGGCTAGCCAACTCTATTCCTCGCCCCGCAAAATACAGCCCCGGGCTCTTTCAACGGATCCTGATGACCTCTTATCGCTGAGAAACTATGTCGGACGAGAATATCACACAGGGAGCGACCACACCCCAAGAGTCATCACCAAGCCTCCTGAAATACCGGTGTACAATATGCGACAAGCAGTATAAAAGACGCGAACATCTGGGTCGCCACATATCCAGTTCCCATACTTCAGACCGACCCTTTCGATGCAAATCATGTCACGGCTCTTTCCAGAGAGGGGATGTACTCAAACGCCATTTACGAACGTGTGGGGGTGGGCCATCAAAAGCAGGGGCAAAACGACGCGCTTGCGACCGGTGTGTCCGCCAGAAAAAGGCGTGCAATGCGGATCAACCGTGTCAAGGGTGTTCCAAAAAGGGCGTCCTTTGCTTCTACTCCACTCCGAATTCCGACGAGATCGCCCTTACGGTTGATCAGGGTGCCTCAGCCCTAGTCTCAAACGAACATCGTCACGATGCTACCCCATCTACTAGCTCCGATACGCCTTTTGGTATGCCTGGCCAGGGGCTAGGAACATTCAGCTCCACTCCACTTGATAGCTTGTTTCGACAAAACGCGTTGGACTGTTCCAGTCTACCCTGGCCTGATTATGCACAAATCACCTCCGATGCTCAGTTTCTTGACAATACCACATGTGGCTATTCATTGCCTTTCCTGGACCGATTCACAAGTAATACGGGTCTTTTATTGAGCTTTGACTGCGGAACACAAGAGCAGAGAGAACAGGTCGCCTCGGCATTGGAACTTGAGAATTTTGATATTCTACAACACACATCAACCATTTTGTCACAGCCCCATTCGAAATTCAGTTCAGCCTCCCCTCTTCTCTTGGATAACATCAGCGACGCCGGCAATTTTGATTCCATTCCACAAAACTGGCTAAGTGAACCGCTCTCGCTCAAGACTCACGAGATTCTTATGTTGGTTGAAGAGGTGGTCACTGTAAAACCCCGAAACAGCCCTGTGACTCTGGAATGGTCATCATCTCTCAAGTATGCGTGCTTAAAATTCTTCTCGCCTGCGAATCTTCGAAAATACCTTGGCTTTTACTGGGCTATCTGGCACCCCAACGTCAATTTCGTGCATAGGCCTTCCTTTGACACTGTGTCAGCAAAGCCCGCCCTTTTGGCAGCAATGGCACTCATGGGTGCCTGTGTTTCTCCCGATATGCCAGATAATGAAGATGCACGAATGTGGCTAAATTGTGTCGAGGAGATAGTCTTCATTGATGACGACTTCAACAGTGACTTGGGCTATCCGGTCTCGAATAATACTATATCCATTCATCGCCCCAAGCTACAGGCCCTTCAGGCCGCCTACATAGTCTGCCTCTATCAAAATTGGGAGGGTACCGACAGCAGCAAAAGCCGTATCCGCCGATTCCGTTTTGCCAATCTGGTGTCTACTGCAAGAGACATCGGAATCACAACCGCGACCCACATAAACTATGCAACTCTTGTGAGGGCTGATTTCCAATGGAAAGAGTTTGCTGCAAGGGAGGAGCTGATTCGACTATTTACATGGATCTTTCTACTCGACACTGCATTCGTTATCTTCAATAATCTACCTCCTCGGATGGTCTTCAAGGAGATGAACATCAATATGGCAACTCCAGAAGCATGTTTCCAAGCGGAGACGGCAGATCTATGCCATCAAAAAATCCAATCCCATTTACCAGCCGGAAGCGCATACTGGGGACTTTCATTCCGGCACGCATTTGAGGCGCTCTCTCAACCTGAATTATCACCGACCATGCGGCACTCGATTGCATCCTTGGGCCAACTCAATCTATTCGCGATGGCCTCTGGTAAGTGATTTCTACTTTTGGTAGCCAAATGCATCACTGACAAATCGCAGCGATTCACTCTCAGATCTTTCAGTACCGGAACTCGGTGAGCATGTGCCAAAGCCTGACTTCAATTCGTTATACCTTGGCGAACTGGCACACCTCGTGGCAGTTGTTTGCTTCCTCGGGCTCCTCAGGCACTTCACCCCATATTCTGGTTGACGAAAACGATATTCAACCCGAGACTATGTGGAAAAGGAACGGATTCTATCGCTATTGTGCAGAATACTGGCTCTTGGCGAACCTTATGGCAGATCGACTCGCCGTAGCCGAATTACTGCCTCAGAATAGTATATCGCTTCTGAATGACTCGGTCCTGGACCCAATATTGAGTAAATACGATCAAACTAGCATGCGACAAGTCAATGATCTTATCACGGGCTTCCAAACTTTCCAGATATGAATGTTGATATAATGAAATATGCATCCACCCTTCTCGGATATTTGGGTACATTTTACTAGTAAAATTATCCAAGTTTAAATCAAAGATAATTTCTTAAACTTTAAACACAGATTATTTCCAACCTTTTGATTGAATTTCATTACAAAGATTTCTATTCGTCATATGTCCCGATGTAATCCATGGATCTCGCTCAATACATTCCACCCCCACCTCCGCGTCCGACCCATCCCACAGCCCCCGATATCATCCCACATGCTTTCCGGCAACCCCATGAATAGGATGCGAAGATACATGAGTGATCTTAGGACAGGAAATTATAAAAGCAACGTAGAAAACGTAGGAGGAAAATTCTCTTGAATCAAATCCTCCTCAGGTTCACACGTCACCATGTTGCCTATAACTCTTATTCTGGGGTCTTTGATTGCCCTATTCATTGTATACCGTATCCTATCGATTGGCCAACGGCCTAAGAACTATCCACCGGGGCCTCCAACGCTGCCAATTCTGGGAAACATTCATCAGGTATGTCAGTCGGTCTTTTTTGGTCCGTATTTCTAACCAAAACCCATACAGATGCCCTCGAAGGATGCACATCTACAATTTGAAAAGTGGGCCCGAGAGTATGGGTCCGTTTACAGTCTCATGCTTGGAACTAAGTGTCTTGTTGTTCTTTCAAGCGATGAAGCTGTCAAGGATCTCCTCGATAAAAGAAGTGGCATCTATTCAGATCGCCAGGAGATGTACATTGGGCAAACACTTTGCAGCGGCAACCTCAGGCTACTCATGATGGTATCTATTCACCCTATTCTTTGCATATTTTGTGAGCTTTGCTAATGACTCTTCAAGGGCTATGGCCCCAAATGGCGCGGTGTATGAACTTGAAATCCTTCATAATCTCCAAGAGTGTTTACTGACATGCCATCAGTTCCGCAAAATGGTTCATTCCTTGTTGAACGTAGCAACTTCCAAAAAGTACCTCCCATATCAGATATTGGAAAATCGCCAGATGCTATTTCAATTCCTTAAAGAGCCGCAGGATTTTCTGAATCATATCCGAAGGTATTTTCCTGCCCCATCACCTGAGCAATAGGACATAAGATGCGAACATGGAAGACCCCATACTAATATCCCGCCATTCCTTACTCAGATATTCCAATGCACTTACAACTACAATGGTCTTCGGATGGCGAACTCCAACCTATGAAGATCCAAAGATGATGCAGCTTTTTGACGGCTTTTCTGAATTTGCAGAAATCAATCAAACAGGGACGGCAGCTATCATCGACTTTTTCCCGTTTCTGCGACAATTGCCGGAGTTTCTTATCCCAGCGCAACGGAAGGCTCAAGAGTTGCACTGCAATGAAAAATCACTTTATCTCAGCCATTGGATGAAGGCAAAATCTGACATAAAGGATAATATCATTAAGCCGTGCTTCAGCGAAGGAATGTATAAAGTGCAGCAGAAGGAAGAGTTCAGCGATGATCAAGCTGCGTACATATCCGGAACTCTCCTGGAGGCAGGATCCGACACCACTTCTAGCACATTATACGCTTTTGTTCAAGCTATGCTACTGTATCCTGATGTTCAGCGCAGAGCACAGGAAGAGATCGATAGTATTGTTGGTCCAGATCGACTGCCTGTGATGGACGACCTTGCGGATTTACAGTACATCCGTGGCTGCATGAAGGAAACTTTAAGATGGATGCCGACTACCATTTTAGGCGCAGTACCTCACGCCGTCACTCAAGACGATGAATACAGGGGATACCTGATACCAAAAGGCGCGGGTGTGCTGAACAATGTTTGGGCTATTGGTATGGATCCAAAACGACATCCAAACCCCCGGGTTTTCAATCCCGATCGGTACAAAGACGATTTCCAAAGCTTCGGCGATGCCGCGGCCAATCCCGACCCTTCTAAGCGAGATGCATTTACCTTCGGGGCAGGACGCCGCATTTGTCCAGGGATCCATGTCGCCGAAAGGAGTCTCTTCCTTGGAATGGTGGGCATACTTTGGGCCTTTACAATTAAGCCCGCTAAGGACTCCCATGGAAACGAGATCATACCAGATGCTGAGCGTCTTACGCAAGGGTTTGTTTGTATGCCAGAACCGTTCCCTGCAAGCATCACACCGAGATCAAAGGAACGAGAAGCCATGGTAATTAAGGAATGGAGGCTCCAAGAGGATCTTCTTGACTCTGAAAAGCAGTGGCTCGACTCGCCTGTGGAGAAAGGTGTATGATTATATTCATTATATCATGTTGAGTGAGCTCAATCAAGCTATTTCAAGTTCTGGCTGTCGTCTCCAATGTGTATCATGCCGTAGGATACCTACTCATGGCTTCAGGTTCAAGTGGGGTGGCTGCATTTACATAGTACGAGCCATCCTCTACTAGTAAATACTAGTAGACTAACGAACTCATCATATCTCGATCAATGCTTGGTGTTTGAATGACGCTCGTTTGGACTGAGTCTTCGTCTCATGTAATTGAATGTAGGTCATGGTAGACTTGGGCTGTTGTGACTACCTTAAGGTAGTCCCCCGTCACTTCCAAGGTTTGCTTTCCTTTCCTTCACTCACTTCTTCCACTTTTCCCTCACAACACCTGCCACCCTCCAGGGTCAGGGCTCCTGTCTTTCTCTTACTCTCTCATCCTCTTCAAATTTCATCCCTTCATCTCCACTCACACTTTGTCATCGAGGTATCCCATGGGATCTTCTCTCACTTTCCCATGTCCGATAAACCAATCCACCACTGGCACCTTCCAAGATGTAATGCGCAACTTGTGACAATGGGTTCTACGACCAAGAAGACTGCGACGACCACATGGACGACTATGCCCATTGGGCCCAATGCGGGACATGTGATTATCAATTCCGTTCACAGAGGGCTGCCGACCAACACATGAATGTCCTCAACCACTGGCCTACATTCGAATGTGAAACATGTACAATGGAGTTTGATTCGGACGCTGCTCGAGACCAGCACATGCGGGCCCAGAAGCATTTCGAGCGATACTGTCCTGACTGTGATCAATACTTCATGAACAAAAACAACCTGCGCATGGTATGTTCTACTTGTCTGGACTACAATACATTACCTCATCAACCGCGACTCGATGGGACATTTCACTTCACTTCATCCCCCTCAAGCGCATAACTGACTTCGGTTCTCTCCAGCATCTGAATACGTACTTTCGTGCTGGTGTCAAGATCGACTCGACGATTACCTTTAAGTTCTAAGAATTGATCATGGTGTTAGTTAGGTACTCAATAACAATTTACGAATCTAGTTCCAATCGAGCCCTGGAGGTAAGGTAATACAGGGAACGCAGTTTCTATTCTCAGCGAAATGTATGTGCACGAATTTAAAAACCAAAACTAACAACTCTATGATATGATTTCAATTAAATCATCCCAAACGCCAAACACAGCCACGTAGCATAGCAGCCATGCTCTAACCCAAAGCCAAAACGAAATGTGGTATCAAGCAGAACATTGTCCCAGGACGAGGAACATGCACAAGGTAAAGGTGAATAATGAAAAGAGAGTCCCACTGCGAGATCCCGTTCATCTAGGACAAAAAATAAACAACGAGAGAGAGGGCCGGGTACTAACTTCACCAGAAGTCAAAATTAAACTGATCCTCCTCATCCACAGGCCCTTTGCCTCGAATCAGTTTCCCAAACTGATTATAAACAGGCGCATCCGGATCCCCATTCTCCTTCGACCAAGGGCCAAGATCATCGTCGAAAAGATCCCGTTCCTGTCCCTCGCAGACTTCAGAAAGTTTGATCCAACTCGTATCGTCAGTCCAGAGCCCGCCTCGTCCACCGCGGACATCCCACAAGTCCTGTCCGCCTAGAAGTGCGGACTGTGCGGCTTCAAAACCTTGCGAGGCACGCACGTATTTTCGGAGCAGGGCTCGGCCCCAGGGGAAGAACCACATCTTCTCCCACCATGCGTTGCGTAGTTTCGGATCGCCGTTCATATGTGCCAGGACCGGGACGGAGGCGGAATGTGGATTTGTCATGAGTGGGAGTGTGTTCCACGTATGGTCATGCATGGTGGGCAATTTGTCGAGAGTGGAGTTCCATTCCGGGATGGTAGTTTGTTGCTTTACAAGGCGGCTTTGATTGAATGGGTTCGGGAGAGCTGCGATGTCTGGCGGGAGGAGCATGCGGGATTCTCGGGGGACGCTGAACTGAGCCTGGAGCATGGATGACTTGGTGATGTTGCTAAATTTGTGCCATTCGACGTCGCCTTGGGACATGTGTTGGTTGAAGAATAGTTCGGACTTGTAATCGACTCCGATCCCATACTCGTAGCGATGGCCCGTTTCCAGTCGGACAGTTATACCCGTAAGGTTGGATGCATCGGAGATCCCAATCAGATTGTAAAGCCACTCCTTGGCGCCATTGGTCGTCCGGCGACGCTCCAGTTCCCGCACCACTTCTTGTCGGCCATACATCTGCGTCAGAGCCTGGTAGTCACCGTTTTTCTTGTGGCGCTGCTCAACCGCACGCAGAACCTCGTCGTATATCAGTTTCAAATCGGCGGCTTGGCCGATTACCGCGCCGGGGTTTAAATAGCGGGGCCGGTTTTTGTGTCCATCTGGGTAGATATCTGTCTTCCAACCATAAACATCTGGAGGTAATGAGGACTCCGGCACGGATATACAACCGGGGTCCTCCTCCAAATCAGCATAACAGATCTTGCTGGCGCCAAATAGCACTCGCTGGGAATACTTCTGTACCAGGTCCGAGGAGGCACCCGTTTTGGACGGCGGGACCACCGCAAACCCATACTTCTTCTGCAATTTTTGATTGTTCGTGCGGAGGATCTGCTGGAAGCGCTTAACGAGGACCTGAGGGGGCAACTGGAAGAATGTATCCAGGGCATCCACAACGAGCACGAAGTCCCGATCCTTAACCGCCTTGCTATCGCGGAGGTAATTGCGCACGCGCGTAATGCGATCCACCATGCGCTCGAACTCGGTCGCACCGTGCTTTTCGTGTCCGTATCCGATGATTACTGGGGGCGGGTATCCCAGAATCATTGACGAGGTTAGCGTTCGGCATGTGCCACGGGAGCCCTTGGTGGCGGGCACCAGGAGGTGCAGGGACGGGTTGGTCTTTTCGAGATCATGAGGGAGAGTGCTGTTGATTGTGATGCCTGATTTAGGAGAAAGAGCGACCTGCGCATCTTCTGGGCGCCCTGGAAATGGGTGACGGGATGGGAATTTGGTCCAGAAATCGGGATCGGATTGCTAGAGGAGGTATTGCGTTAGCGTTGGCGTTGACATTGGCGTTTCGTGGGGGTTCGCCAGTTCGCCGCAATGACGAATGACGACCAAGCAAGCGATGGGAGATATGATTGTCTTTTGCGGCTGGGGAATGGGAGGAAGGAATTGAGTTACCCTTGACGACGATGGAAGCAGCCATAGGCAGACAAGAAATGCAATGGCGGAGAGGGCGAGGGTTTTGGCCCTTTGTGTTCGTGGGCGATAGTGATAGAGCTGTCGCAGCAAGGTCGAAGCCGATGACTTGGGCTCCCCAAACCGTGGCGATGGGTTAAGTGAGGCCATTCTCAGCGTTCGGGGGCTCAGAATCGAATTGGGGGCGAGAAGAACATATCGTAGAGCGTTCAAGGCGGGTTGTTTCAGGATGTTGAAGAAGGGAAGTACGCAATTCGAGGGGAGATGATGACAACAGGTGCTGATCGGCGCCCGTTTTCGGCGCACGAGGAAACCCGCCGGGGATGGACACACTTATATCTCTATCTATCACATCGGGCACATCAAACATATCTCTAGAATTAAACTCTGTATTTATTGGATATTCTCTCCTCTCTTTCCTCCCCTTCCCTTCCCTCTCCCTCTACTCCAGGTAGATTTCCTCCCGCAATCGCTGAAGATTCCGGAACAACCCTCCACCAGGTCCCCCACTGTCATTGTCACGTTTCTGTTCAGTCCGCGACTTGGGTCCACGCTGGTTCTGATCGGCAATCGTCTGTTGATGGTCTAATATACGCCGACGCTCCTCCACAAGCCTCTCCAGTGTATCCACGAACCGATGTCGCGCCTTCTCCTCAGCGGACCCCTTCCATACCGTCGCCAATGTTCGCAGAGTCTCGATGCGATGAGTGGCAGCATCCAGTCCAGTCCGTCCACCCCCGTCGCTCTCCAGTAACTGGGTGATCTGGTTGCGCAGCTTCTTCATGGTTTCCTGGCCCTTCTCTTCTTGGTCATGACCACCGGCGGTCAAATCGGGTCCGGAAACAGATATAAAGGACGAGGAGAAGGAGATTTCGGAGGGTGGAAGGGGCCATTCCATCGCATCGCCGAATGTTTGGACAACATCTTCGAGTCGTGATCGGACCTGGTTGAGTGTGCGGAGGTTGTTGATGTATTCGGGATCCGTTGATGTCGTTGTCGCGGGACTCTTCTGCACGTCCGCAGCCTGCTCGTTTTCTGTAGTCTCTGGGTTGGCCGTCTCTCCTGTCGTTGCCTCTTCTCCGGGCTCTGTCTTCCGACCAGCGGAAGGCTCCGTCGAGGACACCGGGACGAATTTGGAGATGTCGTCGCGTAAAACATCGGTCAGGGTTTCTGACAAGCCAATTGTCTCTCCCCGTAGTACTTCTACTTCGTAGGCCAATCGTCCACCGCTCCTAAGGATCTCATCGCTGAGTTGGGAGAGGGTACTGGAGAGACGCACGTTCTGAGCACTGATCTGCGAGACCAGGGTCTGGACTTGTGCGGACAGCTCGGTCAGAGGCACCGAGCCGGGTGATCGAGAAGCATTGGGTTGTAGAGATGCCACCATCAAAGGCGAGAGGGATTCATTGAGGAACTCGGCGGGGTCGAAGTTCGGGTCGGCGAAGTTGGGTGTCGTGTCGGCTGGAGGTTTGGGGGATGGTGGTTGTTTGGTGGTCGATCTTGTGGTTAAGGAAGTCATCTTGTCCGTGAATGAAAGGGTCTCCGGGTACTGGTGCGCAGTGGTAGACACCCCTCAGTCCAACCAGAAAGATATATTATTGAAGGGAAGAATGCAAGGACTTGGAGCAGCTTCAGGACTTTGAATGGAGGCGGCTAATCATCCACGTTGGCCGCGGCCTCCTCCACTTCCTCAAGGCGGTGACGGTGCGAAGGTCTACAATGCTTGGAGCTATGAAGCTTGAAACTTGAACTCTCTTCTTTCGGAGATTTCGGAACTCCAAGGGCTTATGATTGGATAGAAGTACGATTTTACATTAGAGCTTAGTGATTTCATATAATGTCAATGTTGTTTGCGCAACGGATAGGATAAATAATTGACTCGGATTAAACTATAAGCTATTATTATAGCCATGCGGCAAATACAGAACTGAGGGGTAATCATAAAGCAAAAAGAGGGTGGGTATCGTCATGGACCCAATAAAGGCCAACCATAGTACAAAGAATTGGAATCCCTGGGGAATGCGACCAGACCACAGGCAAAAGGCCTTTTCCGCAAACTCCAGGGGCAAGCAAGGAATATAAATCACAAACTGAAGGCAAGAGTCATATCTTCATGCGAAGCAACATCATTTCAGGGCAGATCCGGAGACCACACCCGCGTTTTCCAGCTAGCCCAAGCCTGTCCTTTAGATGTCCTCGACAATACGAGCGTTCATCGCGCGTTGGAATCCATCGTCAGGAATGCCGGTTTGTTGCTGGACTCCATGGCTGCTGGGCCCCTCGCCGGCGTTGTCGGCGGCGGCCAATTGCGCATTCGCAGTCTGATTGACAGCAGGCAGGAAGATAACCTTGCTGTTGGCAGTCTTGGCCATTGCCTGCATAGCTTCCAGGTAGCGGATCTGCATAGCGGGAGCCGAAGACAGAATATCGGCAGCCTGGCGCATCAACTTGGCAGATTCAACCTCAGCACGAGCTGCAATCACCTTGCTCTCACCGATACGCTTGGACTGGGCGGCCATGGAAAGTGAATCTTGCAGATCATTGCTGAAGATGATATCCTTGATGAGCATGGACTCAACCAGGACACCCCAGCCAGCAGCGACCTCCTCGATGATCTCAGATGTGGACTGCGCAATTTCCTCGCGGCGCTCAATCACATCCTGGAGGACACGGGCTCCGATCACATGGCGCAAAGTAGTCTGGGTGCGCTCTACGAGCGCCTGCTTCACGTTGGAGATACCGAAAGCGGCGATGTGCGGGGAAGTAACTTGGTAGTAGATGACGGAGGTCAGGTTGAGGGTAACATTGTCCTTGGTCATGCAGACCTGGCGTGGAACTTCGACGATTTGAATCTTGACGTCGACAGTCGTGAGGTGTTCACTGAGCGGGTTGACCTTGACCAGACCGGGATCCACGGAGCGCTCGAATCTAGAGATATTCCATTAGCGGGTTGTTGTGCCAACGCAGGGTGAGGGGGGGTTAGGGTAGTACGAACCGGCCAAATCGTGAAACAAGACCAACCTGACCCTGGTCGACGGGCTTGAAGGGATTGGGGCAGCAGAGACAGCAGGGTATGGCACCACAGAATCCGATACATTCACCAAGGCTGTGGACTAGAATAGGAATAAGAGGTCAGCTTTTATGCAATGCAATGCGATGGCTCAGGAGAAGAAGGGCGACATACTCAACTGCGAATACCATCCATGCGCTTCGGGGTTGTCCTCGCCATGGTCAATTCTAGAGGCATATTTTGGCTGTAGGTCCTGCAGACGGGCGGGCTGGACCTTGACCAGACCACGATCATCATGGCGCGATGACTCGGGGTGCTGGGCGGGAGCCTTGCCGGTACTCGCGCCGTTCGTAGACATATTGGTATAGAGGGAGAGATATGAGGAGATGAAGTTGAAGTGAAGTTGAAGTTGAAGGTGAGAGGAAGGATGGAATCTTCCAAAGACGTGGAGGAAAGAAAGGCCGAAGTGAGGGGGAGGACTGGGAGTTAAATACTACTACAGAGTAAAGAGCTCTGTCCAGTTGAATGTACAATCCGATCAGCTTCTCCGCAGTGGGGCGAACTTTGGGTTCGGTTTCGGCCTTGTCCATTCAACTTCATCCAAGGCCATCAACTTGAAAGGCTACTCTTTCTAAGCCCCCAATGGCTGAGTCCCGGGCGCAAAGAGCCCCGGGATGATACTCCACCTCCACTGGCCACCAACACACCTTCAAGTTCCCGAGTGCCGACTATCCGGCTGGGGCGTACGTAAACACTATGATCGCTTGACTTTGGTAGGGCTGTTTTCTTGGTCTCGGCAATACGAGAACGAGAATCTACACGAGTACCACTCGAGTACACAGGTGCCAGTGGTTGTCCTGCGGATGTGATCGGGCACACCGAAGTATGTTTCAATGGACTGATAGAGATACAGTTATGGCAGTTATGCCTGGATGTAATCCTTCCATTCCCATTCCTCGACTCTTCTCGCATGTTTATTATCGTTGTACCGAGTGTCGTTGGTATGCAGCTTGGCACAGGGGGGGATCACTGGTGGCCCTATCTGGGCAATATCTGGGCAATCTAGGCAATTTCTCGGCCCTCGTCATTCCACACGTGAGGCCCACAGTTTTCCAGATGTTTTCTAGCGGCCCCTCCCAACGGAAGAACTCAGGGGGTGAAGTGGAGGTGGGCTCCTGCGAGGCTGATTCTCTCCGAGCCGCCGTGGGAAGAGGCTGAGCTACGAACAAAGCTTCGATTATTGCTGCGCAGAAGGTTAATCACCGATCGGGTTAAGCGGATACATTGAGGAGGCCTTTCTGGTTGGATATAATTGCCTCGCACGCGTAGGTTGAACTGACGTAAAGACTGGGCACTAAGTTCTAAGTTCTAACTAATTGGCCCCCAACCTCGTGATCGTCTGACCGCGGGTTGCCAGGGGGGCAGTGCCGCATTAACTCTGGGTTGATATCGACCCACCATGCATTTTCCTTATGGGGGATGTAGAGGGGTAAAGAGGGACCCGATGGACCGGGCTAGTTGGTTGATCGATTGATCGGAGGGCTTTGTCGAGGGGATGTTGGCTCGGGAGCGCTTTGGTACAACAATACGCTCGACACTGCCAATGACTACCGTTGCCACCTTATTGTCATCGGGATGATCAACGTAATACGCTGGGCAAAGTAGACGGCTTCCACCGTTTGTGGTATATGCAGACTGGTCCTTCGCATAAAGCTACTGCTGCCAGTAGTAGGTACTAGTTAGTAGTTAGAGGGGTTAGCTGACCAGTGGCAGCAATACCACTTAGTACATTCATTTTTCGGGGTTCTGCAGGGCCGGATGCTTTGACAGGTGGAGATTGTTATTATGATTGGGCAAGCTTGGAGCATTGTACTTAGAGCATGTAGTTAGAGTAGCTTCTATCTTTGATCTTCTCCCTCTATTACAATACTTTCATTTTTTCAATCTTTTGTGATCTTCTAAATGCATGAAATGGAGGTTTAAGATAATTAAAAACGGACTCAAGATCTAGTAACTAACTAGTTGGTACTGGGACGATGTGGTTGTACATAGTACTACGTGGACGGCTTTCCCCACATCAAGTACCACTGCTTCAACTTGATGTTCAAGTTGTCACGGATGAAATACATAGGGGGTTAGGTTAGAAAACCCATGCCAATAAAGGTGAACCTAGGAGCTTTCCAGGGATACGAAATATCTATGAAGAATGAGCTTAGCACTAGGATCTTCTAGTAGTGTTGTGCAGTACTAATCTATGCCTAGGTGGAGGTATACTTCTATCGGCCGAGCTATCACAACACCAAACATGATCAAAGCTGCCAATGTTTACTGACTATTTGCCGGGTACTTCATCATTATCTGGGAAATAAACCCATTACGAAACCCTCCGATACCACAGCTACCCCTCCACCGCGCAAGATATCCCCGAGAGAGTAAAGCTGCTGACGCCATCAGACTCCAATTTCACGTCTTGCCGAGGAGCTGCACGCCATCCACTCCTACTATCCTGCGGGGTTTACACAAGAAAATGTGTTACAAGAAAAATTCAATAGATAAATAAATAGGAGCGCGCCTCCTCTAAAAAGACTCAATTGCCTTTCTGAGCTCCCTCAATTCCTCCCAACTCAGTCTCGCGATATCAGACAAGTACGCCATCATGGGTTCCACCGAGAAGAAGCAACTCATCATCAATGCATTCGCCATGCACTCCCCCGCACACTTGAATCCAGGTCTATTCCGCTACCCAACCGACAAGGGCTCCGAGTACAAGAACATCAAGTACTGGATTGCGCTCGCCAAAAAGCTCGAAGATGCCAAATTCCACGCTATCTTCTTCGCCGATGTCCTGGGCGGCTACGATGTCTACAAGGGACCTGCCAATCTGGACCCGACCATTCCAGCCGGCGCGCAATTCCCGATCAACGACCCCCTGTACAGCATTCCCGCCATGGCAGCTGCAACGGAGAGTATTGGCTTCGGCGTCACCGCCTCAACCACCTATGATGCACCCTACGCTCTCGCCCGCCGCTTCTCAACCGTCGACCACCTCAGCAACGGTCGGATTGGCTGGAACATTGTAACATCATACCTCGACTCTGCAGCGCGGAATTTCGGTCTGAACACCCAGGTTGAGCACGATGAGCGCTACCGCATTGCCGACGAATACCTCGATGTCACCTATAAACTTTGGGAAGCCTCGTGGAGAGACGATGCGGTGACATGGAGACAAGAGGCCTCGAAGAATGGTCCGCCGGAGGGTGCGCTGGGCCATTATGCTAACCCGAAAGCTGTTCGTCAGATCAATCACAAGGGGAAATACTTCGAAGTGCCCGGCCCTCACCTGTGTGAGCCCAGTCCGCAGCGAACACCATTCCTCCTTCAGGCAGGAACATCAACTGCCGGCAAGGCCTTCGCAGCAAAACACGCCGAGGCCGTTTTCCTCCACGCGCAGAAGCCGGAGTTGGTGCGCCCTTCGGTTGACAGCATTCGTCAACAGGCGGCTGATCTAGGCCGTAACCCGCAAGATATCAAGGTGATCGCTGGGGCGCTGGTCATTGTGGCTGAGACCGACGAGGAGGCTCAAGCCAAGTTCGATGAACTAAAATCGTACGGTGATCGTGAAGGTGCTCTGGCTCTATTTGGAGGCTGGACTGGCTACGACTTGTCGACCTATACCGATGACCAGGACTTCCGGTTTGTGGAGCAGCCCGCTGTCCGGAGTATGGTTAATCACTGGGCAAGCACCGTGCCCGGAACCGAGGGTCAAAAGTGGGATAAGAAAACAATTGCAGATTATTTGACTCTGGGTGGTAACGGTGTCAAGATTATTGGTAGTGTGGAGACGGTTGCAGATGAGCTGGAGCGATGGGTCTCCGTTGGCGATGTGGACGGATTCAACCTCAGTTATGCCAGTCTTCCCGATACATTTGACGATGTTATTCGCCTTCTTTTGCCGGAGTTACAGAGCCGCGGTCTTTTCTGGTCGGATTATGCCGTGAAGGGAGGAACTTTCCGGGAGAATGTATATGGAAAGCAGGGCCAGTCAAGACTCCCAGAGTCGCACCCCGGGGCAAAGTACTTTTGGCGACAGGGCGAGGAGGTACCTCCCTACAGCCTGGAAGAGGCGCAATAAGATAGCCTCCTATTCTCACGGGGCTCCAGCGAGCCTAATAATGAGATACCTCCTGATAATGCTCCTCAAAACATTACTAGATGACCTGCGGATATGGTTACTCATGATCTGAAATGGAAACAAAGCTCTACATTTACCTACATCTAACAGCTATGATTTCTGAACTTGATGCATTGAACTTGTACTACCTGTTTATTTACACATCCCACCAACCCTCCAGATGAGTTTTCAAATTGATCTCCTCCGGGACTTTTAAATGGGGTGTCAGGTTGGCACTAGGATCCAACTCCCTAGAGGTCCAGCCATTTCCGAAATAAGCAAACCGATTCCCACTCTGGTTAACGTATGTGTACTCCCAGTCCTCCCAACGAGGATCTCGACGAATGTAATTCGCATGAGAAGCACTTCCAGGGAATAACCCATGAATTCGACCACCAGGTTGACCACCATTATACCAAGAACTGCAATTCTCCGACCAAACAGTGCGCGGGTAGAACTGGTCGCAGTACTCGACAAAGTCGTCGGTCGCCTGTATCGAAGGAGCAATAGATTTGATTCCCTGGCTGCGAATCTTTCGTATCACCTTTGCGACGTAAGTGATTTGATTCTCCATGCTGTTTGGCACAGTTCCACTGTGTCCTGAGGCGTACGGTCCGCCAATCCAGAGCAGATTGGGAAATCCTGGAGTCGCAAATCCAAGATAACAGTACGGGAATCCGAACTGTCCATCTTTCTTCCACGCATATTTCAGATCAATTCCATTCGCAATGATAGAAAACGGGGGCGCATGGTCGACATTCGCACCCGTCGCACAGATGGTAATATCTGCAGGTCTCTCGACTCCGTCTTCAGTGACTATCCCCGTCGCCGTGAAATGTTGAATCCGCGGGCGGATATAACTGACGTTCTCTTTTGTGAGGGCCTCCAGGTATCCCGGGCCAGGAGTTGGACGACGACAGTTTGGTGGGAAGTCTGGGAGAATCTGCTCGCCTAGCTCTGGTTTCTGTGAGACGCGATGCAGCATAATTTCCGTCCATTTCTCTCGTAATTCCCGGTTTTCGGGAGTGTCTTTGAAAATGGCGCCGAATCGCTGGAAAAATCCCTTCTCAACACCGGTACGGTACTCCAGATAAACTTGGGGATCTTTGAATGTTTCCCGCAGAGATTCCGGGATTATATTTGGCTGCAGTCGACGGACTCCTGCGTTTCCACTGCTAAATGAGTCGGCGATCCAAGTAGGATTGCGCGCGTAGTGGTCGACATGGTTTGCTAGTGGTTGAATTGAGGGAAGAACTTGCAATCCAGAAGCACCGTTTCCAATCAGGGCGATTCGTTTCCCATTCAAGTCAATAGAATGATCCCAATTAGAGGCGTGGAAAAGCGCTCCTTTATACTCTTTGATTCCCTCATAATCAGGAAGCTTCCAGGCATTGAAGTGGCCTATCGCGTTGATGAGAATGTCTAATTTTTCCTCGTATACCTGGAAAGAAATAAGCTGGTCAGCTGGAATTTCTTTTCTCCCTTCTCTCGGTGAATTTAGGCTACCTTTTCTGAACCATCAACATGTGCAATGGTAACATTCCATTTACCTTCTTCCTCCAGCCATTCTGCCCTTTGTACTTGTTGTTGAGCTCGAATATACTGGTACACATTATACTTTCGCGCAACCCCCTGCCAGTAATCTCTGATTTCGGCACCTTGTGCAAACTCTTCGGACCAATCGGTGTTTGGTTCGAAGCCGGATTGGTACGCGTGGGCAGGTATATCACATCGGACGCCGGGGTAGGTGTTCTCGAACCTATGATAGAACAATCAATAACTATTATCATATGGCGCCAAATGGTAGAAGATTTACCATGTGCCTCCCTGATTATATAGTTAGTCGTCTATCCTGAGAATCATAATAGAACAATGATCATAATTCAACTTACCACATCGGCATTTTTGTCGTAGATGCGCAGATCAAGTCCTGGCAGCTTTTCCGGCAAAAGAACGCCAGCAGTGATTCCGGTAAGACCTGCTCCGATGATTCCCACCTTTACGGGTCGAAGTGTATCGATGGGATGCTCCTCTAATTTGAACTCCGGTGTCGCCGAATGTTCCGAGTCGAGATCATCTTTAATTGTAACTGTCGGGTTTACCCCATCCAGGCCCGATGGTCCTTTGATCGACTCGACCTTTGAATCAATCCTCGAGGTCGACGATAATGTCAGAATCTCGGGATTTTCCAACAAAGCCATGGCTTGACAATGTGTTCGAGATGGCCTATTTGGTTTGAAAGTACCAACAGTCTTGCCTAAATGTGTTTACTTTGGGTTTACCATCTTTAATGTATGTGAGAGCCCCTCCCAAACTCCTGCACGCCATTCGGAACATTTTACACGTCAGTGGTTACAACTTTTAATTCATCCATTGGTAAGATGATTAATAGATATGCCCAGCAGAATCGTGGGCGCCCTACCACATTGACCTGGCTGATTCGGCGCGGCTAACACCATCAGCTTCCACGATGGCGTCAGGGATTGGGGTACCCTTTGTCAACACCATCCACCCCACTCTAAACGCCATTCAGGACCCTCTTGAATCATTCCGCAATTAGATAAACATGCGCTTGATATTTGATTGGTGATATTTGCCAATGTTATATACTCCGTACTATGCGGGGTTTCTCGGCCGACTCATAGTTATTGACAAGCAACCTTAGAACCATGCAGTACATAATGTATTTCCAGAAGGATTTATTTATTTCCAATCGCAGATATTAAATGTTCTCTTTCATAGTCTCTTGTCATTTTAATTGATTTAAATTGCCATTTCCAAGCTGAGTCGAGAGGCAGCACTCCTTCAGATTAACAAGCGATGTGTCTATGTATCTCCAAAATACTCTACGGCACTGAAGCATCGAAAAGGCTTGAACTGTTCCATCTGAGCTTACGCATCAAAATCCAAGACTAAAATTCAGTCTCGAAAATAAATCGCGACATTTGCTATATATCAAGATGGTTCTCTCCAGTCACATGATATTCATTCTATCTGTAAAATGACATGTTGGTTAGACCAATAAGTCATTTTAATCAATACCTTCCATATAATAAAGATTATATAATAAATATTATGCTGTCACCTTCAACTTCTATTTTTCATGAGCTTCAAATCAAGTTGCGGGGTTATCGAACCTTGTGGTACAGTGATTACGCACCGGCGATATCTCGGCTTTTCATGACTCACTCGGGATCGCTTTCGCATCGGCCTAGCTTGAACCATCTTCTCCTGTTAGGCTGACTTGACAAGTGTCAATTCTGATATTCTTCCCGTCTGCTTGGAAGTATCCCTTGTACGCATTTCATTTTCTACATCGCTCTCGCCATGTCATTCACCCCGCCAATGGTATCGATTGCCCCGCGGACCTGGAAAAGAGATAACAGCAAATTCTTTATCTCGACGGACCAATATTTGCTCTCGGTAAAAGCAGTCAACGAAGCCTACGGAAGGGAATTCCTCTATTGGGCCAAACCTTTCGATGAGGATGTTCTCCGCCAAATGCTTTACGGCTGTATGAGCTTCGGAGTCTACCAACAGATTCCTACTGCGCAATCACAGGATGAGCCCGAACCCCCATCTGCAGAGAATACAGAACAGATCGGATTGGCCCGTATGATTACCGATGGTGTGACATTTGGATACTTGACGGATGTTTATGTCTTGCCTGAATACCAAGGACACGGACTTGGAAGATGGCTTATCGAGTGTGTGTCGGAGGTTTTTTCGAAGGAGAACATGCCGCACCTTCGTCGCAACATGTTGCTCACCAGCAATGACCGGATGCAAGAGTTTTATGCCGATATATTTGACTCAATGAAGGTTGTGGGGCGCGAAGAGCGAAAGGACATTGGGAAGGACTTGGTATTTATGTGTGCTCGACCGGGGGTCAAGCCAGATCCTTTTACAGCTTTGGAATAAAAGAGCAATTATTCATATCCCATGTAGAAATCAATAGAAAGATTAACTATGCATGGATGTCACACGCTATAATTTACCACGGCAGTTGCAAGGGGGGTTGATAGGTCTTTTCCAAGAACATCCTCGGCAGTCCCGATATCTCTGTTCAGCATTATTATCAGTATCTTATTTGACATCCAAGGAGAAGGGAAGGCTTACGCTGGTCCTCTGGGGGCCCAAAATTCACCCGTCTTGCTTATATCGAAGGCAGCGATAAAGGATGCGAGTGATTGAGCCGCTTCGTCGGGTGTCACAGCTAACGAGAAAAGTCTTAGCTTGATGTTCTTTTTCGACTGAGTCAATGGCCAGCACGCGAGTCACTTACCTCCACCGGCATCCCAATACTTGTCAAATCCAACGCTCTTGGTCATCTCCGTCCGCATGAAGCCTGGATGCACCAGGCCAACTGCTATACCTTTTGGCTTCAGGTCCAGACTCAACAGCTTCCCGACCATATTTAACGCAGCTTTGCTCGCATGATGGCCGAAATTTCCACCACCTTCTTTTTCATGACGAAGAGTGATGCTACCCGCTTCGCTACTGACAAGAATTACCTTACTTCCTTCTCCGAGTAGTCCTGCTTTCACGAGGTGATGGACCATGAAAACCGGACCAATGGCAGAGGTCGTATACATTTGAACTTGTTTATCCCAATCGGGATTATCGAAGGTCTCGAAGCCGAAGTACCCCGCCGAGATGATGGCAGTCGAGATCTTAGTCGAGGCCGGCAGCTGCGAAACAAGCTTTTGGCCTACGTCTGGCTTGGATGCATCGATTTCCGTCAACCAAGTAATTTCCGAATCATGTGAGGGTGTCGTAGAGGATCTCGTGGTGCCAAACACATGGTGGGATGGCCTGCGGGAATATAGAGCTCCGAGAGATGCTCCCAGGCCGCGCGTTGCGCCGACAATGAGAATATTGTTGCTCATGGTAGAGGGATTTGGCAATGGTAAAAGTTGGGGATCGAGTTGAGTTCTGATGTCTTGAGGTTGAAGGAGAGAGAACTTGAACCAATTTGAAAAGAGTATTCAGGTTATTTGTGCTTATTTGGAATGCGTGCTGAGCTGATATAAATGACGTAATTCGTGCAACAGCGAGATTGCGCGAGCAGCGAACAACTTAAAGTATTCCAAGGTTAGTAAATATTCCGCTTAACCACCTTTTAGATATGTGATACTACCATAGCGACTCGGAGTAGCTCGCTCTGGAGTACTGCTATAAAATGGATATCCACTGAGGATATTCCATGGCGCATTCCCATCTCCACTAGGTGACTCGGTAGTATCCCCATAACATGGCTAGAACCCTTGTAACCACTAGTTAACTACGGCTCTATGGTTTACAATTGTATGCTTACTAGGTGGCCTACTTCAGAGTACTCTATGAAAGGTTTCTCGCACTGCCCCGATATTGACCCATTTATCCTATAAATAAATATAGATGTGCTAGTAGTTCACTAATCGAGCGCTCTGGGCTCGGCTCGGCGAGTGCTCTGCAGACTCCACCAATCTTCACCACACCAGCGTTTCTTCTGCTCCAGCCTCATGAGAGAGGGGATACTACATCCATCCATTACGGAATAGGGATTAACTATCTCAAAATTCAAGACTGAGCTGCTTCTCCTCCTCACCGGATCCAGGGCTGTGTCTGGCAGCTTAGTCATAATCCCCAAGGGCGGCAAAGTCGACTCTCGTCCAGCTGTGGCTTGCTCGTCTTTAACAATCGCGACTCCCTCCAGGTGTCTTCGCCGGACCTGATGTGGTTCCGAGCCCCAGCATGACTGGTTTTTCTAAACTTCTGCCCGTGCAAAAGTTTCGAGCTGCGATCAACCGCAGAAAGGCGGGCGCCAAGGTCCAATCTCGCGACCTGCCGGGGTCCTCCTCTTCTCTGGGGTGAGTTGTTTCGGCCTTTCCCTATGCGCATTTTGATAAATAGCTCGTTTTTAACTTTCCTTCTTCCTCACTCACAGCTTGACCCATGCCGATCCTCCCATCCCTTCCCCGTGGGGCCTCCCAGTCGAGATTCAAATCCAAATCTTTGGTTACTGCGGGACTGCCGATTATCTCCCGCTGAGACTCGTCTGCAGGCCCTTCAATGAGCTCCTCACAAGACACGAACACGAGATTGTACGGCAATACCTCCGCCAGCGCCGTCATGGAACTCTCCCCTCGCCAATCGACCACGAGCGAACCTATACCCGCAATCCGGAAGACGATGTGCTCTTGCTATCCGACCTTTTCCCTCCATCGAAGAGTGCTAGAGGGGGCCATCTTTATACATTTCGGTACCTGAACGGCCTTCGGCAAAGACAGAAGCAATCTTCAAAGCTTTGCTACTATCTCGCAGACCGCATCATGGACCGGTTCGTCCAAACCGATCCAATTTTCTTGAGAACCTCTTTTCCCTCAAAGAAAACAGAGCGGACTGCCCTGATGAAGCGAGGGAAAGTTAGCATATGGTTCCATCTGGCGCCAATAATGTAAGTGAGAGTCCAGGGTCCAAGCATAAGCATAAGCTCTGAACCAATCGAACTAACTCAACCCCTGCCAGGTACTACATCTTGTACTACCTCGAGTCGTACATGTCTGCTAGACGGGAGAATACCAACATGCTTCTCCGCGAATACGAAGCCGGCCGTCTCACCGTGCCTATCACCCTTCGCACGCGCCAGCAGATGTACCACGACATCCAAACGCGGATACTCCAAAATCCCCCCTTCACAAATACAACAGCCCTGCTTGCGACCCATCATTGCATGCATCTGCTAGTTTCTTACATCCGGTACACGATGGGGTCAGAGACTGAGATAGACGATTCATGGATCAGCTCGCTGCTCACGGTAGCGCCGTTCGGGCGCATTGTCGAATTCTTTTCCGCTGAGATTGGTGACGGGGGCAATCAGCGCATGCAACGGAAGGAATTCATGTATAACTTCCATCATGATATGACGGCGCATAGGAAAGATCATATGAACTCGGTTATCTTCGGTCGGTCTTCAGACCAAAATATCCACACCTCGGTCAGAGAGCTCTGGTTCGATGCGGCCCGGACGGAGCTGGCCTCTAGACAAGCACTTCCTCACGAGATTGAAGTTGCTTGGTGTTGGAATTCTATTCCAATATTATTTGGCTGTGCTGATTGTCAGCCAGGAGAGGGATGGAGAGCATGATACATTGATTTCAAGCGTTCCGGCGTTGAAGGCATATATACCTAGAATTTCCCACATTTTCCTCTATTTACGAACAATAAGCAAAGAATATACGAAATTGCATTTCTAAAAGTCTAGACTTTTGTTGTCGCTTTATCTTATTCCGAGGGTCCCATATTTACTGCTGTCGATCTACATGCTGTCAATGTTGCCATTCTGGGAAGTTTGTTTGGTTTGCATCGGTGTGGGCGCGTTGCGCGACGGGCAATCAATCACCTTCAAGTTCAAGTTGGTCCACTGGCACCTCACTTCACAGCAACAACTTGAACCATGTGAACAGCGCCAATATTAATTCCCAATTGGAAAACTCTCCAGCCATGGCGCAAGCATCCCCAGCCCAGCTATTCAATACATCGTGGACTCTGCACCGTCTTTCCCCCCCTCCACCACGGAAAAGACTGCGAGACCCTCCTGAACAACCCAACCGCATTAAAAGTCTATGCGACGCGATTACGCGACCAACTGACAGGCGACGTGCTCGCTGGTCTACATGCGAACGCAACCACAGCAGAAAACGATGTGCTGTCAAAAGCAGGCGCGCTCAAAAACTGCCAGTGGCTTCCAATCTCCACAGAGCCCCAGTCCAACGGACACGCCACTTTTCCGGGGATTCTGATCACGCTGGAATATGAAAATACCACATATAAAGCTGCTTTACTTGCAGGGCCAGAGGCAGACGCGGAATCCCGCTCAGATGGTCATCGCGAGGGCACGACTTCACTCCCATTGCTTTTGACGAAATTCCCAAGTGCTCTGCGACAGACCTTTCTCTCATTCTTATCGGCTAATTTCGACACCTACTGTTCAACCCTTCATCTGCCATCGAGTTTTCTGTGCTCTGGAATGGAGTCTTTCATAGAGAGTCTGCGGGGTACAGGCTCACGGACTACTACGAATGATGACACTGTTGAAGAAGTTGTCAAAGACCTCCAACTCACCCTTGCCTTCTCACAATCGATTGCACCAGCGCTACGCTCTCTAAACGTCAATATTTCTCGAACCTCGCTGAAGCAATTCTTGAGTGTAGATAGCGCGGAATCAAAGGGCCGCACTCTCAAACAGAAGCTCCGCAGCCCTTTCATTCCAAATCTGAGCTCTTATTTGGAAACGCATCTCGCAATGAAATTAGATCTGGATGGCTCGGCTCAGAGCCATGGGGCTGAACGACATGTCCGGCTATCGAAAGTTGCGTGTGCTGCTTTCGCCTTGGGTATTGATGGGCGGATGAAGTTGACTGTCGCCAACCAGGTCGATGATGACGAAGGGATATCACCTGCTCAACAGGCATGTGAAATGTTGCTCCAGGCGACGATTCGCAAGGCTGTCATTGGGGACCAAGCGGCGACATGAATATCCCACCGGGGAGTAAATTACAACACTACGGGCAGCAGACTTCGAGAGGCAATGAAGACCAAGGTTATCCAGCGCTACGCCAGCTTTAAGAATGCATACCGATCGCAGTGGCAGAAAGAGATAACTGTCAAATCCAAATGGCATCATGCGATTAGGGAATCGACCCAAAGGGCATGCAGATGTCCCCCTTCAATTTGGCAGCCTACATTCAAGTTCCATAAGGCCCAGGGGTGGGAAGTGGCCAATCCTTGTTTGGCCGCCAACAAGTTGCCTTCGTTAAGAAATGAGGGCAGGCGACCTCGATTCATCCAGGATTATGGGAACCGGGCCTTCTCCAGGCTACAATATACCTAGCAGATGAATACATGCACTGCAATGGATTTCCAGGGGTATTGAAATAAATACCTTCACGCTATTAAATGATAATGAATTTTGCTTGTCGCTCAATAAAAGATCAGGCTCAATTAGCAACAGTTAATAAGATCCATATATATGTATTTATGTGCAGAGAAGCAATAGATCATGAGATAAATCTTGCTTTGTCAAGATTGACACTGAGATGAAGCCATTTCCAAGGGCTCTAGATGATGTCCGTCCGATTTTCAGTCTCTGCCATTTGAAGAGCTTCATCGACTTGGGGCACAAAGTGTGTCAAACCGCCGCATTGTTCAACGATGCCACTCCGTTCGAACATGAGGAACACACTGTCGTTGGGTACTCGACTGAAGAAGACTCGAACACCCTTATCCCTGTATGATTGGACGATCTCGTACAGTACCTGAGTTCCAGACCCATCGATGCTTGTCACGCCGTGCACATCAAAAATTATGTTTTTGTTATGTTCCGGCGCACGCATGCGTGGCAGAGCAGGGTGCGCCCGGCTGGAACCATACAACTCCAGGCGACGAAGACGGTTCTTGAGATCGCCCGTGTTGGCAAAAGTGAGAGGTTCGGGAATCTTGACAATGAGAGCTCCCTCGATGAGCTCCACATTATCGGGATGCAGCTCAGCATTTTCGAAGCGGGCTGCGGGCCCGGGAATCTTGCCCAGAATTTGGATCCGAGGCTTGGTCGCGTGTCGAATGAGGATGACGACAGAGAGGCCAATGCCGAAAGCCATGCCTAATTCAAGGGAATAGAAGATTGTTGTGGTGAAGATAAGGAGCATCAGGGTCAGTTCTGTCCATCCTCGAAGACGGAAGAAGAAAATTAGATCGTGGGGGCATTCTTCTACAAGGGAATAAGCCACAACTGAGATCATGGAGCAGAGAACGGCTTTCTGTTTTGTGTGGATTAGTACATGACTCTAGGTAGATGCCTCGGCGGGGGTTATGGAAACTTGACGAACCGGAAGATAGTAGAGATAAGGTAGAAGCACAAGAATTGCCACCAGAGTGATGATACTGATGAAGATACTACTCATCGGGGAGCGTGCTCCAGTTTGAACATTGACCTTGCTTCGACCATACCCGCCAAAGGCAGGTAGAGCCATGAAACAGCCACCAATAAAGTTCGCAACACCAAGGGCCACCATTTCTCTGTTGGCGCTCATGTGCATACCTTGGATCCCATCGGGCTGGCTATCACCCAGGCCCTTAGCCGCAACCGATGACTCGAAAAAGCCGAGGAGGGTGATAATGAATGTTTTGCTCATTGCTGTGCGAATGTGATCCATATGCTCAAAGCGGAATGGCCAGTTGAATTCGAACAAGCTGCCAGAGCTTTCGGTTTGTCCAAGAAGTTCGAGTCCTTTTGATTCCCAGTCCAAACTCCAGGCAAGAATCGCCGACAACACAACGACTATGAATCTGTCTGGGAAGTAAATCACTTTGGGGAATCGTGGCATCATCCACTTTTTCAACGTTCTTGAGAAAAAAGGTTAGCATCGACGAAAAAGACAGGTTGGGGTATGCATTTGACGAACCGGAATATCATGATGACAGAAAAGCTAACCAGGGAGACAATCGCCGTGAGCGCATGGCACTCTCTGCCGTGACGCACAATGAATGACAGCTTGTTAACTGAAGTACCATGGCTGACTCCCGCATCTTTTGCAATTTCTGCAAGGCCCAATTCAGGGATCAATTGGTCTACGAAGATCACAAAACCAATAGCTGTGATAAACCCGCGAAGAAAAGGCCGACTAAGGACATTGTCCAAAAATCCTAGTCGGGTCAATCCTGCCAATAGAATCATAGCACCGCTCATCGCTGTCGATATTCCAATCACAATAGCGTGCTCGGCCCCATTGTCGTCGGAGTCCTTGTTAAGAACACATGCCTTCACAATGGCACCAGTGAGAAGCGAGCCGGCCGCTTCGGGGCCGATGACCAAGAGAGGGCAACTCCCCAGGATGGCATAAACAAAAGGGTGAATGACGAACGAATACAGTCCGTTGACGGGAGGTGCGTGGGCAAGATTGGACGCCAAGGACAAGGCCATCGGGATGTAGATGGAGGAGACGGTAATAGCAGCTATGAGGTCTCCGCGAAGGAATTCCCATCGGTATTGTCCAATCCAGTTGAAGAAAGGGATATAGTAGGAAATGTACCTAAATAAGGACCGGTTAGTTCAATTTTCATATGTAGTTGGATGTGGGCTGTGACAACAGCTCAGGAAAGCCTAGGGCAGGTCGCATACAATTTTTTATGCTCATTCATAGACAGTGCCGAGGTAGACGACTTCATCTGCGACGTATACTCCGACTCTGGGCGGGACCCCAACGGATCGTCTCCACCTGAGGCTGTGCCAGAATTTCCGATACCACCGTATCCAAACTGACCACCGGCGGTCCCCAGGTAGGATTGTCGATCAGATGCCTCTGGTCGGGGGAGAAAGTGCCATGACTGCACCGCCGTTCACCACACACCGGGTCCGAGCTATCGTACGATTCCAAAAGGCGAGCTCTGACGTGCGAATCGCTGGTAATCCCGAGACCTTGGGTGCTGTGTATTCCCTGGCCAGCAGATTCAAAACCCGCCGGGGATCTTGAACGGCTATTGGGGCGGAAGACGTCGACAATCCGTTCCTGCAGAGTACGGCGAGCATCGGACTCCTGCCGGAGGAGTGGACTCGATTCGGATGACATGCTCTAGGGATGAAACAATTCAAGCTCGACCTTGATTTAAGGGCAAACGGGACCAGTGCTCTGTCAGCTGCATCGAAGGCGGATAAGAGTCGTCTGCAAGGGTTGCTGAGGAGGGAAGATCGGGAGAACCCAGCTAGCAAGCTAGTTTTATCATGTAGGAAGGGCGGTAGAGGGTGAGCGGGGACGTTCTGTAGCTAGGTGTAGCTGTACCAATGGTGGGCTTTGTATTTGTCCCGAGGCAAATAAATTAATTGGAAAGTTGAATAGTTGAATAATTGGAAAAAATGGAAAAAATGAAAAAATGAAAAGTTGGAGGTAGCCTTGGCTTGACTAATAAAAAAAAGAAGTTCATTTGGTCCCAACTTGAATTCTTGGAAAGGCGCATCGCATCGGAGGAAGCCAAAAGCACCTGCCGCACCTGCCGATTTGATTCGTTGATTTTGTTAGTGCAACACCCTCGCGCCTTCCCCAAATGGGACAGACACACTTTGAGGGTCCACAAGGGCGGTGAGTCACGTGCTGTCAGTTATCAAAGAGTCACATGACACTCAGTGGTGTCCAATTGTGGGTTTTGGTCCGCCGCTGCACAAAGCGAATTGAGAGGAGACTCTGCTTCCGCTTCACGATCAAGACCTCACCCCCCCCAAGACCCTCCTCACCCCTTTTCGATTCGCTCGGTTCCTCCTTTTCAGGTTCCAGCTCTTCATCTTCTTTGGACTGCCGACTCATCAGTCCACGTTATCTCCCGATCTTCCCCGCTGAAAAAAAAAGCGCGCAACCCCGCCAAAATGTCGTTAACAAACTGCCGGTTCTACGAGGACAAGTATCCTGAGGTGGATAGCTATGTCATGGTCAATGTCAAGCAGGTAGGATCGGCTCCAGTGGTAGCGAGTGTTTTACCTGATCATTTGGAACTTACAATTCTGGGTTGGTTTAGATTGCCGAGATGGGCGCATACGTGAAGCTTCTCGAATACGATAACATCGACGGAATGATCCTGCTGTCCGAACTTTCGCGCAGACGTATTCGCAGTATTCAAAAGCTCATCCGTATCGGACGTAACGAGGTTGTCATTGTCCTCCGTGTCGACAAGGAGAAGGGTAAGAAGGATCATACCCCAGGGTGGTACAAAGGGAGACCTCCCCAGCTGACTCATAGCTGTCGACAGGATATATCGATCTTTCTAAACGTCGTGTCTCTCCCGAGGATGTGATCAAGTGTGAGGAGCGATACAACAAGAGCAAGGCCGTGCACTCCATCATGCGCCACGTCGCCGAGGCGACCCAGACCCCTCTTGAGACTCTCTACCAGCAAATCGCATGGCCCTTGAACCGCAAATACGGCCACTCCCACGACGCCTTCAAGCTCTCCATCACGTATGTTGTTTATACCCCCGCCCCCAAAAAGATGAAAATTTGCGGGACAGCCAATATCTGACGGAAATCCACCAGTAACCCCGATGTCTGGAAAGACACCGAGTTCCACAGCGAGGCCGTGAAGAACGAGCTTCAACTTTACATTAGCAAGAAGCTCACGCCCCACCCCACCAAGGTCCGTGCCGATGTCGAGGTCACTTGCTTCGGCTACGATGGAATCGACGCCGTCAAGACCGCCCTGCGCACCGCCGAGGCCGACAACACCCCTGAGAACCAGATCAAGGTCAGACTTGTGGCTCCCCCCCCTCTACGTCCTGACCAGCCAATGTCTGGATAAGACCCTCGGTATCCAGATGCTGGGGGCCGCGATTGAGAGGATTGCTGCGAACATCAAGGCTGCCGGCGGTAACTGCTCCATCAAGATGGCCCCCAAGGCCGTCACCGAGCACGATGATGCGGTTCTTGCTGAACTCATGGAGAAGCGTGAGCGGGAGAACCAGGAGGTCAGCGGTGACGAGGACTCCGAGAGCGGCGATGACGAGTAATGGACCAACCACAATGCGAACCACGGAGCGCCCAGCGTACATCGATCTTGACGAGATACGCAAAAACACAAGCGAAGCGGGGGATTGGGCAAAAACGGATAGAGAAAACTATGCACATTTACGCGATCAATGAGATAAGACTTGATTGGCTCTATGTGCTTCCTGGGTACGATTGCAGTCAGAAGTTGCCTTTCCACCAAGGGCAGTCGCCTTCTCCTCGGGCCCGGGGGTGAACTATCTACGTCCGAGCCGGGTGCTGTGCTGCGTGCCAGAGGGTCAAGCCCTCGTACTCGTTGGAGCTTCTTTAGATGGAGTGTGTTCTGCTGCACGAGAGGCAAGTTCTGATGTACATAAATTGTGATGCAACCGAGACGCTCAATGCCAGTGATGTTTCAAGAGCCATTGTTAATTTCTTCTCTTCCCGGAAGTAACCCCGTCCCCATGTAACCATCCAACACCTAAATATTTCCACCTAGACCCTAGACCCCGCGAATTCGAATTTAAACCCAGAACTCGGAGCTACGCTGTGGCTGTGGCTGGCGGGGAAGCGCGCTTGGATCTTATCCGCCGATCGTTCGCTTCCAAGGTTCACCGCGCTTTACCTTTCGACCCCTTCAAAGCCAGCTCGCACCCATCGCCGGGACATAGAACCCTTCAACAACAACTACTACTCGTAAAACAACATGGGCCATTGGAGGGATCTTTTCAAGATCGATCGTGGCAGGACGCATCACCGCTTGCAAGTGGAGCGGCGCCGGCGTACGTCATGGTTGAATACAAGCTGTGCAACACCTACTAATCACCCCGTTATCAGTTCTCCCTGCGTATATCGCCGATCATACACAGCCGTCCGATGCGTCTAAGGAGATCGCAAAGGTCGCATTGAAACTAAAGTACCAAATCGAACAGGTCGTCTCTTGTGAGGTGGAGGAGGGTCTCCTAACCGACCCAAACAGTCACATCATCACGGACAATGTGGTGAAGACCTCCAAAGATGCCGGCGGCGAGGAGTACGCCGCCAGCGTTGTATATTGCTTGCTTGTGTGCTTGCGATGGTTCCAAATCCAGGCCTCCAACGAGCTTTGGGATGCCGATCTTCACGAGGTTCGGGCTCTTGCTTGTGAGGTCATCGCTAAACGCATGTATGTGCACCCCTCTCCCCTTACAGGCCATTACTCCGTCCAACATGGTTGCTAAAAGGGCCCAAAGTATTGAGTCGGAACCGAACCAGGACTATCTATTGAAGGATATTCTGCTCAAACGATACTCGATCTTCGCTGAAGGGGTAGAGACCGGTCCCGCCAACGTTATCGAACGTTCGGTGGACCTTCATGCGCTCAGGATCATCAGCTCCGCTGGCTACCAAAAATGCATTCACTATCTCTGGTGTGGCTGGATCTGCCAGGAAGAAGGCAATCCGACAAATTTTGTCGAGTATCATGGGAAATCCAACACTAACTACTGGTCCCACTTTCATCCTGATCGCATGAGAACCCCTCTATATCAGAATATTTGTCAGATAATGTTCTCCCTGCTTTATCTCGCTCTGTATACGGCTGTGATTAACACAGTCAACCCAACTGGTGATCTTGATGTGGTCGAGGGTATTCTTTACGGGATGACATTGGCATTCATCTGCGACGAAATCATCAAATTCTGGAAAGTCGGATGGAACTACCTCGAATTCTGGAACGCCTTTAACTCCACTCTTTACGCACTTCTTGTGGTCTCATTCATTCTGCGTGTTGTCGCATTGGCACATTCGCCTTTTGAACACGATGAGCAGCGGCAACTCTTCAACAAACTAAGTTACAACTTCTTAGCGTTCTCTGGGCCCATGTTTTGGATGCGGATGATGCTCTATCTAGACTCATTCCGTTTCTTCGGGGCGATGTTTGTGGTTCTACGGGTCATGATGAAGGAGAGTCTGATCTTTTTCGCCCTTCTTTTCGTGGTACTGGCTGGTTTCTTCCAAGCTTTCATTGGAATGGCTCAAGTGGATTCCGATATTCCTGTCTCCTTCACCAGACCCATCATTCAAGGCATGGCGAATAGTATTATGCAGAGCCCCGAGTTTGATACCTTCCAGGACTTTGCGTTCCCCTTCGGCATTATTCTTTACTATATCTTCAACTTCATTATCATGATCGGTATGTCCATTGTTTCCTCTCCTCTCTTGTGGAATGGAATGATATCTAATTGCAGACAGTGCTTTTGAACATCCTCATTGCCCTCTACAATAGTGCATATGAAGATATTTCCAGCAACGCTACAGATGAGTATATGGCTATCTTTGCGCAAAAGACCATGCAATTCGTTCGTGCTCCGGATGAGAATGTCTTCATTCCGCGTAAGCTCTTCCCTCTACCAGAATGTCCCCCCCCAGTCACTAATTTTGCCTATGACCAGCCTTCAACCTGATCGAAATTCTCTGTCTGGTTCTACCATTCGAATGGTGGATGTCGCGAAAGAGCTATGCCAAGATGAACGATGTCGTGATGGGCATAATTTATTCGCCCTTGCTCGTTCTGACCGCTTGGCTAGAATCTTACCAAGCAAATCAGATCCGGTGGAACCGTCGCCATGGCGAAGAGGACGAAGGTAATCGACAGGAGTGGGAGTTTGTCGCCGAGGATGTCGACTTTGATCTTGACGACGCCTGGAAAGAAGAGGTTAAGCAATCCACGCCTGACATCAAAGCGAACAGTACCACTGTTGAGATCAGAGAGCTCAAGGAGCAGGTCGCTGCACTAACAGAGCTGGTGAAGAGTTTTGGCCAAGGAAAGGACGGAGCCGCGTAGGGTGATGAGTACCACAGTTCGCATCCAATGCCTCAAATGGTTGAAACATCATACATATAAGCGGCAAGGTCACAATACGAACGTACAGTTTATGTTATACTTTGGAAGAGGCGAGAGATCAGTCATTGAGAAAACAGATAGTGACTCGGCAATGCAACTTGAAGTTTCTCGAATTCAAATCTCAGTCATAATTGAAGGGGAAAAATAGCCCTAGGCTCTTCAGTCTTCTATACTGGCATCGGTTTTCTGGCCATACACGACTTCTCTCTCTAGGCAGGCCACGGGAGAACTCCTAGACCAAAAAGACGACTCTGGCAGAGAAGCAAAAAGATATCTCAGGTGATTTTTGTAGGAATAGCCGAACGGGGGGGTCGAACCCCCAACCTTGAGATTAAGAGTCTCACGCTCTACCGATTGAGCTAGCCCGGCAGGGCTGTTGTTGAGGCGAATAATTTTTGGATATATGATCCACAGGGAGAATTTTCATCCCGGGTGGGGCCCACATTGACCAATTAGCGTAGCCCGCCCAGTAGAGTATTAATTTTGGGAAGTCGACGAGAATATGAACATTCTTACACCCTTCGTTCATGTTGAGATTTTCCAATGTGTATTCTAGTAGTGTTAATTATCTCACTTACCCGGCATGACGTTCTCTGTGTCTGAGTTGGCGTTGAGGATGTACCAAGATGACGAACTCAACAATCCAAAAAAGACACGAGAGAAAGCAATTCATTGGAAGAACTTGGCTTGAGACCTTTAATTGATTCAAGTTGGCGACAAGGTGGAAACTCTAGAGCGGCTAGAGACCTCAATAATTCAAGTTTTCAGGCTTTCCATCCATCGCCGGGGACCCGATCGGGTAAGGTGTGGTCAGGGGCAGCTCGGAGTATATAATTGGGGCCCCTTGAAAGCTTACCACCAAGGTAGTACTATTCTCAATACTATCTTTTAATACATTCTTCGCTCCATCTTCCCCACATCTTCCAGATGTCTTTTCTACGAAGATTGGGCCAGAATGGTCCCCATGTTTCTTCTATTGGTCTTGGGTTTGGAAGTATCACTGGATCCTACGGAGCACCTGGTACTTTCGATGAAAGAATCAAGCTCTTGGACCACGCATATTCCAGTGGATTGCGCTTTTGGGACATGGCTGATATTTATGGTGACAGTGAGGATCTCGCTGGGGAGTGGATTAACCGATCGGGCAAACGTGACGATGTCTTTCTGGCCACGAAATTTGGACTTCAACAAGAGCCTAGTAGACTACACAATTTCAGATCAGATCCCGACTACGTCCGAGCCGCCTGTGAGAGAAGTCTACAGAGGTTAGGAGTAAATACTATCGATCTGTATTATTGCCATCGAGTGGATGGTGTCACGCCTATTGAGAAGACCGTGGAAGCCATGGTAGAGCTGAAGAGGTATGACACAGGAGCCATTTTTCAGTTCAACACATCACGTACTGATTGGTCTTTATGAATAATGACAGAGAAGGAAAAATTCGATTTCTGGGTCTATCAAGTGTCTCGGAGACTACTTTACGTCGGGCTCACGCCATCCACCCAATCACTGCTGTGCAGTTGGAGTATAGTCTTTTCATGTTGGATGCCGAATCTTCAGAGTCCAATGTTATCAACACATGCCATGAACTTGGAATTGCCGTTGTCGCATTCTCTCCAATTGGCCGCGGCATTTTAACGGGCCAATTCCGAGCCCACGAAGATTTACCAGACGATCTGCGGCGGCATTACCCTAAGTATGCGGATAAAAACTTTCCAGAAGTTATGAAACTGGTGCGGAAATTGGAAGAAGTTGCCACAGGCCATGGAAGAACTCCGGCACAGGTTGCTTTGGCGTGGTTACTGGCTCAAGGACCACACATCTTTCCCATTCCAGGCACTAAATCATCGAAGAAAATGGAGGAAAATGCTGCATCTACGTCGATACAGTTGGAGGGCCAAGAAGTTCAAGATATCAGGGCTATCGCAGAGAGTTTGGAAATTGAAGGAACTCAGTACCCATCTGCGTAAGTGAAAATTCTCTGCTTCAAACTTGAATTTCTTCCAAGTTCTCTGTTCTATAGAGCGCTGACTGGTCAATAGAAGAATGGCTACTCTTTTTTCGGATACTCCGCCATTGAAAATAACTGAGTTGGAGGAATAGGAGCTTGGAATGGATGTATTTTGTATAGAATATTCAAATTTCTCCACTGGCATGTATCGATAGGTACAATTGCCAGCGCCAGTGACCTTCAAGACATTTTGAGCTGGTACTACACACTAGTAGTAGTACTCTAGTAGATGTTACTACCTAGGTCTATCATTCCATGGCTACGAACAGATACGGGACTTGAAATATATATATTAGTTGGAGGACTCGGTTTGTGCCACCACCTTGGTGTCAGCTTAATGCCTGGGCAGTCATTGAATGCCTACAGGACTATAAAAAGTAGAGTAGCAATGGGATGAGGTTCACAAACTAGTTGCATTGGTTGCATGTACATCGGAGAATTACTGCCTTAAGGTTCCGGCGCCAAATGGCGCGCAGGGTCCACTCTTAGTAAGCGCCTAGCGCGCGTCGGGGGGCGAACCATCTGGAATCATTTTTATATCCAAGGTGGCTTCTTCTATCAGGCATTACCCGTTGGAAGGTTCTCTTGCGAGCGGTCTCTTTATGCGTTTCTAATTTGTCTACTTTCCGACCCAGAACGCGGTCTTCGATTGCCACCATGTGAGATTCCCATCGTTTATCCCCTCCGATTCCCTGGATCGATGACCCCCCCTCCCCCAGTGAACGCCTCTAACTAAACAATTTTCACAGGGCGAAACTCGCCGATGACCCCCAGATTGAACATGCGTCCCTGCATAATCCCCTCCCTCTGCAATTGCATACCTACGTCTGGCCTTTCTTGATTATCTGGCCTGCCTTCTTCGCTTTTTATCTCTCCCCTGAGCGTTATGACACCTACATCCAGGGCCAGGAATGGACCTTCGTCTTTGCGGGGTCTATCGTCACTGCTCAGTCGCTTCTTTGGCTGATGACCAAATGGAATATCAACATCGGCACTCTGTTTACCACCACTAGGGCCAATTCCATCGATTCCGCCCGCCTTATCAAAGTCATCCCCGTCACCAACGCCGGTTCCGCCGAGGTCTGTACTCTGATTCACGATAACTCCGGTGGCAAGAAGACTCTGTCGTTCCTTTTCCAGAAGCGCCGCTTTCTTTACTACCCTGAAACTCGTTCCTTCGCCCCTTTGTCCTATGTTCTCGACGCCGAGCCAAAGCCTGCTCTACAGTACTTCCAGCAGAGCAAGGGTCTTACCACCAAAGCCGAGGTTGATCGCGTGCACTACCACTACGGTGACAACACTTTCGATATTCCCGTTCCCGGATTCATCGAGCTCTTTCAGGAGCATGCGGTCGCCCCGTTCTTCGTGTTCCAGATATTCTGTGTTGGACTGTGGATGCTGGATGAATATTGGTACTACTCCCTGTTCACGCTGTTCATGCTCGTCGCTTTTGAAAGCACCGTTGTGTGGCAGCGCCAACGTACTCTCAATGAGTTCCGTGGAATGAGCATCAAGCCATACGACGTCTGGGTTTATCGTGAGAACAAGTGGAGTGAAATCACTAGCGATCAGCTTCTTCCTGGCGATTTGATGTCGGTGAACCGCACTAAGGAGGATGGTGGCGTTGCTTGTGATATTCTCCTAATCGAGGGAAGTGTCATTGTCAACGAGGCCATGCTTTCTGGTGAGAGTACCCCGCTCCTGAAGGACTCAGTTCAGCTTCGACCCGGTGAAGATCTGATTGATCCGGAGGGCATGGACAAGAACTCGTTTGTGCATGGTGGAACCAAGGTCCTTCAAGTCACCCACCCCAACACCAACGGGGAAGAGACCCTGAAGAACATTGCCAACGGCGTTACAATGCCCCCCGATAACGGCGCCTTGGGCGTGGTTGTTAAGACTGGCTTCGAGACCAGCCAGGGTAGCCTTGTCCGCACTATGATTTACTCCACTGAGCGTGTCTCCGCCAACAATGTTGAAGCTTTGCTCTTCATTCTGTTCCTCCTGATCTTCGCAATTGCCGCTTCTTGGTATGTCTGGCAAGAGGGTGTCATTAAGGATCGCAAGCGATCCAAGCTTCTTTTGGACTGTGTACTTATCGTCACGAGCGTTGTTCCTCCGGAGCTTCCTATGGAGCTAAGCTTGGCCGTCAACACCAGTCTTGCTGCCCTGAGCAAGTTTGCGATCTTCTGCACCGAGCCCTTCCGCATTCCCTTCGCTGGACGTGTCGATGTTGCTTGCTTCGATAAGACCGGTACTCTGACTGGAGAAGATCTTGTCGTTGACGGTATCGCTGGAATCACCCTTGGCCAGGTCTCTGCCAAGGTGGAGGCCGATGGTGCCCACCCCGAGCTGTTCCAGCCTACCGCCGTTGGCCCCGATACGACCCTTGTTCTTGCTAGTGCCCACGCCTTGGTGAAACTGGATGAAGGCGAGGTTGTTGGTGACCCCATGGAGAAGGCCACTCTTTCTTGGCTCGGATGGACCTTGGGTAGAAATGACACCCTCTCGTGCAAGGGATCTGCCCCCGTTGTGGCATCTCGCCCGGTCGAGTCCGTTCAAGTCAAGAGAAGATTCCAGTTTTCTTCTGCCCTGAAACGCCAGAGTACCATTGCCACCGTTACCACCAACGACAAGAAGACTTCGAAGAAAGCCAAGGCTACCTTTGTTGGTGTCAAGGGTGCCCCTGAGACTATCAGAAGAATGCTGGTCAACCCTCCTCCTAACTACGAGGAAACTTTCAAGCACTTTACTCGCAATGGTGCCCGTGTTCTTGCTCTCGCCTATAAATATCTCTCTACCGAGGCCGAGATCTCTCAGAATCGTGTCAACAACTATTCTCGTGAAGAAATCGAGTCCGAACTGATTTTCGCTGGTTTCCTGGTCCTCCAATGTCCCCTGAAGGATGATGCAATCAAGTCCGTTCGCATGCTGAATGAGAGCAGCCACCGTGTCGTTATGATTACCGGTGACAACCCATTGACTGCTGTCCATGTCGCCCGCAAGGTTGAGATTGTCGACCGAGAGGTCGTTATCCTCGATGCCCCTGAAAATGATACCTCTGGAACCCGACTGGTGTGGCGTACAATCGACGACAAGTTGAATACCGATGTTGATCCCACTAAGCCCCTGGACCCTGAGATCATCAAGACCAAGGATATCTGTATTACCGGCTATGCTCTGGCTAAATTCAAGGGTCAGAAAGCCCTGCCCGATCTTCTCCGTCACACCTGGGTTTATGCCCGTGTGTCCCCCAAGCAAAAGGAGGATATCCTGCTCGGCCTTAAGGATGCTGGCTACACCACTCTGATGTGTGGTGATGGTACCAACGATGTCGGTGCCCTTAAGCAGGCCCACGTCGGTGTTGCCCTTCTCAATGGATCTCAGGAGGACCTCACCAAGATCGCCGAACACTACCGAACCACCAAGATGAAGGAGCTCTATGAGAAGCAGGTTGGCATGATGCAGCGCTTCAATCAGCCTGCTCCTCCTGTCCCGGCCCAGATTGCTCACATCTACCCGCCTGGTCCTAGCAACCCGCACTACCAGAAGGCCATTGAGAGAGAAGCTCAGCGCAAGGGCACCGCAGCGATCGCTGCCGGTGGTAAGGGTGAAGAGATCCCGACCATCACCTCGCCCGGTGCTCAAGCCCTGCAATCGAACTTGAATCCCCAGCAGCAGAGACAGCAGCAGGCCCAGCAGGCTGCCGCCGGCCTTGCTGATAAGCTCACCTCGTCGATGTTGGAACAGGAGTTGGATGACAGCGAGCCCCCCCACCATCAAGCTTGGAGATGCTTCCGTTGCCGCACCATTCACCAGTAAATTGGCCAATGTCATTGCTATCCCGAACATTCTCCGCCAGGGTCGTTGCACTCTGGTTGCTACGATTCAGATGTACAAGATTCTTGCGTTGAACTGCTTGATTAGCGCCTACAGTCTGAGTGTTATCTATCTCGAAGGTATCAAGTTCGGTGATGGCCAGGTTACCATCAGTGGTATGCTGATGAGTGTTTGCTTCCTGTCCATCTCCCGCGCCAAGGTTAGTTGCACTTAGCCCCTTATTGTGGTCGCCCATGCTAACCCATTTTTAGTCTGTCGAGGGTCTTTCCAAGGAGCGCCCGCAGCCCAACATCTTCAATGTCTACATCATTGGATCCGTTCTTGGACAATTTGCTATTCACATTGTGACTCTGATTTACCTGTCGCGTTATGTCTATAAGATCGAACCGTACGTGCATACACCCGCGATTTCACCCTGGAAGGATACTAACAATTTCTACAGGAGAGACGACAACGTCGATCTCGAGGGTGAATTCGAGCCTTCTCTTCTCAACAGTGCCATCTACCTCCTCCAACTCATCCAGCAAATCTCCACTTTCTCGATCAACTACCAGGGCCGTCCCTTCCGCGAGTCCATTCGCGAGAACAAGGCCATGTACTGGGGTCTTGTTGCCGCATCGGGCGTCGCATTCTCCTGCGCGACCGAGTTTGTGCCCGAGATCAATGAGAAGTTGCGCCTGGTGCCATTTAGCAACGAGTTCAAAATTACCTTGACCGTGCTAATGATCTTCGACTACGGTGGTTGCTGGATCATTGAGAATGTGCTCAAGCAGTTGTTCAGTGACTTCCGTCCCAAGGACATCGCTGTACGCCGTCCTGATCAGCTGCAGCGCGAGGCTGAGCGCAAGGCGCAGGAGGAGGCCGAGGCCCAGCAGCAGAAAGAGCAGCAGAGGACGATCTAGATCGTGTTCTGAAGGCTAGAAGAGAAGGGTGTCATGTACTGTATACATAGATAGGTGATGCTGAACCCATAGAACGTACATCGATTCTAATACATGCTTTTGATGATTTTGAACTTGCTCTTGTCAATCCATTGTAGGGGTATATGGATCCTAGTGGGTTTTCCTCGATACTAGGTGTGAGCCTGCCAGTTAGGGAAATTGTATCGCAATGTGGGTTGCTTCAGTCTAAACCAAGAACTTGAAGAATGCATGGATTCCCGAGGGCAATCATTAATCGCTTACTAACTAGAATTCCACGGTCAACATGGTTGACGTTGACTACCCTGCCCCCACTTGGTAACTATGATCTCATCGCCTCCGAGGCCACCGAAGTCGCATTTCGGTCTTTCTAGCTTCATGACCTAGACAACCTTTTGCAATTGTCGAAACGTATCGCGAATCTTGCAAAATGACGGCCAAACTGACCCTCCAGTCTACCCGCCGAATGCTATCGGGCCATGAAATCCCCGCCATTGGGTATGGAGTAAGTTCCCCCTCATCCAACCTTGGCTGGCTGTTCTCCGAGAGGGGGTGATTGAGCATGCCTGAGTGTCGTATCAAGTTCTCAAAATCCATCTGAGATATCCAGAGTTGCGGCTAATATGGTCCTCTTACTGTTATTATAGGTTTATATGATGTGGGTATCAATATCCCCCGTATTTGGACTTATCTGATATATTTGGTTGAATAGCAATCCATCTTCTACCGAGAAGGCCACCGCAGAGGCCCTTAAAGTGGGATTCCGCCATGTAAGTAGCTTGCTCGGATGGCCGATCTGCTCCCTATCAGAACTAACGCGTATATCGCCAGGTCGACTCAGCGATCATGTATCGTAACGAGAAAGGCTGCGGCCGCGCGATCCAGAACTCGGGACTCGACCGATCTGAGATCTTTCTGACTACGAAGATCCCCCCCAGGGTCAATGGGCTACCAGCAGACTAAACAGGCCGTCAACTCTAGTCTACGAGAGGCAGGACAGGATTATTATGATCTGTAAATCACCTCGGGCCAGCGGACCTAGCCATCCCCATCAATTATACTGCTGGCTAACATGTATAACTACAGAATTCTCATCCATGCACCATACGGCGGGAAGACTGCCCGACTCGGCGCATGGGAAGCTCTCGTCGAAGCGCAGAAAGCTGGCAAGGCGAGATCTATCGGGGTTTCTAACTACGGAATCCACCACCTTGAAGAACTGGAGGCGTATATCCAGAACGGAGGCGGGGGCGAGATCTCAGTCGGCCAGTATGAGCTTCATCCCTGGTTAGACCATTCGGATATCATTGCATGGCTGCAGAAACGCAATATAATCGTTGAGGCATATTCGCCTCTCGCGCATGGAGAGCGACTTGATGAGCCTGTACTGCAGACAATCGGAGAGAAATATAACAAGTCGCCGGCCCAGGTGATGATTCGATGGAGCTTGCAGATGGTGAGTGAAAATGATGTTTGAGAGAGCAAGGACGAGAAGAAGAGAGGCTAATCTATTGAATGTACAGGGTTTGCTGCCACTGCCCAAGTCAGTGACGCCCCACCGAATCCGGGAGAACGCAGAGGTGTTTGATTTCGAATTATCGGCGGAGGATATGAAATTGCTGGATACGGGGGAGTATTGTCCCACAGACTGGGATCCAACGGTGGATGAAGATTAGCCAGCTCTACTGTGCTCTTTCCTCTGCAATTTTTCGATCTACCTGGCACTAGGTACTCATGAACCTGATATGTGGATTATCCACTTCAGCAGAACTAGAAATCCATCCAAGTACCTATTAGTCCCTCTGGGAAACATGGTCGTCTCAAACTAACGAGTATTATAATGCAGATACAGTGAATGTACTTGAATTTTGTTAAACCCGAGGAATATCAGCACTCACCCTTCGGCATTTTCACCCAACTCAGGTTCCCGCACTTCTCCATTGGATAAAATTGCTTAATCCAATGGGGTAAAACCCTCTCTTCCGAATGATTACCTTCAAGTAGTACTAGTACCATATAATCATAGGATAGTTGCATATGGAACGAGTCTTAACTCCAGTCCAATGGGCCAAGAGTTGAGCTCCAGGTGGTACCGAAAACCTGTGTATCCTATAGGTTGGATTGTAAAGTCAACGACAGGTCCGTCTATTCAGTTGTTCCCCTGGTTTCACCGGTCGATCTATTTGCCTGGATATGAACCGGGAAAATTGTCTGTGAATAGGTGATCTGAGCCTTATTGGCGGATCAGAGCCATAGAAGGGTCACCCGTGGACTCTGATGGGACAAAATGTATAATAATATAAGTTGGGATAGCTGCATAGAGCTTGAGATATTAGCGACATTTTGGTGAGACACTGGCAGAGAAATGATCCCGTACAAACATATACTGAAAACTTAAAAATCTGCTGAAAACAGAGCTCCTGGAGAATACTAATCACACGATAGTATAAGTTCTTATGCATTCCCCCAGTCGACGAAAATCGTTCACTTTTACCGTACCTCGCACACGAGAGAAATTCCATAATTCAACGGAGAATAGCTAACTGCCTTGCCAATACCAAGTCAACCGCATCACCAGAAGATATGGCAGATAAACCTTTCTTGCGTACGCTGGCGACTATATTTTTCATGAGTAGAAGCCCTACTACTTCGGCTCTAGCACTTCCAGTAAGTGAAGGTCCTGTATTTGAATCCATTGAGTGGCGTGGTGGGTGTATTGTATCGCAGTTCTGACTATATACAATATCTAGGAGAGACTTAACGAGACGCAAGGTTGTTCAGCCAGTAAGTACCAGTGGACCTTGTTCTTTCTTCATCATACGCTGTATCCGACCTCACACATCTTCAATAGCAAATAATGCATCATTGGTGCCATTTTATATTCCTATCTGCCAGCACAAGGTGGCTAGTGGAGGGGGTGGATGGGCCAAGGTGGGCGAAGCTCGGGGGTGTGCGAATTTCCTGCGAGCTCGCGGAGGGCAGCCATGTGGAGCGGCGCCAGAGATTTTGGGGGGAACAGACATGTGCGAAGCTGGTAATACTGTCATCACAGGCTACTCAACTACCACTGATTATGCTCGATCCCTCTGCTCTGATGTTGTTGTTGCTGTTGATTGGGTGATTAGTAATTGCGCTCTCTGTCCTGGCGATGATTGTTTGGTTGGAGGTATGTATCAAAACATGTTAGGAATTCAGACTTGGACTTACAGTCCAAGTAAGTAAAGAGATTTATGGCTAACGCATCCACCGTGCTGGCAGGTGTTGCAGCGACATACGACAATGGAGACTTGCCCATTATGGTTCAGGGTACGAATGTCTAGAAAAAAGAACATACATAGTACTAGTGGTAGTGGACTTTGGTGGGGGTACATGAATGATGAATAGATCGAGTGTTAATCATTTATAAATTCCAGTAATTCGATCAAGTATAGGATAAGTAGCCCCGTAGATAGTCGTAGAAAGTAGCAAGTAGATTTGCTCCATAGTGAAAGCATTGATTTGTCATTCAAATCGCGGAGAGGTGGGGGTCACCGGGCATTCCCAGCGGGGCATCCCATCTTCTTCCTCTATTTAGTCCTCTCCCCCCTTCTCCTCCTCCTCTCTAGAGGCCTTGGAAATCTCCGATTACATCCCCTATATTCCTCCCTTAGATCATTAACACCATGAAGTTGATCCTCTCCACCTCGTAAGTAGCCGACCCGACGAATGCGATTAGAACCGAGAGGCCGGGGAGACGGAGAGGAAAAAAGGGAAGAAGACTAATCTGACTCAATAGCAATCTCATGCAGGGCGGTAGGCCATCTGTCATTCGCCAGCCTCTGACGCAAAAATCCAATATCGAGTTGATCAACTCCCTCCGATCCAACTTCCTCGCCTCCCAGCAGTTCCAAGCCAACGGCACGGAGTCGCGCGCAAACGGACATACCAACGGGGACGTGAATGGGAATGCGAATGGGAATGCGAATGGGTCCAGCAGCGACCTCAAGCACCACCAGGACCATCGCTCATGGACCGGGGACGCCGCCGGAGATCTATACATCCCTGCGATTGACTTTTCACAGCCCGGACTTTCAGAGGAGCGGGATCAATACGATATTACCGTGAAGCTGTTCTATCTACCGGGTATCCCCGCGTCAAGGCGATGCGCACACACCAGGGAGGCGATTGATTTGGTATTGAAGGAGCTACATGTGAAGTCTATCGATTTACTGATCGTCTCGTTCCCGGGGATTCTCTTCGATGCAGACGACGACAGCGAGGACGAGGATAACGAAGCCAGTACCGGCGAGACCGCCGACGACTTCGACAGTATGGTTCAAACGTGGCGGGTCTTGGAATTCCTGCATGAGCAAGGCATGATTGCCCAGTTGGGTGTGGCGGAGTTTGGCAGTGAGCGCTTGGCTCGATTCCTGCCTCACACCAAGGTCAAGCCCTCCGTGGACCAGATCAATCTAAAGGATTGCTGTGTTGTGCCCAAGTCGTTGATTTTATACGCCAAAGAGGAGAAGATTCAACTCCTCACCCACAACGACTGCAATGATATCCTTCCCGTCGGCACGACGAGAGAACTCCTAGGCCCTGGCGAGAGAGGCGCGGGGATCCTGGCCTCCACGCCGGAGGGAAGTGATGGCATCCAGGGAGACGTCGAGCCGCAGTGGGTGGTAAAGTATACAGCCGTGGTGAAGGATCGGGGAGTAGTTGAAAACAAGGGGTATTTCGCACTGGCGGACGTTGGCACATGCGTCAAGAACCGGCCGTGAGCAACGGAAACTCGGGCTTGAACAGTGGTCGTTAAACATTCATATTCATGATTCAGCGTGGCGTTTTGAAGATCCAGTTGAGATCAAATCTATCCATATGGGAGAAAGCATTCGGTCATGGTCATTGTGGGAGGAGAGTGGGACAGGCTTCTGTGCATAGAAAAAGACGAATCTCTTTATCCGAGCATGCTCCGCTTGCGACCTCTCATCCGCACATCCTCCAGCCTCTTGAGTGTAGAATTAGCGCCGCGGTGACTCTCACGGTATCCATGCACCAATTCCTCCATAAAAGGTTCCGATCGCGGGTGCGTACTGCCTATCGCCCGCTCCAACACGTACAGATCCACAGCTCGGTCCTCATCCTGCGCGCTCTGCGACGCGAGTCCGAAATCAATCAGGACAACCTCGCCTTGCGTCGAAACACCCGTCGGGCTGGTCTCAGCCTCGGCGTCCTCCGTCGGTAAGCGAAGCATGATGTTGCTCGTTGTCAAGTCGCCGTGAACGACACCGGCCTTGTGCAGCCCACCAATGGTCTTGCCGATGCGCCGTAAGAGGGCCTTGACGCGAGCATTCTCCTGCTCCAACTGCGCGGCGTCAAGGGATGCGGCATTTTTTTTCATCCAGGCTTCCCATTGTTCCAGCACCACGCGCACAACAGGCCCTTCAATCCACTCCATCATCAACCATGCTCCTCCCCACCCGGCTTCATCACCGCCCTGTCCTTCCCAGTCGAGCGCGAGAACCGCGGGGACACTGACGCCTTCGCGAACCAGTTTGACGAGACAGCGTGCCTCTTGAATTATCCGTTGCCGAGTGAGCCGACGGTCGAGAATTGGGTGTCGGTAGGGCTTGGAAGGGCGAACTTTGAGGGCGGCGGGGATGGAGGGGTCGAGCGAAAAGGTCTTGTAGAGGTGGCCTTCGGCGCCTTGTGTCAGGAGCTCGGGTTCAGGATGGGTATTGTTGAAAGGAGCCGGAAGGGCCGGGGGTTTATATTCGTCGGCCATTGTGGGAGAATACTGTGGAGTGGAGGGGATGTGTTGAAGGTGAAAAAGAAGCTGAGCTGAGCTTCAAGGAAAAAGCTAAGTTGGCTGGCAGTGGGGCTTTTGTGATTGGTCGGGCTTGTACTATAAACTGCCCTACAACTTCATTATTTGGTAGGAAGCTTGGGATAATTGCTTCTAAACAAGACAGGATACTTGAATTTACTTTTTACGAGGAAACTCTAGAAATGTATGGAAACTTAGATGCTGACCAGGTCTTGCTCCACAGTCGGGATGCATAAATGTCGTTAATTGAAGGAAACAACTCCTCCATTGACATTAGGAATGACTTTCTCTATTCAGCTAATTAAGTTAGTATATTGCAAAATCAAAATTCTCACATACCTTTGGCTTCGCATGGCTAAAAATGCGCAAACCATGATGCGTTTGGCTGCCCCTGACAACAAAATCGATCTAGTGGTACTTGTTTCGGTCGGAGAGATCAGTATTTTCGAGATAGACCTCGATCTGAGTTGAACCAGATTAGTTTGATGAAAGAAAGCACGAAATGAGAGCGAACTTCATACCTTGTTCGTCATCTTCGAATCCACGTCCTTGCAACACAGGCAAGCTGCCAAACCCAGGATACCAAACGCCATGGATACCATAGCAACCACGCTGGACAGAACAGATTAGATATTGAACCATATGATCAAAACGCTCAAAGACTCGTCAGATGAAACTTACAAGATAGCTTTGCAGTATGCATGACCAAGAGCAGCCTCGGCTGCAGCTGCAACATCTGGACTGTACTCCTTCAAAGCAGCAGCACCCCCAGACACAACAGTCATAAGGTCGGCGACCTTCGATTCGTCCAGACTAGCGGCAATAACTGCGCTAGGAATATACTCCACCATATACTTTGTAAGACTCTTGCTTAATACAGTCTGGTAGATGGAGGTTGCAACTACAGAAGACGGTCAGCAATCTGAAGCTTCCACGTCAATGCAGATGAAAAAGGAAAACCTACCTGCTCCAGCTGCAAATCGAATACAGCCAGATATACCCCCACTGACACCAAGATTCTTTTGTTCAACACCCATCTGCGTAATAGCAATGCTCAAATAAATAGCCCAGCCAAAACCAGCCTGCGAGAGGAAAACAAACGCAACCATGGTACCTTTCTTATCAGGTGTCACAATTCCCAGTAAACTACCGAAGAGAACCATGACAAAGACTGATCCAGTCAACTGCCACTGCCAGTTTCGAAGCTTGCTACCGAGGACAGATAGCAGAAGGGCACCGAAAAGAATAGCAAATCCCTGTGGAAGGGAGAGAACGATCGAGTATTTCCAGTCTGCGCCGCCATTTGTGTAGAATACGGTGATCATCTGAGGCCACAGGATACTGGAGGAATAGTAGAACATGTTGACAACAGCAAGTGCGATTACAGGTGCAGTAAAGTCACGGCCCCAGGAACTGGAGAAGATGTAAGTCGGAGTAAGCAGGTATTTGAGGTTACCAAATGTTTCCCAAAGAGCGAATACGACCAGAACGGCAGCACCGACGACCAAGGGGCCGACAACATGCGCATCATTAGAGTCGTAGACGCCGGCCCACACGATACCGATCAGGAAGGGGACTGCACCGCCGATGAAGAGCAAAGCGCCTACAAAATCGATTAGTGGGGGTCTTATATGTTGGATTGATCGGACACTTACCAACATAGTCTAAAGACTTTAATGCATCTAAATATGAGACACCGAGACTAGAACAATTGTTAGCCTTGAGATATTCTCAAACCAGGAAGGTAGTAGAGACATACGGGTGCTTAGGGGGATGATAGAGCAGCAACAGGCCAATAAATGATAGACCCTGGAAGATAGCAATTCCCCAGAAGTTCCACGTCCAAGTGCCTAGCTCATAGCCATATCTTGCGGTGACTGGCGCAACAATTACGGCAACGTAGACAGTGAGATCGGCAATCACCACACCGATGTGACGCCATTTATTGGGTAGAAGTTCAGGTAGCGCGAATGCAGCCATCTTAAAGAAGCAAATGGTCTTATCAGCTCAAGTTTAGTAAGACTTCAATGGGAAATGATATTTACCTGACAGTTAGCTCCGCCAAATCCAGAGACAGCTAATCCGGCGATGACTTGGTTTGTAGTTTTTGCAGAAGCCACAATGACATGCCCAACGAAGCAAACCAAATTACCCAATACCAGAAACCAACGTCTGCCCAGAAGATCCGTGTTCGGACCACTGTAAAATGAATAAGTATTGAGTCGCAAAGTCTACTTTCCGCTGGGAGACATACAAGATCAAGAAGGCACAAGTAATTGAGATGGTCCATGCCTGGTATTACGTTAAACTTCAAATTTCACATCCAACATATTCGGATGCATTTCTTACAGGAACAAACCAAATATATCCAGTGGGGTCCCCCATGTCTGCCGAAATTAGGGTACCGATGGCAGCCACGACAGGCACTGGGAAGAAAGAGAGGCCATAACCGCACGAGAGAATCTAGTTAAGATGCACACTTAGCTTGATCTCCACGATTTGAAGTCAGTTGAAGGACATACACACGAAACAATCCACGTTCTCAGAGTCACATCCGGAGGTGCGGCCTCGGGATGATTAGAATTTGGAGATGGTGACTCCAAGTTCGAAGCACGAACAGTATCGTGCCCCGGATATTTCTCGCTATCGTTTGTCATACTGGGGATCAGACGATAGCGCAGCACAAATAGACCAGCAAGGAATTAAAGAAACTAAAGGGAGGGGAGGGGGCAGAGATTGTAATGGCTACTCTGTTGCCAAGAGTCAGTGACGAAGATTCCCTGCATTTGACGGGGGCAATTGTCCACCCCACCATGTAATGAAATTTCTCCAAGACAATCAATATCGTAGGAGGCTCCCGACCTATGGCAATCGATAGGACCGTGCAGCATGACAGGGAAACAAGCGATCTGAAATTCAGTCGACGGCTCCGAACTGCTGGTCACTACAAGTATGGTACAGAAAGAGGCGGGGCCCATAATCCGTTGTAGGATCGTCCTAGAAATTGGCTAGACGCAAGGCACACTCTGTACCGTATACAGCAAGGATGAGCGTATCTTGACCCATATTCGTCTTTTGTAAGAAACAAACCCCCAAAATTGTTCAGGATTAGGCTCTGCGCTAGCCACACTCATTCGAAAATGACCCGAGTAGACGCAAACAAATCCACGACCCCACCGGTATTTTACATCAAAAATGTATCTTCTTGTACGTAATCCAAGCACTAATGGTGAGTGGTATTTTTTGAGATTTAGAAAGTTCTGCTTGACACCAGTTCAAACCTGTGAAACCCAACATATACAAACATACTTCCAGTATGGGCTCCCATGCAGAAGAGCGTGTGGCCATTGTTGTCGGAGCTACCGTTAGTACACCTTGAAAGCATGGGGGCTTCTTGAGATTTTACTGACTAGTAACCTGCAGTCCGGAATGGGGATTGATATTGCTACGGATCTCGTCACACGCGGATGGAAGGTCGCTTGTGTAGGCCGACGTCGTGAAGCGGGGGAGGCTCTTCTCAAGACCTTGCCCGGGGACAACGCCCGTTTTTTCCGCGCTGACGTGTCAAACTACGATCAGTATACAGAAGTCTTTTGTGCGGTTCGCAAATTATGGGGCCGCATTGATGCACTTTGCGCCAATTCTGGTATCGTCGATACCTCTTCTATCTATATGTACGATTGGAAGAACAAAAGCGTTGATGAGGTTCCTCCGGCCCCCAAATTGGATGTTGTGGATATCAACTATAAGGGAGTTGTTTACGGTACCCAGTTGGCAACGCATTTCATGAGGTATAATCCTCAACCTGGAGGTCGCATTGTGATCACAGGAAGTATTGGGGGTGTCTTCCCCCACGAGTCTTATCCAATTTACTGTGGCACCAAGGCGGCAGTAAACCAATTTGTGCGTGGCATGGCCCCATTACTGAAGCAGAAAGAGAATATCTTGATCAATGTTGTGATGCCCGGAATGGTGGAAACTCCTATCGTTCCCCCAGAGATGATCGCGGCTGTTACTCCTGAATGGTGAGAACCTAACTCGTATCCCGAGCCTGGCTTGTCGATAAGGTGCTGACCCATAAACATTCACTTACATAGTCTGACCCCTGTGAAGACAATCTTGAAAGCGTACCAGGTATTTCTCGAAGATACCACAGGGATGGCTGGCGAAACGCTTGAATGTTCAGCTGACAAGCTGATCTACTACCACATGCCCGAATATGGCAACGGGCATATCACGAAACGGGCCGTCACGGTCTGGGAGCCGTTGTTTCGCATGATGCATGGTGAAGATTCACAGCTACCGGACGCAATTCCGTGAAGCTGAGAGTAGTCGGGACAAATCACACGAGGCAAAGCTTCAAGTTGCAACGACCATGCCCTAAGTTAATGGCCTCGGCACATATAAAGCGGTCTTTACTGGGTCGTGGGCAGATCTTGTTAAAATTACTTCCTGCCAAACAGAAATATGTGTTTGCTTCGAAATTACAAGTTATTTCCCACCAAAAAATCTTCTAGCCTCGCACTAAATCCTTCGACCCATCGTATGCGAGTTGATGGGTCAACCTTTCTGGATTTGACAGCTGTTGAAGTCTGGGACTGTCGATCGCGGGACGCGGGACGGGCTGGCGTGGCGTGTTCCGCAGCCGTGGAGCTTCGCTCAGTCTTGGGGTCGAATCTTAGTCGTTTGTGCTTGTTAGTGTTGTGAACATGGTCTCATTACTCCAATGGTACTTCTTTACATGTATTTGAGCCAATCAAGCTCCAGTCTGATTTTTCAGCCCCTACCTCCATGTTCATTTCCAACGCCTTCAGACTGGCGCCTTCATACTAGCTATTTTTATTCATGCAGACAGCTGTGCTATGGACTTAGGGCTGTCATAAATTTCTGGAACTGGACCCTCAGAAGTTGTCGATGTGTTCGCTTGGGCCGCGATGGGGATCGATCGGTTATGTATCAGGAGGAATTTGAAACTGTCACAAACACTCGACGGAAGTAAAACGCTAGTAATTCTTCATGTTTAGATTTAGAGAAATACATAATATTACCGGGTACTTAATTGTGTAGATTATGAGTCATGTCCACTCCCTCAATATCAAGCCATTCAACAGAGGGCTGTAAGTTGAAGAGTTCAAACATCAATCCGTCGTCCCATATAGAAGCCGAACCTGTTGCAGAATCATCAAATTCATGACAGACCGATTGACGTTCGGGCAATGAGGAAAGCCCATCCGGGGGTATTTCTTCTTGTCCAGGAGTCGGTAGGGAGGCTGTTTGTCTATTAACGCCCATGCCAGTCTCGAAGTCACCATTTGAAAGCATCTGGACATGTCCTGCTCGGTTGTAAGAAGACCGTCCCTCCTGAGATCTGTGGGAATCTCCACTGGAAGGAACGTCGTGTAGTTCAGCGCAAAGACTGATAAGTTCAGATAGGAGTCTGTGAAGATTCATGCCAATAATGTACTGCTCTTTGAGTCTTGATATTGTGACAGTAACTTCTTCCAATAATTTTAGATCATCCAAATTTGAAGTGGCGACAACATTGCAGAAGATAACAAAGAATGGGGTGAGCGGGTATAGTAGTACAGTCCTATAAAACTTTAGTCAGAGTGCCATGGAATTTTAGTCAAGACAAATAACGATACCAGAATAAATAGTCGGGTGTAATGTTAGACTTGGAGCATATGTGCTTCTGACATGCTTGCATCGAATGGAGAGCTTTTCGTGCATATCGTAAACACTCCTCTCGCCTAGTCTTGTCTTGCAAGGAAGATGAGTCGAGACGAAGAACTGTAGTAGCGATTGAGAAAAAAGTGAAGTCAACTGTGTCCCATTCAATCATAACTGAAGGTTCGCGGTGCGGCGGATATCGCGACTAATGAAAAATCAGTACGTTCCGCCAAAGGTGAAAATGGAAAAAGAATTACCTGCTGTATTTCATCGCCAATAGACTTGAGCTCCATCTGAATATTCTCCAACATTACTTCCTTGGTTGCAAGGACTTGATGACGCGGATCCTTCAGCACCAGTGACAAGGCGACATCTTGGACGCGGGCTAGTTTCACCAAGATCTTGACGTGCATTGAGACTGCTAGCTGAGGATCTGTATGAACGAGATCCGCTGGATTGAATGGAAGCTGTGGTAGAGATGGAGGGCGTATCAGAAGCATGCTCAGGGTTTTGTCCATATAGTAGCAGTAGTAGATACAGCGACGGATTTCGTTTTCTTCATCACTGTCAGGACTAAAAGCCATCATTTTATGATAGCCCAGAGCGACAATAGAGCGGGATGCAAGAGAAACCAGAAACCATGATCTTGTCGTGTCTCCATGAAGCTGTACAACCGCTGCCTGAGAAAATGTAAATAGGGATGTTCAGCCAAATGAGCAGGTGTTGCTTACCCCTGCAAGAAGAGCTTGCAACATGGCAAGATTTGGCGAGCGAGTGAAATCAATTCTTCGAAGGCATTCTAAAGTTGCAGCGCCATACACCTTGCGAGATTTGTCCAAGTAGTCGGACATCTGGTCAGACGGGCATACTCGCAGCCATCGACTGATGAAAGTGGTCGCCTTTGAGAATAAGCATAATTTGTATTGGAGGGCCATCTCACCACGAACGGCGTTGCTCATTATTGCTAAAGACATTCGCTCCATAGTCTGAGATGAGAGATGATCTGCCCAGACGAGGCCTTGTGCTTCCATTCTACTTGATCCTGTATAAATTAGCTTACAACTTTAAGTAGAGAGAAAGAAGCAGTGGACCTACCGTGAATTGTCGTATAATGCAGCTCAGGTGGAATATTATCAACGATGGATGCGTCTCTGGGAACTCTGTGTCCATTCTCATCGTGCTGTGCATGGTATCCCTGATGCGATGCCGTCGCGAATGCTTTAACAATGGTAAGGGCGTTTTCCAATGCCCGCATCCGACTTGCGGGCAAATTTGAATTCGATTCAAGCTCTTGCTGAATCAAGGTAGTGGAGTTATCTACCAGATCATGCTTATCAACAGGTCCTTCATGTGGCCTTAGAGTCGAATCGAAAATGCTTGATGGCGTAGAGGCCCCGGTTGTGATCCCAGGTCCCTGCGTTCTTCCTGGTTGTTGTTTGTTGATTTTGACACCGCTATGTGAGGGCCTATTAGATTGGAAATTTAGCTAAAAATTTTTACAATTGCACCTATTCGCGACTCACGGCGGTTGCACTCTTCGACGCGGTCGACGCCCTCTTAAGCGGTCACGAGTGCATGAAACTCCAATCGAAGCACAGCTTCGACATTCCGCCTGTCTATCGCATTTGGTCTGTGGGCCACGAAAGTATGAGAATTATCAGGTCACCCAGAAGTAAAGGGCCTTGGAATACCTTTCTTGCATGGCACAAATCACACTGATGGAATGTTAGAAAAAAGAGTGGTTGGTATGCGGTGTCTGATTGATAGAACATACTGCTTGGCGTCCTCCGCCGACAAACAAAGCCCCGGCCCGAAATGTTGTAGATTGGGGCATAATGATTTTCCTCGGCTTCGGCCTGGGGAAGTTCTCCTACAGTTCGTTATGACCACAAGGAAGATCCCGTAGACCCGCAGTGCTAGCGATGACGTATCGAGCCTAGAACAACGCTAAGCTTACGTGACATAAATCACTTGGTGGTATCCAAAACGAATATCCATGCACCCTGAAGTCCGAACCAACGAACAAATACAGGCCGCATTGACGTGAAAAGACGGTGTGAACTATTCAATCCCACCTCGAGTCGAAATCATCGTGAGGCGGAAGTTTCGGAGGTTACTGAATAGAGTAATCTTCCGAGCCAATAAAAATCCTTCACTTTGCCCGAGCTCAAGTATTTGGTTATGTAACTAGATGGTGATTGGCTCATTCGGAGAATTTTGATGCCACCCACTGTCCGTGCAAAGGACCCCCTTCCTGGGAGGAGAGAGAGAGAGAGAGAGAATAAGGAAAATAAAAAGTTGGCATAGACTGCTTCATCAATTTTAATCTATGATTATTCCTGGATACCTTCGAAAGAATGTTCGAATAAATAGTAGTCATATTTAACGTGATTTAAACAATCTATTGCTAGAAAATTTAGTCCAATGAGGTGGGTACATGTGATTGTTGATAGATGAGATGGTACCGTGGCCGAGAGTCCGACTCTGCAAGTCCGAAGCCGATGAGTTTTCGGCATGGCTCTATCCACTTTCAGTTCCCATCGACAACATTGATTTGCCAGACCGATTAAGTCCCTGCAAGTGGCCCTGCTATTGTCTCCTGAATCTCCGGAGTACGCCTTTTGAATACCAAATTTTTTCCGATGCAGCTTGGCAGCGAACCCACTTGTGTTTTGATAAATATGAAAATATTACCCCCAGTCCATGTGCTTAATAGACTTTGAACTTTTTACACGTTTTGTTTGAGATTTCCCCAGCCCCCAGGGGGCTTCTACTTTCTAATATGACCGTGCCGCAAAACTCTTCACCACCGAGCCCAGCATCTACAAGGGCCAACTCTCCGGAAAGCACTCAAAAATGGCATTGGGCTACGACGATTGAGAAGTCTCATCAAGATGATCTCGATTCCGGCTATAATTCTCGAAAGCTCGGCGTCACTTGGAACAACTTGACTGTCAAAGGTATCAGTGCCGATGCCACTGTCAACGAAAACACCCTTTCCCAGTTCAATGCTATGACACGCATGATTCGTCGCCCAAGCCAAAAGCCGACGCAAACGATTCTTGAAAAAAGCCATGGCTGTGTCAAACCCGGCGAAATGCTCCTCGTTCTCGGCCGTCCAGGGTCGGGCTGCACGACATTGCTCAAAATGCTGTCCAATAAACGCGCAGGCTACTCCTCAATCGATGGTGATGTTTCGTTTGGGAGTATGACCCATGAAGAAGCGGAGGATTATCGGGGCCAGATCATCATGAACTCAGAAGAAGAGACTTTCTATCCGACCCTGAGCGTGGGAGATACAATTAACTGTGCCACACGATCAAAAGTACCTTCTCATCTTCCCAACGGCGTTAATTCGAAGAAGGAATACTACACCGAGACCACTGAATTTCTTCTGAATTCCCTTGGTATTCAGCATACCGCAGATACCAAGGTTGGGAATGAGTATGTTCGTGGGGTTTCAGGTGGAGAGAGAAAGCGAGTCTCCATCCTCGAATGCCTCGCATCCAGGGCATCCGTTTACTGTTGGGATAATAGTACACGCGGTCTTGATGCAATCAATGCACTCGAGTGGGCGAAGGGAATCCGTACAATGACTGACGTGTATGGATTATCCACGATTGTGACACTCTACCAAGCAGGAAATGGAATTTTCGATCTGTTCGACAAGGTTCTTGTGCTAGATGAAGGGAAGCAGATCTTTTACGGTCTGAAAGATCAGGCTCGAGAATTCATGGAAGATCTCGGATTTTGTCGGGACAATGGGGGGAATATTGCTGATTTTTTGACTGGAGTGACTGTCCCTACTGAACGTCGAATTCGTCCTGGATATGAAGCGAAGTTTCCCCGCGATGCTACCTCTATTCTTTCGCACTATCAGCAGTCTCACATTTTCAAGACCATGCAAACTGAGTATTGCTATCCGACCACGGAAGAGGCACATCAAAATTCAAAAGATTTTCAAGCAAATGCCAGACTGGAAAGAAATTACCAAAGCAGTCAATTCACGGTGAGCCTTTTTGAACAAATTCGCGTATGTGTGGTCCGCCAATACCAAATTCTCGGTGGAGACATGACTACTTTCTTTATCAAACAAGGCGCAAACCTCATTCAGGCGCTAGTCGCCGGGTCTCTTTACTACATGGCACCGAATGACTCTTCCGGAATTTTCCTCAAAGGTGGCGCGTTGTTTTGGTCTGTTTTATACAACTGCATGACCATGATGTCCGAAGTAGTGGATTCATTTACAGGAAGGCCGATCATCCTCAAACACAAATCATTCGCATATATCCATCCATCTGCAGTTTGCATTGCCCAGGTGGCTACTGATGTTCCAATGGCGATCCTCCAAGTCACTGTTTGGTCACTCATTGTGTACTTCATGGTGGGACTTTCTATGGGTGCTTCAGAGTTCTTCACTTATTGGCTCATACTTTTCGTTACGAACATGTGCGCTTGCTCACTGTTTCGTGCTATCGGGGCCGTTTTTAGTTCCTTCAATATCGCATGCCAGATTTCTGGCTACGCTATCTCAATCATGGCCATGTATTCAGGATACCAGATACATTACACCCAAATGCATCCATGGTTTGGCTGGTTGTACTGGTTGAACCCGCTCTCGTATGGCTTCGAAGCATTGATGGGGAACGAATTCCACCTGAAGCATATGCCGTGCGTTGGTCCTAACCTGGTTCCTCATGGAGAAGGATACCCAACTGATGGCCAATTTGCTTCTTGTGCTGGGGTTGGTGGTGCAAGGCAGGGCGCAACATCATTGACTGGCGACGAGTATCTGAGCTCCTTGTCCTACAGCCATGCACATTTATGGCGGAATTTTGGCATTATTTGTGCATGGTGGGTGTTTTATCTGTGTGTCAATATCCTGGGAATGAATAGATGGCGCGATGGCTCTGACAAGGGGTCTCAACTTCTCATACCCCGTGAAAAACTTGCTTCCCACCAAGCCAAGCCACCCTGTGATGAAGAGTCTCAACAAACAAGCGAGAAGCTGCAAGCCTTAAGTCCAAATCAGCCACCAAAAGGTTTGGTTCCTCTCGAGCAACAATTGGCTCCTAACAACTCGGTTTTCACTTGGAAAGATTTGAGTTATACGGTCAAAACACCATCTGGCCCTCGAGTCCTCCTTGAGAATGTCCAAGGCTGGGTGAAGCCCGGAACACTCACTGCACTTATGGGCTCCTCAGGTGCCGGAAAGACAACTTTACTGGATGTTCTGGCTCAGAGAAAAACCGAAGGGAAAATAGAAGGCTCGGTATTGGTCGACGGCCAGTCGCTCCCGATATCCTTCCAACGGTCAACAGGCTATGTCGAGCAACTCGATGTGCATGAGCCCTTTGCGACTGTTCGGGAAGCTCTAGAGTTCTCTGCCCTTTTGCGCCAAAGTCGTGATGTCTCCCAGGATCAGAAATTGGAGTATGTTGATGTCATCATCGACTTGCTCGAGCTCCATGATATTGCCGACGCTTTGATAGGAGCACCAGGCTCAGGTTACGGACTCAACGTCGAGCAAAGAAAGCGGGTCACTATTGGAGTAGAGCTCGTGGCGAAGCCGAAGATTCTCATATTCCTCGACGAGCCCACCTCAGGGCTGGATGGCCAATCGGCCTTCAATACTGTGCGCTTCCTGAGAAAGCTCGCAAACTCTGGTCAGGCTGTGCTAGCTACTATTCATCAGCCATCAGCACAACTATTCGCGCAATTTGATCGACTCTTGCTCTTGCAACAGGGCGGGAAGACAGCTTATTTCGGAGACATTGGCCCATCTTGTCGCGAAGTCAATGGCTACTTTAGCAAATTTGGTGCTCATTGTCCCCCGGGTACCAATCCAGCAGAGCATATCATTGACGTTATCTCTGGTCAGGCTGTCTGCCAGGACTGGCACAAAGTTTGGCTCGATAGCGAAGAAAACAGGGCCGTTCTGAGTGAGCTTGAAGACCTTATATCCACCACAAAACCCCCAAGCTCGACACCTGAGGATGCCTTCGAGTATGCGATGCCTCTATCCTTCCAGATGAAAGTTGTTCTTCGTCGGATGAATCTCTCAATCTTCCGCAACACCGGCTACATCAACAACAAGCTTCTCCTTCATATTGGCCTAGGTCTCTTCAATGGGTTCACCTATTGGCAAATTGGAAATGCCGTCGGTGACCTCCAGCTCAAGCTGTTTACCATTTTTGTCTGGATGTTCGTCGCCCAGGGGGTCATCAATCAGCTTCAGCCAGTCTTCATTGAGCGACGAAATATTTATGACACTCGCGAGAAAAAGGCACGGATCTACTCTTGGAAAGCGTTTGTCACAGCCCTCATCGTGTCCGAGATGCCATATCTGGTTGTCTGTGGTGTGCTGTATTTTGCTTGTTGGTACTTCACAGTCGGCTTCCCCAGTGACCCGAGCAAAGCCGGCGCAAGCTTCTTTGTGGTTCTCATATATGAGTTCTTCTACACTGGGCTGGGTCAGTTTATCGCAGCATACTCACCCAACGCGGTAGCTGCTGCTCTTGCGAATCCATTGTGGATTGGAATCATTGTTTCATTCAATGGAATATTGGTACCTTATGATCAGCTTGTCGTGTTTTGGAAATACTGGATGTATTGGCTGAACCCCTTGACTTACATGGTCGGAAGCATGCTCACTTTCACCATTTTCGATGCAGATGTGACCTGTACCGATGCTGAGTTCGCGATCCTGGATCCTCCCGCTAACATGACATGTTTCGACTATCTGGAGAACTACCTCGACAAGTCTGGTGCCAACTTGTTCAATCCCACGGACTTCGCAGATTGCCGTGTCTGTCAATATACGAAAGGAAGCGATTACCTCCGCACTATCAATCTGAATGATTGGTATTACGGGTGGAGAGACGCTGCTATATTCTTCATCTTTATTCTCAGTTCATATGGTCTGGTGTTTCTTTTCATGAAGCTGAAGACCAAATCGTCTAAAAAGGCTGAATGAACTGGTTCTATTCTGCTTGTCCTTTCGTCAATAGCTTGACTGGATATCCTTTTACATTTTCCATTCTCAATATCGTGTCCTTTAACCTTGAAATCTTCAGGTTCCCTCCGAGAACGTCCCGCTCCTCTTCGGCTTCTCCTTGTTCATAAAGATAGACATAAAGTAGATAAAATAGATAGACCCCTCGAGAGGGTTGCATAATATATAAGTCTTGCATCCGAAAAGGAACCAGATAAGTCCCCTAGTAGCTTTAAGCATTACCGCAAAGTCTTGTTATTGATCGGCCTGACTACTACATCAACCTTGCCGAGAAATTATATCCAAACACGCCATGTTTACATCTATTCCAAGACCTTGGGGGTAATCTGAAACTTCGTAGCACCGTCTTTCTACTCCGTAGATTGACGCGTATTATTATGCTTACAATTGGTATTTCCCCCCTGAAATCAGGAACTATAGAAACACCAGCCATTTCCGTGATATTTAGCTGGGAGCTGGGCTACGCCGGGCGCAAGTCTCTACCCCGCCCATCTCAGGTCCCAGTACCGATTGAATTTATTGAGAACAATAGGAATGATTTGCCCCTTTCCATATGGAGCCAACTGAGCAAGAAATAGTAAGTCGACTAACCTGAGAACAAAAAGTCTCCGCTGTTCACTGAATGCAAAATGACGAGATACATGTCCAAATAGCCACATGGATACGCGCAAGAAATGAACAGAAAGCCAGACAAAATGCCTAAAAAAGGGCTAGTGGAATAATTTAGTCTGTTAGTAATATTTTCAAAACTGTTGAAGCTACTTCGACATTGTCCATCGCTTTAATCGTGATGTCGGTGAATTCGAGATTCAACGGCTAACTATGATCTTTTTTGATGGATAATAGCTGGACTCTTCAGATGCCACTGGACACCGGCTTATATTGAGAATGAATTTTGGGGAGACATAGAAGCCGGTACAGCATACTACGAAGAATACCAGATCTACACGACAGGGGTAGTCGAAGGAACAGCAGCCCCGGACACATTTCGGACACATTTTGGACAGGTTCTAGCCACACCATCTGCCGTTTTTGCTTCATGCCCAGGTGTGTTGTAGCCTGAATCAGCTCAGCAACGTTTTACCTGATTTCTAATTCTGTTCATTAGATCCGTCTAGATTTGAGAACCAATATGTTAAATATACCATTCCACCTCGGCCATTCTCTTACCATTTCACGACAGATCGTTTCATGCCAGCACACCCCTTTGGAAGCACGCCCAGCCAACATTTCTATTAAGATTCTGATTTCTAATATCTACTAGGTATCTATCCGTGTATCTCATCGATACTGCTATTTTTCTACAATTATGCTTGGCATACTGCCCCCTTATGGCGACCCCGCCAAACCCTCGGTGGCTTGGGGAGTCGTCATAGTCGCCTGTATCGTCAATTTCCTCGACCTCTTCCAGAGTTCTATGGTAATGTTCGGCCTGGCCGACATTCAGGAGGCAATGGACTTCAATCACAGTGATCTGAACTGGATCTTGGTTGCATACACGCTCACATTTGCTACAATTCTCCCCGTTGGGGGCCAACTGGCTGATCGCATGGGTTTACGCCTCACCTTTCTCATTGGCACTTTGATGTTATTCTGGACAAATATCCTCATCTCTTGGGCCCCAGATCAGAATAGTCTGCTTGCTGGTCGAGCCTTAGCTGGCGTCGGGGCCGCCTTGACAGTATGTCTATTCTTCCCTCTCACTTTCCATGCACCTGCCTGAAACAGCCTTCTAAAAATATCACGAAGTGCGCGACAGGAATCTCCGTGATAAGTCACACATTTCCACCAGGCAAGAATCGGAATAATGGATTGGCAATTTATGTCTCTTGTGGACCGATTGGTACGGTGCTGGGCGTTATCCTTGGGGCGCTGCTCACAGCATCCGCAGCTGGTTGGCGTTCGATGTTCTGGTTGAACTTCATCCTAGCCGGTATTGCTTGCATTCTGGGCTTACTGATCATTCCAAATTTTGACCGGGACACAACACGTGGATTTGATTACTATGGCGTGGCAACCTTCATGGCTGGGACCTGCTTGTTGATCTATGGATTGAACGATGCGGCAGACAAAGGCTGGAAGCATCCTGCTATCATTGTCACCATAGTCCTGGGTGGCCTGCTTCTCCTGGCGTTCCCTCTTGTCGAACGCAAGGTAAATGATCCGGCGGTACCGGTTTCGATCATGCGCAACCCCCATGTCCTTGTCCCTTTGACTGTGTTCATGTTTGTTGGCGGTGGCTGGTAAATGCTTCCCTCATTTCTTGAATTTTCAGATAACAGTTTGCTAACGCCAATCCGTTGAATAGGGTTACTTGGTTCTACTTGGCCACGGAGATATGCCTTAATTCACTTCATTACAAGACGGTTCTCGCGGCCTGTTACTTTCTGGTACGCATAACTCCATTGATCTTGAATCGCACATCACTAATCCTTTATTTTACGACAGCCTGCGACAGCAGTTTCAATCATTGGCGGTGGCATTGGCAACAAGTTAGTTGGCATGGGCCATACGAAGATTGTCATTGTAGGCGGATATGTGATCAGTGTGGGTGCACTCGTCCCGTGGGGGTTTGTCGGACCTCAGTTCGGGATTTGGTATGTGACTGTCTTCTCAATGCTATACCTGTTTGCAGCACCCGGGATAGCAGTGGCTGCGCAGGCCATCGTACTAAATGAGATACCCCTCGAGGATCACGGCACTGCAGCGGCTCTTATGAACGTCATGTATCAATTCGGAAGTTCTCTTTTCCTTGCAGTTGTCAATGTCGTGATGGGAAGTACTGCGGGTGCCGGAGAGACAAACCAGGACCTCCTGGCCCAGTACCATAATGGCATGTGGACATTGCTCGGTTTCACTTCCGTGGGGTTGATTCTGTTTGTGGTATTCTATCTTCCACGTGAGTCTCGCCAGGCAGGCATGGTCGAGAAAAGCCGTGGGGAGGCCTTTCAAGCCAAGGACGAAGAGCACACTATTTTACCTCCTAGTTAGTGTTCGCTATTTAGTACTCTCGCTCTACCTGGACAATACTAGTAGTATTTAACAGGGTCAAGGATAGTTAAGGGCTGAGGTGTTACTATATAACAACCTGTCAATTTACAAACATTCCCGGAACTATACTGTCAGATAGTAATATATTTGGGAAATGATTACGGGGCTCTCATCATGAATAAAGGATACGCGGGCGTTTAATAATTTCCATTAAGTAGGGAATGAAAGCCGAGGGACAAAATTGGGAGCAAAGACAGCAAAAGTAATATGAATCGGAAGAGCATAAGGGAAGAGGGAAAGAAAATCATCGGACAGTATTCAACTTTAGGGGCGGGCCCACAGGGAGGCGTATGGTCTGAGAATGATTCCTGAACGGAAGGTCCTACGAGGGGATCAACAACTACTTGGAAATTGTATTTCAGATCGTGGTGGCGGCAGCATGGTAGAATTGTCGATAGGTCGATTCAGCGATCAGGTCGAGTACCACCAGAGGTCATGGGCATGGCTGTAAGCTATGTTAAAGCGCCAGCATGAGGGGTGAGATGTTGATTTCGGAGGGAAGAGACAACGAACAGAAATAAATGCACTAACGTTGCGGGGCGACTTCATACTCGGGGTTTGTCCTGGAGATTTGCAATGTTTCCTCGACAAGGCAGCTATCATTGAGGATCGTACATAGCGTTGACTTTGAATTATGATAGTTGACCAGGTTTTTCCACATATTGTAGCCCTGGCTCGGAGGCTTTCCGTCGGTTGATATCCGTCCCATCCTCGAATACCCGACGACAATTAAGCAACCCTGGGCACGGCTTAACGCCACGAAGGCCCTTTGCCGATTTTTTAGAAAGCCGAGACCATATTCCTCTGACGGGAAGTTCCTCTTGCGGTCTCTCGGAACCTTCGAATAAAAAAGGAGGTATGTGATTCATTGTCAAATATTATAGATAACAGCTCACAACGACACAGCAAGAACCGAAGCTAACCCAATATACCCGGAATAACCCGATCCCGTTGAGGGTCAGGACCTCGATAAGCCCGGCTACTGGGCGTAATATGCCTTGCAAACTTTGCGACGCGGGGAGAGAGAAAGTCCAAAGATCCGACAGCGCTCTTATATAAGCCGAAACAACGCGAACAATACAGGGAGCCTGGTCTCCGCCAGGGCAGAAAAGGAGATGACTTCGCTCAACAGATTGACCAGAGGATTACCAACATCGAGGCCATTCTCATTCAGTCGGCAGGAAACAAGCAGGTAGAGGAATGTGTCCATTGCTCTAATGGACAGGGTCTTTTCTTTTCATGTACCACAATGTCTGACCTGCTCCCTGCGTGTGGGAATTGCAACTGGGGAGGACAAGAAAAGCGATGTAGCTTCGGCCGTGAGCCGGATGCACAAACTGCGGTAGATAGAAACCCTCAAACCTATAAAGAGTGCGAGGCGTTGCTTCGGGCCGAATTGATGGAGCAGCAGAGTGCCATGCGCATGATCGAAGCCGCGTTGGCAGCCGTGGAGAAGAGGGAGTAGCCTCATAGGCGGGCTCGATATTCTATCAAAGCATCTTGAAAAAGAAGCTGACAGCACCTCCCAGGTGAAGACTGTTGACAATGCTTCGACGGACACTCGCAGGGTTGTCAACAGCGAGCCTCCCAGCGACTGAATCACCATGGGCACGTGCCGATCCAGATGTATATTATAAAGCTTCAACTTTATTCTCATAATTTCAGATGAACACGCAAGCAATGACGCCATCTTTACCGCAGTAGTAATTCCCTTTCTGTCGCGGCTTCCTTTTCTGTCGACCCCCTCCCCCCCTGTTGTTAACCTCCCCTTCCTTTTCTCATTCTTCCTTTTCCATCTACGTGGCCCTATCTTTCTGTCTTTCTGTCGTCTCTTAAGCACAAACACTCTGCCATCCTTGAAGACCAGTGGCACAACCCTCCCCGCCCTTCGGCTGTCTTTCTGTTATCTCTCAAGCGTGACCACTCTGCCATCATTATGGCCACTGATGCCGGGCTTCCGAGCTTTGATAGAGAACATATTTTGTCGGAATTTGATGACCCAGAGCGGCAGAGTCTAATTGCGAGCATCGTTAGGCAAGATCCAAAGCTGGCGAATGTTCGCCGCTCGTCGCTTTTTGCGCTCTGATTCAGCGACATTGCCACTTTGCGGAAGATCGCTGGGGAAAACGACCCCGATACATGCGGATATGACCTTCGAAACGAGCGACTCCGAAAGTTCCCGGCCGACGTGCCGAAAATCTGTAAGTACGAATTTAACAAATTTGATATCCACTACTAATATTATTTCATCGTTCAGTCGCTGGACGGAAGTCTGCCTCGCAGGATGAGACGGTGGACCCTCTTCCGGAAGCCGAAGCAGCGGACACAATACTCGGAAAACGGGATTACGACCAAGTCCTTGAGAAAGCCCCCGCCAAGAAGCAAGTCAAACGTGAGCTTCCTCTTAAGGAGACGGCTTTGGCGCGAGACAAAGACCGCTGCGTCCTGACCAAGCAGGGGCGGACAACCCTCCACGTCGCCCACATCGTGCCATTTAAACTCCACAAGAGTGACAGGGCGGACGATTGGCTCTGGCTAAAGTACTTAAGAAAGCCTCTGCTGTCAACATCGGAGTCCGCAGTTAAGAGCAAGGATGATGATGATGAACTTGACGGGGAGACAAACGCCATGGAGTGGACCGTTGCGCGAATCTTTGTGAGCGTAGTCGCCTCAGACACGGGGCTGGCTGGGTGCGACATAGTGTGGCTTCAATCTAGACAGGATAGTTAGGAATTGTTCTAGAGATGAGGAAGTTTGAGCTTGTGGATACTGACGAGGTGAGTTCACCGAAGAAATCAGCAAGGTGAAATCAACAAGAGAGATGGGAGAGATGGAAGAGATGGGAGAGATGGAAGAGATGGGAGAGATGGGAGAGATGGAAGAGATGGGAGAGATGGAAGAGATGGGAGAGATGGAAGAGATGGGAGAGATGGGAGAGATGGGAGAGATGGAAGAGATGGAAGAGATGGGAGAGATGGGAGAGATGGAAGAGATGGAAGAGATGGGAGAGATGGAAGAGATGGGAGAGATGGAAGAGATGGGAGAGATGGAAGAGATGGAAGAGATGGAAGAGATGACTCTATTGATTGTAGGGTAGATGTCCATTGATAACTACAGTACCTGACCCTAGGATCGGAAGCTACCCGGGGCTACTAGGCCCATTTAGGCTAGCTCCCCCCCCCTCGCGAGGATGCGACTAGACTTCTTTAGGCTACCCGCTGCGAACAATAGACGCCTGGATGGCTGACAGGTTTCTAAGGCAATACTTCAGCTTCATGGTTTTTGCTCATGGTAGACGGCCGGCTATTTAACCAACTGCCTACTCTGGTAGCTACTGCTTACATAACGTATACCATTTCCCAGTGGAGGGCTGAGCATGAGCTACACAACAATAAACTACAAAGTTACAGACCTTCCAGGATGTGAGGAATGTGCTACTTCACCTCGGAAACATTGGAAGAGGATTGCGTCCGTTCTCCCACTGCGACAGCTACGGTACTCCATAGCGGCAATCGAACAGGTATTCCTGGCAGGGTGGTAGCCCTCGAGTGTTCCAAAAATAATCAGACTCTGCCCCCTTAGTGAAGCTATACTACTGCCTATACAGATTGCTTGATTCCGACCAGCTGCCTACCCTTGTATCTACTGCCCAGGTGGTTACCTAACCTATAAAATTTCCCGGTACGGACTGGGCATGAGCTATACAACAACTAGTCAAACTACAACCTTCTAGGAGCTGTATCCAATGATTCGCGAGATTCGCAATCACTCATATGCAATCTGAAAAGACGAAATTCATGCAGAGAGCCTAAAATTTGTACCCCCAGCATCTCCTAGATGAGGACTGTTGACCACCGCCTATACTGTCATAGCTTAGCTATCCGTACACGTGACTGGTCAGATATCTCTCCCTTAGGGAGAGGGAAGAATAGGATCATCTTCTTCCACACTGGTCTTTCAGACAGTAGATCCCTCGACGGGGTTACATATACGATGGAGTTCTACTTGTTCTGGAGAGAAAAACATCGAAATCCCCAAATAGAAATTGGGGAAAGCTACTGAGAGGGTTTTGGAAGTACAGGGGTGGGAGCGAGCAAGTCCAGGGCTGACTTTTTCATTATTCTATCTAGGGGAAGATATCATTCAAAACAAAGCTCCGCCGAAACAAAACGAAAGATATGAGATACTCCTTCTTCCAACTCTTTGACAGTCAATAGCTCCTAATGACGAAGCCGGGCAAGTCTTTCTATCTTTATTCCACAGGGGGTAAAAGAAAAAAGAGGGCCCATCAACTAGAGATCGTTGCCATTGTTCGCAGCAGCCCCAGCATTATAGTATTCCTGTATCTCACTGATGCTATTCTTCGTCCAATCATGATTTTCCTCAACCTGTTTTTCCAATTCACCTAGTCTCATACTGTGACTTGATACTTGGTGTGCCATTATGGCTGATGCTCTGTTGGACCTCGGCTGAGTTGTCGCTCGTGCCTCACAATTGTCGAGTCCCTCTTTGACGCGTTTCTCCAGCTTCTCCACACGTGTGTTGGTATCGCTCAGCATCCCGGAGGCCTTCTCGAGTTCTTCATCATGTTGTTTCATCCATATTTGAACGGTATCCATAAACTCGCGATTTCCCTTGGCTGGATCGATGGATCGGCGATGCTCACTGCCGGCGCTGGTTCTCGGCGTCTTCGACGACTTTTCGTGGGCAAATGTGTTTTTGGAATCTGAATATCATAGCCGAGGATCAGATTTGGGTGTTGTGGTGGATCGGCCCAGGAAGACCCACCGCGTGGTTCGCTCATGGTTTCGGTGATAGAGAGATCGGAGTGACGATCGTGAGTTTCAGAAATCTCAGGGCAGCTGCATTGATGGCTTGAGGTGTTTGAAAGGGATGGAAGTTGAAATTGTGGTAATATTGGCAGAGGAAAGTCTGGGGAGGGTGAAGGTGGTCGGCTCATTTATATTGTAGGCACCTGGGCAGGCATAGGCAGGAATGGCTGCTGGAGTAGTAGTAGTAGTAGTAGGAGTAGGAAAGTCACGGCTTCAAGTTAGGCTACGCATTAAGATAAATTTAGGTAAGCTTTAGCATAATATTACTCCTTTTACCCCAGGATATGCCAGGTACCTAGTAGTCTACTGTATTGCTGCCCGGGTGTATACTGTAGATGCTGACTTGCCTAATCGGGACAGGTTCAAGTTCTCCAGTCCCGCCGTCTCCGTTCTGCTCCACCCGTTCGTTCTCCTCTGCATCGCTTGCCCTCCGCAACTCTCCCATCCATTCGTTTGACAGATCATCGTGTGTGCCCTGACCTGCGTCGCATCCTCCTCCCCCGCCGCTATCGACACCGCCTTGCTCCTTACTTTCTCGGCATCTCCTTTAGCTCGCAGCTCCGACCAGGCTGCCGTGGACCGTGCGGAGAGGGGCGTGCTGTTCACTCCGCACCCGCTACTTCTCACTCTTTGCTCCTCTAGCGGCAGTTGTACGTGCAGTTCTTCGCCTGTTCTGTTCTTATCGCTCCGTTCGTGTCTAGGGTGTCTGCTGCCCCTCCCGTTTCCCCGGATTTTATGAAGAGAGTGTGGCACAACACCTCACGAGACCAGCGCCGGTTATCCCGAGATTACCACAATCGCACAGAGGATACTCGTGACGGAAGTTGAACAATAAATAGCAGGTCAAACCCCCAGTGCCATCGATCTCCTCGGCTCTTCAGCGCAACCCTCTATCCGTCCCTTCGTGCTCAATCAACACAACAGCCCTCGCCATGGCGTGGTACTCTATTCTCCCACCCCAGCTCATTCAGTTTGAGAGCTGGGCAGTTCGGATCTTCGTATGTTCCTCATCTCTTGTCCCGCGCCCCTCGTCCCCGTTTCATGTTCCAAGAATAACAGATTCCCGTTTCCACAGTTTCTACTCGGCCTCATCACCATTGTTCCCTGGTGCGCGATGATCATTTTCGATGCTGGCCTCTACCTCTACCGAATGATTCTCTGGGAGTTCCCTTGGATTGGCGGACGCGCTCGTGGACATCAACGGCCACGCGCACCGAGTTTGACCGAGCGAGCAGAGGGACGACGACGCGCATTAGGATTTAAAGGTGTCGACAGCGATTCAGGCGATTCGAGCGAGGATGACCGAGGAGTGGAGTATAATGAGCTCGGCGGGAGTTCCCAGGACAGGGATAGTCGCGTTGAGAAGGAGAATGTGGCCCCGGCTACAGATGGAAAGGCGCATTCCACGGCGGACGGAGACGTAAAGCGAAGGACCTCTGCGCGGACATAGCTTGCCAATCGAGGCTTCGCTGGAACGAAGGTGTTGATCGACTTCTCTAACTTGTGGTCTTAATGGCGTTCATGGTGTTCTGATTATGATTATGATTGTGTGTTTGGCAGCCGGATAATGATACCCGTGTCGGCAGTCTGTATCGAATAAGGTTACGGTGATGGCTGCATATTATAACTCGAAATCGTGGGGTTTCACCCTCATTTTTATGCCGATATAGCACTGTGAATATATCTTATGCTTATTTATACTCCTGACGATACCAGGCATTACTCTGATCGGATGGTTCCGTCAAAGTGGAGATAGAGAGCGACCAAAGCTTTGGAGATTTCCCTTTCAACGCGTGCCCCTCTCGAGTCGGAGTCGGTGCGGAGTAACCTTGATTTGGAGAGGAGTCATATCTTTTCCTCTCAAGTTCTCTTTTACTCATCCGAGTCTTGTCATGACTGTCGGTTTACCTCTCAAAGGTTGAGGGCCGGATCTATACTCTATCGCTGACTGGAAGAGCCACTTCCAAGGTTTAATAGAACGGTCACGCGAACTTTGTCTTAATCCAAAAAAATGGCTGGCATCTCCCAAGACAGAGTTCATGTGTTCTCTATTGATGACAGCCTGTTAACCAAGTGCTTACTTGGGGCTTTATTCGTAGGGGCATGTTTCTGGGCATGGAGATGGAGCCAAGTGCGTGGGCTATTATCGGCGTCGAGTCGGATGTCGGAGGAAAACGAGATAAAAAGAAAGCCAGTCATCATGCCTTTGGAAGACTTCAGTTGGGAATCGACAGAGCCACTACAACTTCGCCCCTTTCGGGGAAAGGAGAAGTATAACCTGACCATGGGTAAGATTACCTTGCTACACCATATCGATGACATTGAGTGGACACTAATCTACATTCCAGCTATTGAGAATCTAGATCAATCGGAGCTTATTCAGATGGACAAAACATACCGAGACCGCATCTCAAAGCGCAAGGATGTACTAAATCAGCACCATGATGTTGTTGTGGCCGTCAACGATCCCCCGTTGAAAGACCCACGCATTCGCACCGCAGTCAGCGAGCTCTATAAATTCATACTGGGAACTTATCTTCCAACCAGATATCCTACAATGTTCCAACTAGACAGCAGTTCCAAAAAAGAGCCCCTGTTTGAGAATCGTGTCACTGGTGCAAGATGGCCAACAATACTTACAGCGGACATGCCTACGATTCGAGCACTCGAGATCCTCACACAAACCGTCGACGAAGAATTTTTGGTCCTTTTACCGGACACTTCAGCGCCAGGAGAAACTTCTCCATACGTCCTTCAAGCCTACGCGACGTGTTTCCCATCTGGCTTCAACACGCGTGACAAGCTTGGTCTCCGACTAGCAGATATCCATGGCCCGGTGCCTGGATACGCAGAAAAAATTGAGCGCAGCATGGACAAATTCTTCGCCAAGATAGAAGTGGGAAGATTTGTGAAGAGGGTTAATTGGGGCGTTACAACGGAGACGGATCTCTTTGCTGCATTTGGATCAGTTCATGCTTCCCCAACTGTTGACCCACAAAAGGAGCATGTCATTCGACCTGGAATGTTAAATATCGACCAGGTAAGTTGGAACTTCGTTCTTGGGGTCTCAGAATACTGCTGACGTATTGCATAGACAGTTTTGCGCTGCGAAAGACAGACCCTGCACCGATTGCCGCAGTCTAAAGCTATTGTCTTTGCTTTCCATACTTATACCTATCCGGTGCAGCAAATAAAAAACGAAGGCATGGGGGAAGAGCTGGCGACTGCAATCGAAGGGCTGAAGAAAGGCAATGTCCCCAGAATCTATTCATACAAGAGAGGTGATATTTGGGGCCAGGCCGTGACCGAGTTCCTCAGGGCTTAAAAACCTCAAAGATGCTTGGTTTTCAAGCACTGAACTCATTTAGCAGGATACATTGAATTTTATGAAAGATGTATATTTCGTTAAAGACTTTAAGTCGTGACGTATCTAAGTTACTTTTGTTTATCAGAGATGGCTACTTTACTGAAGACGGTCCATGACCTTGATCAGATCGGCGGCAACACCCATGGCAGTGACATCACCACCAGCACCGGCACCCTGGACAATCAGGGGGTTGGAACCGTATCGCTTGGTGTAGAAGCTGATGATGTTATCGCTACCCTTCAGACCAGCGATGGCGCTGTCCTTGTCGAAGTACTGCAGTCCAACCTTGACGGCTTTGTTGGAAACATCGATGCTACCGACATAACGAACGACCTTACCCTCCTTCTCCGCAGAGTCCTTGATGTTGGCCATCTGAGAATCGAATTCAGGAAGACGGGTCATGAACTCGGTGATACCATCAGCGGAAGAAGGCAGAGAGGCCAGCGCCTCCGGAATAAGAGATTCAATAGGGAAAGAGTCCGGGCGGGAAACTTCCAACCCAGCCAGACGGGCCAGAATGGTCAGCTTGCGGGCAACGTCCATTCCGTTCAGATCATCACGGGGGTCGGGCTCGGTGTAACCGAGCTCCTTGGCCTGGGCGACAACAGCGCTCCATTGGGCGTTGGAGGGGCCGGATGCAGGGGCAAAGGTGTTGAACAGGAAGGACAGAGTACCCGAGAAGACACCTTCAATGCGGGTGACCTCGTCACCAGTCGCGACAAGGTCCTTCAGGGTCGAGAGGACGGGCAGACCGGCACCGACGGTGCTCTCATGGTAAACGTGAGCGTTGCCCTCAGCAGCGGAGGAGAAGATGTCCTTCCACAGAGAAAGGTCGTCGGAAAAGCCCTTCTTGTTGGGGGTGACGACTGAGATACCCTTCTTCAAGAATGTGGGGTAGGACTTGGCCAGGTTGATGTCGGAGGTGTTGTCAACCAGGATTGCACGTCCAGGAGCAGAGGCAAGGTAGGTAGCGATCTCCTCCGCGGGAAGGGCGCCGGTCTTGGTCACGGAGGGGGTGGCAGCAGCGGTAGCCCAGTCGACCGCGGGGATGTTCGAGTATGCCGGTGTCGGAGCGAGGACGGTCTGGGAGGAACGAGCAAGGAGGACAAGCTTAGGAGGGTTGGGGAAACGGGCGAGCTGGGAGAGGAAGGCAGTTCCAACACCACCGACACCTGATTGACCGTCAGTACTCTCGTTCGCAACTTTTACAGTCAAGATCGAGTGAATTCTTACCAACAACGCCGAGATAGATAGGGCTGGGAGACATGATGGGGGCCAATTGAGTGGAATTGAAGGCGCAAAGTTAATTTCCGGTATAAGAGGACGAAAATAAAGCCGATTGAAGTAGAACCTGATATGAAATCAATCTGGATACTTCAAAATGCAAAAGAGATAAATGTACTGCGATGTCGCGGGGCTCCGCGGGGCAGCTGAGTCACGTCACATGACACCGGCTGTGCCTTTCCAAAAAGGCAACTCCAGCTTTATCGCCTTATCGTCGTCTCGCCGCGGATCCCGTGGAATTACCTTGAAACGCGACATCCACGCTACACCTCCACTGCCAAATCCAGTCCCAATTCCCTGCCAACACCATGGGCGCCGACCACGAAAGCCTGTATGGGCAACCGAAGAAAAAGAGCAAAAATGAGCTCTCTTCCGTCTCCGGCCTCTCCTTCGCAGGCCAGATGTCTTCCTTAATCGCGAATTCGAACACCTCCGGATCGACGTCAAACGACCGAACCCGCCGTTCACGACACCCCAAATCCGATCTATTCGGTAAACAAAATAAAGGCGCGGAAAAGCGCGCAGCGGCAGATCTCGAAGAAACCGATCACCATGTCGCGAAGCAAGTCCACATGTCCAGCAAGGACATCGGTAGCATCGACGACGCCACGCTGAACCGATCCAAGCAAAAGATGGAGAAAAAAGTGCGAATGTACAATGATATGAGAAAGGGGATGTACCTGGGTGGGGACAGCAGTGACGAGGGCAAGCCGGGGCCCAGTTCCCATTCCGAAGAGTACCTGGGACGGCTTCGACGCCGAGAGAAGGAAGGCCTTATCGATTTTGACCGCAAGTGGGCGAATGAAGAAAAGAAGAAAGCTGAAGGGTCCGGAGGCTCAGGAAGTGAAAGCGAAGATGATGATAATGCCTCCATTATATCCTACGAAGACGAGTTCGGCCGCTCCCGTCGCGGGACAAGATCCGAAGCCGCCCAGGCATACCGCACAAAGGACGAAGAAGCCCGAGGCGAGGCCGCTCAAGAAAGGTGGCGTCCTAATCGGCCGGAAAACCTCATATACGGTGAAGCTGTGCAATCCCAAGCGTTCAATCCAGAGGCGAACATCGCGGCGCAAATGGCTCAGCTCGCAGCTCGACGAGACCGATCCGCTACACCCCCGGACCAGGTGCACTATGATGCAGATGGCGAGGTCCGCAATCGAGGAACCGGGTTTTACGCTTTCTCGCGCGACGAGGAAACTCGAAAGAAACAAATGGAGGAGTTGAAGGGTGCACGGGTAGAGACCCTTCGAGAGCGTGAGAGGATCAAGGAGCGAGCGGCTATTCACCAAGCTAAAATAGCCGAACGCAAATCCGAAATCGCGCAACTACGGGCCAAACGGTTGACGGCAAAGTTCATGAATGAACTGGAGGGTGGAGCTGCCGCTGGTCCTTCTCAGCCACCTGTTGTGAGGTGAATGACAATTTTTGTTTTTACTTGTTATGCAATTTAGATACCCCGGGGTGATGTCGATTCCACTCCTCCCTCATTTTATCAGCGATCCATGCAAATATTTTCCAGATATGTTGAACTGTTCGATGGTTTTTATAGACATTAACAAGACGGAAAAGCCAAAATCGCGCCAAGAATATTGGACAAAAATGACATCGAAAATGTCAAACAACGGCCATGTTGCCTAAATTTCAAGGTTCTTCCTTCCAGCCAAACATGAGAAGCTTGAAAAACACGTCGCACACGTACTATCAATGTGAAAGGCTTCGCTAATTAAAACTGCAATAATATCACTTTTCTAGTCTTGTCATCAAGGTCATCCAGCATAGTAATTCGTCAATCGTCATGTCAACTGGCCCATGCCAGTGAAGTATCATGTCAAATGGTATGATCTCTCGAGCCCTAAAGGGACTGAGCGGGGAATGTCGCCGGTAATATTGGGCGCATAAATTCGGAGCTCGAAAGCACGCTAGACATAGCGAACTCCGCGGGTCTTCTTTTCGACGAGCCCCTCTATGCTGTCCAGGAAGGTTTCCGCATCTAAAGTCGGAGGCTATGGTATTAGATATTGCACAATCAAAGGCTTCTTTGATGGCTTACCTTCAGGCGTTTTGAATCTCAGCACATGCTGACCAGTTTCCAGCTGAGGCAGCGTGTATGCTTCGGCGGGTAGCAGAACTAATGGTTGCAGGTCGCGAACAAGGATGGTTCTCGGATCAAGGGCACGGAGCCAGCCACGTCGACCGATATTGGAGGTAACGAAAGCAGTCCAAACGGGGGCCCTATTTCAATCAGGTGATCAGAGAAGAGGTTCATCTTATAGCGGTCTGATGGCGGCATACTTGTCCATCTCTCCCCCAAGAACAGACGATTGGAATCGAACCGCCTTTGTCTGCTTGTCACGGTAAACGCGCAATGCATGCCTGCGACTGTCATCCAGTATTTGACTATGTCATTGTCAAAATGGAAACATAACGCTGGGATTTGTGTCAAACTCACCCTCCGTAGATCTGCTCTTCCCCCTCTAGTTCATAGTCTCGGATGCCTGGGACGGCCTTGGTTGTATCCTGGGAACGAAGCGCCAGGAATACAGAGAAGAATTCCACCATCGCTGGTCAAAATTAGTTAGATCACCCGAATGGACTTGCATACTCGGTAGCAGTGTACATACATTCAATAGTGTCGAAGCCCAGGGAAGCCCACGCATGGAGCTCCCTTCCAGAGTTGCGTCTACGGCAAAGCTGAAGGGACGAGCCTGAGCGAATGATCTCCAGCATGTTTAGTGGTAAGCAGAAATACTCATTACCGTGTTCTTCTCGTGTCCGGATGATAATACGGGTTCGGTTGTCGGTCTCTCTCAGATAGTAATAGACGGTCATGTCGGACCCGTCGTCAAAGTCCCTGGGTTAAGTTGTCAGTATTTAGGACAGTGATACTGCTAGGTTGTCATACAGCCGTAATAATCGATCGAATCCATCTTCAGTAAGCTGCTCCTTGATCCCTGGTGTGGGTTTTCCGAAGCATCCTATCCTATACGGTGGGTCGACGGGTTAGCAAGTGTACGAGTAGTTGAAAGTCCAATGCAAGTGATCACTCACCTTTCATTATCAAACGAAAGTTGAGTTCCTGTGTTGAAAACATTGAAAGCATCTTTGACCCAGTGGTTTTGTATGACGTCGGAACGAACCGATTGGCTGGTGTTGGTGGTTGCAGATGCTGATCCGGTGAGCGGCGAACTCGGGGCCTCTGGGGCCTCTGGGGCTTGTGGTGGAATAGGTATATGGAATCCACCAAAAGCTGGCGATAGAGGGGATTGAGGAGAACGATTGGAGGGGCGAGGACGCTCGAACGATCCACGTCTTGGGCGTCGATCACTGACAGGGCTGCTAGGTGCAGTGCTGTGACCACTGCCACTACCAGTAGATGGGGGGTTGCGACCAAAAGACATACGTCCAAATCGGTCAGTTACCCGTTGGCGTTCCTGTGTCGTTACCAACATCTTGAGGTTTTCGCGATGAGCATCTAGGAGGGGAAAATCTTGGGTTTTGCTGGAGAGATTGAGCGAATAACATTAGTCGGTGTGTACCTGGAGAGTGCTGATGGTTTTAAGGAATATGTTGCCTACTTTTGCATGACATCGCCGAGCTCCCCAAGGAAGGCTCTATACCTCGCCAGTCGCATCCGGAGGGAGGTTTTCGACTCTTCCCAGCAGAACAGCTCCATAGTGCGCCATGCCTCTCTGTACTTCCCAGTCGGGGCCGCACCACCATTTAAACGACCCAACGCGCCCAAGATATCCTCGACGGTATACTTAAGACTGGACTGGAGCAAAGCGACGTCACGCACGACGATGCGCCAATTGCGAGTGCGAGCGGGATCCTTGGATAGACCATCTAGCCTACGGAGCGACGAACTGATGGTGTACAAGTCGGCGATGAGATCAGTAATCTCAGCCTCGTGTTCGGGCAGAGGGGCACGAAAAAGCGTGAAGCGGGCCGCCACATCTTCGGCCTCGGTGGCAGATGCGCGCAGATCCATGAGTCCATCCGGAGAATTGGAAGAGGGAGAAATACGAGCGATGGGAAGTAAACCGCTTTTACCCTCACGTGCAATGCGGCTCTGTCTCCCTTGCGTCGTGCGTCCTTGACGTGGTCGCGCGCGAATGGCGGGGCGTGGTGGGGGAGACGGCCCGCGCTGAAATGGCGGAAATTTGATGAAGTGGGTTGATTGAGGGGGAGCTCGTTGGGAGAGTAATGCTCGTACTCAGCATTTACTGATGGCGGTCATCAAGTCGTCGATATTTACTTGGGAAACCAACGGGGGAAGAAAGGAATTCCATGGTCTTGGTCCGATGGTTCCATGGTTCCCCTCGCGTGGTGCATTTCCCCACAATCATCAGCCTAGGGCTATATGTTATTAGCATTATTCAGTACTAGTAGTCAACAATATTCAATGAAAAGTTCACAAAATAACATACGTCAGATCAGAAACACCTGGAACCTTCGAGTCGATGTAGTGGGGTTGCACAGCAGAAAGTGATGAGCTGGTCGGAATACCATTGTCATGGTAGAGAAGTCAGTCGAAGACCCGAAGTAGGATACTTTTACAGAGCAACCGGGGAGAGAAAACAAACTTAATCCTTTTCGAGGGACCAGCTACATTATAAACCGCCCCATTCTCTCAGCAGAGCCTCGACTAGTTACTAGTAGTTAGTACTAAGACAATAGTTCTGCTGCCTAACACTACTGCTCCACGCCTCGTATCACTAGTTCCAACGCCCGGAAGGCGAGGCTGTGCAGGTACTAGTACTTTTACCAGGAGCCCCATGCAAGGAGGCTATTACAAGATTTGTTGCAAACATTTGATACTTCTCTGATCCATTTCTAGACATTAGCCATTGTTATAATTACTGGCTGAGGACGAGAAACCTCAGATCATTATGAAATATGTGTAGGATGGAAGCATTGCTTAAAGTTATCAAGGAACTAGTGTAGTTATATGGCGGTGTAGACTGACTAATTCATGCCTAAAGCCTCTAGTCTCGGAAATTATTATCATTATATTATTATATTATTATTATTGTAGTTGTTGTCGTCGATATCATCGCAGATTATCATCATCCACGGTACCCTAGGGTCGACTCGGGACGAACGGGGCACGATAATCATCAGCAATGTGCGAGTCCCTCCAGCTGGTAATATGATATAGTATGTCATGCGCTCCTTGGGCAGGAGAAAGCGTGGCAATGTTCAACTTTCGCCCAGCTCAAGCAGAACTTGATCCTGTGAAATCTTCCTTCTCTTGCAGTTGCTGCTCCGACTCCAGCTTACGGTTGACGTTCAAACTCCGCGTGAATAGACTAGTAGCCAGTGCAACGAAAGCTAGACCGGCCATCGTAGCCCATACTACTTTCAAGCTATCCGCATATGCGGCAACAATCATAACCCGACGCGGCGAGTCTGGTTGCATGGCCTTGACCACCTCGACCAGGGAACTGGCTTCCTGCGACAATTCAGTAGCTTCCGCTGCCAGTTCCGGGTAGGCTCTGAGATTGACAACGAATTGAGACTGGAAAATAGCACCACCAACGGCCACCCCGATGCTCTGTCCGAACGAACGTGAGAAGACGTACATCGTTGCTGCATGGGCGGAGTCCTGCTCTTCGGCTGCAGCCTGGGTTGCGTACCCTTGACTATTGTAGAGCATCCCGAGTCCAAGCCCAGGTACAAGATTCAAGAATACCCATGCTGGGATGGAGCTGTCGGGGCCCAATAGGTAGAGGAGACCCATTCCCAGGGTACTTAAGAACCATCCGCTCCAGATGGCCCATCGAAAGCGACCCCATTTGGAGACCAGTACTCCCACCACGATTGAGGCGGGAGCGACAGTGAATGTCTCTGGGAAGACACCGACACCAGAGATTATAGCACTATAACCTTTAACACATTCGTAGTATAGAGGAAGATAATAGAGAAGACACCAAAGGACGATCCCATGAACACAGGTTCCCAGGTAGGTAACCAATGCAGTCTTCTCTTTGAAAATAGCGAGGCGAACTATAGGGTCATGCGGCACCTTGCCTTCATAAACCACAAATCCAGCGATTCCGACCACGCCCAATATGAGTGGTAAAATTGTACGCCATGATGACCAGGGGTACATGACGTTGCCCCAGGACAGGGCAAGTAACAGACTGGTCGCAGAAGCCGTAAGCAAAAAAGCACCAATCCAATCCACTTTGACCAGCTTCGGAATAAGGGATCCGGAGACTGGTTTCTGATTCAAGAAGGCGATGATTAGCACAAAGCCAATTGCACAAATTGGAAGATTGATCCAAAATATCCATCTCCAAGATGCAGCTTCAGCCAAGGCACCGCCCATGATGGGACCCGTGACAGACCCAAGCGCCCAGACAGCCCCTCCATATCCAAAGTATTTGCCACGTTGACGAAGTGGGACAAGGTCGGTAATAACAACCTCTGTCAAACTGAGAATTCCGCCCCCGCCGGCGCCTTGAATGCTACGCCCAATGAGAAGCGTGGTCATATCATGGGCAATGGCTGCAACGATGGATCCGACGGTAAAAAGAATTAATGCAAGGATGATCAGATATTTGCGTCCAAATGTTTGAGACAGAGATCCGAATGTCAGTTGGAAGACGGTACTCGTAAGCAGGAATGATGTGCCGGCCCAGAAAGCTTGAATGGCAGTACCGCCAAGCTCGCGAGATATGATCTGGATATTTGGTCAGAAGAGCCTCTCATCGATGAAAACTGAATTGGACACAATAATCACTGACTGGTAGAGCTGTCGACAGAGAGGTGGCGTCTAATGCAGAGGCTAGGATCACGACTAGGAGACTACCGAAAGCCGCCCAGAACCGACGAGTTGGACGGAATTCAGGCACCTCGTCGGTTTCAGTCGTTATCGCCGTAACCGATGACTTGGAAGCCCCCATGATGGACGATATAAACGGATTCACCTGTTCCAGGAGAAGTGAACGCGTCAAAACCTGCCCGAGAAAACTTTTACAGCGGGATCTCGGGGGCCAAATTGACAGGATTTAGTGTCGCGCCAGAGTCACCGATACTAGTCGGATACATTGCCTATTACTTGGCAATTAGCCATTAGTCTGCTTACCAAAGCAGTAACCTTGTTAAATAGCTTTTTGCCCCTATTATTGAAGAGATCAGACTTTCATGCAAGAGCAATTACCATTACAAAATGACAACTAGCGGCCTATCGTGGTCGTGAAATTTAGGGATCTTGGGGTCAGACAACAGCTTCTCTCGAAACCGATTGATTGGAAGAGCAGCCACAAGATCTCCAACAAAATTGGGTCAGAGGTGAATGCTGCTGCAGCCTATGTAGACGGCAGATTGTCAAATTGCACAGAGCAGGCCCACATATGACACTAACCAAGGCTAGTCAAGCGTGCCATGGGCTGGAGGATATTGTCTTGGTACTTGCCTTGTATTTTCCTTTTTTTTTAGTTTCAACGCTATTACTAGCAGCCATCCGTTTTCGAAGGGTCTCCTAAGGTTACAGAGGGAGAATCTCACCCCCGATTTTTGTACCAGCGGGCCTATAACTATACTATTAGTTCTTCCCTCGAATTATCACATCTTCATTTCCCCAAGGTAAATAGTCTATTGTGAAGCGTATGTTCTACTTTATTCTCCAGTGCGGTTCACAGATTCCAAATATCTAAAGTGGTTTATTCGAAAGTATATGCATATGATTTTGTACAAGTATTCAAGTATGATTCTTCCACGAGTCCCGCTCGATGCAAAGGATTAGAGTTCGTGATTTCGTATCCGACAAATGGCCTCAGCGCCCCAGAAAAAAAAATCGCCAAAATTAAAGGAAACAGTATTTGCACAGATCTCTCTTCTGCTTCTATCGATATCCACGGTAAGGCTCGTACGATGTGTGAGAAGGGTAATCATCCTCTTGCTCAACAGGCCCATAACCACCCCCGCGCCAGCGATCAAGCGGATTGGATGATTCCGTGTGCGCGGGAGTTTGAGCATGACTGAGGAGCCTCGACTCACTCTCGTTTGCTTGCTCGTAGAAGCCTCCGCTGCTACCACCACCGGGAACGCGGAAGGCGGGGTGGACGAGTACACCACCCTCTTGAGCTTGGGCGTCGTAACCGTTTGGAACTCTCAACGCGGACATTGAAGGTAAGGACGGGACCGGGGAGGAAGCACGAGAGGAACTGGGCGACCATTCAGCACCCAAAGTACTGCGCGGTGTGTGGGAACGTTCCGTCATCAGGTCTTCCGGTCGGCCATAGATACCTCCGCCAAACTCTTCATAGAAATCAGGGCGGTTCTTGAAGTATGAGAAATCCAGTTGGCTCTCGGAGACCACTTCAAACGGAGATGCATCGGCGGACTTTCCAGGCTGATTGGCTATCATTGGGTTCATTGCGATATCCGAGTATTCGCCTGCCATATCGTTGTGCTCTAAGCGGCCTTGATAGATCTGCTTGAGAGTCTCGGCAGCTCTGGCATGGACCATCGGGGTCATCAGGGGCTTGTAGAGAGCCGGGTGACCGAATTTGGAGCTCAGGCGATCGGCGGCCTTCTTGCTAGACTTCGTAGCACCCAGTGCCTCGGCATCGTTCAGATTTGCGCGGTTATAGAAATGACAGTCATCGTCGAAGGTCTTCATGCAGTAGAACTTGAATCCCAGCATCAAGAATGGGAGCGGGAGGATGCAGAATACCATGGTCCAGGTGGCTCGAGACTTGACCACTAGGGCAACAATGAAGTTGGAAAGAATGGTCCCGAAGACCATGCGGTTAAATAAGATACGCCAGTATGCGGCTGCGGATTCGTTCTTGGTCACGAAGATGTACATGAGCAAGTACTTCTTTAGCATGGCATCAACACCAAAGTATAACGCGGTCACTGGTAGGACGATTGGCTGTAAAGTGGCGAACGTGAAGGCCACGGTCGTGTAGAAGAGAAAATAGTTGTAGTAGCTAGCGTAATCGAATGCTGGCGGGGCGGTCCACTCAATTGATTGTCGAGGTGTTGGCGAGAGAAATGTTTTCGCAAACCACACCCAAACCAATGTGACCATCTGGGCGAGGTCGATTGTCGCGCCCAAGTTGCGTTGTAGGAGATACGTGACCCAGAATGACGAAACCGAGCACAAAGCCGTCACCAATTTGGAATACAGCTGGCTATCCACAATGGCTTGCCAAGCATTCTCATTGTTGTTGCTTTTGTCGATTACTTCCGCAACAAATGTCCACGCAGCAGAGAAGACGGAGAAGACAACTAGGTTATTAAAGACAAAGAATGCGTACAACTGGCCCAGGACGTGTCTCTCCCTCGATGTCTTGGATTTGCTACCACCCTTAATGGACAGCCGTCGGAAGATGATCGGCAGGACGAGATAAACTAGCGACGTGAGAGCGGGCGACGCAATACCTTGTATGGCACCCCAAAGAGTAGGGTTTCTCTCCAGCTCTGTCTGGAATGCTGGCCAGACAAGGCCTAAATTTGTCAAGCTGGCCAAGAAGACCGCGATGAGTGCGTTGGGTGCGATCCAGATGAGGGTCAGAAGAGTAACCCAGATAAAGTTTGTGAAACGTTTCCATTTGCGAGCTTGTTTGGTGAGAGGTAGATTCTCCCAGATGAGATCGCTGGGACGTGGCGCCAGAGCGACAGTGGTGCCCTTCGGGTGCTTCTTGCGAGAAGTCCAAGCAACAGCATGAGCATGCTCAATCTTTTCCCAGCTAGCAAAACCATAAGGCATAGCATCCCGTTTGTCGATTGAAGCTCGCCCATGCTTGATCTCTTCCTCCAAGACCCTGATACGCACAGTCAAGTAGTCGATGGCGTCCACCTTGCCATTGGGATGCTTGCTGCGTTGACTGCGAGGTGGGCGCATGGTTGGCCGCTTCGCAGGTAATTGATCGGGGCGCTTGAGGTATTTGGCCAGCACAGACTCCAGCTGTCGTACATTTTCTTCATGTTCTTTGATGATTCTTGGCAGGTCCCTCACAGTACGGCCAATCGACGCGCGAGGGAGGGCAGCAGTTGGGTTGACTTCATCAGTAATCCGCAGAATACCTTCGTCGGAACGGTCAGGCGCAGGAATGTCGGTGATCATGAGGGTTCGTGCATGGAGACTTCGCTGATAGTCGGAACTCTGAAAATATTGACGTCGCATTGCTCGCACTGCTCGGTAATTCCTCCAAAGAAAGAAGGCTATAATGATATCAAAAACCCACGCGCAGATAACCTGACTCCACATAGCGGTTGGTTTGAGCACTTTGATAGGGGTCATATCGTTCAAGATGGACTTGCTATCGTCATCGAAGTCCGTGGCCTGAGTGAGATTGACCGGAATCATGACCGCGCAACCGACAATACTCATGCAAATCAATATGTTCCGACACATCTTTGTGAAGCGAAGGAAGAGCGCAGCATCCAGGCCGACGGTTTCGATTAGCTGTGGCTCTCGAGTGCGAATGACTGGCTTGATCCATGAAAAGAAACCTTTGCCCACGGGGGGCGGCGCGTGCTTCGAGTCGGCATGTTTGACCTTTGGCGCATAGACGAGCGAGTGACGAGGACGGAAGAGGGAGAATAGGAACGCGAGTAACAAAGATACTCCGATCGAGGTGCCGAGAGAGGCCCAGACAGCGGTGACGTTGAACTTTGTTTCCCCCAAACTGTCAGCCGACGCTCTTCATAAAGCGACCATTTGCCGCGGTGAACAACTTACGGAGTTGTGGAACGGGTCAGAAATGAGATGGATGAACTCATCAGTTCCAGACGAGTCGTCTCGGAGTTGCAGGCCCTTGCGCGCATCCATTGCGTCTGCGGAGAAAGAAGAGAGAAACCCGAAATCACAGGAGAAACGAATGGCAGGTCTGCATGTGGGAGAAGTTGGAAGAAAGGGTCAAATGACCAGGCCGGGGAAGATGAGGGGAACAAGGAAAAAAAGCGGCGACAGAACGAGTGTTCGGGCGCCTGAAAATGAAGGCGATCGGCCAGAGTGAGACAAGCAAGTCCAGGAATGAAGAAAAGTGGGTTCGTGGAGGGTCTGGACTGGATCAATTCGATAATTTTAGAATGGCGGCGTCGCCGATCGGCGAACGTTACAGCAATGATGCTGCGTCTGCAGAAAGGTTTTTCGCGTAAAAGTGGCCCTTTGCGAGAGGAGAAGACAATACTCCGTAATAAAAAAGTGTAAAGTCGTCAACACCTCCACAATGACATCCACCCATTCTCTACCAGAATGCTAGGCTGGGTGTGATGTTGTGGTGGTGTGCCTGGTGGCGTTGTGACACGCATGGCTCCCCTTTGCCCCAGTGAATAGCGTGTCATTGGTGATCCACTGTAGGAAGATTGATGGCAGGCCCAATCACAGCATGAGGGGAAAGTCTAGAACATCTGAAACATATGGATCGATAGAGGGTCAAGCCTCAGGGTCAAGGCTGGTTCCTGCGACACAATGAGAGCAGAGCAGAGCAGAGCAGAGCTCATGCTCAGGAGTGGGAATGAGTCCCGTGACTCCAGTCGGCCTTTCTGTGAGCGCAGGTCATGTGATCGGGTAGTAGTATATTTAACTTGAATGCACATACTAATCCCGTTTGAAAAACAGTGGGAAAAAAAGAAAAACCTACGGTAATTAGGTACCGGTAGTCTTCAAAGAACTTCATACTTTCAAGTCCGTCTTGTTAGAGTGTCATTTTATCTAATAAAAACCGGGCCTTAAAGCAGAATGGCCTGGTCGGGAAAGGATCTGCATATTCATCAACTCGATTTCCATAGGATCATGCTAAAACAAATACTAATTTATCTTTCAAGGTTATGTTATTGCTGTTATTGAATGTACTAGCACCCGTTAGCTACTAGTTACTGCTAGGAGTATATGTAGAACCTTGATGGCATGGCGACAAGATCGCGAACCAACCCTTCTCTCTATTTGACCTTAGCCTCTTCCGATTGACATTCAGATTGAGGAACCATTTCGCCTGCTTCTGATTCCATGCGCTCCGCCATATCGTCGATTTGCCATACTGCTTTGCCCTGGTAGACATCGTTGAACCGGGGTTTTGTTCATGATCTCGATTCTCGGTCGGGCTCCCATGAGGTTGGGTGCTTTGGTTATCTTGAGGATCGGAAATACTGTCCGTTAAAGGGTCATAATCATATAACGGGAGCGAGGTAGAAGATTTTCTTGATGAGCTATCGGTGGCGGCATGATTGGTTTCGGAAGTAACCATAGCCCAGGCCAGACCTACGCCATTTTGATTGTACAACAGACTATTTAGGGTAACCAGTTCAGCTAAGCTTTGGAAAAGGAAACAAGTGCGCAAGCGAAAGTAATTAAGCAAGGTTTCCTTTCCAACCTGGCCCCCAAACTAAAGATAGGGACGATCTTATCCTAATGAGGTATGCAGAGTTGCCAAGAAACCAAGCTTTGTTGATCAATGCCTCCCCCCCCCCTGACACTGAATAAATCCGCTGATCTTTGCTCGGAAGACTTAAAACTCTGGCGGCTATGTCTGTATCAGCCCTCCGAAAAACAGGCTCAAAGACCATTTGAAGTGAAGAAGCCAGTGGTAGAATAACTATAAATGACCCCGAATCGTCTGGCCAAATAGTGCTTTCTCATTCACCACAAATAGTCCCCAATCAAGCATCACAGACTTATACAAACCTTATTCTATTTCTCCGAATTTCATCTTGTATACCCACTCTATTCTCATCATCAATCATGTCGCAATATGGAGCCAACTACTATGAGGAGCAAAAGCCCCAGCATACTTACGCCCCTCGTCCAAACCAGACTCAAAACCACTATTCGACGGGGAAATCTTCATATGACCCCCCACCCTATACCGAGCAAGGTTATACTCAGGGCGACCAATACACGCAGCCCCAGCAGTATACCAACTGTGGCTACGATCAAAAATACGAATCAGCTGCAAATATGCCGCAAGGCCACGCCGCTCCACAGTCGCAGTATGCGCCAGAAGGAGCGAATGCCTCTTATTATAATGGAGAGCCAGTCTCAGAACCAAACGATCTCAACGGTGAAAAGGGGCTTGGGTCAACTGTTGTTGGTGGTGCAGCTGGTGGGTACATGGGCCACAAGATGGGTGGCGGCTGGAGCACCGCTGCAGGGGCCGTTATAGGGGCCGTCGGCATGAACGTCTTGTCGCACAAGATGTAAGTCACTCTCTTTCAGCTTGACGACGCTCCGTGGCCTCGACATAAACTAAGATCCATATTAGGAAACCCAAACCTGCCCCAGTTCAACAAGTCGTTGCCGCGCCTCAGCAGGTCCAGTATGTCGCTGCCCCTGGAATCGGCATGGGTCTACTTGGACGTCGCCAGGCCGTTCTATCTAGTCGCGAGGCCCTTCTATCTGATCGCTTCGGACGCCGTGGAGGACGTCGCGAGGGGCTCCTTGGACTGTAATCAGAGCTATGTTATGCCATGATCGGGAATCTTCCAATTCCATCTACCAGAATTTGGTAGTTTCCCTTTTGACTGTTGAAGGCGTTTTGCTTTTTGTTTAGAAAGCGTGATACTTGTCTCTTCATACACCTCTTTCACTTTCGTGTCAACTCATGCTACTATTAAAGTATGTGATCTGTAAATATTATAGTCATTCCTATTCGTCATTGCTATCGACAGAATAGCCTTTCCCGAATTTCTCTCATTACATAGGATTACAGATTTAGAATAACGGCACATCGATTGCGTCGCTATTTTCTCAGCTGAAACCGCGGTCTCTCCAAGAATATAAACCGGGAACATCTCAGCCAAGGCGTGATTGTAGATTTGCAAGACTAGAATAAACTGTAAATAACTCCATAGTCGCCCATGATGTCGTCAACTCTTGGAAGGCTTTAAGCGAGATACATTTTGCCGAGATGCGCGACAACAAATGACAGGCCCCACAAAAGCTCCCTCTCCTCCACCTTTCAGTTATCTCAGATACGTTTAGCGAACAAATGATGTTGACTCAAATGGGTTATTTAGTACATACTAAGCGGGGTCAAAGATCTTGGAACCCCCCGGCTGCAAGGCTTGGACAGAGAGATCCACTTCCCCAGCTACCGTCCGGCGTAAAAGATGTTAAATTTCTGTGGTTCTCCCAAGGTGTTCGCCAGATCGCAAACTTCAGCAAAGACATTAGGCAGTTCTTTGAAGAGAGAGCTTCAGTTGATGTGCATAATTGAAATCGCTCAATGTAAGGTAGATTGTCGGCATGAAAGATCAATCTTGTGGATTGCCTCATTCGCGCCCAGAGGCACGACATGTGGCTGTTTAGAGTAACTGCCGGTTGAAATTGCGTGACCACACTTCTCGCATCTCGAAATCTTCCGCATACTAGGAGTATAAAACAATTAAGGCGTAACATGATTTTCTTTGCATTTTCTCAGATCACTTCTCTAAAAGGTTGTCGTCCGTTACTACGAGTACGAATTAAACACCCAAATCATGACTGTCCATGAGACGAAGAGCCCGGAGATCTCCGCAGATGAGAAAAACATATCTGGGGCCAATTCTTCAGATGACTCGGATAAGGAATTTCAGCAAATCAGTCCAACCGATGGCAAAAGTACATTCGACTCGGGTGCAGGTCATCACCTCTATCGACCAATCGACAGCTACGAGGGAATTCATAGATGGGATCCGGATTTTGAATGGACTGAAAATGAAGAAAAACGAATTGTTAGAAAGGTACGTGGATAATTATCTGCGTCATTATCATCATCTTACTTTCCTGTATAGATCGATGCCCGTGTTTGCACCTTTGCCTGCGTGACCTTTTTTGCCCTACAGCTTGATCGGGGAAATATTGGCCAGGCACTTGCAAGTACACTTTTGCAAGACTTACACATGACTACGAATGACTATAATTTGGGCCAGACCGTCTTTCTGGTGTGTTTCCTGTTAGCGGAGATGCCGTCACAGTTGATATCCAAAAGGTTGGGTCCCGATCGTTGGATTCCTCTTCAAATGGTGATGTGGAGCGTGGTTGCGGCTTGCCAGGCCTTCATAAAAGGGAAACCCTCTTACCTGGCTTGTCGGGCTTTGTTGGGGCTATTAGAAGGTGGCTTGTGAGTACTCCTATTACCCCAACATGGTTCAAATTGAAGCTAAACCAGGTCACATATCGCAGTATCCCCGACACAATTCTGTTCCTATCTTTCTTCTATAAATCGAGTGAGCTTCCAAAGCGATTGGCCTGCTTTTGGATCTCATACACAGTTACGACTATCATTGGAGCATTTCTGGCCTTCGGCTTCCTCCATATAAAGGATGCTAATGGTGGTGGATCTTGGAAATACGTGTTTGCCTTCGAGGGAATGATAACTGGTCTCATCGGAATTATTGCCTACTTTTGGATGCCTGCATCGCCAGTTCAAACCAAGGGAGGGCTTCGTGGAAAGGATGGGTGGTTTAACGAACACGAAGAAAAGATCATGGTGAACCGCGTCATCCGTGACGATCCCAGCAAAGGAAGCATGCACAACAGGGAAGGACTTAGCCTGCGGCTATTTTGGGAGTCTCTCAAGGACTTCCATATGTGGCCTATTTACCTACTAGGCTTGATATGGATGATTCCCACCACGCCTGCAACCAACTATCTCACGTTGCAACTACGTTCCCAGGGATTCACCACATTCCAGACAAACCTGTTAACGATTCCATCGGCTGTCATCGGGATTATTACTTTGATGTCTATAACGTGGATTGCAGAGCGCACAAACCAACGCTTACTCTGGGGAGCAGGAGTCGAGGTGTGGAACCTTGTCTTGCTGATAGCCTTGGAACTCCTGCCTCAGGAAACTCTACCCTGGCCTCGGTGGGCTGTCCTTACTCTTCTTGTGGCTAGTCCGAGCATTCATCCTGTCGTGGTCGCCTTGACCTCCCGGAACGCAGGATCTGTGCGGACTCGTACCATTGCTTCTGCATTGTACAACATGTCTGTACAGATAAGCAATATTGCAGGTGCTAATGTAAGCTTGCTAGATTTGCCCTTTTTGCTTCTAAGACGGCGACACAGAAATACTCACACTATAAACAGGTCTATCAAGCAAAGGATGCCCCGTACTACAGACACGGGAATAAAGTTCTGATCGCACTTGCTGTTGTTAGTATGGCTCTATTTGTGGCTGCAAAATTCTACTACGACTGGTGGAATAGGTAAATTCCCGCATGATCCAACATTCAAGTCATTGATAAATCCGCTCACCTGTATGTAGGCACAACGCTGCCAAATGGAACGCCATGACCCATGAGCAACGAGAAGTATATTTGAGTGAAAACAAAACTATGACCAACAAGAGGTACGTAACTGCGGATAATTCTAAGCCTTTCAGGATACTGACTTTGAGATACATAGACTTGATTTTCGATTTGCCCGCTAAATGGCACTAGTTATTTACTCCAGTAGCTTCAAACTAGAACTATTTCGCCGCATAATGAGCAGAAAGTGTCAGTGAAGTAAATGTTGTCCAGATAAATATTTATTAAATGCGAGATACTGGGGAGCCATATTTTGTTAAGACAAGATTATAATAGCAAAACCACAATGAAGCATCAGGTATCCCTCAAATACCGAGTCTGTAGTATGTGAGGTACCATGTGATTAGATAGATTCCCATTTATTCAGATGGCATCACTCTCAGAATTGATTTGCAATATGTTATCAATGAGGGGGATTTGTACATCTTCTATAACACCACAGGGGATGCTTCTTACGAACAATCGCGGAGCGAATGGTACCAATTTCGGAGGGTTTTGTCCTGCCCAGGTGCATGTGGTGTCTCTCATGAAAATAGCGCAATCTTACACTTGGTTTATGTTATCGAGTATATAAAATGAACCTTCAGGGATGGCCAAATCCAAAAGCACAAATGAAATTACCATAGTTGCTTCTTGCCCAACTACAATACCCTTAACCTGCTAACATGGCCCCTCGATTGATACTCAGCTCGAAAATGCAACTTCTCAATCGGGTGAGACTTCTTCACTGGTGCAAAAAATAAGCATTTCTGGTTTTGTCCGGGAGCCTTTAAAAGAGTATGAAAGTTTCGATGTCACTACCGTCATCGGTAGAGAATACCCAAACGTTCAGCTTTCCAGCATCCTAGATGGCGAGAGAAAGATTCGTGACCTGGCTATTACTGGTTGGAGCCCTTCCAGTTGGGATGCAAGAAATAGAAGACACTGACGAATATAGTGTCGCGTCGTGGTGTTGTGTTTTTCCGAAGACAAGACATTACATCTGACCAACAAAAGATTCTTGGCCAAAAGCTCGGCGAGCTTACTGGAAAGCCCGATACATCTAAGGTAATTGCGCTCGTTGTTTAGCTCCATCGCTATGCCGTCAATAATAGCAAACGGAACATTTCTGTTGATGAAAATGGAAAGCTAGATGATGAAATTTCCGTTATTTCATTCGAGGTAAGATCAAGAAAAAGTTTACATCATCGCCACATTAACTTGGCTATAGGTCAACGGCAAATATTACGGTGGCCGCTTTGCGAAGAATTCGGGTCTCCTCGCCAGTCAAGGTTGGCACGCCGAGTACGTACACCTGCCGGCTGATTGGTTAACCTTGATAATTATCACATTTGAGAAGGTTCCTTCTGACTATGCCATTCTCAAAACCACGCATTTGCACGAGGATCAGACTGGTGACGACACTCTTTGGGCTTCAGGATATGAAGTCTACGACCGACTATCAACCCCTATCCAGAAGTTTGCAGATACCCTGAAAGCAGTTCACTATCAGGTAAAGCAAAATAAACATTATCAATACTGTAACTAACAGATATTCAGCCGTCTTTCAATAATATCGCCAAGGAGCATGACATTGACCTCATCTCAGGAGACCGAGGAGCGCCAGAAAATACGGGATTTGATTTCAAGGCCAGCCAGTATGTTTCTAAGTATTAAAATCAACCGATTTAATCCACTAGCAATTATCTAGCCCCCTGGTCCGTATAAGCCCAGTAATGGGGTGGAAGAGCCTTTTTGGAGCAGCCGACCAGGTTGAAAATGGCTGGATCGAAGGAGTGACGAAGCGGGAGAGTCAAATACTGAAACAGTACTGTATGTAGCATTTTTTCCCATGCAACCTGTGATATTAATTACCAACATTTCTCTAAGTTAATCAACTCATCGCCGAGAATCACGGCCTGCAAGTCCGATTCAAATGGGGCACAAATGATCTTGCTATCTGGGACAAGTAAGCAGTACCTATCCCTAGTTACTGCTAGAGAAAATTCACTCACGAGAAGTAGCCGATCCGTGTTTCACACTGCAACAAAGTAAGATGATATACTTAACACATCTTAATTTCTAGGGAGTCTAATATTTCAATAGTGATTATGATGGAAAACGCCAAGGTACCAGAGTTGCCTCTCTAGGAGAAATTCCTTATTATGACCCTGCTTCCACCTCTAGACAGGAGGCGCTGGCGCAAGAAGCTTGATCCATGGAGTTTTCGGCTAGATACACTGCTATGTTCTTGGATAAAGCTTTCTCATCGTTCGTCAAGCAATTTTGACTGTTTCGTAGTACGTTCCAAGATTTAATGAAGATATTTTACCATTAATTACTAGTCACTGCCATTTTACCTCCCGGTCCATTTCTTTAAATATTTATTTTTTGCTTCTCCGGATATTTGACTCTTTGCCCCATACTTCAAGTTTAAGCTTGCCTCATTTCATTTCATAATAACTAAAACCTCCATGGTATTTAGATTGATTGGATGCTGGTATAGATATATCCGCTGAATCAACTAGGTACATCCATCCATTTATAATGTCACGGATTCATCTTCTAAATAGCTGGTATCCAACTGGGAGATTCATCTTCCGTCGGAGTGTAAGGTGTTTCAAAGGGGCGTTCGGCCTGCGGTGTGATGCGTGCCAAATGCCGGCGCTCACCAGTCGCCCAATCGATGATTGCAGAGTGAGCAGTGATACGATTCTTTCAAATTGTTAGCATGCGAAGCGTTCTCGTACAGTTCAGATAATCACTTACATCCCAAACTACCACAGTCTTAGGAGCCCATCGAACACGAGCCTGGAAGTCAATACCGCGGCCAATATGGGCCAATAAAAATCCAAGCAATGCGTCGCTCTCTTCCTTTTTAAGCCCGACGATGCTACGAGTGACTGCATAGAGAGTTAGAAACTGAAATATTTTACGGAATTTGAGTCAAACTCACATCCAGCATTCACAAACAACGCTTTCTCTCCAGTAACGGGGTGAGTTCGAACAAGAGGATGCTCGTTTTTCACGGGCTCCCGTCTTACCACCCCGTCACGCTGCAGACTGAAGTCAGCCTGCTCCACCCCAGAATGCACGGCCTTGAGACCATGAAGCCTCTCCTTCACTGCGGGTGAAAGTCGGTTATAGGCCTCAACCTGGTTCACAAAAGCAGTATCACCTCCAACCTCGGGCGTGTCGAGAATATACAAGAAAGTAGTACCAGGCGGTTGTGCCTCATAAGTGACATCAGAGTGCCATGAGACACTACTATTCTTCGCGGCGAGATAATTATCAAATTCCCAGGCGTTGTTGTTACGATGAACAAGGTGAACCTCGGGAAATCCTTCCGGTGACCCACTCGTAGGGTGGATATGATGGCGGCCAAAATAGCCGCCGAAGTCAAGAGCTTCCTGGATTGGCAAGTCTGCAAGATCTTGGTCGCGGAAGGCGACAACTTTACGCTGGGCAACCAGCAAAGCCAGCTGATCCTTTCCTTCTGGCGTCAACTTGCTGAGCTGGACCCCTGTGACTTCGGAGCCAATTGTGGGTGTGAGCTTTTGTATCTTCGATCCTTCTTTTAAGAGGTCCTTCAGAGAACTATCGGCATCTTTTCCATGATCGACGTGGGTGAATGATTCCAATGCGGGATACTTTTCGCCGTAGTCCCAAGTAGGGAGGTAATTTGGATACTGATTAAAAGACATCTCAGATCAGCACGCTACGGCCAGACCCAGTGGTTGCGGACAAAACATACACTCGCGGTAGATTTACCCCCTTCTTCATCGATGGTTCTTCGGATCTTAGGCTTGGTGGCGGACTTTTCCAGATCAGCCTTCACAGGAACAACAATTTCCGCAGAGGGAGCTTCGGCAATGGATGGTGCCATGATAGAATTTGAGTTTGAGAGAGACGCTCGTTATTCTAGGTCAGGATGTTTTCCTCTGGTAGCCACGGCGGCTGGTTACCTTAAATATTACACTCCAATATCCTTGACGCCATTGTGTTATACAATCACGCATTAAGTATTAATGTGGTGATATGTTATGCGAGCTCGAAAGATGCCATATCACAGGTTCGGACATATTGTAAGTTCCGCGGTCTGCAAACTTTGGAAAGTATAAAAATCAGCCACGAAGCCAGGTTTTAAAAATTCTTCCTTGAAACTTGTGCGAAGCTCACACCTGCTCTATAAAGATAATTATTTGATCTAGGAGATATTATCATGATATCTTCCCTTGCCGTCTTCAAAGGGTGTTAGGTGGTATTTGCAACGAATTTCACGGAGTTTAGAGCAGGCCTGACGCCATACATTAAGCGGGGTATCATAATACTCCGGGGTGAAGATGTAACGGGATACCTTTTTTGCGTGCTCCAGGCTCGGATCGCGTTATTCGAATGTTGGTTCGTCATTGCCTTTTGTACATCTTCGTATCTTCGTGATAATGCGAATATGGCGTGATATGATGCCAGCCTCGGGCCCTCGACAATCGAATCAATCAAACTCATTTAGTTCGACCCTTGTGCTTATAAAATTATTTGATACAAGTCCACTATAACCCCATATTTACACGCGCCAGGCGCTGATGGATCCACCTAGCCGAGTGTCTATGTTCATAATTTCATGAATTAGGATATTTATTGACTGGCTTTCGCAGCGTTTTTCTTCAAATCGCTCAATTCCGCTCTTTCCTTGACGAGTTCCGAGATCGCCGTACCAGTCTCGGTGCCCATCTTCGCGAAGCCTTGAGCCACGCCCTCGCGATCACCAGGTCGCATCTCCTGGCTCATCTTGAACTTGCCCTCGATTTTGGTGATTTTGATCTCGATTCCCACAATATTGCGCTTGAGAAGGTCGGTGTAGGATTCTGGAGCTTCGGAAACTGTCCATGGCTGCGGCTTTTCACCACCTGTATAACCCATGATCGTTGTTTCGGCGTGTTGAGACAAGTCGTGAACCTGTTGGGCGAGGAAGGCCCCGGCCTCGGGAGTCTTCGAATCGTAATATAGTGACAGTTTGCCGTACACCTGAACAGCAGAATAGTTCCAAGTGGGAACAACCTTTCCAGTACTAGGTTTTGTCTCCGTATAATACTTCGGGGTAACATAATGATCGTGCTTTCCGTTGAAAAGAACCAAGACGTCGTTGTCGAGCTCCAGGACATTTGGTGGCTTTTCGTCGACGGCTTCGATCATAGCCTTCACCTGGGGGTTTTGCTTGGCGATATGAGCGCGGATGCGGGGCTCTGTACCACCATATTCTTCAGGCAGATCGAGAACACAGGGCACATGGGTGCATTGCAAAAAGTCCACTTGGGCTGAATTTTGGCCTGTGATAAGGAGACCAAGAGGGTTCTCTTTAATAAATTGGAGGAGAGCCTCCTTGTCGGTCTCGGCATGAACGCTTGGAAGAAACATTTTCAATTGAAGCTGTGTAAAAATGGACAGGGTAACACAGCGTTAGGGACAAACGAGTGATTGAAGCAGCTTAAGTATTCCTAATCTCAGATTCGTGGGATCTCATCCTGCGGGTGACTCCCGATAATTCAATGCACCTTACCATTTTGGGAAGGTCCTTCCGCATCAGCATCTTCCAACAGCGTATTCAACGTAATAAGACGCCCTATATTCTTGGCATATGCGAAAGGCGCGGATCATGAGATATCTGGCACCTTCCGAGAGTGTGAAATCTGCAAGAATATGCTTGTGTCTAGAACTGGCTGCTTATTGATGACCATGTCTCCCTGGTCTATGGAGTCCACTAGCTTGATATGGTTAGTGTCGTCTACTTGGCCAGTCAGCTTCACGATAAATACCTTCGGTTGTGCGCCCGAAGACGCCCGCGGGTGCCCGCAGCTTTTCGTCTCTTGAATAGATATGGGTCGATCGATGATTCCGAAGTGAATGTCAAATCGCACCTAAACAACTGGAAAGAGATAAGTAGCCTCCTATCCGGAAGATGACTCAAGTGCGCAAAGCAATCATTTTCTTTCCTTCTGTATTTTCCGCGTATTTTCTGCCTCTATGAGCATTTTGAGTCATTGGCTGTCTCTTTCTGTGGACTTCGGGGGTTTCCCCGACATACTGCTTGAAGCTGAGACTCTTTATAGAGATGGTTACTCCGTCCCTGAAGAGGAACTGCTCTGGAGAAAGGCCATCGCGCCAAATTATCTAGCAATCTTGTTCAGAACGGTGCTTACTGTAAGAATCAATGGCCCGATTACGTCTTTCTTTCTTTTTCGCTTGTTAAAAGTGACATTCGTGGATCGTTAAGAAGTTTCCAAGGTTATAAACAAATATTTCCTCCGAATATCCTTGGATTTTACTAGATCATGACAATGACCCGGACAGGGTTTCTTGTTGCTGAGCAGAAATCAAATCAACATTTTGAACCTTCGGAGGCGGCGCTAGATCATACTCTATTGTACGGGTAATTAGTATGCTTCAAGTAGAGAAGTGCTGCTAGCTTGAGTGCAGTCTCTGATTTCGATGAGACGTCGAAGTCACACAACTTAAGCACGGGCAGTATCTCTCGGCGCCTACCATATAGAATAACCTTCTCAATGGCACAAGACACACCGCATCCCTACGAAATTACACCTGATAGCTTCATTGTAAATGCGACCCTGATACGCATGCGGGGAAACGTTGACCTCAACATCCAACCCCGCATTTCATCGGCAAAGGGGGGCCCGCATTCGATATTAAGCGAAGATGTAACAGTTGATCTTTTCCTTTTATCGATTAATCGTCGGTCGTTACGGAGTCAAGACAGGAAATCATAAGGTGCGATAGGGGAAATCAACGGTGCCTGGTACAGCTCCAGCTTCATCTCTCGGGTCCTATCGTGCATATGCATGGTCCTCGGTAGCCGGAGAAAAACATTAATCGCCCATCGTACACTTTACATGATAGCTACATTTCAATTTCCCGTCGGGTAAAGATAGCCCTGCAAACTATAAAATATTCTCCCGGCTATATGTGCACTATCTCCAAGCCACAGCTTTCATATCGATGCTTGGCGATCGTAACGTTACACACGAAGTAGAAGAAAAGAGGCGGAAGAGGAAGCTTATTAGTATTCTTCAATGTCACCTCTAGCAGATATCTTGTCGACAACATGATTAAGGTGCTATCCTACCTACCGTGATCAGACTCGCCTGCATAATGTAACCCGGCTAGTCATAATGCTAGCAAGGGGGTGTAAACACGACCCTAAATGCACCCGCAGGAATAAGTATAAAACTTGAACAGGACCCCTGAAAAACATTTTGTCTTCACGCCACCATGTTCTACCCCAGTTGCACCACGTGCCTTCGGGCCTTTCTTGTCGCCTTCTTCGCTCTCGGACAGGTCAATGCCGCACCCACGAACCAACTACCTTCTGTGTCACCCCCTCCTCAAGAGATAACATTGCACGGCAAGGGGATTTCGCTTCACAACGATGTCACCATCGTGACCGGAAATGTCACGGACAAAGCGACAATTGACGCCGTCAAGGCAGTCGTGTCTTCTGCCGGTGGCAAGGTGACTGTTTCGTCTCATCCCACCAACCATGGCACGCAGATCGTCATTGGCACCGAGTCAGACAATAGCCATGCTGCTGCAGTTGCAAAGAAGCTCACTGGAGAGTCTGCAAAGGGTCTCGACGCCGATGGCTACGTTCTCGCGTCGGGCCAATACAAAAGCCAGCCTAGCATTGTCCTCAATGGTGTTGACAAACGCGGAACATTCTACGCGTCACAGACTCTCCGCCAATTGATAGACGGCCACGATATCCCCGCTGTCCAAGTGCGAGATTGGCCACTTATGTCCATTCGCGGCTCTATTGAAGGCTTCTACGGTGTTCCCTGGTCCCACGAGGCTCGTCTAGATCAGTTGGTCTTCTACGGCAAGCACAAAATCAATACCTATATCTACACCCCGAAGGATGACCCACTGCTACGCGCGAAGTGGCGCACCCTGTATGAGGGCGACGACCTTGATCAATTGAAGGAACTTATTGAGACAGCCAATGACAATCACGTCGACTTTACATTTGCTCTTTCGCCCGGTAATGATCTCTGCTACTCCTCCGACTCCGACTACAACGCTACCGTTGCCAAATTTGACCAAGCGCGCCAGCTTGGTGTCAGCAGCTTTTACATTGCCTTTGATGACATCCCTACCAATGGCTTCCACTGCGATTCTGATCAGCAGAAATGGAACAAAACAGGAAAACCGGATGACGACTTTCTCTGGCTGGCCGACTCGCAAGCATTCTACCTGAACCGTATCCAGAAAGACTATATCACGACGCACGGTCTGAAAGATCTGGAAACGGTCCCAACCAACTACGCTGGAAGTGCACCAAACCCCTACAAGGAGGAATTCGGTACCCAACTGAACAAGAATATCAGCATCCAGTGGACCGGCGAAGGAGTCTTCAGCGACCAAATTAACGACACGAGCGTGCAACAAGCCGACAAAACATACGTCACAGATAAAATGTTCTTGTGGGATAATTTCCCCGTGAACGACGGCAATCGAGACCGTCTATTCCTCAACCCATTGACCGGTCGTGCCGCAAACCTATACAAATATCTCCTGGGCTTCACCTCGAACCCAATGGAGCAACCTTACGCTTCAATGCCCGCCCTCGCCAACTACGGAGATTACACCTGGAACGGGCCGAAATACGACGCAACCAAATCAATGACAACAATCCTCCGCGAACTCGCCGGCAGCGATGCAAGCGTCAACGAAGCCGTCATCGCATTCGCCGATATCAATCAGAACTGGCCATACCGCACCCCTGAAGTCCACGCCCCAGAGCTTAGCAGCGATATCGTCGCTTTCTGGAAATCATACAATAGTAAGGCGAAGAAGGGCGAGGCAGCGCTGAAGAAACGCCTCGCTCTCCTCGCTACCCTGCCCGATGTCCTTCCAAAGATGGATATGAAGGGATTCGCTTCAGACGTGGCGCCGTGGTCGACCGTTGCAATGCAATGGGCCAAGGCTTCGCAGCATTTGATCACCATGCTTGACGCTGTGCAGAGCGGGGATAAGAAGAAGGCGGATAGCGAGTTCAAGGCTGCTCAGGAATGGGTCAAGAAGACCAAGGCCAAGACTGTTGATGATCGTAACGACGATGGCGAGGACCTTCCTAACTCCATCATTCCCACCACGGGTGATGGGGCGTTTGACACTTTCCTGGCTAATGCTACAACTGTGTATAAGAGTCAATAGGTGGGGTGGAGTGGAGTGCTACGGACTCGGACATAATGCACCCTCGTGTTATGTATGAGAGATTTTAATGCGATGAGATATGAACTTGAATTTCAGCTGCGAATAACACCTACCCCTTCGATTCACCGGCTATTCACTAGCATTGACTGGTCTATTAAGGTTTCTCACTATCCATACTCAGTTTCAACTAGCCCTTACTAGTATGCAGCTGCGCGATTCTCAAAGACATGGCTATCATGTATAATGCCAGTGGACATGAATACTGTCGATGTCGACGTCGATGTCGGACGTCCACGGGTTCACATACTATTACCTACAAATAGATAACTCAATAATACAGTATACTTCTCAAGTACATATACTACTAGTAGGGGTTTCAGCAGCAAACATTCAGCAACAACTTTCAGGTGCCTGGATATAGATATTTCCAATGATTCATTACAAGGTGGAATAAATCGCTACTAGTACATACAGCTCAAACCGGTACGCCCCACACATCATCCCCGGCGTGCCGAATTCTCCAGCAGCATGTAATATATATGAAAGAGGAAAAAGGAAAAAGGAAAAGGATCACAGGTCGGACGAAAGCCGACGAACGTATCAATTTTTCATCAAGCCGTTAAAAGACAGGTCAGATAAGTAAGTAGGGATAAAGGGTATTTATTTTTTGTTTGCTTTGCAAGTGCAGTGGATTGCATTGCTTTCCCTTACAACTGGCCAGAAGTGTTGAAGTCCTCAAGGGCCTCCTGGGTGCGCTTGGACATGGTCTTCTCACCCTCACGGACCCAGACACGGGGGTCGAAGTACTTCTTGTTGGGCTTGTCGGCGCCATCGGGGTTACCGACCTGGGTGAGGAGGTAGTCCTTCTTGTTGAGGACGTAGTCACGGACACCGGCGAGGTAGGCCCACTGCATGTCAGTGTCGACGTTGACCTTGACGACACCGTAGCTGATGGCCTCCTTGAACTCGGCCTTGGAGGAGCCGGAGCCACCGTGGAAGACGAAGAAGACGGGCTTGTCCTTCTTGGACTTGGTCTGCTCCTTGACGTAGGCCTGGTGCTTGGAGAGCAGCTCGGGGTGCAGGCGGACGTTGCCGGGCTTGTAGACACCGTGGACGTTACCGAAGCCAGCGGCGATGGAGAAGTAGGGGCTGACGGCGGACAGGGCGTTGTGGATGGCCAGGATGTCCTC